TTATCAATGCATCTGCCACTTTTCAAGCTTACATAAATGAAGCTCTTGTGGATTTACTAGATGTGTGCTGTGTAGTCTATCTGGATGACATTCTTATATATTCAAATAGCATGAAAGAACATAAGATGCACACATGTATGATATTAGAGTGCTTGAAGCATGCAGTACTGTTTGTCAAACAATTCAAATGCAAGTTTGCAACAGAAAAAGTCTCCTTCTTGAGATTTGTCATAGAACTCAAGAGTATTTCAATGAAAATGAATAGAGTGTTGACCATTCTAGACTGACCAACTTTCAAAAGCATTAAGAAAGTTCAATTCTTTCTTGGGTTTGCAAATTTCTATCACCACTTTATTCATGTCTATTCATGCATAGCAAATGCACTCTTTGAGCTCACCAAAGAGGATACAAAGAAGAAACAGTGCAACTTTGACTGAACAAAAGATGTTCAAAGTGCATTTGAAGAACTAAAAAGAAGCTTTATCTCAGCATCTTATCTAGCACACTTTGACAACTGACAGTGCATTCAGTTAGAACTAGATGCATCTGATTATGCAGTAGCAGCTATTCTTACATGACTTCAAGAAGATGGACTATGGCACCCAGTTGCCTTCTGAAGTAGAAAGCTAATTGATGTGGAAATCTGCTATGATATCCATGACAAAGAACTTTTAGCTATAGTAGCTGCATTCAAACACTGAAGACACTATCTGAAGAAAAGTCAGAAATCAGTACATGTCTTGTCTGATCATGTCAATCTACAGTTCTTTATGACAACCAAGAGCTTAAACAGATGTCAGGCAAGATGAGTGGAAGCACTTAGCACATATGACTTCATATTACTGCACTGTCTGGGTAAATTAAACTCAGCAGATGCATCAAGTCATTGATCAAATTACAAAGACATTTACCATGATAAGACTCTTCTATCTACTCTGCAACAGAAGATCAGACATGATGTTCAACTAGAATGAAATCTAGAGAACAACAAACAGTTGGCTCCTATAGTAAACTGTGTCAGAGTGCATGATCAAACACTAAAAGTGCAAGAAACAAATAAAAACACAGATGTTGGCACAAATTCTTCTCTTGTGTTGCACTCAATACAGACAATAACACTGCTGGAAGATGTTAGAGAATCAATTCTTGTGTCAAGACTCATGATTAATGCTGTTATGAAGTCTGAGACAGTCTACACTGAAATGTCTGAATTCTTAATCTCTCTATTGCTGCAGCTCCAAGGGCTGGACACATTTGTGTCCACTCAAAGAAGAGAGGTGGAGAAGAAAGATGTCTTCATGACTGGAGATGTAACATGAACAATTTTCAAAGACAATGTGCTATGAACAAATAATAGAGCATATGTATCTAGTCAATCAGCATTAATCAATGAGATTATACACTCAAATCATGATGACCCACAGAGAGGTCACTTTGAAATGAAATGTATCATTGAAGTCATTCAAAATAAGTACTATTGGCATGGACTTACCAAGAATGTAGCAGATTATGTCAAGACATGTGATATCTGTCAGAGAATCAAACCCAGAAGACATAAAACATATGAGAAATTAGAAACTATTTCAATATCTTCACAACTTATGAAGTCAATCTCAATGAACTTCATCACAGAATTATCTTTCTTCAATTGAAGAGACAATATCTTTGATGCCATTCTAGTAGTGGTGGACATCTATATGAAATTTGCCCTATATCTACCATGTAGAAAAGACATCAACACAGAAGACTTAGCAGAACTATGCTATGAGTGCATCTTTACTATCTATGATACATTCAAGAATTTGATTTCTGACAGGAGATTTCTATTTACAAGCAACTATTGGTCAATTCTATGCTTCTACTTTGGTGCAAAACAAAGATTAAGCACCACTTACCATCCTCAAACAGATGGTCAAACAGAAAGACAAAACCAAACTCTGGAACATTACTTACAAGAGTTTATTAATTACCATCAAGATGATTGGGTGCAATGGCTATCTATGGCTCAACACACATACAATCAATCAAAACATAGCTCAATGGGAGAAATACCAGCAGTTGCATTAATGGGGTATAGACCAGAATTATGTATAAATGTGGACAAATCATTGAAACACATGGCTCCAAAAGCCACAGAAAGGGCAGAGTCATTGCAAAAGATGCACAAATGTCTTGAAAAAACACTCCATGTTGCCCATGAAGCACAGAAAAAGTATTATGATTCAAAGCACATATCACAAGTATTCAATGTAGAAGAATGGGTACTCCTCAATGCAAAAAACTTAAGCATGCTTTGTCCAGCCCAAAAACTGGACCATAAGTATATAGGATCATTTGAAATCATTGAAAAATGGGGGAAACAATTCTATAAGCTCCAATTACCACTCTCATTTAGAAGTATTCACCCAGTATTTCATATTTCCATGCTAGAGAAATACAATAAAAGAGAAAATAAATTACCATCACCAGGTCCAGAACTGATGGATGGTCATGAAGAATATCAAGTAGAAGATATTCTGAACAAACAGATACACAAAAACAAAATTGAATATTTAGTCTGTTGGAAAGAATGGAGACCAGAAAATGACATCTGGGAATCAGAAAAACATGTTCAGAATACAGAAGTACTAGACTTCTTTGAACAACAAGAAACATCCAAAGAAGAATGCCCAAAAAAGTGCTGACAGAAAAGAAAAACAGCATAATTGCTGCAAAAAATGCAAGAAAGTACTTCATGTTGCATAAGAAATATGAAAAATGAAACTTTCAAAGACTTTTGTTCTTGTTATTCAATGAAGAAAAGAAAAAGAAGTGTAATGGAAGACTTCTTTATTGATTAAACATCTGAAGATGACCACTACATGAACTTAAGAAACTAGATACAGAAAAAAGCATCAAAGTGTGCAAAAAATAACTCTTTTTTAAGTCAAAGCTCAATCTTTCTGAGAGTTGGGGATCTTCTGCTCATCACAGACAGCAACATGAACAGCATGGCAGACAGCATGATGAACAGTGACAGTGTGAGCAGCTTGATGAACAAGATGATGAACATGATGAGTGAGATGATGTTTTAAATATGTCTGCACTGACTTAATCTGCTCTTCTTCTTCTCTCTCTTCTCTGACTCTACTTCTCTGCAAACACAGAAGGGCATCAGGGGTGGCTGCAGACAGAGACAGTGCAGACACACAGACTTTTATTACTAATGAAATTTGTTTATGAGTGACAGTCTTACATTTGACATTGACTGTGGCAGCAGCTTTACAGATCTGATGTCTTTCAATACTGATCAAAACAGTCACATGTGCATGCTTACTGCACTGTCTTGCAGTAGAAGTGATCAGATGTTGCATCTTATGTCAGAGATCTGAATGCTCAGTGAAGACAGTCATGTTCAATCTATCAGCATAGTAGATCAGACTCTGTAAATTGAAGATCTGCTGAAGCTCACTCTTCAAACCAATAATCTAAAGTCTGTGTCAGTAAGAAACAGAACAATCTAGATGTCAGAAGTGCATGAAACTTAACAAACTCTAGAGCATCAGCACAACTTAGTGTCAAAAATGCATCAATAAGTGATCATCAAAAATCTTCATGCATGCAAAAGATATAGAGTTCTTACTTAAGTACATGAATGATGTGCCCTTCAGCACACTTCACAACAGTGATGTCTGAACATAACAATACATGAGTTGTCAGAATTGATGAGCAGAGGAAGACAGTGAAAGCATGAAGTGTGACTACATCAAAATTGATTAGTGAATGTTCACACAAGTTCAAAAATCAAGATGTTAAAAACATCATGAAGAACATAAACAAAAGCAAAAGTGGGTATATTGCAAAAAGATTAATGCTAATGATGAATAGCATAGATGAGTCAAGAGCCATTAGCAAAATTAAAATAACAGTAGTAAATGCTACTGTGCAATAATGTTGTGAATTGACAATTCACAATGTGCAAAAGCAAAATCTCTGTTGCACTGCTTAGCATCAATAAGAGTGTCAAAGTGATGTGAACAGATCAATTCAGTACTCACACAACATGAAGAATGATGAGTGATGAGGCAGCATGGCAAGAGAAGCAGTAAGACATGATGATGATGATGATGTGATGATGCTCAAGTGAAGAAAGAAGAAGAAAAAGCTTGCACACTGATGTTATTGATATTTACTAAGTGTTAGTGTCATGCTAATGCTGATGACTACACAATCACCAATCATGCTAATGCTTGTGCTAATGCTGGTGGTGTGGCACCACTAATTATTCAATTGATGTCAGTGCAACAAAACACTGATGCCTGATTGACATCAGTACAACAAAACACTGACACCACACTTCAACATCACAACACTGCAGACTCCATCCACATCAACATTCAACACTATTGCAAATTATTAATCATATGCTGTAATATTCCAAAATTAGAACATCAATAGTGCAATCTGATGTTTAATTATATCACTATGCTACATTTTAGGGTCTCAAGAACAATGTCTACAAGAAAGAGAGATAATTGTCATGCTCACTGTAGACTAGATCTGCTCTAAGAGCTAGTATCTTATTAGTTAGTGTAGCTCTAATCTCACTAGTACTTAAAGCCACACTGGTCTTCTTTCACAGAAGATCAGTGATGAGTTCTTCTCTTACTGCATATATAGCAATACTACTTTGATACTATAAGTGCAACTTAGTTATCTTTCTTACACTGTAGACTTGATACATTGTTCTTTAGCATCTATCTTATAGGCTGCCACCTTACAGTTCAATACTTTTGAGTCACTTTTCTTCATAATTAAACAGACTTCTGGTGAAGCCACTGCCACAACTGTTGAATCATCAGTTCAGAACCATGAGCCAACATCAGATAGAATCTCTAAAATCATAGTCTTTATGATGAAAAAGAATGTTCTGGAGAGCACTCTTGATGTGATCAGAGAATGACTGATCAGTCACTTTGAGTATTTCATTACTCTGACTCACTTCACTGTCAAATTATACCATGTCAGTCTGATGAAATATGACAAGATCAGTCTGTATGAGAAGTTCTGTAAGATTAATAGTCAGATTCAGATGCTGATCATATCAGACATCATAACACATGGCACAGATGTCTCTGATATCAAGATCAGTGTTCAATATGACATGTTTGTTAAGTCATCAGTCAACATGCTATAACAGCAATTGGATCAGACTGCTTGGGTCAGTGGTTGGTCTGAAACATTTGTGTTGTTAGTCAAGAAGAATTATAAAGAGTCTCAGATTTCAGATGACAGTAAGATTAAATCAGTATATGAACAGCTTCTTAAATCAGATTCTGATTCTAATTCACAGATCTCTAGTCTCTCAACCATAACTGTCAGTGTGACTGCCATCATTGTCAGATCAGTGACAATCAGTATGGACAGTCTCTTTGTAGAAGATGATTCAGTCAGAGATGCTCAATTATCATCTGAGCTGGAAATGAAGTCTGTCAGTGACACTAAAAGTAGCTGAGCTGAGAGATGAGATCATATTTAAGATGTACTGTACAAGCTGATCAACTCTGATCATGACTGTCTTCATCATCTCATTCTGAATCACTTTGAACAGTCAACAGTTGATCAGTAAGACTTTGTGTGCTGCTTCATGTGTGATTCTAAATTGCTGAATATATTTAAGTTCTCTGTTGTTGTTCAGAAAATAAGAGTTAAGCATCATCACAATGTTGTTCTTCAGATGCAGATCTGATTGAACTCTTGAATTAATTTCTATTATCAAGAAATGTCATGAAAGCCCACATATTTGATTCTGATGTCAAAGAATGAACTTATAGATTTGTGTTTGAATCAGTTGATATTAAATGAAGCTCAGTTGTTGAAACAGCTTTTTCATTGAATTAAGTGAAAGTCTATTCATTCAGACAGTGAGAAGTTTATCAGAGAGTTGAGCAGACTTACATCAGAGTCTGTCACTCAGCTCATATGAACTATTCAGACTTTAGCAGTTCAGATCAATTGAACTCTAAGAATCTCAGAGTCTTGTCTTCATAACTGCATGTCAAGAGATGAATTGAAACTGTCAGTTAGTCAGAATCTCAATAATGATCAGACAGACATACTGATGTCAGATAGTTAGTTCATTTCAGTGATTCAGATAGATGTTCTCATCTTAAATAGTCAGTTCTTTGCTCCAGAAATTTAATTAAATGTGCTGTTGTTCAACAGTCAGCATGCTACTGTCAAGACTCATTCATATTGTCAGATTTCTGCTTCAGTTCAATTGTCATATTCTCAGTTCAGCATATTCAGAGACTTAATGACACTCACATTACTCTTAACATCTGTGTCAATCTTCTAGCATAGTATTCAACTGACATCTCTGATAGATTCTTATATAATATCTGATTCATCATTCAGTACAGATAGTCACTTTCAGCATATATCTGATCAACTGTTCAACTCTGATCCATAAACATCTCTGACTAACTTATTCATCAATGCCCACATCTGAAAGACTTGGGATTCAAACAAGAGACTCAGTTCCAGAGTGAAGAAACAGAAACAGATGAAGAATTGAGCAACTGTTTCTTGAGTTGTGTGAGTCTGTACATTGATCAGTGGAAGTATTATATAGATCTTGTTATTTTCTGGCCAGTATGTATATAAAGTGTATACCCAGTTGGCCAGAACTTTGATCATCAGCCAAGAAACACATTTGTGAATCTATAAAACAGAGATCTCATCAGTTTAATGTCAAATAATTGAAATTATATCTTTTGTCATAGTCATATTATAGATGACTCATCAATCTGGACAGATGATTGGTTCTCTGAACACCATTTTGGTGGGAAACATGGTTTTCAAAGAGGGGGGCCTTGGAATCCAATAATCTGACAGATAACAGCTATTCACATATGAAAGCTCTAAACTCAGCTCAACAAACATTTGTCTGATAATAACTCAGTATCAGAGGTATATTCTCAACAGCAAACCATCATCATAACTGTTTCTCCAATCTCTCTCCCACTCTTCCATCTGGTGAGTGTGTTCTTAGATATCTGGACAATGTAGTTCATTCACTTACCTCCAGTGACCAGATCTCACATCAGGTTCATGTTATTGGGGTGGAGTGTGATATTTATTTTTCCACTGAATACAATATAAAATCATATTCAACTGAGCAGATCCCCTATTTCTTCTTATATGAACTTGTGCATGAGCCACATTCATCAGGCAAGATTCTGTTCAGAAATGATCAACTTCTGTTGACATTTCTGAACAACTTCAGATGTCCATATATGTGTTCATATATCATTTTCATGTTCTCTTTCATTCTCTTAACTTCTGATATAGTTTCAAGAGTCATTCTGACCAGTTGATTCTTAGATCAACAACTCTGTCTGTACAGTAGACTGTAATTAAGAGTATCATGTTGTTTTGTAGCACATATATGCATATATTCACTTATCTCTGGCAAACTATCTGACAATGGCCATATCTGGCAAAATCACCTGACCCACAACACATTTAATACATGTCAGATATCAACAACTTCAGCCTCTATTCCCTCTTCATCTTCTCTTATCTATCAGGCCAACTGTTCACACTGACTCAACATCTGCTCACTCACTCTCTCCTCTGTCTGTTTGTTCACATAATTCTTTTTGATATGCCCATTTAGGTTAATCTTTTTTGAATTAATATCATCCAAAAATTGCAATGTCTGTCTCTTCTGCTCATGATACATTCTTGCTCTCAGAAGCTGAATTGCTTGAATCTGATGAAATTTCACTCCATTCAGAAGTCCAGATGTTGAATTCTGACTAAATTCAAAATCACATAAGATCAAGAGACTCTTCAGATTTCCTCTCAATCAATGAGTATCTTACTGCCCATCAGTCTCTCAATTATTTGGCAAGTCTTACTGAATGCAATGCTCTCAATAATGACATCAATCCAGCTCTCTTGGAAAAATATTCTAATCAAGACATGGATCATTTCCATGGCATGTCTGAATCTGATCACAGCAATACACTTATCACTCAATCTGAGTCTGAATTCAATGCTCAGCCAAACTCTAGTGATGTTGATATGTTTTGTGATGAATCTGCAACTTTCTCTGCAGATGCTGCCCAGAAGCAACTTCTGACCAATTATCTGATCAATAACATTTCAGATATACTCAACATCTCTGATCATGAGTCTGCTTCTATTTACTCTGGTGCAGATAATCAAAACAGATGTGGCATAGAACAGGCTGATGCTTCTAAAAGATTCACTATCACAGAGCAAGCTGATAAGTTGTCTGCTCAGTGGTGAAACATTGTATGTACTGACAGTTGGATCATAGTTGACATATTGCCAGCAACACCATCTTCCAATTGAATACTTCAATTAAAATTTTCAAATCTGAAAGAAGGTGATCTGGCCAATGTGTCAGTTAAACAAACTTTGACAAATTCCAAAATAACATGGAATTAAATTACAAAGAGTCAGTGATATACTTCTCATGATGAGTCTGCTTGAAATGAAATATCTCTGAAAATCATTGATATGCTATATCATGTCAACAGAATTGAAGATGTGAATGATATTGAGCAGATACTGACATGTACATACTGCAACAAACATGATGATTGGCAGTGCAGGATCTACAAATCATCAGTGCACAAAAATAAGAAATGTCTGGACAGTACTTATTTCCACTGTCAGATGAATGCAATCAAATGCAAGTTTACAGACAGCTCTGCTAATAAACATGGTGCATCTGAAAGTGAAGAATCTTTGTTTCAAAAAAAGAGTCATCAGATTTATGACCCTTGCATTCCAAAAAATATTCACTCTGACCAGCAACAGAATCCCCCTGCAGCAGAAACCCATTGCAGAATCAATAATCAAGATCAACTTAATCTTGCACAATTCACAGAGAGACTCACTCAAATGTTTGACTTCATGTGATCAGCAGAGAACAGAGATTTGTTGGAGATTAATGCATGTCTCACACAGCTTGAAAACCAACTGGCTACATTAACTGACATGGTATCCACCTTAATTGATAACTTGTCCAGGATATATTGTTTTGAATGATGTTGTGACAGAATTACTCTGTCACTGGGTCAGATGTCTGGTGAGCTCATGTATGTAAATAGAATATGTACATAGCAATGAAAATGACCAATTTCACTATATATGAGTATAATCTATGTAGAAACACTCATACATAAAATCTGATCAGATTCACTTCTCTAAGTATCAAGATTGTTAGATTTTTGATCACAGAAGATAATTAATTGAATAATCAATCTCAACAGCATCTTCTCTACATGAATCAACTTCATTCAAATCTTTATTGTTCTCTTCACCAACACCCACCCCACCAGTCTCCAAAACCTTCACAATATATGTGTTGACAGTGGCTACATGGAAGAATAGATTTTGAAAGACTTCAGACAGCTTCATATTGAGTAAGAACTCAGAATTACTCTCTACACTAACACACAACTGCTCTGATATTAGAGAAGCAAGACTGCAGATATCCTCACTAGCAGACTTTTTAATATGTTTTGCATCAGTATACTTTTCATAAGCTTGCTCAACTGCCTGATGAAGCTGATGTGTATATTTTAAAGTATAGATAGACTTCTGAAAAAGCTTCTGAATCTCAAATGTTGATGTTCTCTGAGATTGCAGCAATTTCTTCAACTTCAGATTGAGCAGCTCATTGAGTTTATCAGTCTTCATGAAATGTTCAGTGCTCTGATATACAGTGATGAGACTGTTAGTTAGAACAGCATCTCAGAGCAGCTGATCATGTGTAGAAAAGTTTGTCAGTCATCAGAAATACAACATCTCAACTGCATAATTGAAGTGATGTTGTCAGATGAAATGCAAAATAGACTGCTCAACTTTCTGAGACAGCAACTTAACATCTTTATGTTTAGTGTCAGTCTTGATCAGCTTATAGATTTTAACAAGATGAAGAAACTATGTATGAACTGTCATGATAACATCTGCACAATTCTTATCAGATGACTGTGGCACATCAGAGTTCTGAACATTGAATTGAGTCTTAAAATTAATCTTCAAACAATGTGCACTGTGATCTTTCATTCTCTTCATCAACTTGCCAGATTGACATACTGACTCTGGTGCAAATGTCATGAAGTATATATAACTGATTAGATCATCAAACTTACTGATCTGCAGATTCAAAACCACTGCTTGCACTGCATCAGAATCTGTAGTATCCAGCACAGTATGAATGTCTCTGATCAGTTGCAAAAACATTGCTGTTATACAGACATCAAAGCTATGAAGAACAAGTTCTTCAAGATGATGAAATGATGTCTTCTCACTGAGCAGATGTTGTCTGCTGAGAGAACTCAACTCTCTTATAGAAGATCTTCATCATCATATATAAGAAGTTGAGCCAAAGATGCCACATTGCTGACACTGACAATGTTCAACAGTGAGTATCATATATTCTCTGAGTCTCACACCATCAGCACTGACAGTCTCAGATGAATGCTGACATTTTCTGATCACCATAAACTAAATATAGCAACTCATGAAAATTCTTATTCTCATTCATGTTAAACTGCTCAGCAAAGATGATATGAAAGATCTCATAAAGATCATCATATGTGCTCTTGAACATCAATATAGAATTCAAGAGTGATGTACACATCAGCTCTAACAGATGCAGTTTATTAATCTTCAGTAGAATAAGTCAACTATACAAATCACTTTCTGTTTCAAACACATTGATCAGTTCATTCAGATAGACTGCAAACAGAGTTTCAGAAATGAAATAGTGACACAATTCAATCTCAATCTGATTCTGATTTTGCTGCAAGAAATGAATATAGTTAAGTTGATTTAAAGAAGACAGATTCAACATGCTCTGACAAAGTTCATCTGATGAAATCTGACTCTGAACATGAAGATTAGTGATATAAGAGTGAAATGAACTCTTATCATCAATGATCTGATGCTGAACATTTTCTTGAAACTTAAAATTATCAATTATGACAACACTAGTTGACTCAAAGTCTTCTTAAAGCTGATGCTGTGGCAACTGATCAGTTGCCACTTACAATGATGATCAAACAATCATTCACTAATCTTAACAATAGTAGTCATGTTCAGTCACTCATCATAAAGAGTTGTGTAACTATCAATAACTTCTAGACTGTGCAGAACAGCAAGAACTCTTTGTTTAACTTTCATGTCCATGAAATAAAGACTCAATAATTGAGTGAAAGTGTTAGCAGTGTTCTGAATGTGATTCAACTGCAGAATGAAAGCAATTAGAATCAGTTAGTCTCAATGCAGACAACATTTATAAGTATGCTGATGATGACTTGAGTGAGCAAACTTTTTAATCACATGTGTCAACACAGACATCATCTGCTCAATTATGAAAGTAAGATTATCAATGCTGATGTTGTCAGTTAAACAGATTGTATGAAAGTAATAGAAGAAGAGACTCTGACTCTGAAGAACTGTCAACTTCTGATGAATAAGATGCACTATTTAATTCAACATTATGTGCTGAAGACTCTGACTATGAATCACTGCAATTCAGAAGAAGTCATTTCTTTCTAGCACACTGATTAGATTATTAACTCTTCATTTAAATATATAGAATGACTTTGATTCATCATTCTGAATTTATTACTGAATTAGTGAAGAAACAGACACTTAAAGACACTGAAGCAGTTAAAATACAATGTCAATCTTTTTGTGCTCTAATAAACACTTACTTAACTTCAACAGATGCTGAAGAGCATCTTTCAAGAATTATGACTCTGTCTAAAAGAAACTCTCATTAAATAAGCTATTCACAAAACTATTGAAACTGATCTGCATGCTGGGCAGATTTAAGTTCTTCTTCTTCAACTTAGACACAATGATATCTGAATTCAGACTATCAGAGCCACTGCTCTCACTGCACATAAGCAGATTCTCAACAAAATTCTGAATTTATCAGAGATTCAAAGCTAATTGATCAGCTGTCTGTTCAGCTTCACTAGTCTTATCAGATTCTTCACATTTGGTCAAGTCACTGTTGGAGAAAATAATCATATCAACAGACAGTTTCAGATGTGCAGATGTAACTGATAAGTGACATTTAGATGTCAGCATGTTGTCTTAACATCATCTGTCTTCTCAGACAATAGAGCAAGAAATTTCTGATATCAGAGCACACTAAGCTCTGACTGCTGATTAAGTGAGAAGCTGTTTACTGATGATTAGATCTGAAAATATCTGAGAACTGAAGTGAAGAGAGATGATGCATGACTATTTTGTCAGATGACTCTGAGTGAGAGAGTGAGACATTGAAGATAAATAACTGATTTAAGATTCAATAAAGATAACTATGAAAGTATTCTGATGATAAAATGTAAGCTGTGTGAAGAGTGAATGATTAAAGATGTTGGACAGACTGTTTTGAAGATTCAAAATTTCACTAAGTTCAACATCTGATCAGAGAACTCTAATAAAATGTGAAAAACTGACTCAGATCTTCCACAGAATGTGGCAGAAATTATCCATAAGAGTCTAGCTCCAAAGCTTATAATTATGCTACACTACATTGGGCCTAGCCCATTTCTGACTCATCCGAAGTGGAAGGTCTGAGGGTATGAGGCAATAAAAATACCTGATCCAGACACACAACGTTAAAGAAGCCATATGATTATATAATCAAGCTGAAACCTCTGGCACCTGCACCTCCCACGTGACAATATGCTAAGCGGGCGGGTCCATTCAAATATGGAATAAAAAGCAGACTACTTCAAAACATGCTCTAGATAATGGGCAGTTTGACAGTGAATATGACCTCCACTCTGTAATATGGAGTGTACCTAATGAGCCAATCTCTATGCTTGCCAATTCTTTCGGCATTACTAACTAGTTAAATTAACTACCTAACTAACTATAGGCCGCGGGGATAACTATGCATTTAGAACCATGCGGGTCGCAGTGGTCCCCAGCGAAACTTCGACGGCATCTGTAGAAAGTGGCTGAGACGCATCAGCCAGGTCTTTTCACTGTATTGCAGGAATATATCTTATATGCACTTTAGGATTTCCTGTATAATTTACCCACTAGTTAGATTGGAATACTGACACTCTGTTTTATATCTAACCAGCGTTCAACACCACTCATCGGCTGATTTCTATAGCAATATGGAGAAGGACTCCCTTGTACTCCATATACAGATGAAAGTCATATTGAAACAGCTGAACCCAAAATTGCCGTCAACACCCGTGTGGGGTAACGAAAGGAGGAGAGGACGTTGAGCTTATAAATACTGTTTTTTGCCTTGGCTGTCGGAAAACCCCATCTTCCTGTCCCCCAAGTACCCCAGACTGACAAAAAGGCAACAAAGAGTTGTCAGGCAAGTGTGGCATCCATCACGCTTCTGTATACGCCATGATTGACTTTGGTTTCAGGTACCATGACTGCACGTCGACCCCCTCCAGCCTACGATGCCCCGACGGACTCCCCAGTTCATGCCGACAAGGTATTTTATACTCGCATAGCCGAAACCGCAAATGTGTGTGGCGAGCGTAATCTTGACTACGCTGTAACTATTCGACCCCGCGCTGGACATGCCTGGGTTGTTCGCGCTGGACAGGTTTGCAGGATCACCACCCCAGAAGGACCTCAAGTGGGCGATCTGAATATCTGGAACCTACACAATCCCCGCGAAAGATTTTGGGCAGCGCGGTCTCGTCAGATTCATCAAAGCCATGTCTCTGTATTCGACCGTCTATGGTCCTGCCTACCATACATGCGACCCCTTCTTACCATCACCAATGACTCGTTGGCAAACTATGGGGTGGATCAATTTGGCGGTAGAATACATGATCTCTTGGGTACTCGCTGTGATCCGTACGTAAACTTACTGATGGGTGGCAAGAGCGATGATTTCCATTGTCATTCGAATCTCACCCGGGCGGTTGCGCCTTATGGACTCACGGAATTCGATGTCCACGACGTTATCAACTTGTTCCAGGTCACGGGCTTAGATGAGAAAGGGAGATACTTTATGGGCACATCCCCCGCTGAGAAAGGAGATTTTTTAGAGTTCTTCGCGGAGGTTGATCTGCTGTGTGCCCTTTCTACATGTCCTGGCGGCGATTTGTCGAATTGGGGCTGGGATGGTAGTGGTGAGATGCGAGATACCACCCGACCACTGGGTGTAGAGGTCTATACCCTGACTGATCCAAATATTCTGAAAGGGTGGAGCTCGCCCGAACCGTCTAAATACAAGGGGATGCATGGTATGACTGTACCTGCTCGAGCTTCGGACCCAGTCGTAGTAGGATTATAAGTACGGAGTAGCAATGGGCCAAATATGAGTACATGCGCTAAGTGTAGTTATCTATAGTCAAGCAAACATGCAATTACCTGCAGCTGAACAGAAAGGAGGTGAAATTTGTGACTTGGCATCCCATGGACATTTTAACGACAACCCATGATTCATTTTACATATTCTCAACTCTTTTGAACATTATTACATTAAGTTAGCTACAATACCATTGAAATAACACTTTTGAAGGCTTAATACAGTTTCTCGTTAGACAGTATGGTGTCCTTGCCATCAAGGAACGCATATCATGGTGCAGGGCTATACAGAACCTGCCCATCCTTTTTGAACACTCTAATAACCTTTTGCCCGCCATTTTGACTGACGAGCCATTTTGCAAATAACTTGGCTATATCTCCATCACTTGCTCGTGTCCCTACAAGTAGGTAAGCGGGGTTAAGTAACAGATCATCGGCGTTATCAGTGCTTTTTTTGTAAATAACCATTTGATCTCGGAGTCCGCGTGGAAGTGAGAGGTACGTGCCAAAATCGGTGATCGTGTACTCCTTAAGTTGAATGGCCGCGGCAAGAGCTTGGATAGGGAAAGTGATGTATTGGTGATACCAGGTAGAATATGCTGTTGCCCACGGCACCTACTACTATGTTAATTAAAGAAACACGTCCCTCGATTTCCTGCCCTAGAGTGATGTTACCTGTCCAATGCTAAGCCAAAGCGAAGCTTCTTTAATATTTGTGGCAGATTTATCATAGCGACTCAAAAAGCGAACAGGTGGGTCGCTTTTGCCAGCTTCAGCTGCAGTGTGCATGGAAGAGAACATGTTCATTATATCATCACTCTTCGTCAGATTTGCCGGATTAGACGGAGGCCCTGTGAGCATGAAGTGGTCTCGGAAGGCATAGTGTCTTGACTCAGCAATTCCTTGCTGTATAGAAATATTTTCCGCTACCGCGCTATAGGTGATACCAACATCAACGGTGCCAATTTTGAGATAGTTGATGGTCACGGTAGTGTCACTCTTGTACCAGGCAACGCGGAATGGTTTCGATCCTGCTTCGATTTCGGATTGAATAAATGCATCCGCAAGTGCTAGCACAAATACATGTAAGTATCTGTAGCCATTATTAGATGGAAATTCAGGCCCGTTTACCCTTAACCAAACCACTCTGTCCAGCTCCGCCATTGCCAATTCTCAGTCGTACGGGCGAGTTGGCAGAGCTATAACCACCGTCATACACCGCTTCAGGCTCAACTGCGAAAACAGTCCCAGCAAACTGCAGGAGAAAGAGGGGGAGCAATCCGGAATACTGCATAGTGAATATTTGAGGTTAAATATGTACTCCAAACCCAAGACCCTATTTAAAATCGATGGGCCTCCGAGTCCTTTAATAGGAGCATGTTACAGGCACTTATGCTCATCTGTAAGCGAATTAAGCCACCTGCACCCGCTGCTGAAAAAAAGACTGATGATCTGGGCATACAAAAAAGCTCTCTTAGATTCAACATTCTCTTACCAGCGGGACCAACTAACTATAGTTTGTTAACTTCCATGCCAGCAAAATTTTGACAAGTGAGTTCAAGTCCAGAACGTACTCTATTCTCGTACGGAATACGGAGTACATACGAGTCACACAATACAACACCATCATTGACAGCCGTTGCTGCCGCCTTGGTTGGATCAGCTTCAATAGTTTGTTGCCGATCACCAACGACGGCATCATATAGAGAAAATAAGAGAAAGCCACAATACATGCATGTTTGCTTTTTGGAAATCAGCCCAATCAGCTACTGTACTCCATATGCAGGACTCCATGGAGTGGAAGAAAATGGAATTGCAGCATCTGGGCTTCTGATAGTGCTGTTAGCCAAAAGGAAACTATGGTATGAAGGAATGCCAAGTTGCTGTTCTAGAACGTATGCACGGGGTACCTTGAAGAACGAATGCGCGCATAAACCGAACTCATGAGGAGTATTCATTTTCCAGGTGAAAGGTTGGTTGGAAAATATTATATAAGTATACCCCTGTTAAAGGTATCTAGCCGGTTGGCGATATAAGCTCCTCACCGCCAGACTGGAGCAACTCAGGCAGCCAGGCTTCACCGTATAGTTATATATCGGTGTTTTCGAGGTTTGGTAGTTAAAACCAACCAGCCAAGAAGAGTAAGTCAAAAGCAATAGGAACAGTGGAGAGCAAGGTTAGTCAATAAATAATCCTCATGTCTCAATGCTTAGTATGGAGCAAAAAAAAAAGAATGCTAACACTAAGCAAGGCAGGATTCATAGCTTAAACGGGGGCCAAATAGTATGGAAATTCTGTTTCGGATTTTTTAACCAGCATCAATAGATACTATCTGAGAAGGGAAAAGACCTGATAGATAATGCGGTGACTTTATCTAAAAGAAGCCGATCTTTCGGCTCACGACGTTGGTACCGTTTAAGTCTCTAGCTCTCTTAAGCCGCCTCTGAAGACGTCCTGAGACACCGAACAGTAGTTCATGTACCAGCTCGAACACCCAACTATGCTGAGAGTATTGGCTTGACTGCAGCTTATAGCTAATTTAAAGTGCCGGCTTTGTGGGCTGACGGATGTCCGAATAGTGATGGCATAGTTAAGCGGAACCTAGCCCCAGTATGACGACATCGCGCGATAAGCGTAAATTTGAGCTTGTTTGGTGTGCCTGGCAGTGATTGGCTGCACAGATAACAAGGTGGGGTTACACCCGCCATGTCGTCATTGGGAGTCACAACTTCAGACAGCAAGCCAGAGAGGCTGGCAAGGCACCACGAGGCCAGCGGTGGTAAGGGCAGGCTACTACTGTGAAATGATGAGGGTGGTATCATGCAGGGAGGGGAGAAGGTGGGTATGATAGCAAAGTATGCATTTGTAATAGCTATGATTCCATATCAATCTACCCGGAAGTCAAAGAACCCCGCAAAACTACCAGTCAAAGTTGACCCGCCTAGGCACCCTGGTAGCACTGCTGGTCTTAACCCCCGTCCTGTTCAATGAAAGCCCCAGGAAAATACGCGACAAGTAGGAATCAGCAAACACAGATAGGCAAGGAATACTAGCTTATGTCCGAATAAACCGTGTAGAAGTACTCCGCAGTAGAACACCTTTAGCTCCTTCGCTTTCTGAGCAAAAGGCTCGTGCGCCATTAATTTTTTTTATTATTTTGCTGGATATTCGCAGTCATAAAAGGAGATCCGAGTAATAGGAGAAAAGGACGCGTGTCGAGAGTGATACTCCGTAGAGTAGCCAGCCAGTTGAGCGGGCTCATTACTTCTGAGTCTTTGCTGGCCCATCCTGCTCAACGTTGACAAGGCTGGTACTCTGAAGGACGTGAACATGGTCATCAGGATACTCAACACTGAACAATAGGCTTGTGGTGAGTGCTTTGCCAAACAGGTCAATGGAGGGGATAAGATGTTCATACGTGAAGCCTTTGATCAGTTTGTACTCATGGCGAATGGTACCACCAGTTTTCCTGGCTTCCTCTTTGGCCCTAGGAAATAATCAGTATGAGTCATAGTTATTGCCGGAGAAGGGAGAGCCTCTACTTTTCGAGGTCCTCGTTGGTGGCCTCTTTCTTAAGAGTAACCTGTAAACGCGCGTTTAGAGTCGATTCTCCAGCGAGTTACAGCAAAGCGGGGCTATAAAACGGATAGACTCACGTTAAACATAACCATTTTGAAGAGGTTAGTTAGCAAGATACGGTCTTGCGTAAACTAAAGTGTAGGTGTGGAAGAGTAGCGAAGCGAAGCGTAGAGCTGTCGAGGAAATTTGCGGTAAACAAAAGACGAGTTGCTCGAGCGGTGGTCGGGCAATTGGAAGAAGATGAAGGAGAGAAAGTGAAGAGGCGTGAAGACGACAAAGAGTGTTGGGGGGGTAGTGGTGCACGGAAGGGGAGGGAAGCGGCCTGCAGACACGGAAAGGAAAAGAAGTTTTCCGTCGCAGCTTTGTCACGACCCACTTGCTGCCCACCAAAAGTGGGTTTTTTTGGCGAAACAGCCGAACAACAACAAACAGCATAAAATACGCTGGGAAGCGTGTTTGTTGAGAGAGCAACCCCTCTATTTGTGTGCCTCTTGTGTGTGTGTGTGTGCCTGTGTGGGTAGGCTGAGAAGGCTACAGAACAGGGACTGACGTCAGACTGCATGGTGCTTCTTGCAAGTAGTACATACACAGTGGAGTAGCACAGGGTTGTTTAACATAGTAGAAACAAAGTTGAGACGAGAGGCATATTCTCCTTCACACTGTAGACCTAGAACCCCTTGTGCTGATCAAATTTCACTCCTTAAACTTGTCCTCTTTCCTTCTAGCCCTCGCGATGGCATCGCATCGACCCGATGAGTCGAGCGATTTTGTTGCCAGCGATCCCGAAAAGAGTGACCTCGCGAGAGCTGTCCCGAATCAACTGGAGCACGATCCGTTCGATTTGCTCCTCGTCCTCTTTGATTTCGAATGTCTTTTCCTCGAGCCCCGGGTAGCTAGACAGTTTATTGGCGTTCGGCTTGAGGCAGTAGAAACGGGAGTGAGACCCGACAGTCCCAATGGCGTAGAGAGTGGTCTGGTCTCCACGCTCGATACGCATGTCATCGAGGCAGTCCTCGAGACGCGCCTTCACCTCTCTCCACGGGTCGTCCACTGGGGGGACAAATCCAAAACGGTTCTCCCTTTCGAAGTCTAGGAGGATGACCGGGCTAAATGCTCCGGATTCAAGGCGACTAACGACAACATAGGGTTGCCATTCACCGTCGCAGTACTTAAAGCTCATCTTCTGGCCGTAGCCATTATGAAGCTCAAAGTAGTACGTCAAGATGCTCCACCAGAGAAAGGACGAGTTCTTCTCCGTTCTAGATTCTATGAGAGCCTTGTAGTAATGCGGAATCATCGGCTTGCTCATGTACTGCGAGTTGCTTAGTGACCCTCCCCTCCCACATAAGAAGAAAACCAAAGAACTTACCCCCATCTCGACAAACGCGCGCACAAGCGGTGTGGTGGGCAGTTATAAGGCTTCTCAAATGAGATTGAACGGTCTTAAAAGAGTAGGTGAGAGATTGAGAATGTATCCAGAGAGTATTGGCGGAGCGAAGTGGAAGAGAAGACGGGTATGAAACCTCACTTGCAACGATGAAGTGAGCAAAGCAGGAAAAAAATGGCCACGAACACAACAGGAGCTATCAATTAGCCCAGCAGCCTCTCCTGCTAACCGAAAGGAGAATCCCACTTGGGTGGGATCTTGCTACACGTGATTCTTATATAGATATCATGTGTACCTATATGCTCTTTCACTCGATAGTTCCTATAACGAGGCCTTGCAGGCCTCTCTCTCGTCTCAATCTATTGCTCCTCTCCACTATACTACCTTCAAATGCCCACCACCAGCGCTGAAAGACATGCTGTCCAACTTCCCACATATTTGCCATGAAGGGATCCGGTCCAGAGACTCTGAGACCTTCGGTAGGGTCCTCTATATCATATACCAGTGAGACAAGGCCCATTGGATCCGCAGCAGGCGCTGGCCGTAGATGTGGCGGCAGGCTGAATACTTGTATTAGTTTATCACGTACTGTTGGCCAAGGTAAGAGGTCAAGAACAGAATGATGTGGAATCAACCGTTGTGTTGGAGTTGGCCGAAAGTTCTCTGGTAGGTCAAGTAGAAGTGGAGGGTTCTGGTTCAAGCTACCTAGCTGATTTCCCCTACAGCCGGTGAAGATCGGACTTATGCTCTCAACATCCCAAAGGTTATCCATTAGGTCAAGGCGAGAAGCAATTGTTAACACAGCATTCAAAAGCGCGAAGGTAGGTATTTCTATGATTCTCTCATCTGGAAACGTGAAAGTAGAAGCCTGATGCGTCTGTAGATCACCCAAGAGGTTCGAATTAATCTCCTCAACCGGATTGTTAGGATTCGAGAGAAGCTGCTCTGTCATGATAGACGAACTGGGAAGCGGCGGCGACAAGGCAAACACAGAATCTAGACTCAGGGTATCGTTGGTGAGTTCTAGATCCAGAAGTGTGTCTTCTGGGGATAGATCCAAGAAATCCGATTCCTCTAAGATATCAGATACGCACTCTGATAAGGTCTGGTTGACAAACAAATCTAGTAAAGGCCCTTGCGATTGTAGGCGTTCTGAAGGCGGTGTGGGCGGCAAGAGCTTTTCATGGTCATCAGCACTTCTTGACTGCGCAGACGAGTGAAAGGAGTCTGTCGAGTTTGATAATAATTGGCCTGCCTCACTATCCGTGGATATTCCGCCAGGCGAGTTACCATCGCTATTCTTTTGTTTCAGTTCCTTTTCCAGGGCCGCGAGACGTTCTCGCTTTCGTTCTCCTGGATAGGAATCAGTACGCTACCATGTCTAGCCCTTATGGTCCAGGCTTACTATATCGTCGCTGAGCCAAAACGTTGAGGACTCTTTTCCGTTCTCCTGCATCCCGGGAGAGCTCTGGGATCTCAAGGTCTTTTGTTTGTCGCTTGCGCTTGGTAGCCATGATGTATAAATATCCCTTTTCACGTCTTACTGACACTAGCGGTCATCTGTGCTCGAGCCTTGGGGCCTAGGGTTGCGGCATTCGGCCGAAAACGAACCATTGGGAATCACGACGTTGCCAGCTGCTTTATAAAGCTGGACTAGTCAAGGCCTGCCATCTGATGCTGATACGAGGTTGTTGAGTCCTGGAGCGCCAGCCAATCCTGTCGAGCCTGCCAAGGACAAGCATAACGTTATGCTGCCCACGCCAAGCCCGGAGATGACCAAACGAACGAACTGACGAGCGAGAAATCAATTGCAGGCTTATATCATAGCCTCCAGACAAAGTGCGAAAGATAGAAAACCAAGAAATGATTTTATAGAGGAGGACTCCTCTTACTTGACAATGTAACGAATTCCTCGATCTTTTCCCCTTTGTCCACGACCGCTGAACAAAAACCACCTAGCCTAACCTCATCCAAAATGGCCGCAAATATCCAGCGGGCCAAATGAAATCATACAATGCTCAAAGATGTCACAAAGCCCAGGAAGTCCTTTAGCACCTCGATTGGATGAATGAAGAGTGGACCTGTACCTCTTTCTGCTAAGAAACCTGAGGATAACGGCAAAACCTACCATGGGCACCGTTCTGGTATTCCTTTATTCTTGACCTAGGAATCAGCTCCTAAATCTTTGTAAGGGTTACTTATGTCGGACTTCCGACGTCTTTATTAACCTTGATTGTCATGACCAGAATATTCGTCTCCTCGCTGATTCGTATCAGCTTTTTTGTGAAATCTGTCGAAGTTATGATTTGAGCGCACCAAGCAGAAAGAGTCGGCATTTAGCGCGACCTGGATATATTGCTAAAGAATGTCCTTTGGCAGATCGCACCTACCATCCGGACCTAGTGGCCCCGGCATTGCCTGTGGATAAATTTCGCCCTGGAGCCTCACAGACCCTGGATAATTCCACCCCATAACTACCTCCTGGCTAACAGCCTTTGGATTTTCAAGCGATTGCAATAGGCATGGCAATGCTCGCCCGACCCAGAAGAGACCATAGAATCTATTAGCTCTTAGCGAAATTGAGAGCTAGCTTTAGCTATTAGATTGCTGTTCGAACTTACCACAGTTCTCTCTTGCATACTTGGCTCTGCCGTCTCACCAGGGCCTATGGCTGCTGCTACAAAAAGAAAGGGCTACTGAAACGAGGCATTTTGAACAAAGTGGATTGATTGACTTGAAAATTTGATTCTTGAATAGATGGCGAAGATTATTATATTTTGAGTAACTGTAATGATATGAGAGTCTTTATATCTGTCGGACATATCATTTTATAGGCCATTTTGCTGTTATGGTTATCGATGAAGCAATGTTATGTTTTCACATCAGATGGGCCAAGCATAAGGTTAATGTTTCTGCAAGTAGCGGGTGTCATGTTATTGCTTGATGAAACTCCGTCGAATAGCCACCTAGTCTCTCAGCCTACCACTACTTCTACCTTATAATTGTGCTCGTCATCCTCTACTCCGTACCTCGCCGCCGAAATCACAAAAGTGAATGACATCATCTTCATTCACTGACTAAGCAGGATATCTCCCGCTTTCGCGCGGTAGGCTTCCTGAAGCCGCTCCAGCCGCCCCTAACCGCCGAACCCGCCGGCTGTGCTACCAGGCCGGGCTTCATCATAACCTCTCGCTCCGAATCGCTCGCCCATCAGGTTTCTGGATGAGAATGGGACAGCCTCGCAATGTCTTTTCTTCGACATGCCCGCAGATCTCGGTGTCTTTCTCACTCTAACCCGCTGCTCCAACCAGCGCAGTGGCGCTCGTTTACATCCCTTGATACAAACTCATGGTCCTACCCTCCCTCTCCTGCGGATGTTGCTACGGACGAAGTTACACAGTTGGCTTCTAGGCCGAAACGCCCGTTGACATTAAATGATCTTCTCAGGTAAGTCCGAGCGCATTGTGAATGATGCCGGACGGCTATGGGTATACCTAGAGCTGACGCGTGGAATGTTTAAAGACACGGCTGCCCTCCCCTGTCTAGGGAGGCACTTTTGGCGTCAGCGAACTTTACTCTTTCTTTACTCCCTGCTAGACTCGCATATCGGATTCAAGCTCTCAGAAACCTTCCCTTCATTGTCGTCTCCAATCCTCATGTTTCACAAATCTATAACAACTACGTGCATTCGCTGTCGACGTTGCTCCCGTATCAGAAGAAGAAGATTACAACTGTAGAGGATGAAAAAAAATTCACAGAGATCATGGCTGAGCTTGTTCAGACCCATACTAACACAATACCTATCCTGGCGAGAGGCTTCCTTGAGTGTCGAAAATACATAATTCCTGAAGAGGTTACTACCTTCTTAGATGAACACCTCCGCGCGAGGATAGGGACGCGGTTAATTGCTCAGCAACATTTGGCCTTACATATGGCATCTCAGCCCACTGAGGAGGGAAGGCCACCCATTCCGTCTAACTATATTGGCGTCATAGACACGGCTCTACAGCCCGCACGACTTATTCGAAGCTGCGAGGAATTTGTTGCAGAAATTTGTGAGCTGAAATATGGTGTTCGACCTCGCCTAATTATCAACGGTGAAGTTGATGCTACCTTTGCGCATATACCGGTTCATCTAGAATATATCATCACCGAGCTCTTGAAAAACGCTTTCCGTGCTGTTGTGGAGAGTGGAAACGAGCGAGAACCCGTCGAAGTAACCATCGCGGCAGCTCCCGATGTGATCGAGCATAACGGCAAAGCGTCCCTCACTATGTGCCAGTTTTGTAGACCGGCAAAGAGTGACGTTGACTTTCAGACCTCAAATGAGCCCGGGGAATATTCTGGGAATAATAGCAATGGCCTTTTTGGCTCAATCGACTCTCCAACCCAGAGCATTACAATCCGATTCCGTGACCGTGGGGGTGGCATTCCTGCCGAAATTCTTCCACATGTTTGGTCATACAGTTTTACGACTTATTCAGACGATGAGATTCCTTCAGACGACAATGGCAACGTTGACGGACTTAACGCACTCTCTAGCAGTAACATTAACAACAGCACTATCGCCGGCCTAGGTTATGGCCTTCCTTTGGGACGTGCATATGCCGAATATTTTGGCGGTAGTGTTCATCTTCAGAGTATGTGGGGCTGGGGAACAGATGTATACCTCACTTTACAAGGCGTTGGCAAGGTCAAGTAACTGCCTTAGCCCAAGAGTTTCTATACTGATGCTCTATTTGTTGGTGCGGGGTCTATTAATTATGAAAAACTAGGTTGGATTTTTCCACTGGCCCTCTGCGCCAGCCTCTCTGGCATGAGAGTCTGGTAGACTCGTTTTGCCCAAGCACATACAATGGTGCGCGTGTCTTTTGGATCGATAATCTCCTCCACCCCAAATGCATTGGCTGTTCGAACTGGATTCATAAGCCTCAGGTATTCATTTTCCAATTCTTTATACCGTTCAGCTTTCTTGCCCGCCTTTTCGGCCTCTCGCAGTTCATGCCGATGCCCGACTTCTATACCGCCATCTAAAGGTAATGAACCCCACTGGCCCGAGGGCCATGCAACCTGCATGGTTGGGTCACGACAGCCAGCCATAATTGCGCCAGCAACTCCGAACGCTCTTCTAGTAATGACGTTGAACACTGGCATGGTTGTGGAATAATATGCTTTGGCCAACTCTACTCCCCAGCGCATCGTTGCTGTTCGTTCGGCGACAGTACCGATCGCGTATCCAGCTTATAAGCCATTAGCATACCTAAATATCCTTTCCGGGGGATTAAAAGACATTCAACTTACGGACGTCAATAAATTGCAGAATAGGGATATTCATCACGTCGCAGAGCTTCAGTAACCTAGTCAGTTTTTGGCTTCCAGCGGCATCCAATGCTCCACTGTTGACTTCACAATTCAAAGATATTATCCCCACCGGTCGGCCACCGAGACGAGCAAGGCCAGTGATCGATGTTCTCCCCCATAGTGGGCCAATTTCGAACCACGAATCACGGTCTACCACCGACTTGATAATCGTCCATGGATTATACATTCTTTGCTGTCGTCTGGGAATTACGCTTCGAAGCGAAATATCCTCCCTGTTTTCAGGATCATCGCAGGGAATTGCCGGTGGGGCTTCTGCTCCTGAATTCGGCAGGTAGCCCAAGACAGTACGTATCTGTTCGAAGCATTCTGCCTCATTGGCCGCTAGATTGTCAATTGTTCCATTGGTACAATGCATCGCGGGGCCACCTAATTCCTGAAAGTCTAAGCCTTCCTCAAAAGTTGCGCCTTCGACCACTTTTGGGCCAGCGTTGAACAGCGCTCCAACGTCGGCTGCCATTACCGAAAAGTGACAGGCTACCACTCTAGCAGCACCAAGACCGATCTGAATAATGGTGTCAGTCTATGCGAAAGAGACAATCGAGAGTAGATGCAGCTTACTGCAGGCCCAAGCACAGCACCCAAATTTGGTATTCCCATGTTCAACTGCTGGACCACGTACTCGAACGGCTTCACATGAGGGATATATGACCACCCCTCAGTCTTAATTGTCGTTACGCTGCCCCCTCCAGAGCTCCCATCGACAAGCTTTATCATAGGCATCTTCAGCGCAATCGCCAGCTTCTCCATGTATACCGTCTTCTCCGCAATCGCTCCATCTGCATGCCCACCTCGGATACTAAAATCATCCGCAGTAAATATGATATCTCTCCCATTTAGTTTACCCTTACCCTGCACGTTATTACTCGGTGTAAATGCCACTGGCTCTTCCGTTAACGGCCCGGTCTGTTTCCACTTAACTGTGCCGCTCACAGATCCAACTTCCTGAAACGAATTCGGATCAAGGAGCAGGTCTATCCGTTCGCGGACCCATAGTTTCCCAGCTTGCTTTTGTCGAATATAACCCCGGTTCTTGGGGTCAGGATTGGCTGCGAGAGACCGTAGGCTGGCTATTTGGCCGAGCACGTCAGAGTAGTCGGCAGGAAGGGAACCTGAAGATTTTGGTTTGCGCTTTTTCGCCTTGTCAGAGCTGGACTCGAGGTGGGACGAGAGCTGGTTGAGACGCTCGGTTGCTTTACGAGAGGCATTTACACCGTCTTCTCTTTGTTCATCTTTGGCCATGGTTTGTAGATTAGTATTACAGGATTAACCGTGCAAATGTTGAGAGGCTAGAAACGAATTTATAGAACCCCCCCAATTCTAGACAGCAACTCCTTTACCTTTCTTCTGCGATTGTTGTTGCCGTCATGAATGAAGCTGCCCAGGTTGTCCCGTCACGCACTGACCCTAGAAGAAGTAGGAGTACGTAGCCCATTTGCTAGCCGCTCAGAGTAGATATGTTTAATCAAATATTTATCCTCGGGGAGTAATTAGGTCTCTAGCGCACAGACTGCCGTTCAAGGCACGTTTTAAGAACAGCCTCGGCATCTCGCCATGTTGGAGCTGTGTGGAGAAAAGCTGACCCCCGCACCAGCTCTCTAGTGGCCGAAGTATAGCCTGGGGTAAGCAGCATACGCTGGAACTGCCGGGACAACGCCGAGGGATCTATTCTGATAGGCAGCTATTGTCTTTGGACGTATTATTTGATATGGAATTGAACATGACAGATGGAGATGCAGACGTAGATGAGAGACCGTACCTTTTGGACTTGGTCTCCTTGAATTTCACCGGTCTATAACTGCGCCGAAAGGGAATTAGAGAACAAATTGACAAAATGGTGCCTCCAGCACAGGCGATAAAAAAGCTGTTGGTGGCCAACAGGTATGTTTACAGAACTGCGTTTCTTAGAGAGGAATCAAGTAGTACTGACACGTCTACGGCTGTTATAGAGGTGAAATCGCGGTCCGAATCCTCCAGGCGGCCAGAGAACTCCCAGCCCCGGTCGAAACCTATGCACTCTACACCCCTGATGACAGATCTCACTGTGACTTGGGCGGCCCTCACCATGCCCTGGCACTGCCTTCTCCGGCAGCGTACATGGATATTACTTTACTCGTGAAATTGGTCCAGGAACATTCTATAGACGCCGTCCATCCTGGTTATGGATTCTTGAGTGAAAGTCCAGAGTTTGCCCAGCGAATGTGGGAAGACGCTGGCGCCAGGGTCATTGGCCCGGGCTGGGAGGTACTATCGCAAACAGGCGATAAATTACAAGCCAAGAGTCTTGCCAGTACCTGTGGTGTTCCCGTCTTGAGGGCGATGGCGCGCCCAACAGGCGATATCAATGCTATCAAGGCTTTCGCTACAGAGGTCGGATACCCAGTGATGATCAAGGCAGTAGATGGAGGTGGAGGTCGAGGAATACGACTTGTCCAAAATGAAGACATGTTACAAAAGTCTGTTGATCGGGCTACTGGCGAATCGCCTTCCAAAAAAGTTTTTGTGGAAAAAGCTGCGGTAGACGGATACCATCACGTTGAAGTTCAAATAGTGGGAGATGGGACTGGAGCTGTCAGACACTTATGGGAGAGAGACTGCAGCATTCAACGACGGTTTCAGAAAATCATCGAATGCGCCCCCGCGCTCATGAAAGACCGTGAATTGATTCGGCAAGTGATCGAAGCGGCGTTACGGATCGCCAGTCAGGTAAAAGGACTATTCCTTCACGCATAACAGTACTGATAAATGGTAACAGATAAAGTACCTGTCATTGGGAACATTCGAATTCCTTGTCAACGAAAAATTATCCGAGTTCTATTTTCTGGAAATAAACCCTCGGCTGCAAGTAGAACATACCATAACGGAGAGTATCACGTCTGTCGATCTCGTACGGACTCAGTTACTGCTTGCTCAGGGTACATCACTCCAAGATATTGGGTTTGCTCAAGATCAAAATCCAGAGATGCCGCCTGGGTCACATTCTATTCAGTTACGTTTATGTGCTGAAGACCCGAATGCCAATTTCGCTCTCAGCATCGGAAAAATAACAGAGTTCCATATCCCTGGAGGTAACGGCGTCAGAGTAGACACGAGCATCTCAGCTCTGTCGCCTGTCGTAGTGGGGTCGGATTTTGACAATATGTTTGCGAAGATCATTGTAACAGCTGCGAGCTGGGATAGCACACTTTCCAAAGCCAGACGAGTTCTTGAAGACACAAGAATATCCGGTATTAAGACAAATATTGATATATTGCGTGCAGTGATTGCCAGTGCCGACTTTCAGGATTGGCGGGCAGACACGCGGTGGCTCGAAAATAATTTGAATGACATAATCGCGGAAGGACGAAAAATATCCCAGCTTGTTCGATCAAAAAGGCCAGTGTTACCTGCATCCTCTGCACCACACATTTTGTCTGCATCAGTCGCCAACACAGCCTTCCGCAAGGGTGATGCATGGTCCATCGACGTGCAGCCCCTTAACGCGACATCATCCCAGCCCCAGTTGCCGCATCATTTGCTGCTGAGTCGCGTTTTGCGCAACGAATTTCCATCTTCCCTCAGTGCCGAGATCGAATACACCACGCCAGCATCAGTGTCAGCCCCAGCAAATACTGTCCCGTATAAAATCACTATCTCGACGACATCGACCTTGGCCAGTTCCCTATCATCCACTCATCGGTTGGGAGACCCAAATAACAGCTCCCACATAGTGCTACCAATAAGCGGAAAACTGATTGAGATGCTTGTATCAGAGGGCGACCAAGTCGGGGAAAACGCAGTCATTGCGTTTGTGAAACAGATGAAGATGGAAATCGAAGTGCGTAGCCCACGGGCTGGGAGAGTGGCATGGGTACTTGAGCTGGAGTCAGAGGATGGAGATGACGTCCCGGAGGGGGTGCTGCTTGCGGAACTTGAGGGAGAGCGAAGTATTGTCGAGATTCGTGGGAAGCTATGAGCTATGACCTTAGTTATAAGCCAAGATTACTATTTTTGACGAATTCGTTCCATCACCAGGTCTTGCGGCATTAGGTAATTACTAAGCTACGGCGCGTCCCATGCCAAGACCTTCTAATGGGCTAGTCCATATTGGGCCTAGTTCAGTAACTTGACCCGCTCTGCACCTTGGCATAACTTACAACTAGATCCGCTGCGATCATACAGTACTAGGCCAAAAGTGTTGGCTACAGAGTGGTGCGTCTTTGCAATGTGCTGCACAGGGCAGCTGTAGACTGCAGTCGGACTCCAGACTCCCCTGAACTACTTATTTAGGGGGCTCAGAGCCCTTTGACATGCTTTGCGCCCTAGCTAATCACTCTTTCAAGAAAATATGCATCCCTTAGGCTCCGAGCCCCAGGCATGAGGACCACTAATGTCCAATAATCTCTAGGCCAATCTGCGGATCTCTTGAAGCTCCCAGTTCTTCGGCAGGATGTTCCCGGTTTTCAGCCCAACGTACCTTAGTTACCCAAGTTTTGAGTCACAAAAGGCGAATTGAATTGGCCCATAAAGGGTCCTTCGGCAACCTAGACGTGAGATGAAAAATGGTAATGAAGTACCCAAATCTTGGCCTTCGGGTAACTAACCAGGACCCCTCGGCCGGGAGAGAATAATATGTTGCAATTTCGTCGGAAGTAGTCACCAAGGTTAGACATGGCGTCACCAGCGGTACATCGGGGTTCCGAGTCGATTAAGTGTAATGTAAGCTCTTCTACCGAGGGAGCTATGTTATCGCAAGAAACAGCACAATCTGGTCTTTGCGATGGAAAAGCGGTCGACAGTGGTGCCCTGTACCGAAGCTAGGAAATGACACTATGGAGGCCCATCCGCAAGCATTGACTAGGGCACCCTTGACTAACTAACTAACTAACTGGAGGAACTAAAACAACGCATCTTGTCCACGGATATTTTGTTGTATGGAACGATACTTTAGACGGGCAAGCCCAATATCCCCCTATATCAGGCACTATGAGTATCTGTGTATCGCAGACTGCCCCTCGGCAAATTCACAGTGTGACGAGGCGGTAAAAAACTACTCCGTACCCTGTGGAAGAGTCTAAGGCCTTCACTCGATACCCTGCACAATATCTATTTGGGTGCCAGAATAATCCCCGTATCGAATGACTCTACTCTGGAGAGACGTTAAATATATGTAATTCGCCGTTCTGATCAGTTAGTTGTATTTTTGTCTCATGCACTTGTTGCGCTGATGAAAATGGTAGAAGATACTCGCCGAAATGCCGCTCAAGGCGGGTACGATGCGTTGTCCGCAAAGATGACACGCCACCAATTATACATCCAACCCTGTTTGCCTGTGAAGAAAAATAAATGTGCTGGTTCCAATCATATAGATCAAGAACCCTTGATTGTAGGGAGACTTTTGACAATGTAGGTTAAAGCAGTCAGAGTTACACCATATTGTATTTATCGAGGCGAGACATACAAGCCGCCGCGATCGCCATACAAATCTCGATTTGAGACCGCAGTATTGTGGTAGAGTCACCATTTCTATTGCAAAGGTCGTCAGAGACTCCTGAGGATGCCTCAAATTTCTACGTATCTTGTTAAAGTACAATGTCTTGGAAAATAAAGTCCTGTTATGACTGGATGTATTCTAGACGACTTTTGGAATAATCTTAGGTAGTTCCATGTACTATATGTATTAAGTACCTGCTCCTCTTCCTCGGCAGCTAGAGATAGTATTTTTGAATCCAGAGACAGAAAGCTCTTGTCTTCACTTCTCTTTTATGACAAGCCCAGCTGTTGCTATGACAGGTTAGTTGGAGAAGTCCGGGGGTGACCACAAAGCGGTCAAGATAACTAACGCAGCCGGGGCCCGTGGCTGTGACTGTGTAGAAGTTAGGACAGCTTTCACCATCGCCACCCAAGCGGCCATTCGCATGAAGGGTTGGCAGATTGCCTTCCATCGCCGATACACTGTGATTTGCCTTTTATCTGGTGTCAAAAGTCTGTACCGACTGCAGCCCAGGATATTTAGAGGGTATAACCTCTGGATGGCGCTACTGTCAGCTCCTACCATCAAGTTATTTCAGCTATCAAAGATCAACCCTGAGAAGCTGGCGGTTCCAGAGATCTCTTAACGCAAATCAACTACAGCCTAAGAAGCTTCTGGTGGCCAAGTCGCGGAAGCACGGAGTAGGAACATCGAGGCCTTAGCATAAGGAGATCTCCCATAGCGCATGACCACAAAATCTTCGAATTTCTAATCAACCGCATGGTTTTTAACACTTAGAGACGTGGTTATGACTGTCTGACTCTAATAGGAAGAGTTTGCAAGGTAGTAGCTTTTGCTCTCCTTTCAGGGTATATGGAACATGTACTTAAGGAGGCCAAAGTAAACCATCACATGCTCAAGTCACAATGCCAGCAGAGAATAGTTTAAGCTGTTTCTTATGCTCAGTTCAGGGGTTTGTAATTAGAGATCAAACGATCAAAGATGTAGTGCTTCGGTAAGATTCCCAATAAGTAGTATTTTTGGGGACTTCAAGTGAACGTAGAGTGCTTCTACGGTATATTCAATACCAATACCTGCCCTTTATTTAATACTGGCATAGTCTCTATTTTTATCTCGGCTATAGAGCTTTAAGGGTGATCCATAGAGGCCTCCATTCACACTCATAGACGCAAAGGTCACAATTCAGTTCCAAAATATAAGCTTTGTCCTGTAGTTTCAATGTGTATGCAAGATCTTTTTCTTGGCAGGAATAAGGAATTGTGTGGTATCCTAGAGTATGAGGTCAAGTTATCCCCTCTTTATTCATTTAGTTCGACGTCTTCAAGACACATCATAATCACAAAATCTTTTGAATCGTAGCTAGAGAGCTAGACAATTTATCAAGTTACCCAATAGAGAGAATTCAAGGCCCGGTCCTCTGCTTAACCAGTCAAAGGATTTGGAATTCGACATGAAGATCCCTGCAACCTCATTGGAGAATGTAAATATACCTGCCTATTATTGAATTAGATCCTTGATCCTGAACAACGAGCATTAAGGTCATTGACGGTCTTGTCGACTTGAAGCCTATGGAGTTTGGTCGAAGCTTTGTGCTAGAATGCTTCGAACAATTTCATCGGCATTAAACTCAACACCTATCATTTCAATCGTAGGTAGCGACGACAAAAGAGAGGGACCAGAGACCCAAAATTCTTTTGTGTCGTTGCTGGAAGCCGAGCAGCAAACCGACCCTCTGCTCATTGATACTTAGATCATGGGATACAGAAGGACATCCTTTCTATACTTTTTTGGTAATTTTGGACTCAAGACATCGTCAAGATTCGTGTTGGATAGACTTTCGCGACTTGATCAGCGTCAAGGTGTATAAGAATACAGCCATAGGATCTGAATCTTTATTCACTTAATAGCTAGACAGTGTCTTTAAGTTTGTATTGAGAAGGCGAGACCAACCATTACACAGGGAATGTGAAGCACAGAGTAGTGGCCATAGATCGGAAGTTAGCGATCCCTCCTGAGACAGGGTCCAATCCTTACACCAAAAGATTAAACAGGAATTCGATATCTAAGTTCGTCTCTCTCATGGAGATGCATGTGCATATTGCTCCATACCTGTGGCCTTGCCAAACGCAGGTGAACCTCGAGAGCAGGTTAGAAGGCTTGGCAAGGTCACGGATACTAAATCCGCCAACCTGCCGCTTGTGACAGAGGGATGGTTTAGCAGCAGGAAATACTTGTCAGGGACCACCTGGGAATTTATTTCCAGTTAGTATGATCGGTAAAGTAGCAATTCATTGTGTCTGTAAACATCGGTAGCTGTACTTATCATCTGGCAAATGATCTCTGCATGTATGCATTTCCATTTGCTTAGCCAATAGCGTGCAACTCTAGTAGATACTAAGAAGGCAGAGTTGGAAATAAGAGAGAGAATATATTAACATAGTGACAAGTAAGGAATTCGGTAGTAAAATTTTGTTCATTCCATGCTGTACACCTGGGGATGGAGTTTTTCGAAAGATAGTACCTTTTCAGTATCGGGAGTTCGCGGTTTAACAAACTCTATTGTGAGAGCGTTGAAAACAATTATCGGATTCTAATTAGTCCCAGGAGAATTCGCGAGGAAAAGTCAACAGAAGACATACAATAGTCGGCCGACTTTGCAGCATGCTCCATCGAGCGGTGATAGCCATTAGTTAGTGCTCCGAGTAGTCCGTACGGTGAAGCAAAATTTAAATTGTGGGAGGAAAAAAAACAAAAAGAAGCAAGAATAGTAAGTAGTAGTAGGTTTGCTCCGATGAACGGCCCGGGAGCAGGGATTGCCGAGCTGGAATCCTTTTCAAGAAATGTTTGGAGTGGGGCTCAAGGAAGATAATCCCGTGCACTTCCTTAAAATAGATGCTTTAGAGCTGATGCTCATGTTGAAGTTCGACGTGCGAAAGGTACCCTCGTCAAGGGGATCAAGGAAGATGTAGAAGTCTGGGGTAGTAAGGCAAGGCATACACATGACAAACTCAAGCTTCCACAAAGGCCGTCGTTTCTTCATGATTTAGGTTATGCTAGACTGCTGTTTTGGTGGTATGATTGGCAACGCGCTTGGGGTCAACGCCAGTGCGGCATGGATTTTCATGGCAAGAGACGGGGCTGTTCCACGAAGAAGCAGGGTATTGTCAGTAGAACACCAAAAGTTGGATCCCGGGGGACCGCTAATTCAGTCTTGGACGGCAGAAGCACTTTTCCAACTGTTGGTGAGAGGTGATGGGCAAGTCGAGAAGAACGTTTTACAGGAAAAAACGCTAACCCAGGGTGGAATAGTTTGTTTAGTTTTCGTCGACGTGATTGGTCCATATACACGCCAAGCCTCAAGCCCTCATCCCGCCCACTCCCGCTCCGGATTATCTAATCAGATATCGCCAAGTCCAGCGGCTCGCCGCTCCGGCCCGCCGACGTGCCGACTCTAACTCTATTAGGCTAGCCGCATCCGATGTTGACGTCAGCGCCGTACTCTAGCAGGGTCTTCAGCATTTCCACGCGTTCAAGCAGCACGCACAGATGCACTGCCGTCAGCTTCTGCTGGTCCTGGATGTTGAGACACCACTGCACCAGGCTCCTCACTTCCCGGGGCTCCTCACCGTCCCCCCTGCAACTGTGAGACGGTGACATGGGGTGGGTATTTTGCCGCTCGCACCACGCCAGCAGCATCTTGGCCATCTCTCGCTTGTCGCCTTCCACTGCTAGGTGCAACAGGCCTCGGCCGCGGGCATCAGTTACTGAAACATCCGCCCCCAAGTCAAGCAGAACCCGGGCCGCGCTCAAGTCGCCCTCCTGGACCGCTAGCTGGAGCGGTGTGTATCCGCTATGGTCTGGTACATCCAGCTGCGCTCCAGAATGTACAAGCAAGCGAGCGATTTGCAAATTTCCCCGAGAAATAGCAGTAAGAACAGGACTCTTTAAACTTCCAATTGCAGTACCACTTCCATCAAAAACGTGGTTGACCGTGAAGTTCCCCGGATCGCCGTGTGGCAACGGCGTTGCAGCATGAAATGCCGCAGATGCTGGATGCCCGACTGAGCAAGGCGTCAAGCAGTACGGAGGTGACCAACTTCCTAAGATTTGCGTAGAATTGGGCTCGATTATGGTCGAATCAGCATCCCGACCTAGCTCTTCATGCCTAGATGGCGAGCCCACTCCCATGAACTGGTCATCAAGTTTGGGTCCCAAGCGGCTAGGCGGCGACTGAGCCACCTGGAGATGTATCCAATCGGTTCTATCCAGGGTAGGATCAATACATTCGTGATTTGATTTTGGATGGCCATGCCAAAGCTGAAGATTGTAGCTATGGCCAATGTTGGTGTTCTGCTCGACTTGACATAGGGTTGCTGTCGTTGTCTGCGAGGCATCCGGAGAGGAACTCTGTCCGCTGCCTGCGCAGCTGTTACCAGAGTGCAGAGTCTCCGCACCCCCATCTGACTCCACGGGAGAGATCTCGCGCCTGTCATCTAGACTGTGTGCAATTGGGCGTCGCCCTTTCTTCTGAGCTATGATCGTTGCGGCTGGACGCAGATGTGGCATCTCCATCAAGATTGCCTCTGCGAGCTCCATTCGCTGTTTCTGCCGCGTCCCTAGTGCTTCAAGTTAGACCCCCCGCCTGGTAGCTTGATAGGAAGGGGAATGTACGGTAGTTTTTCTGAGCCACTCTGTTTTGTGCTTTCCTGCGTTCACTCATGTCTCTGATGTTCGTCCAGTCCGCTGTCGAAGGCGCCATGTCTTGGAGATATCCAGCTGCAATGTTGTATCCGCAAAATGTCAAATATATATATATATATATATTCCACTGAATATAGAGGGTGACTGAGGCTTCTTGCTTCCAGGGCTTCTTGTGCTCTCAGACAGAGGAGGCCCGATCTTGATAAGCACTTATAGATGTATTGACAGCATCTTGACCCTTAAAAGCTTGGTAGCTAACTCACAACCTGTTAGTTCCTTGTCCCTGGTTCTTGGGTTGCCTGTCGGGGTCAATCCTCCGGGCGGCTGCTCAGTCGGGAGAGCAGGATTCACCCCCGTGCCGCCGCTATTTGACATTGCGGGGCCTATCCGCTGCCCGGCATACAGTCAGGGAGCGTGCGTTGCCAGACATACATACAAATATCGACCATAGGAAACGGCGCTACAGCTGCTCGAGGCATGTTTGTAACGCCGTCTCCTGAGACCCTGGCGCGCTGGCTCTTGTTAAGCTTGGCTCCTCCCTGCAACGGCTCGCCACCCGCGATTGCCACTCCTCACCCTTGCCATGGCTTCTTATTTTACCACGGCCGTCCGCGGCCCTTGTCATAAGGCGAGGCAAATATCAAGCCGCCATGCTTCGTGACCCGCAGTGTAAAAGCAGAAAGCAGACTAATTTCGTGCAATCAATGCTGTGAATGAGACCCTGAGAGCCTTCCATGTACCAATTGATACGTGCTTCCATTCTCGGCCCCTCCCGGCAACCGGTGACCCTCGGCGACCGCTTCGTGCCTCCAGTTCTCTCTAAGCTACAATGGCCGCTCTCGACCGCCGTCGAAATACTCTATTGGCTCCTTCCATAGACATCAATTCTCACTGTCTCAGAACCAGAGCTATCAGCTTGTACAGTGAGCAAACCCATGAATAAGCCGGCCGGCTTCCATCGCAGCATACGAAGTTCACCTGAGTACTCACTCTATGGAAAAGAGGACTGGAGATATGCAAGGGTCTATATACGGGATTGATCTAATGTCAGTAACAGCGACTGTCTATTGCATTTGGACCTGTGGAAAGCATGTAACTACACTGCCCAGTCATATTGTAGTCGGCAATTGTAAACAAGAGATTTGGCCAATGTGATGCTTGGTCGGTTAGCCGGGCTGATATCATTGCTTGATCCCACGCCATTCTCTTCCATGATTTAACATATGGTGGGGGCCTGCGCCCTAATCCTTCTTGAAAAGGCGAGCTGTCCTCCCGCAGCAACTAAATCCTACCCTAGTTCCCCTTTGTTGGGGTGGTCATAAGCTTGCCGGTCAATCCACAACCCCTGCTCGCCCCAATACCAAGACGTCCAACCAGGAAAGTCGGGGGATTGCTAGGTTTTACGCAGTGAAGGTGCGTATGGAGTACTCCGTACTTATCGAATGCATGCCCGGGGAGTGCGGCCGAAAATCTTAAAAAAGTATGAAGATGTCCCATCTCTGATTTGCAGTACGCTCTCGAAATTCAGACTTATAATCTTTCAATATATGCTCCCTATGAATATGGATCTTGTCGATGCAATGGAGATCGAATTGAATTATCTGCGAGCTGTGACCACTTTGCATCAGGGACCGCCATGTTGCGTAGGCTTTCCTAATTGTGGACCAAGGTCGGCAGTCCTTTAGAGACCATCACTGACCACACTATACAGATTTGCAAGCCCATTTTATAGTTCACAACCGTTGGTTGTCAGGAATTCTGATTGAGAGTGTCGTAATAAACTTTCTCTCCGCATTTCGTACTATAAATTCCGGCTTCAAACGGAACAAGCGTTAAATAGAGAAACTCCAGTACCAGTTCATCATGCTTGATTTTTCTGAGTGAGCCATCGATACCTTTGATGTAGCTCGCAACGTTGAATTCTCGTGACAGCTCCAACGCTGAGTAACTATGAGACAAGCATCAACATGGCAGATCGAAGAAATTGAAGATGGGAGGGTAAACCCTGCTGCGTTAAAAGTGCGGATTTGGGTCGTATAAGATAAATGTTCGACTTGAAAAGCTTCTTATTTCATAACATGGGTAGGAAGTAAAAAATGAGCACCGGGCTGGTGAGGCATGCTTCTGTCCCATTATATTCACTTTGAATATATATAATATTTCAGCTTTTACTAGCGTTGCTGGCCAGTGAACCTTCCAGATCAGAGTTTTTGTGTAATATTCCTAGGATATCTAGTCTTCTTTCTTTCCTATAAACATAATTCTACCTAGGACCATGTAGTTGTCTGTCTAAATAGAGAGGGATGGGGTTTACTATACCATCAGAACATTGCTATGTATACAATCAAATATTTGTCGCCGAATTCAGCTAACATGATATATTGTAAGTATTATAAAATAACATCGTCCTCTCTGTATGTTACATTGAACACCATTCGACAACGATCAAATCTCGCGAGAAGAATGAGCTTGCATCAGCCGTGGCCTTGATAATTACGGAGATCACCACGGTATCTCGTGACTTGTGTAAGAAAGGAACTTGCCGGAGGTCGTTTCGCGAGTCGCATCATCGATGACCTGGAGCATTTTCGTGACACTATTTTCGATTGTTTCTGGTGGGCCAGTCGCATAGTTCCATTGGTCTGCAACAAAGTACCCTGCCCTTGTCTGCACCCAGCCTGGGTGGAGAGCTATTGTAACCAGGCCCTCGTGCTGAATGTGGAGGGCACGAGTTATCCAGTTCCCCGCAGCGCGACTAGGCCCGTAGGCTCCGCCAAAAAAGGGCTCTTGGCCGCCAATTGAACCTACAGAAGAGGTGATAGAAATCATCTTGGGTATCGCAGCCTTTTGAAGAAGTGGCCAAGCAGCCTGAAAGAGGAGTAGCGGAGCAATGGTGTTGACTTCAAAGGCAGCGCGAAGGTGTGCGGCAGAAGTCATGGCAGCTGGTGCCATTGGGGGGACGCAGCCCGCATTGGAGATTAGGACATCAATGTGATCGACAGCAGGGAGAGCAGTAATCGCCTCACTAATTTTCTCAGGTGGAACTGCGGTAGAAAAATCTAGTTTTATGATGTGAAGAGCGGTACTGTCAACGAGAGGGATATCTTGAGCCTGTGTCTCGAGGCTCTGTGCAGCTTCGTCATTGCGGACAGTTGCAATAACAGTGGTGTTTGGGCGGGAGAGAAGAGCCGAAACAAAACCAAAACCAAGCCCTCTATTTGCTCCGGTCACGAAATATACCTGACTAGAAGGGTTAGATGCCATGATGGCCAACTTAGAGTATTTATGGAAGAGAAAGAGAAAAGAGGCAATGCGAGATAGGTGGGGGAGTTCAACGCCCTAGCGGGGGAAGATTGCGTATTTTATAGGGCAACTGATACCGGGATCATAGCTAGCTCTTTCGTATGGTTAATAATCGATGCGCATCATCTGACTCGCTGTCATTTCGATGTTATCCAGCTGTTGAGCTGTCTTTCCTCACGTTCTAATATACTGTGTAGCACCGAGAATATTTAATAATCCATTAGAACAAACTCGACTGTGTCCCATAACACGATACTGAAAACCCCATAGGGGACATATCTGAGAATTCTTGTTTCGCTTCTTGACTGCTTGAATGGAATTCGTAGTGGATAATTTGATAGCCGGAATAATATTATCCCAAGCCGATATCATAATCGGATTAACTATGACCCGCCTATGAGCTTGTGTGATAGCTAACTAACTGAAACCTTCATTAACTACTGAGGACAGAGTACGGAGAACTCAGAGTGGTTGCTGTTGTGAATCGGTAACTACTTATTACATGGAATTTAGAAAAGTGAAAGTGTCCCCACAACAGATATGCTGACTTTGGCCTATGGTGTCTTTCTTGACATGTATTTTTGTTGCAAGAGTGAAGTAATTTGGGATTTTCAATATTTCTAATTGCCATGACTGCAGCTCTTTTGGGGTCAGACAATTACATAGATATGAGTATATTGCTTCGCCTCGCCAGTCTTCGAATCCGGAGTTCGCAAGCATGCTGTCGAAACATTCATCCCATGGAAAAGCCAAACCACAAGATATTACCTACTCAATACTCGCAGCTGACTACTCAGCCTACCATTAGGTCTCGAACAACTTGGGGAAGAAATACTCCATGAGGTCAGTGGAGCAACACTAAAAGATATTGAAACATCTGGACAGTTCCGCAAGAAGACTAGGATTATATTTTCGTGGTCCTGGAACCGCCAGTGAGCCAGTGGCGAATCTATGTATGTGGGACATTTATACATAAGGTGCATGGCTGGAGTGATATTTCAACTTTACGGTAGCTGAATGGTTAATGTGGAGAATTCACCCACGGGTTCGAAAGTTAGAATATCTGAAACATAAAACTGCATTGCAACATCTTGGAAGAACCCAAAAGGGAGGTGTGTACTTACATAAAGGCGAGTATATACAGCGAACCATAAATGTTTCAAATTGAAGGGTTTGAGACTCCCGTCGAATCCTTGATATAGTTCATTCGCTTTGAGAGTGTTTGGAAGATGCCAATTCTGGTGTTAAAAGGTATGTATGTAAAGAATCCTGGAAAATACCTGGATGCAGACGAATGTGTAGATTTGGCAGCGCGGGCAGAGTCATTATCAGCCGTCAAGATTATTTTAAATGGGACAATAGGAGCACTCTATGCTGAGACGTCTGGCCTAGACCGCTAAATAAATCAAACAAGGAAAAATAAATGGAGGTGATGATTGATTCATAGTACGGAGTAGAACTATTTAGCTATTTATGTTGCTCGCTCGGCGAATGTAGAGATTCAGGCCTTATATTGTTGCTTCTATATCTATAGGCCGAGACCACCAATTTCATGGAGGAGTCTCGTTGATAATACATAAGTAAGGATCAACCCAAGCAATACAGAAAACATTGTATTGAGTACCCAGATACATCCATAGATAAGAAACAAGCCGATCTGGCGTACAAAATTGAAAGCACAGTGGTAAGAAAGGTTTCTTTAGGAAATTGAAAATAACTGTGAAGTACTTAGAAGCAGTACGGTTGAATTACATACACCGATATGTTTTACTGGTTGGCTAAAATAGCAGTCTGTTTGCATGACGCCTCTTATCGAAGGCTTGTTGCCATCTCGAATCCCTGGCCGATTGAAGTGATCACGTGCTGCGCTTATCCGCCACCTGGACCTCAATCGATCTTGCACCGCATTCTTTACCAAGGCGAACCCGAGCCCGATCATCGGCACTACCTCGAAACCCGCCGAACGTTACCCCGCGACGATGTTTCGCCCCTTTCGAGAACGAAGCTCCATTGGTGACACGTTTCGCTACTGCCGGAGAACGCTAAGCCCTTGTCAGCTGGCCTATGGCGGCTGAAGGTACACCAAGCTTTTGTATAAGGGAGAGCCCAAGCAAACTAAAGCATTGTGTTGTGTGGCTTTATCTGGATATTTTCCTTGCTGAAGAATGGATAGATAGGTACCATTGAGGTGTCTACCTAATAAGCTATGTTGGTCTTCCGGGGTGTCCAGGACACCCCAGACAAGTATCAGGCATAGTTACAGTGTATGAAGTAATGCCCAACCCAGGAGTGCCCGAAGAAGGTTTCTAGCGTGTATGACGTGGGAAGTGGGGTTTCGATGGAAGAAGGCATCGAGCTTCTTCTGATTTTCTTCTGTTATCCCAATTACCCGTTGTTCAACAGCATTTTTGATACTACCGACGTGTTAATTTGGATTATATCTTTAACGTATATCGTCAGTCCGAGATAGTGTGTGGACTGCTCAGCTCTTGAAAATCCTTGCTACATACATAACCACATTCATCCAGCTTATCTTGCCAGAACGAATCGCAACGGACAAGCCTTCGCATATTTACAATGGCCACTGAGACTACCGTGCGCCCCTCTAATTCCCCCGATGCTACCTCAGAAGCCCGTGCTGCCTTCCTTGCCTCCCTGAAATCCGTTGGTTCAAATCTAGACTCGGATCTACGTTCTCGGGCCACGAATCTCCATGAAAACGCTGCCATTCTTCAAAAACAAGAGGACGAGCTAAAACGAACAACAAAGCAACTCTTCAAACAAGGAAATGAGCTGGAAAAACTGGCAGACCAGGGTCATCACGGCTTAAAAGAAGTTGGAGATTTGCAAAATTGGGCTGAAATGATGGAGCGCGACCTCTTGGTTGTTGAGGAAACACTTCGGCTTGCAGAGGAAGAAGACCTGAGAAATGGACGAATGAAGGCACATCAGGATGGATCACAGCGGAGTAGGCTAAGGCGGTGGTTCTGAAGTTCCCGACTCTGAGATGGTTTAATTCCCTGCGCTATGGGCACGGTAGAACGGATCGAATTTGGTGAAGATATTATGGCTACAAATGCTCCTTCTTTCCTTTCGATGCTCGTGTCCTCAAGGTAATAACCAAATACATGTTAAAATCCATCCTTTCTAGGTACATGTCTATGAAGAAATCACTATTCTAAATGGCCATACTCTTCCAAAAAGCGTCTCCAAACCCCACATTCGTTGCTCCCAAGACTACAGCTATCATCACCACTGTCCGTTATCTCCATCTCGGGCCACTCTGACCATTCTTGCCAACCTCCAAGGCTTACTAAATGCCTCATTGTTGGCCGGCCATGGGGGCAGTTCCATGGCTTGTCTATCAGTCCCATGTGTCGAACAACTTTCTCCATTTGTTTAATAGTGAGTGTATTACCTACCATAATGCTAGAGCGGCATGCACGCATGGCAAACATTTTTCGGACTTTACTGGGTCGAGGAACATAGCGGCTTGCAAAAGGTGATGATTTGGAAATATCATCGTAGTCAACGAGCTGCGAGATACGATCGTGGTGGGGCGATTCCGAGAGCAGAGCAATTAATTCTTCCAAGTCCTGGGTATTGAAAACCACCTCTTTACTCAGCGGGAGGCTAACTAATTTGCACCTTCGCCCAATGGGTTCGTCGCCACTCTCGTCAATATCAAACAAAAATCCGTTCTTTTCTAACAGGGGAATATTATCAAGGATGACTTCTTCTTCCACTGCTGTAAGATCGAGCGTTTTTGGTTTGACAAGGCGCTGGTTTTGAACCACGGTCTCGGCTTGAAGTCGTTCGAAGTTGTACTTCTCATCCGAAGCATGCTGATCAATTATGAATAGTTCATCTTCAACAAGATGAAGGCCCTCATTTTCTTGATTGCTTTTCGCATATCCCTCCCTCACAGCCAGAATAAATCCAAGATTAAATTGCCCTACAATTCGCATCTTCCCAAAATCTCTTTTAGATACCGTAAGGGATAGTTTGGCCTCGGGGGACTCAAGCTCCTGATTTGCCTCAGCAACGGAGATATCGGATTCCTTATGACCCTGAAAAGACCGAAGGCTGTCTTCAAGTGACTTTAGCTGAGCCTTGATCTTTGCAAGTGCTCCATCAATGGAACACATTAATTCCACGGTAGCATCATTTCCCCGAGACCGCTTAGATATCTTATTAGCTCTCTCAGTGGTGTATTCGGAGGGGACTTGAGCAGCGTCCTCTGCAGCTTGAATCAGTTCAACTATTTTCTGCTCGTCCATGGCCTTTTGTTCTCGATCACCTGCATCGATTTCATCCAAAGAAGCAGAATCACTCCCATTATCTACTGTAACGTATGTTATGTCGCTAGCGTCGCTAAGATCAGCTTGCTCCTCATCCTCGGAGCTAGTATATCCATTATCCGTTTCCTCGCTATTATCTGATTGTGAAGGCCTCCCAGCCTGAGTAGTTGGAGCAGAAAAAGACTTCAACGTTTGCCCAAGCTTGCTTTTCGCAAATGTTGCTCGCGTTCGTCGTTTGGAGAGTGGTGCTGAGATAGAATCTTCCTGGCGTCCTTTCCGTTTCCGCGGCGATGTATATCCAATAGTCGATGTAACTGTTTTGCCACCAATCGTGATGGTTGCAGTTTCAGCAGCAGGTCTCGTTGGACGCATACGGTCAAAGGCATTTTGAATGATATTTGGTGACCTTTGACTGCTTAAAGACGATATTTTAGATGTTTCGTGACAAGTCGAAGGAAATTCCTGATGAACTTCGCTAAGGTCTTGAACACTGGATGGTGGACTAGCAGCGGACACAAACAAGTCATCGGCGTCATTGATATTACGCGACATTGAAGCGCGTACCTCTATAGAGTGGCTTAAATTGGACATACTTGGTCCTTCATCTCTGCTTGATCTAATGGTTACGTTTTCAGTGCGACAGATGGAAGTATCCGCCCCTTGTCCGTTTTGTATATCTTCTTTGGGGGTCAAAGGAATGTTTCCCGCCCTTAGATGAGTCAAAGCTGAGGTAAAGCTTCCATTTGCTATTTGTTTCGCTGTACCTTGTTTCCCTAATAAGTGAGATTGAGGAACAGTTTGTTCCTGGCTTTCAAACATCTCCGTCAATGTCGCTTTGAGAGATTCAATCAGCGCGCCTGCGTCGTGTAACAGGATTGTACGTTTGTCCGGTGAGACGTTAACGTCATATGCGCGAGTATCCATTTCAAAATTTGCAAATATAAAAGGCGACTGAGAAATGTTGAAGGACCTATACACTTCATTGAATGCTCTCGCGATTTGTGGCAAGCCACATGGGCGAGAGTTTACAAAAAACATCTGGCGATCTGGGGTTTGTCTCCCTTCACCAAAGATTGGCTTTGATATATAACCATGTACGAATATTTTATTTAAATTTTCAGGGTGCTCTTGATGCAAGGCTCTTGAGCATACACTCGGTTGGAATTCCAGTTCCAGATCAAGTGGTATCAGAGCAAGGAGTGTCTTTGCACCATAGACGTTGGCAATATTCTCTTTGGTCGTTGGGTTAGATTTTGTGGCAAATACCACTACGCTTTTCCCTTTTGGCATCAGATTTTTGACACTGAAACGGACTCCAGTACTTATGCATGCGTAAGCATGCAAGAGACCCAGAACTTTGCCATATTCCCTCTTAATATTCTTTTCCAGTGTTCGCCGTCGAACAGGAAGCCGTTCAAAAAGTCCTTCGATTGAGACAGTAGTGCCTTTCTGGCCAGCAACTACCTGGGTGCTTTTTAGTTTACCAGAAATCTCAAATTCTAACCGTCTAGCTTTCGGTGCTTGGGTTGCCTGAGCAGTAACGATATGGAGCCGAGAAAGGCCGCAAAGCGAAGAGAGAGCTTCGCCACGAAATCCGAATGTTTCGAGGGAGGATAGGTCTTCGAAGGTAGAGAGCTTGGAGGTGTAATGTTTCAAAGCTGCACGAAGTCAGAAATATCTCTTAATGACAACTACTTTGTCAGTTCATACCGATATTTTCGTAGTCTTTGGGTGAAATCCCATCGCCGTTATCCTGAACTTCAATGAGATCCAAACCATTATTCTTAAATCGAATGTCTAAGATGCATCGCGGTCAGAAGATTAACAATAAAAAAAAAAAAAAAAAACGGCGAGGAGCCTATACCGATGGATGAAGAACCTGCATCTAAACTATTCTCGACCAATTCCTTAACCACGGAGCAAAGGTCGACGATTACCTGTCCAGACTGGATTTGGTGGACCTAAAATTAATCATCAGTATACATATAGACAACAGGAAAGCCCACTGCAATATAAACTAACTGAACGGGCCTCGATGGCCTTTATTGTCGCCATGTTCATCCCATGGCGAGGTTTTATGCACTGTTGCGTTGGGTTAACTATGCTGATGGTTGGCGTCGCGTCAGATGAACGCGTTAACTAACTCCTCCGTAGTTAATTTAATTTCAGCTGATCAGCCCCAACCTAACTATCCGATAGTTAACTATCTAACTAGCTAACCAGCTACTCCGTACAGTATGGAGTAACAACTAGTTAGTTAACCAGTTAACTAACTACGGAGTACGGAGTACGATTAACTCAAAGGTCTGACTTTGACGTCACCAGCTGTACGAAGTAACTAGAGTACTCCGTGCGGAGTACGGAGTATGGACTTCACAACTATCTTCCCTCTACGACGAACGCACGATAATCCATACTCCGGAATACTCATTTTATTCGTATCTTATGTGCAACTTGAGGTATCATAACTAATACAAATTTACAGTTCCCCCAGCCAAAACGCCGAAACAAGGGCTCAAACAACATCCCATCACAAACCATCAGAACCACCATACAACTCGGATGTCTGAGGCATCAAAAACCCAAATCAATTATCAAATCTGTCTGGCATCAAAACTGGGGCAACAAGAGTCCACAGGTAAATTACATAGCAAACCCAAGAACTGATAATCTTTACCCAAGTAGCCCAATAGGTTCGACCAACCGGCGCTAGGTCATCTTTTGCGTCGGGGTCAAGATTTTGGGTAAGCAATGTAGCAACCCACATGGTTGCCAACAAAAAGATGACATGGAACAGCGAGTAATTGTATTGAGTAGAGTTTCGCTCGTCGTCCTTTGAATCACCGTCGTCTGACTCATCGTCGCTATCATCTAGGGCACTTGCAGGGAGGCTTCCACTCTCAACTGCAGCTCGCAAGGCTTCTGCTCGCATCTCTCGACGGGAACGGCCAGGTTGCTGTGTCACCAAGCCATGCTCCATTTCGTCTTGCTCAAGGCGAGAGTAATTGCTGTGCGCGCCGTTCGACCCGAGTGCAATACCCTGAGTCGCGGCACGGGTGGTTGTATATGCAATAGTCAACATGGTAACGATAGCCCCTAGGACGATTGAAGCGGAGCGAGTACTGCGCGCTCTAATCAGGGGATTGCACTGTTTATCGTCCGGTTCCATAGAGACTGCAGACATAGTCAAGTAGGTGCAGTAAACAGTAACCATAGCCGCTTGGGCTAAACCGGCGCGAGGGTTTGCAGCCTGTACGGCGGGCTGCACAGAAACCACTGACATGACCAGGAACACCACCAAATTGATCTAAAGGAGGTATATAAATGAGCATCGAATAACGCGAGTTTATAAAGGAAGTGCTTACGGATATGGCAACTTGGTTCATCGTGCAGTTTCCTCGAGCGAAGAAGATATACATGATGATGGTCATCGCGAATGAGGCGATATACATTCCCACGGTAGAGCCGATCAACAGAACCTGCCAAACCCGCGAGCGACCATCTTCTATCTTCTCCAAGCATAATTCTGCCCAAGTGTGCGCAAGGTCGACAAGGAGAATAAGGCCGAGAAGGAGGAAGAGAATGGCACCAACAAAGGCAAAATAACTTCCCCAAACGAAGAAAAAGCTCTCCGGGATGAAGAAAGAAAGTACTATAAGGGCTGCCCAGGCTATAATTTTAGGGCCCCAATAGCCATTTTGTATACCCGCCCGTTGGTCCTTCGACGAGCGCACTCCAAGTAATAATCCAGCGAGGATAATATGGAACAGGCCAAGGGCGAAGTTGATACGATGAACGGCAACCCAACCATGGCATTTTTCACCATCGCAGCTAATAGGTAGGAAGTCAAATGTGAGGTGTTCGAGTTTATTCAGCGCCCACCGAGTGAGCATAATCCACGAAAGGATAGAGTTGATTAGGAGAATAAAGGCGTAGGCGATTCTCGTAGCCATACTGTCTGAGGTCAGTGCTTAATCTTTATCCAACAGACAGAGAAATATACCTGCTTTGAAACTTCCCACAGGTCCTGCAGAGTGCCGAACAAGTTGCAGCTCCGCAGCATGATGCCAGGCATCCAACAACCTGGGATGGTTAGTGAACGTTGGTTTGGGGCTCGCAGACAATTTTCTCACCGTTCCGATGCTGGGAACTGCCATCAAAGGCAGAGAGAGTAGAGCACCCATGATGAGTCCCTATGTAGTCGTACTTTCAATATTATAGGTTAGTAATAGTTCCCTTGCGAGTTCCATCTCACGGGTCTGCAGTTGATGCGAGCGGCGGAATTACGTAATCTCCGGAGTAACATGACACATCTTGGCGGTGTTATGAGGAGTTGCCGATTAGTCAGTAGTTAATTAACTACTCCGTAGTTACTCCGTACTCCGTAGTGATACGGAGTACGGAGTAAGTCAGTTTGCTAACCGTTGGCGAAATCGTGATTGTTACTGAATTCGCGCCAGCAACAGGTTGATATGCATGATTGCTGCACAGTATACCCTCCTGACAGGATTTTGAATATTTTTATACTTTAAGAGCCATCTACATCGTGACGCTTGCATCACTGATCGTTCCCCTACGCCAGGTTTCGGGGTTCTTGATCTCAAGACCTCACAACTTTAATATCATCCCATGGGCCTGGAGGAAAACTTGAAATAGCTCCCTGTACGGAGTACCTAATCCCACATATCGCGACCAATGGCTCCTCCGGTGACAACCACCGAGCGGTTACTCACCGTGGTTGCGGCCACAACTATCGCTCTCGCGAGCGGAACCAATGTATCTATTTTCCCCGGCTTTCATTCCGACCGTTGATCTAGGTTGACATGTAGTCAGTATGCCTACTCGGCATGGTCACCCCAGTTCATGGATCGCATGAAGCTGTCGTCAACAGAAAGTAACTTGATTGTAAGTATTTCCTCGTCTCATCCTCAGCGTATACTAAAACAAACAGGGTACCGCCGGTAATTTGGGAACTTATGCTAGCGGCATTCCAATTGGCTTTCTTGTTGACTCAAAGGGGCCGTGGCCCGCGACCTTGATTGGAACTGTAGCGTTGTTTGTTGGGTATTTTCCTATCCATCGAGGTTAACGCTCCCACCAGGTGGTTCCTTGGCCAAAATACATAAAACTAACATTCACACAGCGTATGCTTCCGGACCTGGCTCAATAAGTGTGCCTCTCCTATGCCTTTTCTCATTTCTTACTGGTATGGGGAGCTGTTCTGCCTTCTTTGCATCTATTAAAACAGGTTCGTTGGGGCTCGCATTCGTGTCTATTAGACATCTGGCACTGACACTCTCGTAGCCGCGTCCAATTTTCCAAATCACCGAGGTTCGGCTACTGCGTTTCCACTTGCAGCATACGGATTGAGCGCCTTTTTCTTTTCAACCATAGCAGCCTTTGCATTTCATGATGACACATCCCTATTTTTACTTGTTCTTGCTGTTGGGACCTCATCATTAATATTTGTTTCATCCTTTTTTATTCGTGTCCTTCCATACTCATCTGCATATTCCTTGGTATCTGAAAATGAGTCGGAGAGCATCTCTCAATCAAGCCAGCTGCATAGAACAAGGTCAACGGAGACACACCGCGCCCCTGAGCCAAGAGAGCAAGTTGTAGACGGTAATGATACGACAACATCGCCAGTGCAGCGCCGCGACGAATTCACCATTCCGAACGCTGAGATTGAGGAGACCTCTTCATTGATGGCACGGTCATCTACGAACTCTCCAGACTCCCTGTACGATGAAGAAACAAGGTTACATGAAACCGGCGACTCGCTGTATGCCGATTTACGCGGAATTTACATGTTGCTTACAGTCGAATTTTGGCAACTATTTACGATGCTTGGCGTCTTAACTGGAATTGGCTTAATGACAATAAAGTAGGGATGCACTCTTACCAGTAGTTTCCCTCACCTGCTAATATTATTTTCTAGTAACATTGGTTATGATGTAAGCTTTGGCTTTATCGCACGGTTTTAGTTTTGCATGCTCCTAATGATTAAAATAGGCTAAGGCTCTATGGACTTACTATGATCGCAACGTGACTTCAGGGTTCCTTCAGAAGCAGCAGGCGATTCATGTTTCCACACTCTCCGTGCTTAGCTGTGTTGGACGCCTTTTGAGCGGTATTATTCAGCGTCACCATATTCTTTTCAGAAATGTTCGACTAACCTCTCGCCCAGGCATCGGCTCTGACCTTCTCGTCAAACAACTCCAAATGTCCCGAATATGGTGTCTTTTCATATCTTCACTATGTTTTTGCAGTGCACAATTTGCTGCTACCCGGATTTCTGATCCACATCAGCTTCTTTTCGTTTCCGGAATGACTGGTTTGGCGTATGGAATGTTGTTTGGTGTGTTCCCCTCCATCGTTGCTCACACCTTTGGTATTGGGGGCATATCACAAAACTGGGGTGTCATGACACTTGCGGCTGTGATTGGTGGGAATATCTTTAATCTCATCTATGGATTCATTTTCGACCGCAACTCCTACATTTCACCAGATGGCGATCGAGACTGCAGAGAAGGTCTACGATGCTATCGTGCAGCATACTGGGTGACCTTTTCTGCAGGACTTCTGGGAACGGTGATCGCGCTGTGGAGTATTTGGCATGAAAGATCCATTGTCATGCAAATGAAGACCGGGAAGAAGAGCCGTTTACGTGCCAGCCAACCGGTCACACGCTGATTTGAGTTCGCTTTTAAGCTATAGAAGATGCATTTTCAGGAGTATATTTATATTAAGGGAGTTAGGTAATAATTCATTTCGGTCGATTCCTTATTATCCTAAACAATGAAACTATCGGGCAACGGTCACCATACCATTCTGGTTCATATTGTTAAACACAAAATATAGTAATACATGATGGAATGGTAAGGAAGTTAGCTAGACAAACCCGTACGTATATCGCGCGAACGGCAAAGTCGTCGATGTTCCAGTACAAGCCGCCGCAAAGGCCAGCTTAGATCAAGAGGCTCCTTTCGGAATTCAGATATTTTGTAAATCAAATAAAAGAAGCGACAGAAACCCATCCACAGGCCCGAGTTAAAAGTACAAAGGAGTGAGATTCCCGAACAGAGATTGGAGGACAGAACACTACAAGGAGGAGAAGCCCAAAGTTGAAGATGAGGTCGGTATCAATAGCGAGATAAATACCAGAGTCCAAGTACGCCGTGATAGTAGAGAGTGAACAGATTAACATGCAGATTAGAAAAATACAATTGGTCAGATTAGGAATTACAAGCGGGTATTTTGAGCAGCCCAGTGCTTCGGGAGAAAAAAGAAGAAAAACGAGGGTTTCAAGTGGTAAGGAGAAAGGTCAGTGTATGCCATGAAGGGAAGGGATTTTGGTGAGCTATGGTTTTTGGTTCCGGGACGTCTAATTAGGTTTATAGATGCTATGAAGACTCGACGGGTGTGTCTGAAGGAAATGACATGCCATCTGAAAGGCGTCGTCGTTTTGTTTGTGGTTCGGTTGAGTCAGGTGCAAGCTGAAATTGTTTATATCCATCCAGCAAACGTTCTAATTTGCTAACTTTGTGGATTAAATCTGATTCTCGCTTTGCGGCATCTTCCAGAGCTCGCCGGAGCTCCAACTCAGAATCGCTAGCATTGCTGCCAGACCTCCTAGAGGCTTCTTCACTCTGCTCTAATTGGGTGACTCTTCCGCGGAAGAGTTCGTTGATGACTTCCAGTTCGCTAACTCGAGTTTTTAACGCGGTATTCGCAGCCAGCAACCCTTCGTATGTCTGCGTCATATCTATATGACGATCACTGGATGACGTGCTTGACCCAGGAGAGGGCTGCTGTAACTGTATAACAGAAAGACCTGAATTCGAGGTGTTTATCCCGTGATCTGATAATGTGACACTATCAAACACATTCTGGGGGGCGATATTGCTGTTGTGGACAAAATTAGGAGTATCGGTTCGAGAGACAGGTGATTTCGAGCGATCAGACGGTGGGGAGGACCGCTGGCCACGAGGAAATCCATAGGTTCCATTCGATATTGTTCCGTCCGGTTTTGATTGGGGAAAAGTATTTGCTTCGGCGGCAGACTACAAGCAATCAGCTCCAGTTAGACATCGGGGGTTAGGAGATGTAGGAGAAGTTAAGCTACCTTGCGCTTTGAGCCTTGACCAGATGTCTTGACCCTGTTGCGGCTTTTAATAACGTCGGTTTTCAGGTTTAAAGGCCGTGGGCGACCGTGGAGTTTGAGGAAAAGGCCACAGGCATTACATAGCACGGCACCCATTCCATCTCTTCGCCATAATGGGGTTTTAGATGTGCCGCAATTCTGGCAAACAGATTGGTACTGGGAGCCCTGATCGGCCACATTTGCAGTTAGCATGGTGGACGCGGCAATTGGGGGGACGCGAGGTGTGAACTGGGCGGATGATGGGACGATGGGATATTCGAGTGTCTGTTGATAAGGGAAACGGTTGACGGGATTCGGCAGTGATAAGGAGATGAAACGCTAATTGGAAGCCGCTAAACCCGATTGGGACGCCAGTCTGGTCGCGCGCAGACGAACGCGCCAGCTTCGAGATACACAAAAACACGCGAGGAAACCAGGATGCTCGACTGCATTCAGAGCAGATGGGCCCAATTGACTTACCGAGAGTGTTCCATGACCGCCAGATGTTGCAGTTGGGGATGGGGTGGCATAGTTAACGCTCTGGGTAGCGTTGTGGTTACTGCATGTGTTTGCGGCGGTGTCATACGGTCTGTGATAGCAAAAAAATACAAGGCTGTCAGCTTAACCTCACCTAATGCCATGTTATAGGTATCCCAGCGAATCCATGGATCTACCTGAGCCCGGGCACATGAACACGGAGTACTGACCGGAGGTATGGCGTCGGCGCCGACGCAGCAGAAGCTAGGGTAGAGAGGCCGGTATTGTGAGAAGAATCTCTTGAACCCAAAGAACCTGTATTGGAAATATTCTGGCCGGCAGGATAGGTAGTCGAACTCTCATTGCCATCAGTCGTGGTTGATATTTCCATTGACGGCAAAGGGGCGGAGGCCACGCGCTCTCCGTCTTGCGAAGAAGGGAACGCAAGGATATCGGTCTGATGCGACCCGGTCCCGAGCCCAGGGCTGACTGCAGAAGAACCGAGCGCGAGAGATGCTACGGCAGATGTCATTTTCGAAGGATCGGGCCGGCGATGCAAAGGGAGATTAAGATGAGAGTGAAAATAAGCGATCTACTCCGTTAGAATAGTAGTACAAGAACGAAAAATAAAAAAAATGGATTTAAGTATGAAAAACCAGGGATATTATATATTTTAATTGCTGGTATTTGGAGAGCTCAATGGTTGTTACGAGTTTCTGGTACGGAGTACTAGTTAGTTAATAGGTAACTACTCCGTACTCCGCAACTAGTCAAATTATCGGTGATGATAACTACGCCAAGGCGGCTACCAACAAACTATAGCTGGGCTTTGTTCTCTATACAACAAAGTAGAGTGTTGAACGACGCGGTCCAAGGCATCTTACTTTTAGAACCAAAGGGGTAGAACGGAAAGATCTGCTGTGTGTTAGCATTGGCGATTTCAGTACCGCCTGGAATCGAATTCTATAGAATACCGAATTAATTCTATTAACAACCCAGCATGTTCTTGGCGCTAGGTTGGCTACCTGTAAAAGGTTCGAGATATTTCGATGGCAGTATGGAGTGCTACCGCTAGATTACAACATCCCGCCCGTGTCATACTTGAACATGGTTTGAAGGGTATGAACGGTCTCCTGTCCATCGCAAAAAATGCTGTACTATTGCCATGTCCCTAATCTCAGTTGCTTGCTCGCTCCATCAGTGTTTTCAACATTGTCGCCCAGTTTTCCTTCTCCGTGGTAGTTGCTAGCTGCTAGACATAAAAGTGTGGTTTTTTAGGGCGTACGGCTGCCACGAGATTACGAGAAGACGGCTTAAATCTACAAAGCAAGCATTGACAGACTAAAACGCCGTGGCTGATGAATAGTTATACAATATAAATATATTGACCAAATTGAGCTAGGGGCATTGCGTGAAGAGTAGAAATAAACTGGAGGAGAAATCAAGCTGCAGGTAAAAAGTGCCTAGGCTAGCCTGACGATGATAGTCCTATACAACAGAGTTGGGATCGAAACTTTACTAGTAAATCTTCCCTTACGGTAGAGTAAGTGTTCCATGGCAGAGTGCTAATGAGTATGGAAGTTACGTTGGAACCAATGGGACGGGGGAGGGCTATCATCCGAGCATACGATAGCCCGAAGTGTGCATAGAGGCCTGAACAACGGTGGTAGCTAATGGGTAAGAACAATTCAACAAAGTATATAATTGATTTGGTGACCTCAGGCATGGAGTCTTTTGAGGCAGAGCCGGGGAAGGATGTAACATCCGGTCTGCTGCTGGCTTGCCCCCGCTGGTAGGAGTGGATGTGAAACTTTTTGTTGCTCGATTTCATTTTCTTTCCTTTCTTTTTGTTTTGTTTGTCGTTATCCTCTTCCTTTTCTGCTGCTGCACTTATTAGGGAAGCGCTACTGTTGCGAGCTCATATAAATGTCCCAAAATTTTCGGCTTCCAAAGCGAATCATATCAGATATGTGGGTACTGGCCCATAAAACAAATAAAGCGCATAAAATGTATAGCATCCGAGCATCCACACTATTGTCATTTGCAGGCAACAATTAAGTTGGGATGTCGTCAACGGGTATGAAACTGCCGATCACGCTGTGCTTACGTAAGGCCGCCAGACGTAGCATCGCTCGAGCCAGGTAGGTAGTTGTTCTTCCTCACCCTTAATGGCAAAACGGCCGCCGGTCTGATTTCCGATTGCTCCGCTAGAGTGCCTGAATGGTGATAGCAGACGCCCCTCTTCTAATTAATTCATCGAAAGCGCGAGAATGCGCTGAACGCGCCAGGCTCTTCGCCCCCAACAGATACCTCCTTTCCGTCTTTATTTGAGCTCCGACCCTTCCGGTACCAGGTCGCCCGCTTTTCGCTTCATACACGATGCCCCCTTCAAAGAATCGGCCGGCTACGTCGGGTTATGCCCGCCTCTCCCAGGCAGATGAGGACCGGGAATATGAGTACGAATCCGACGAAGATCCATACAATGCTCCTCCGACGTTATCGTCCTCCGTCCCTCGCTACGCTCCAATCCGCCCAGCAGGCCAGGCGCAATCGCCTAGACAAGCATCGCCTGGTCATCACAATAGAAGACCCTACTATGGAAAAGCTCGGAGAGGTCGCACGGACTCTTCCGGTGTAGATATTAAGGCCATTAATATGAGATTGGAAAAATGGGCCGAAGAAATCGCGTCCAAGTTCAAGATCAACCGAGTTAGGGGAAAGACGAATGAGGAAGAGCAATTAGAAATTCACCATACCGTATTCCAAGCTCCAGAGGGCATTCGACCGGTAACCGCTGCTTCTCTTGAGGCAGACCCCCCCGAGACCGGACGAATGACCGAAGCGGAGTTCGACGAGATCGTAGAAAGCGTTCAGGTCGCAATAGAGCTCGGAGTGCATCCAAAAATGATCTCTCAAGGCAGCTCTGGGAGCTACTTCGCAAGAAACAGTGAAGGAAAGGTGGTAGGAGTATTCAAACCAAAAGACGAGGAACCATACGCATCCCGAAATCCCAAATGGACCAAATGGATACATCGAAATCTATTTCCTTGTTTCTTCGGCCGCGCCTGCCTTATCCCAAACTTGTCATATGTCTCTGAGGCCGCAGCTTATGTACTCGATACACGATTAAAAACTAACCTTGTTCCTTACACTGATATTGTACGGCTGTCTTCTAAATCTTTCTATTACGATTTTTGGGATCGAAGACGTGCATGGAGAGGTAAAAAGCAATTACCAGCTAAACAAGGCAGTTTCCAAGTTTTTTTGAAAGGGTTTAAGGATGCAAATATATTTTTACGCGAGCACCCATGGCCGGACCAAGCCAATACAGGGTTTCACCCAGAGGATGCACCCCGAAGAAAGAAACGACCCTGGAATGAGGCCTGTCAGCCATCTGGAATCCATTCGGATGATGAGGATGACTATCGGAGTGCTCGCGTGGCTACGCCTCCCCAGGACGACAGGCAGCGCAAGTTTCAATGGACAGAAAACTTACAACAGTCATTTAGAGAAGAGCTTGAAAAATTGGTCATATTAGATTATATAATGCGAAATACGGACCGAGGACTTGATAATTGGATGGTTAGGGTGGATTGGAATACCGAGGAAGTCTCCATCATGTCGGAGCCGCCAAAGATGAATGGAGTGAATCACCTCGAGGCTGAAGAAGAGCAGATGCCTCCTGTCCGACCGGTATCTGTCAATTCAGCGCGCACGAGCTCTCCTATGTACCCTTACAGGCGGCACGAGGTCATGGCAGCCATAAGTCGATCTGGAACACCACTGAATGCAATGGAACTTTCTAATGCCACAATATCCATCGGAGCCATTGATAATAGTTTATCTTGGCCCTGGAAGCACCCTGATGCCGTAAGTTTCTCTTGGTATTATTCTGCTGCCCGCTGCTAACAGTCATACAGTGGCGTAGTTTTCCTTTTGGCTGGCTCTTTCTCCCGGTTTCTCTCATTGGCCAGCCGTTTTCGAAGAAAACTCGAGACCATTTCTTACCCCTTCTCACATCGACAGCCTGGTGGAGCGGCACGCAAACGGCACTTCGGCGTGTCTTCAGCCAAGATTCGGATTTCAAAGAGAGCATGTTCGCAAGACAGATTGCTGTTATGAAAGGACAAGCTTGGAATGTCGTGGAGACATTAAAGCAACCCGACCATGGCCCCTTAGAGTTAACTCGTAGAACAAGAGTTTGCGTCTGGGACGATTTGGTGGACATCCCTGTTGCGATTCCTCTACGTGTGCCCTCTTCAGAGGTGCAACGACGAGCCGCGCGTGTGCGGCAGGAGTCACAGGAAGAAATGGACATCAGCACCGCTATGGCATCACCGCGTCCCCATCCTGATCTATTGAGTTTTGGTTCTCCAACTCACGAACTCCCTAATCCCAACCGATTTGAGCTCTCAAGAGACACGACGTCCTTCGAGTCTGGCCCCGCGCGAGAGCGAAGCACCAGCCCAATCTCTTTTAGCCAGGTGAACTATGGCAACCCGGACAGCCTTGGTGAGCGTGGCCGAGAACTTGCAAGCAGCTGGGCGGTGCCAGGCCCCCGATCGTACGGACGCCAGCGATTTGGCAAGCATAAGAAGGGTGTATCTCTATCGCAACATCGGAATAGTACTGTTGCCTTTGGCGGTGATGATCTAGAAGGGGATCTTGGCTATGCGGCAGCAGAGGAGATGGATGGCCACGAGCGGAAAGTCATTGTTGAGCGGCTCGAGGCTGTGAAAAGCAAGAATCCGGTGTTTACATGGTGCTGATTTTCTCTCTACCCTCTACCTACTTTCTCAGCGCTGCATTACTGCCTTCTTCTCTACCTTTGGCTATGATAATGTTTAATATTTGACCGTTATGTGTTTCTGATACCTTTAGGCGGCATTCATTCGAACTTCTGTATGAACTATTTTGAATAGCATGAGGCATACGGAGTTTATTGTGTGTGATTAGAGACATTGATATTTGAGCAAGTGTGGTAGACTCATTTCACTCTTTCATGACGTGTTGGGATTCGATAGTTCCTATGTACATAGTTTGCTTCTCACTTCCACCTGTTAAGCTCCCCTCGGCCAAAGCTTATTGCCACCTGCGGTTCTTCATTCATCGCGTACTTGAGTTCTGCCTCAGCCAGGGTTCTTTTCTTCATGTAGTTTTTTTGTGCCTCTTTCACTCATTATTCTCCTTCCCTCCATTATTGGTCTCGCTTCCTCCACGTCCTCCACGTTTTCTTATGTCCTCCATCCTTACAAGGACGCGCTTCTCGAGAATCGCCGAACTCCATCGCTAGACCGGGTACGTGCGTCGGGATGAGCGGTCCTTCAGCAGCGTTGCTGCTCGACCCCAAAGGTTTTAGAAGGCAGTCCGCAGCAAGTACTACTTACTTTCTATCACCTCATTCTGTAGTCATGATTCTGATTACTCCGACTCACAGCCCCTCAGTCCGGCAACGCTCCGAAGGATGGCACTGTATCCGGGGCTGACTCGAAACGGACGTTCAGTCAATTTCGTGAAGGACATTCCAGAATGATTGAAGATATCTACGGCGTCGAGAGGCGCGGCGTTGCTCCAATTAAAAAATTTAGGGCCAACGACGCAAGCAGCACGAATGCACAGAAGAGAGCAAACACCACACACACATCCCTTGGAGGATATATCATTAATGGGTCGTCAGACAATTCTACGCCTACGCCTGCTCCCCAAATTCCGAACACCATTGACCTTACTTTGGGTAACATACTCACCCCTTTTTTCCTCCTTTTACATTTACGGAACTTCGTTGACAAGTTGTCTAGATAACGAGGATGATGATGATGATGATGATGATGATGATGTAGTATTCGTTGCTAATCGTCCCCTGGGCGAGGAAGAGGTGTGTTATGGAAAAATTGAGGGTGCCACCGTTCTTGCCCATCAAGTACCCACCCCTCCAAGGGCCGTATTTGGCGATATGACCCACGACTGGCCATCTATCAAGTGTGAGCTAGTCAGGCAGCGTTCCCAGGATATAAGAATCGAGGTGAAAGATACTGCACAAAAAACATTTGGCCTCATCGATCCACAAACAGCCGCAGGACTAGCTCCCTTGCTTGATAACTCCATTGCCAGATTTCGTGCCCAAGCGCGCCTAGATGTTCGCAAAAGATTGTCCAATGAATGGCCCGGCCAATCGTGTCATAGTAGTTTTCATATCTCAGTCAATCTATATGGTCCTCGACGGCTCTCGGAGAGTACAGGCAGGTTCCTTGGTCAGAAAAACTTATGGCTAGGAGTGCCAAATACAGTTGATGCAGGACTAGCAGTATGCAATCCTCATACTAACAGGCATTCCGTTCAAAATACAAACCGCCTTTCTGTTCAATCAGAGACACGTACCGCTGAGGAGATTAATAGTGCAGTGACAAAAATGTTCGACCAGCTTAATACTCAAAATCTTCCAGAGATGGAGCCATCCAGTTTGGTGAAAACGCAACTGTTGCCACATCAGAAGCAAGCCCTATGGTACATGACAGAAAAAGAGCAACCGCGTCGTCTGGGTCCCAATGAGGGAGATAACAATTCGCTCTGGAGGCTGGAATCGCAAGGGCGAAAGGTCTACCGCGAGATTATTAGTGGCATTACCTCCGCTGAAGAGCCTCCTCAAGTCCTTGGCGGTTTACTGGCCGACGTAATGGGCTTAGGCAAGACCCTAAGCATTCTATCTTTGGTGTGTTCCTTATTACCGCAGTCGGTAGAGTGGGCTGCAACACATGTTTCAAATGAGCCGTTACGGGCAAAAACAACTTTATTACTGTCGCCACTTAGCGCCGTGGGAAACTGGGTGAGCCAGATCAAAGAGCATTTACATGAAAACGCCCTTTCCTACTACGTTTTCCATGGGCCATCTAGAACTGAAGATCCTACGGAACTGGTAAAATATGATATAGTCATCACCACTTACAGTACGGTTTTGAGTGATTTATCTTGTAAGAGCTCCAAGAGAAATGCAAGCCCCCTTTCCCAGTTGAATTTCTTTCGAATTGTATTGGACGAGGCACATGCTATACGAGAACAGTTTGCAGCCCAGAGCCAGGCAATATTCTCCTTGAACGCCCAACGTCGATGGTCCGTCACAGGGACTCCCATTCAAAACCGGCTTGAAGATCTAGGATCTGTTGCCAGGTTCTTAAGATTATACCCATATAATGAAAAAGGACGGTTCGCAGCACATATCATCTCTCCTTTCAAGTCCGAGAACCCAAACGCAATTACTACATTAAGGGTGTTTATAGATTCCTTTACACTGCGACGAGTCAAAGATCGAATTGATCTGCCGCCTCGTCATGATCATACTGTCCATCTCATGTTTACAGAAAGCGAAAAGGCTCTCCATGAGTTCTTTAGGAAGGAATCTAATGTCATGATGAATGTCATAGCTGGTCGGGCTAAAAATACCCTCGGTGGGAACATGTATCACCTTGTATTGAAAGCCATGATGGTTCTACGACAAATTAGTGCCCATGGCAAGGAGCTTCTCAACCAAGAGGACCGCGAAAGATTCAAAGGCCTGACAGCAAACGACGCTATTGACCTGGAGGAGTTTGAGATCAATGCTACCGACGCTGCTGAAAGGAAGGCTTACGAGATGCTTTCTTTGATGAAGGAATCTTCAGCAAATGTCTGCGTCAAATGCGGCGGTTTCATCACTCAGTTGGGTGATGAGAGCCCGACCGATAAAAATGCCATGGTTGCTTGCATTTTACCATGCTATGATCTGCTCTGTACAAGCTGCTTTTCTCAGTATAAAGGTGTTTTCGATGGCAACGTGGGAAAGTCTTTGCATCTCAAGTGCGTGTTCTGTAAGAACTTGATCCCACCCGCGTATACTGTCATTACTCCCTCTGGGTTTGAAAATTATCAGTCCACGCAGCTTGCAGCGAAACAGAATCGCAAACAGGTCAAGTCGCTGGGACAATATGAAGGACCTCACACTAAGACTAAAGCCTTGATGACCTATCTTCTCGGAAATATCGAAGAGAGCAATCTCGCACCGGACCAACCCCCAATCAAGAGTGTTGTATTCTCGTCATGGACGTCTCATCTTGACCTTATCGAGATTGCTCTGCAAGACAGTGGAATCACTGGCTTTACTCGGCTGGATGGCACAATGGTGCTTAAACAGCGCAATGCCGCACTCGATAAATTTCGCAGTGACAATAGCATCACGATCCTGCTGGCAACATTAGGAGCTGGCGGTGTTGGCTTGAATCTTACCTCCGCTTCACGAGTTTACGTCATGGAGCCGCAGTATAACCCTGCGGCAGTCGCCCAGGCAGTCGATCGAGTTCACCGACTGGGCCAGACGAGAGAAGTTACAACATTTCAGTTTATCATGAAAGACAGTATCGAGGAGAAGATTGCGGAATTGGCAAAGAAAAAGCAGACATTGGCTAATATTAGTTTGAACCGAGGAAAGATGGATCGAAGAGAGACGATGGAGGAGAGAATGAAGGAATATAGAGCTCTATTCAAATAAAGAGGGATAGGCTTCCAGCTTTTCGGATATTTTATTACCTTCAAGTAACGGGCGCAGGAAATATCATCATCATAGCGAATCGTTGGGATCCATACGGGAAAGGATGGGCCGGGAGTTTTAGGTCATGGATTTTACAGCTTTATGCCAGGTGATACCCAGAGACTTTTTTTGATTTTGCTTCTTGACCTAAATTAATTCGGCCTGCCTGGTTCGCAACGAATAGCATGGAGTTTGGGTGAGGGGTGTTTTTGGCAGCCGTATAGATAGTAATATACATAGCGATAGCAAGGGAGATGAAGTTTCATAAACTTTTTTTTTGGGAATCTAAGTATCGTCAAGTCTTCCAAACCAGCACCGTCGCAAATGACCCAGAAAATGCAGTGTATCAAAGACGTATTCACCCTTAATGTCCTTGAGCGTTGGAGATGCCTGTCCCACGACTCACCGCACCCAGCAAGCCGTCGACTTTCTCCGCCAACTTCTTCATTTCTCTCATCTTCACTCTCCGCTCCTCCTCAACTATTCTCAGCTCTTGCGCCAGCTGCTTGATCCGCTCTACCTGCTCCGCCTCTGTAGACTTGATCCCCGGCAGGACAGTGATCAGGTACTCGATCTGCTGTTCCTTGATGATCAGGTCTCGGGCCAGTTCGCGCTGGCGCATAAGAAATGTGTTTGGGGGGTCAGGAGGCGGTGAATTAGACGCATTTGTGGCAGCGGCGTCCGCAGGCTGGGCTCCACTGGGGGTGTTTACCGCGGTGGTAGATGCCGTGGGAGGCGGGTTCTTGGGGATCTTTTTGAGCGGAGCGGCGTTGGAGTCGTTGGGCGGCGGGAGAGCGGGCGAGTGGTCATGATAGGTTGTCAGGTAGGCAACTGTTGCGTAGAATTGCGTCGCGAGCTGGAGACACCGGTTAGCTGTGTTGTAACGGACAAGTTGTTGAGAATACGCGCCTGGTCCAGGCAGGTCTGAAGCTGGGTGAGGATGTCGGCCATAGAAAGCTGCGCAGCTCTGGAACTTTTCCAAGCCTCTCCGAGAGAAGCAGTGAACAGTAAGGCTTCTGAAGAAATGCAGGGAGGTGAGAGGAGGGTATGTATGTAGGTTGAATGATTCCTGAGCCTACGGAGTTCAGTTTCAAGACTCGACCCGAAAAGCTCCAATGCGGAGCCCGCTTCCTCTCATCGCCATCAACACCCATGAAACACTCGCAATACCTACGATGCGCGCTCACTCAGCTATATCGCTTGGCTCGAGAGCCGGTCCCGAGTCGCTTTCTCTCCCGCTGTAGCTCAACAGGCCGTTCGCCCTCTCTACCCATTCCTCCGCCCGCGCCAACTTCGCAGCACAATGATCTCCCGTCATTCCTCGCATACGCGACCCGAACCTCACTATCCCCCTCTAGCACAACCTACATCGGTACGCACTACGAGTATACCGTTCTCCAGGCCCTCCGCTCCTACGCCGTCGACCTGAGTCGCATTGGTGGCCGCGCGGACTCAGGAATCGACTTGGTGGGCACCTGGTCGTTACCGGCACACCCACACCCCTTGCGCGTCATTGTACAATGCAAGGCACTGCGCAACAAACTAGGCCCAAATATCATCCGTGAACTGGAGGGCACATTCGCCGGCGCACCGGTAGGGTGGAGAGGTGATGGAATCCTGGGCGTGCTAGTTAGTCCTCGAGAGGCGACGAAAGGGGTGAGAGATGCTCTGGCAAAGAGCAGATCTCCATTGATGTGGATTCTAGCAGATGCCGCAGATGGTGCTGTTCGACAGATTTTGTGGAATGGCAGGGCCAGCGAGGTGGGACTACAGGGCCTCGAAGTACGGGTAAAGCATAGGCTGGGGACAAATGCAGCGAAAAAAGAGATGGCATTGGCGTGGAATGGCATTGAGCTGAAGAGCCTTGGTAACCATGCCAGCGGAGATGATCCGTGAATGTGGTCATGTCTTTATACCAGCGACGTACCAATTTCACTTCACGCTGACCGCCCACTGCCTCCTTTCACGGCAAATTACTATTCCTTGTAGCTGGGCTGTGATACAGCTCTATCTACTTGGCGAATACGATTGGGAGCTCGTCTTTTGAATATCATTTTTTGCAAAACTGGTTTTGCAAAGAAGGCATCCGAACATGCCCCTTTAACTATAGAACTGCCGCAGTAGACTTCCAGACCACTAAGCGAATGGCAGCCAAACCATATGCTATAACTAGTGGTTAGTTATATAACTACATTTTAAATCAGTCCCTTGTCTAACAAAGAATAAAGCAACTTACTACCATCACTTTTTTCATCCCAAGTTTTAATTCTGGTCTATTTAAGAAAGGTGCCTTCGACCTGTTAAACAATATGTGTCTCATCGTCTTGTAAAACGCGGCTTGTCCTCCATCCAGCACTAGCTATGTAGTGCTCAAATCGACTGCAGTCATCCATCAGCAGAGCGATGGTGGGCAGTTGAGATCTTAGAGTTGCTTTCTCAGTTGGGAATAGGTCTTCCTCCCAAAAGGCACGAATGGATTGCAGTAATAGAGTCCCCAGTGGATCAATCATTCCAGCCTGGCATTGGCCATCCATTGTCCCCTCCACCTCGATCCGGCCAGCCGTCTGGGATTTTCGCATACGTAGGAAGTATATATCGTTTCTCACATCGTGCAATGGTGCAGTTCAATTTGCATACCCCAAACGTAATACAGTAGCATTCTCCTGCGGGAGGGCAATACACCGGCGGCATTCCCATAATAACTGCCACACATCAACAACAAGCCTAAAAGACGGTGATGATGCGAAGGAACAAGAAACATACTATGCCATGTATATTCCATTACTCTACCACTGATTGCATCTTCGAGGTTTGTTCTGGCGAGCCACCGGCGCATCCGCTCATAGTCTGATCTGCGCCGTGCTCGCACTCGTTCACGGGTAACGGCAAACTGTGACGAGCAAGTTACGCCAACGCTTCCCGGGACACTCATGTCAGGAAGTAAAGCTTTGAAGGCGGATTTATAAGCACGTTCAGCGGCCACCCGTGCTGGCACGCCATCCGGGCTTGGGTCAAGAGGATGCAACTCGGCCGGGCACCCGGGAACCCAAGTACATCGGAGAGGAGCATAGCCTACGCTTTGAACGTAAGGGAGACGAAGATTGCGGATCATCGGTACGCCGTCTAGTATTTGATTCAGTTCGCACGCTTACAAGACGGGGCAGCAGTCGTGAGGTACCATAGATAGGATCATCATTATGCCACTGGTATCGTCGCCCGTGGATAAAGACGATGAAGTCTGGGAGATTGTGATAATGGTCTATTATATATCTGTCATAGTGGGCTTCCTATCAGCAAGAACCAGGTGGAAACTAGCACTACGCCATACAGAGTCTGGCAACCAACCAGGCTCGAAGGTCAAGGCAACGTCCTCACGTTAAATAGACCATTGATTCTCTCCCTTTATTCACCGGTACCCTGAAATGGGCGTGGGAATCGTCGGCAATGTATATGTTCGCATGCCATCCCGGTAGATGCTCCTGCACCCACGATGTATTGTCCGACTTCAGGCTGGCTACAACAAGCTGCTTCGCGGCGGGTGCTATGACACGGGGGTTGCTCGAGGAGCGTATGATAGTGTATAGAAAGAGAAAAGCGGAAAGGACAAGCAGTAGCCGGACACTAGAACGGTAAATCCGGCGCATAGTGGCATCTGTGCAGAGGGCGACTGGAGGTCCAGCACTCTGAAGGCTTAGTTAACTAGATAACTTGCTTAACGCTAGTTCTTGGCACGCAACCATTCCCAGCACCGCTTCTAGATCAGTTGGCGTGGTTGGATGATGACGCTAAATCCGACAAAAAAGCTGGGCCAGCCCGCACTCCGTCAACCACACACACTCGCCAGCAACGAGACTCCACACAACAATGCACTTCACGGAAGACGAAGCAGTGGATGTGAAATCATGGGTGGTGAGGCGGCTGGAGGATATGTAAGCTCTCACTCCTGCTACACCCGATGCAAGCAGTCAGTCAACCAGTTAACTAACTACCACGCGCCGCGACCAGCTCCGATGCAGATTCAGACGTTCTCGCCGACTACGTGCTGGCGCTGATCCGCTCCGACGCGCCTGATGAAGAGATTCGCCAGGCGTCGATTGATAACCTGGAGGATTTCTTAAAAGAGAGTACGTCCGCCCCGGGGAGTAGAGATGACAGTGCCCCGTTCGCTAAACGGTACTAATTCTGTTTACCACCCCCATAGACACTGTCAGCTTTGTGGATGAAATATTTAAGAAATACAATTCCAAGCCCAAGCAAGCGCCGTTGGATACTGTGTTATCAACGCCATCCCAGAACGTTCCGTTCTCTCAACCCTCATCTTCAATGCAAGATGCACAGTTCGTCACATCTGTGGCTGGAAATTCAGACTCTCCCGGCAAAAGCGCCGCCTCTCAAGAATTGGGATTGGATTTTGGTAGCAGGAAACGAAGCTTTAATGATGTATCTCAAGGGCCCGATGAAAGTGATTCGTACCACCGAAGCCACGACCGCCCCTTCAAGGCAATGCGTGGCAGACGCGGTGGTCGAGCTGACCGAATGGGAGGCGGATGGGACAATCGGCGAGCTGTGCCGGCTTCTCAGCCGCCGTTCCCACAGGGTCAACGCAACGGTTTTCCGAACGTCCAAGCTCCTCCGCCAGGATTCCCACCGTTTGATGCCAACAATCCCATGGCTACAATGCTTGCCTTACAGACCATGGGATTCCCGCAATTGCCCGACATGCCGCATCTCCCCCAAGTACCTGCGCAAGGTGGCGCCCCACCCGCCAAGCTGGCAGAACGGTGTACGAGCTACGATACTCAAGGCTTTTGCGTGCTAGGAAGCACCTGCCCCTATCAGCATGGCCCGGATCATTTAGTGGCCCCATCCAAGGACGATGGTGAGTCGTTTGATTTCTGTAGGAGCATGTGATGGATTACTTAATGGACTTATAGAGTATGACCCGACCAAATCGAATATCGTAACAGAACGACCGGCGTCTGCCAATGGAACAGCTGGCCACACTAGTTCTTCTCGTGGTATTGATAGAGGGAGACTTCGTGGTCGCGCCCGAGGCCGTGGGCGGGGTGATAGAGAAGGTTTTAATAGTCAGAAACGAGGTCGCGCCGAATTCTCACAGGTCGGCCCAAATGAGGATCAATCAATCACCACTATTGTTATTGAACAGATACCGGAAGACAAGTTTGATGAGCAAACGATCAGGGAGTTTTTCTCTGAGTTTGGCAATATCAGCGAAGTTACCTTGAAGCCTTATCGACATATTGCGCTTGTTAAGTACGATGACTTCACCGCAGCGAAGAGTGCATGGAGTAGCCCAAAGGTCATTTTTGATAACCGATTTGTTAAGGTATATTGGTACAAACCTGGAAACGACGAGACCAACGGCGGTACAGTGCCAGAAACACCGTTTGATCAAGAAGAATTCGAAAAGCAGCAAGCCGAAGCTCAAAAGTTGTACGAGGACAAGGCGAAGAAACGGAAGGAAACTGAAGAAGCCATGCAAGCTCTTGAAAAACAAAAAGAGCAGCTATTTAAGAGACAGCAGGAAGAAAAAGCAAAACTGATGGAAAGACTTGGGATTAAAACCACCAACAATGCTGAAAATGGGGAAGAAGTGGCATTAAATGAGAATCAACTTGAGGGAGTGGATGCGTCGGCATTAAAAAGTAATGAGAGCGAGAAGACAAAACAGCTTCGTGCACAGCTGGCAGCTTTAGAGGTTGAGGCTCAGAGCCTTGGCCTTGATCCGAATGCGTCTTCGGAATTTTCTCGGGGACGTGGACGCGGCTGGGCAGGCTATCGTAGCCGTGGAGGGTTTGCACCGCGAGGTCGTGGATATGACCCGTCTGCTAGTCGAGGTGGGTACCGTGGCAGGGGAAGCTTTCGTGGCCGCGGAGGAGTTATGCGGCTGGATAACAGGCCTAAACGAGTCGCAGTGTCTGGGGTGGAGTTTGATGCCAACCGTGATGAGGCATTAAGGCAGTATCTTCTGGTATGAATGATAATCGTCCTCTTTCCCGTTTGCATGTTGCGTGGCCTAATTATCTTCAGACAATCGGAGAATACGAGAATATTGAATCAAACCCAGACCGGTCCGACTCTCAGATTGTGACTTTCAAGGATCGGTACATAGCAGAACAGCTTATCTACGGATCTTCCAACATCCCGGGCGTTGGTCAAGTTGAAATGACGTGGGTCGCCAAGGTGCCGGTCTCCCTTTCCGCACAGCCAACAACCAAGCAGACCGATGGCGACACGGCTATGGATGGGGATGATTCTGAGCTTTTATCAATGAGGAAAGACACCGGCCACGACGTTGATTACGACGTTGCCGAAGTCGACGATTCGTGGTGAAAATGGAATTGGTTATTGCGCTGGCACTAACAACACTGCTATGCGTGAGCGTCCTTGTATAATACTTCGATCGCCTCCTATACGGGAGCATTATGCCACAAGTGAGGCTCCTTTAATCTCTTACGCTACTTAGGTGAAATCGAGGGCCAAGATCACGATTTTATTCTATGTACTTCAGCTGCACCCTGCTATCATCCCTCTTTTAAGCCTTGAATCTTCTAGAATCACGTTCCTCTTCTTCATCACGAGATGAGGCCGTAAGTGCCAGACCATACGCAGTATTCGTAATAAACGCTCGATGGCACTGCAAGTCCTTCCAGCTCTTCTATGTCGGCAACCAGAGAGATACACATTGACGCTGAGCCTGTAGTGATATTTTCTTTATTCCGGCAAAATTTGGAGGTTCAGGGGCAATGTAAAGGGATCTAGGTAGAGAAACATAGATGCTATGTAAGCACATCCATACATAACTTGGTGGGTATAAAATTAAGATGGTTACCCGCGAAAGATACTTTTTGCAGATGAACGAGGCTGTTTGACTTTTGTGCATCATCTCTTAGTGTGTCTGCCGTATGCTTCTTCTACATTCTAACACTCTGTTTGTTTAGGTTTCAGAAGTCATGGCTGTGTTGTAATCGATAATTGAAAGCGCCATGCTGCCCCCACCTAGTCTGAAGTTTCTTTGCTTATGTTGATAACCCTTCTTGGTACCGGCACTAATATCACAACAGGGTGGTATGGTCTAGTGGTATGACGTCGCGTTGTGGCCGCGCCAGCCTGGGTTCGATTCCCAGTACCGCCAAATATCTTTTTTCCTTTTTTTTTTTGACTGGAATCGGAGGTTTTGACTTGGGCTGCCTTTAGTGAAAAGGTATTACAAAATTTGAACGTCGCAGTGTTAAAAACCACCCGTACGGATTACTGCATGATTTGCCAAAAAAAAGTTCTGATGATAACCACTGTATTGAACATCTCGATTCTTTCAAATTAACAGCAACAAAATAGAGAAAACAGTGACTATCGACAATCTGAACTTCAAGGAAATACATAAGGGAAAAAGGCAAAAAATAACCATAAACCACCCCAGCTCCTGGTATTCTTTCTGCCCCGTCCATGGGTATTTGGAGGACCACCCAAGCGAGCAATCTGCCTTTTTGGTGCTTTGAAAACCCATGTCATACGAAAATCGAGACATCCCTGGCTCTTTTTTATCATGTCTTCGTTACCAGATGCAAATCCCAGATCATCGAACTCATAAAACGGACCATCAAAAATGAAATCCTCTTCAAGAGTCTAATCATCGCAACAAGCTTTTTACAATTTATCGTAATACTAAGAAAAAGGTCAGTACAGATTAAATTGCAGTGCCCTAAAAAGACATGCAAACTTACGTTCTCAACGCCAGGAACGACGTCCTTGATACCCTTGCGCTTACGCAGCTCTTGCACGACTTGACCTGGTTTCGTTGTTGGGTCAAGCGGGGAACCGCCGGGAAGAATCTGCCAGTGGTCAAACACGGACTGTGGGAAGGCTTGTCCACCAGTGGCGGAACGGAGGTCGGCAGAGAAACCGAAGGACTCGTTGACAGGCAAGTAAGCCTTGACAGTGAACAGAGGAGTTCCGGGTCTTTGCTCTTCAGCGAAAACGTGACCACGGCGGCGGGTAAGTACACCATAAATACCACCCATGGCTTGCTCGGGAACTTGAATCTCGACCAAGAAGACAGGCTCAAGCATTCCAGGTTCAGCCAAAAGGGTGGCAGCATAGATAACACGACGAGCAGTAGGAATGATCTGGCCACCGCCACGATGGATGGCATCAGCGTGAAGAGTGACATCCAAGATGTTGAAGCGAACGGATCTCATTGGCTCTTCGGCAATAGGACCATCTCTAGATGCCCATTGGAAACCGGACACAACGGAGTCCTTGATTTCATTGAGGTATTGAACAGCTTTAGTTTGATCGACAACCAAGTTAGCTCCATTAGTGTCAGGGCCGAAGCACCAAATCTTTCTTGCGTCAGTGACATCCCAGCCGAAATCATCAGCCAAGATGCGGGCGCGCGCCTTGAAATCATCACGAGGGCTGATCTTGCCAGACTCAATGGCCTTTGCAACATCTTCACCCAAGGGTTCGGCCTTGACATAGAGACGATTGTGCTTGTTTGGAGATTTGGACAAAGCGGTAATGCTGGACTCGGCACCAACAGTTTCTCGGTATGAGACGACTGGGTCAGAAACACGGAGAGGAACGCCAGCGTGATCTTCTTCAAGATCCTTCAAGCAAATTTCCAAATGCAATTCACCAGCACCAGCAATAACGTGTTCACCAGACTCAGAGATGTAAGTCAGCACGCAAGGATCCGATTTGGAGAGACGCTTGAGACCTTCAACGAGTTTGGGCAAGTCATTGGCGTTTTTGACTTCAACGGAGCGCTGAACAACAGGAGAGACGGAGAACTTCATGACCTTCAAGTTGTGGGCGGTTTCGCTGGTGGTGAGGGTACCAGATTTAAGCAAGAACTGGTCAACACCAACCAAGCCAACAATGTTACCAGCAGGAACATCCTCAATGGGCTCGATGAAACGGCCCATCATAAGAATAGTACGCTGGATTGCCTTGATGTGCAAATCTTCCTTTTTGCCAGGGGTGTAATTTGGGCCCTGAATACGGACCTTAAGACCAGAGCGGACGGTACCAGCAAAGACACGACCGAAGGCGTAGAAACGACCCTTATCAGAGGTCGGTACCATTTTGGAGACGTAAAGCATGAGAGGTGCCTTGGAATCACAGTCACGGATACCGATGCAAGCCTCATCGTCGGCGGGACCCTCATACAAAGTATCGGCACGGTACTTCTGAGCTGTGACAGGAGACGGAAGATGAAGAACCATCATTTCCATGAGAGCATCAGCAGCTGGAAGGAACTTCTTCATGATGATCTTAAGGAGGGGCTTGCCCTCCAATTCCTTCTCTTCACTAGACAACTTAATCTCAAGCTTCTCGAGGAGGTTTGCAATGTCATCCTTCTTTGAGTGAGTGATGGCATTGAAGATCTTGAAAATAGGATCAAGGATAAACTGGTTGAAAGCACGCTCGAGCTGCTTGCCTTCGTATTCTCCGTTCTTAGTCCACTTCTTGGTGGCGGGGTTGAAGTAGTTGTCACCCTGCAAGCATCATTAGTACAAAATCATCACTGGTTAGATTTTGGCTTGACTTACCCAAAGACGTTCCATCATCTTATTTCTGTCAACACCGAATTTCTTGGCATACTTGACAGCGAATTGTCGGACAGTGAAAGCCCATCCATGAAGACCGGATCCGAAAGCAACAGTACCTTTGTAAGGGTAGACTTGGACATCACCAAGGGCCGGGTCAAAGTAGGTGGCGATGATGACGTTGACGGACTCAACAGTACGCGAGAAGGATTGGTAAAGGTCCTCCTTCGAAACTTGAAGTTCAAGAAGAGCACGGTCAACTTTGTTAATGATACAAACAGGCTTAATACGTTCACTAAGAGCCTGACGCAAGACAGTCTCGGTTTGAACACAAACACCAGAAACACAGTCAACGACGACGAGAGCACCGTCGGTGACACGCAAAGCAGCAGTAACTTCAGAAGAGAAATCAACGTGGCCAGGCGAATCGATCAAGTTGATCAAAAATTCGTTGCCGTCGACCTTCTGTGGGATATCCTTGATATCGTCCGGGTCCGGCAGGTGGGCATAAAGGGAGATAGCAGTAGACTTGATGGTAATACATCTGTCCTGCTCATCTTGACGAGTATCTGTAAATCGCGCTTCACCAGCCTTAGCAGCAGAAATGATACCAGCTCTTTGAACCAAAGAATCGGTCAAAGTAGATTTTCCGTGATCGACTATGGTGGCGACGATTAGTGTGTGTTTCCAGCCTATACGTTCCCCTGGAATCGGCTATACATACCGTGAGCAATGACGGACATGTTACGGATATTGGAAGGACGATCCATCAGTTGACGGATCTAAATAAGACATTGTCAGCATGAGGTGTGTATGCTTCGAGTGTGTAACGCCAATAGCGGTACGTGTCCTTACATACCTCCTCGACCGTGAAGCTATACAACAGCAAGAGTTAGCAAAACGCTACATGTTTAAAACAGCGGGCAAGAACCAAGAAGTATCTTCGCAAGATGTAAGATCGAAAGATATGCAGCGACTTACTTGACCATCTTGACGGTGTTCTAAATTTTCAATGCCTTCGAGGCGGGGTTTGTTTTGTGGCCCAAAAAGAAAATATCAACTAAAAAGTAATCAGGATCGAGAAGAACCTCGACCTGATCAGATTTCTAGTTGAAGCAAAAGCCCTATAAAGTCAAAGATCAGCTCAGTGGGAGTTGACGACAGACTGAGGATGGCTCGGGGGGTGGAGGAGAAGAAGCGAAGTGGGAGAAGCGAGGGGTGGTGGGCGTTACTAATTGAGATTTTTTGCCGATTTCAAATCTTGCGTGGGTGGAGGGGTCACTAGTGTGCCCTGATTGGCGCAGCTGTGTTAGTCAGCAACACCTTACCTGCCGCCTCCCCCGCACTTATTTGTCTGGATGTACCTGCCGTGTACCCCTCGCTGGGACAGCACGCCAAATGGTACATTCTTTTGACTTGAGCGTATGGCTGGCTTCGCGTTGAGCATCTCAGTTGCTACAGAGTATATTGTTGACTTGCAATTGTCTTCTAATGAAGCCGATTGTTGACCTGGAGCAGACCTGAGCCGCATACTCCGTACCGCCAGCCAGAATAGTTGCTGTTCCCAACCCCAATATGCAGATTGAGTCAACTGCAAGCTAAATGCCTAAGCAACGAATGAGAGCTCTCCGAGCCTGATGCGCTCACCGCAACATCACCCAGAGAGTGGGCGGGCAGATCGTTAAGGAAAGCTACCCTAAACGGCTCCCCGGCTGACCCTAACCCTAATCACGACCAACCAACTCCGTACGAGGCTCAGCTTTCAAAAGATTTGGGATCGAAAAATACTTTTTTAACTCTTCAAATCTATGGTAACTATATAAATACACTGATGATATCCTGGAATAATAATAAATAGCGCCGATGACTAGACCCATGGACTCTGCAGCTCCCTCTTTTATGACCCCAAAATTTTAGAGTATGCATCTTCTACATCCTTTGCCACCTCCATTAACGTCACAATAATAATCTGATGCGTGATATTAGGGAGTTTATCCCTGTGTAATCCAATCCACTCCAGTGGTGGGGTCGCCTCGCCCATGTCTCGCAGCTGGGGCGTTTCAATCACTGGGGGTTCTAGCGCTGTGTATGTGTACTTTGATTGTGGGACGTTTACCACAGCAGTGATCTTTTCCTGGCCGCTGTACTTCCCGTCTTCGCCTTTAGGCTCTCCTGTAATTTGAACAGCTGCCTGAGGAAGGGGCTTGCCGAGCCGGTTTGCCAGTGCCCGTGAGTGTGTATCCCACATGCCTCGGATGAAGGCGATACGTGAATAATTCCAGCCAACATCAACCTTGCCTTCGAAGAAACTCTTGAAAATGTAATCAATATGATTTGATGCTGGGACTTGCCAGGTCTCCATGATGGCAACAAGTCGCGGTACTTTCAAGATCGTTCCGCCGCGTGAACCAGCCGCACGATGAGCGATATCAGTAGCCGAGAGCTCCTCAAGAACAATCTCGGTAGGACGGCTAACGTTGGAGAGAGCCACACGGAGTTGCCCAAGCGTTAGTCCCAAACCACTGTGTATCTTTCCTGCTTGAATGACCACGGAGAAGCGTGCCTCAGCATCTAGAGCTTCGAGTTTGAAAATTTGATTGTCTTGGAAAGTATTCGGAAATGCGCCAACTTTTATTTCTTGTAAATTTACAACCACGTTTGTTTGGAGAGATATGGGCATTTTCGCTTCATTCGACTCGTTGGTTACTGCTGCTAATTCAGGCTGTACATCTAAGGGAGATGAACCCACGGAGGACTTTCGTTGAATAAAAGCTTCGATCTCTTTAATCGAAGATTCGTACGCCGCTTGCTTATCTTGAACTAATCGCCGCAGAGTTTGGAAGAGACCCAAACCTTGGGAAGCCGTCAAAGTCGTGCAGAAGAGCTGGAATTTTCCTCCATCGAGGGTGCTCACCAGGCGATCATTGTGCAATTCTACTGTATCGCGAACGTTATACATTAGAAACTCAAAGGATGTGATGTCTGCCACCAAAAATGGCTGGTATTCAAAGGAGATCTTCGATTGTAACTGGTTAAACCCGATAGCAGCCTGGATGAGAGGAGTGTGGTATTCTAAATTGGACCCATGATCTATCCATTCAATAGACGTCCTAATTTTGAACTGAGAGAGTTTCACGAAACCGCTTAACCGCCCGGAACTTTGAACGTTGATGGCATCGAAACCAATGCAGAGGTTCTGCTCCCAATCAGAAGATTTCTTTGACGAAAGCCAGAGTTTTTTAATACTAAATTCTGACTTTCCTAGAGTCTGACCCAAGTCAAGCTGAACATCCAGCTGTTCAATAGAAATTGTAGAATTCCATGGGAACGATTCCGCTGACGCCATTTGTTGATATTGCTGTACTATGTAAGGTTGAGCCTCTGTAGGCGATGGCTTTGTCTTTTGTGGCTTAGATGGACGTTTATGTGGCGCCCATATCTCTTGAAACAAAAGGAAATCCTGTACTTGTTTGGCATTAATTCGAAGTCCTACGGGATTAACCTTAAGAATAGCCGAAATGCCATTGCTGGAGCTAACATGTTTGCTATTCATCATCGATACGACAATCGAATCGATATCAAAATTTGCCGTGGATTCACTCGAGTAAACATGCTTGATGGAAGCTTGCAGCTTATTAAAAGACATCAAGATCGCGAAAAATCGTCTCTGTTCCTCAGATTGCACGGTATTTATCGTAATATAGCTATCTTCGAAACGAGCGCTGGCAGCAACGCGAGCAATTGGTTGGCAGCTGAGGGTGAATTCCTGCTTGCAAATCCTAAGACCGATATTGAGTTTACAACGGCCAAGGATGGTCGTAGGGTCATTCGCTTCAATGGATTTTGCCTGGGCCCCCTTCTCACTAACTGGTGCATCAAGGGTTCCAGTAGTCTCATTTCCAGACTCTCCGACAACCTCAGTAATACTTGATGTAATTTCCGTAATAAGAGGTACTACAGTAGGATGGAGAACATTAGTGGACGCGGCAACTTTGATTTCCGCGTTTAGTGTTGGATCTTTTCCTTCAGCATCCTCAAATTGGACTTTGACGGCTACTCCAGGAGCTCGAAAAGTTGCGATAGATGCTGCATCGGACGCGAAGTATTGGCCATATTTGGCACCACTCTGTGGAACATTCGAATTTGAAGGGTCAATATGACCTTCAATACGGTGACCATCCCTGCTTTGTAAACTAACCTCAGCGCCAGCAAAATCCGCGTCAACCAGGAGCGACGATAGCTGGCCAATACCAGAGCCGCGGGATTTCGGCTTTTTCTCAGAGGGCACGCCTATATTCCATCGAGACTTGGCTTCTCGAACACGTTCGCTGGCTGAAGCTAACGAACGTTGAAGAATGCTTGCAGGAAGAATGAAATCGGACGTCATCCGAATATCCAAGACTTTTCCGGCGGCCTGGAAGGCGAGCCTACCTTGGTTACCAAGGGAGAGGTATGCAACGTCGAACACCACTTCTGGAAGAAGCGCAGAGTTTTGGGATCGTTTTCTCTTGTCTTTCGACATATGTACCATTTGGAGCTGCATTCCTTCAATACGAAGCCGTGCGGCACTTTGCCTACCGGTAACTATCTCGATTCTCTGGATAGAAAAAACAAGGTCTTCAGTCTCCTTTCCTTGAGGAATTTCGGTGCATGCCGACACCAGCCAGCTAAGTTGAATGTTGAGAAGATCGACGGAAAATATAGTGTTGAAAAGACCCTCCGATGGGCCGTCAACGCTGATTGCAGGAACAAGCGAGCCTTGAACTTTAGCCCGGGATCTGATGCGCCGCAATTTTCGCAGCTGTTTGATTTCCTCGGACACATCAAGCATTTTGAACCGTTCTTGAAGATGTGTGGCAATGTCGAGTATCACAGAGGCGGTCTCTGCGGATAAATCGACATGAAAGCATCTACTTGATAGATGATAATATCGCAAGGTCTCTCCCCTGTCATTTTTGCTAGACGTACCAGATAATTTGGCGCATAGCTTCAACTTTCCAAATGACTGGGTTTGGTCTTTTTCACGCTTTCTCACATCAAAAATCATCTGAGAAAGAATCACTTCTAGCTGGGGCAAATCAAGAAGCGAACCGTCAATGTTTGTGTTTTCAACATTAATCTGAACAACACCAAAGTTTAGGTCCATGTCAGCAAATGAGTTTTTAGATCCCAGACTAGGGGCACTAGAATGGATACTTAGACCTGCAAGAGTAAGTTGCAGTCTGTAGATGGGTGTTGGCTCCGTTGGACTGAAATCCACAGGAGCAGGGTCCGGTTGCCGCAGTAGATCGTCAATGTTTCTTTTCAAAATTTTTATATCATGTTGCAAATCAGACGTAAAATGAGATATTTCTGGCCCTCTAATGGTACCTAAAATATTCCTCACTGAATCGGCATCCACCTTGATAAGCTCAATGGTTGAATATATGTCAAACGCACTTCGGCTATTCGAGGTGAATTTTACAAGACGTCCATTGATTGGGGGAATGGCAAGGGATGAGATGATGCGTTCTCTGCCCTCCTTGTTAGACTGAAGAGTATGAGTATTGTTTTTGATATCAAAATCGATCTGAAACGAAGAAGTTGTTTTCGGGGAAAGGGATAACCTGACAACACCTCCAGACATCCAGTACGTAATAGACGGAAGTAATAAGAAGCGAAGCTCATAGTCATCCAAGAAAGCAGTCATATAGAATCGATGAACATCCGGTTTAGCAATTCTTTCTTTCGATTTACTTTTCGCATCAAGGTTTGTGACAATACCCAAGATACCTTTCACTTCGTCTTCCAGAAAGCGATCAGCAACCTGTATCAACCCGAGAGGATCTTCAATCATGTCATATTGTAGACTGCGGCATTTAGCGTGGCATTTCCATTCATGGATTTCATGAGAGTCCACTTTGGTGAAAGAATGGGACAGGAACGCATGTGAGTTAAAAAGTCTCCACAGCATAAGCCGTGTTGTTCTGCTTCTAAGCTCTGCAAACGCGGTTTCGGAGCCGAAAAGGATACTTAATTTTTCTTGTTGATTTACAGAGGTCTGCGTGAAGACAATAGAGCTCTTTAGGCCTTCTCCCAAATAAGACGCCGTTAAGTTAATGCTATCTAATATAGCAGACGCCTTATCGACCACTATAAGGACATGGAAATCTTTAGTTTCTTTCTTCTTGTTGGGTATGTTGGACGGGGCATCACAGCTGTTAGGCTGCAAGAAGATACTCATAAAATTATCCAAATTTTCCTCGAAAATTTTGATAAGCTCCCACCGTAACTTCAATATAGCATTAGAACAACGGTTTTCAACTGTAAGTAACCCTTTCGTAGGTAGGATGCCTTGTTGTGTATCAAATGTAACCTGGATCTGTGTCGATAGGTCTTCTAATAGAAGAAGTGCTTCGTTTGGGGGTGGATGTAGAAACAGCTGAGATGATCTCACAAAGACTGATATGTTTTGTAACATCTTGTCGGTAACTGGCTTTATTTTGCTTGGGCCCCAGATCATATTCATCACATGGCTCTTCTTAACATGAGCAAGATCCCAAGTTCTCCATTGATCAAAATTTGATAATACGACTGATTCACAATCTGCCGGGTAAGAGAAGTTATTGTCGATGCATTTCGACGTGAGTTGCTGTAATTGTTCTTGCGGTAGGCATTTATAGATATTGCGGAGTCTGGAAAGGATTTTCCAAGAGTCATGCACTCGCAAATGCTCTTCAGCCGCTCGTAGCACGTACGATGGCCTGGTCAGAAACTGAGGGTCAGGAGTCCTGGAGCCAAACTTGGTAAGGTGGTAAATCAGCGTATGCAGCCTTCTTCGGTGCGTTATAGTAGCCATGGAGTTAGAAATCGAACTGGTAAAAGCATCTAGACGTTGGAAGAAAGAGGCCAAACACTTAATATTTTCACTTGGAAAAAGCAGGTTAATATCCTGAATTTGTATACGTGCTGATATTGCCTTTTCAATCATTAACCAGAATAAAAATTCCTCGGTTTGGAAGGAAAGTATCATGTGCTCCCATGGGTCATTGAATAAACCTTTCACCACAACAGCTAGCGATATAGATTTGGCTGTGAAGTGCACGGTAAGCCCTTCTTGTTTTGGTTTCACATAGTCTTTTTCTGTTTTTGTTCTTCTACTGAACACCACCCGCATTCCGGACGCTTTTAAATCAAATTGATCCCGAGACATATCCATTCCTTGTCCCTCGGGTTGAGGAAATGTATTAATCAACCTGATTCGACAGATGGGCAATGTAAGGCCCAGATTCATGGATTCTTTCGGGCTTGTTAAACGTTTGGTATAGGTTAGAATATCTGAGACAACTGCTGCCTGTAGATCGTCTAGTACCTCAATGGGGTGAATGGGCTGAATGCTTTCTAGAAGCGAGGTTACTGCGAAAAGAGCTTCTGGCCGACAAAAGCCATGTATTCCAGATACAAAGCCAACGGAGAAAAATAGATGGTTAGTTTTGATGTCGTTGCCACTGAGGATCAAATCAGGAGTGTCGTTTTCAAATTTTTCATCTCTATCATGTACAACAAGAGGGGTTGGAGAGGGAAGATCGCCTCGATCTAGAGCAACTCTATGCAGAGGAAAATGCGGCATTGACCACAGGGTTAAGTTCGAACTATTAGATACCAATATTTTGCCTGTATTGTCTTTGGATATGGCATGGTATGCATCAGTAGAGCTCATTTGGCTCGCAGGGCGGTTTGAGCGAGCGTCAGAGTCTATACCCGTTGAGTTTGATCCTAAAAAACTGCTTCTGACCTGGCGCGTGGTATTGTTTTCTTCTTTGCTCACGTTCTCATATTTAGGTAAGTTGCATTTGTTAGGACCGACTGACATAGATGATAGGGAGGACCTCGAGGAGGTTAAATTGTCTCGGATAGGGGGCGGCATACGTGGGACTGGCATCGCCGCCATTCTATGCCCCTCGCTTATATTAAGTGGGCTACCCACCTGTTCTTCAGCTTCCCGTACAAGCCATGGAGTTCTCTGAGTGCGTTGGTCATGCACTCTAATATGATGTTGTTGAAGCGCTAGCTTTGTTGAGATATCTGCTTTACGTTCCACGACTTTCAGTTTGATAGAAGTTTCAAATATAGAATATGTCTTAACGGGGTGGGTCGGTCTAGTGTCTTGCTTTGTGGCTGAATTTTGGTCGATGACGGCAGCGGTGATATCTGGAATGGTTAAATTGAGGCGCATTGAAAAAGCCCTGCCTATCCAGTCATTGAGATCAATATCCACAGTTCCTGAGCTGAAAAGTAATGCAGCTGCATCCAATACCACCCAGACTTCGATAGAAGTAATCCTTGCACGCAAGAATATAATATCATGCAACACAAAAGGGTAGAGCGGGGGCAAAGAGTTTTCCTCGTCATCGATAGAATAAGCAAAAGATCTAAGTGCGGAAATGATGTTTTTCAAAAAGTTGGAAGAGAATTGTCCTACAATACGACCCACATCAAAGTCCCAGTTGCAAACGTAGGTCGGTTCGGCTGGTGGTAATCCGAATAGCCTGTGTCCGTATATATTCAATCCATCTATGAATAGGTCCGGCTCGGAGACTGAAGCACTAGGATTCAACATCTCCAGTGAAGCTGTCAAAGGGCTAAATGAAGCTTGAAGATCCATATAATAATTGGTAAACCTGACATCAGTTTCAAGGGTGGCAGCTTTAAAGGCCACGCAATTTAGTGTATCGTAAACGTTTCCAGGGAACAAAACCTTGTAGCTGTTTCCACGAATGTGTATAATAACATCGAGATCATTAGAATTAGTCGAGGTTATGGTGGGGTTGGCTTTGCTGTCTGAATTTGCAAGGTCTTGATACTCCTCAAGTGTTTTGAAGTGAACATGTTCACCAAAGTAATTTTCTTTGAGTTTAAGAAGGTCGTTCACGAGAAACCCATACATATATAAGCTAGCAGACGCCCCGAAAATGTCGAGAGTGAGAACATCTGTTAATGTAGAAGAAGAAAGGGTATTAAATGAATAGTTCCCAGTCATTACGAGGTTATCTAGGGAAGCTATAGAGGACTGTTGGATAAATGAGCGGTGGGTATTCCACAGGGGAGCTGAAAGCTCCACGGTGGTATGACTTAGATTGAGGTCGAATGGAATAGAATTCTGTTTTGGCCGGTAATTGACGGTTGGAATGCATACATTAGAAATTAAAGTCTCTGATTTGAAGATAAGGAAAGAGTTGTCATCAGTGTCGGTAGGGTCATTAATTATATTCGAATCGTTAACATTCAAAAAGAGTTTGGCATTGGCAGCCGAGAGACGAATATTATATTGAAATGGTAAAAAGGTGTAAAATTCGGAAAATGGCCCCGAAGTCCAGTCATTAACAAGGTCAGTAAATAGAAATATGTGTTCCCGGAGAACAAACAAGTCTAGGTCAGGGCTGTCGATGTCGAACGACCAGGTGCGCATGGTGTTCCATTCCAAGGGGTTAGATAAATCACAAGATATTTTATGGTAGGTAGCCTGCCATAAAATAGCGTGATTCACGCTGGTGGTCATTTTCGCACTTTGGAATTCAAGCAATAAGGTATTGCGGTAGCCACTTGAGGTTGCAAACATGTCCATCTGGTATTCGATTCTCGACCCGTGGCCTACTTGCAAAGCAATCCAACCAAATGGTCGAATATCAGGGCCATGGGCTCCTTTATCGGTGTCGTTACCTCGCGGATGGCTCTTCTCTTTTGTCTTCTTTAGGCGCGAAGCGCCGTTCGTCGCTTGGGATCTATTTTTCCATTTCCAGTCTTTGGAGGCTTCCCTTGTAGGAACACGAATATTGGTTTCATTTTCAAAGTCAACCAAGAAATTAAAACTACTGCTTTGCCGCGATTCTCCAATATTGAGGTGGCTTGCTGCTCTTGAGTCACGGTAAAAGTTAGGGAACAGCATCGCCTGCAGGTTGACTCGCTCCCGGTCCGCCCAGGGGCCGTAGTTGATCATTCCTCCTTTCACTATCAAATGCATACCCCACTCAGGCGGTACTGCTCCATTAATGTCATTTGCCATTCTCCGGTCAGATGATCCAGGATGGTTCTGCTGTCCTGACACTGTTCCTGGAATATCCCAATGATATTTCAACGTGATAGCAGGACAGTCTAGCAGTGTCGAAAAGCGCCCATATTCAATAGCATTCCAGCCTTCATGCTCATTGCGACTTTCCTCGTCAAGATAACGCGTAAGGCCCAGCCAGTGGGGCTCTGATGTGAGATCTTCCGGCATTGGGCGCGCGGATTTGGGCCGATTAGTCCCTTTACGAAATGATTCTACCGACCTCTGGTAATATGGTATTAGGTCACGCAGCTTGTGCCAGATTTTTTGCTTACGATGGGAACGGGTCCAATTGAAGTGGTGTGTTCTTCGGCCCCCAGTAGCAGTGTTTAAAGCAGAGAGTTGAGATTGCTTGAAGTCCGGATTAGGTTTCATTTGTACAAGCGGGTGAAACAGTTCGAATTCAAAGCATTGTTTGTAGAGATCGAGGGGACCTGAGGAGGCGGCATCTATTTTTCCAGCACATTTTCCAAAAGTAAACGTTAGAATGCTTTTGGTATATTGGTTGCCCACTATCAGGGCTCCTTTATGACAGCTGACCCATATAGGAAGCAAAGAAATGAATGTAGGTAGCGCTGGTCTTCCGGTGTCGGGTACAGACTCGGACTGGGAGGCTGAACTCCTTTCACAATTCATTCGCGCTTTTCGGTCAGTAACCTGTGACCCAGCACCCGTTTCTCTAAAGGAGTCAGGGGCAACTATGTTGGCCTCCCTTGATGCAGTGCCCGCCCGCCTACCATCTTCATTTTCAGCACCCATCGACCCGGCTCGGACGGAGTCATGGAATCCAGACAGAATGGCATCATACGCCGCACTTCTATTATAAACGAACCATTCGACGCCATGCAGTTTAATTTCCATTCGACAAGGAAGCAGGGTGACATTTCCAGTACCGTCATTTTCGCTGGTATTGCTCTCCTTGCATTTTCCTCCCCGCCTCTTAGAATTCAGGCTGGGGGTATTTTGCCTACTGCGCTCTTGAGTCAATCGGCTGCCCTGGACGGAACGCAGCCAGTATCTCCAAGTGACATAGCCTGATTGAACCAGGACCGTTTCATTTTCCCCATGGTATCGCACACCCTTGAAAAATATCCTTCCACCTAAGAGCGATACCTGGAGGGCGTGGATGTCTATGTAGATACGATAGTAATGCCACGTATATGCCCGGAGGCCATAAGAAAGTAGCGTCGCAAACAATCTATTGAAATAGAAGAGGAAGAAAAGGGTGCTTAGGCATGAGGCAGTTAGTAACTATTGGGCAATACTCTATGGAGTGCCCCGGAAACGACTCACAGAATACCGCACACAATCAGCTCAACTAGGAATACCCTACAAAGCTCTGTTAGCTGAGTTGCCTTTAGTTGATATCGACACCAAGACGTACCAGTTAAACTGAGGAACGGCTTCTAGGGGTTGAGCAGTAAGCTTGCCCTCTGCGATTATTGGCAGCCGGGTTGTTGACGCCATTAGGCGCGTAAATTTCGCGCTACATACATCGCTGAGAGACAGAGATGGGCTTCTGCCAGGTAGATTCTGTTAAGAGAGCCTTTGGGAGAGTTTGCAGTCAGAATCGCGTTCATGTTAGTTGGTTCTTGGCACGTGAATGACGCAGGCACGCGTGTGAGCTGGAGCTTCCATGTCCATTTGCTTTGTATCATATCAGAAATACATTACAATTCTTCCAATCAAGCTCGGCTAATGATATAGAAGTCCTCTCTTTTTCTTAGACATGGACTATTTGCGACCCGCCGCCCCCAGTACATTCCTTTACACCTAAGTTCAACAATGGAGCTCCAGGTATCATCTGGGGGTACGGGCACCAGCCTGGCAAAGGTGACTGTGATAGTTGCGGGCGTTGCTTCGTTAGTAGCATCCGTGCTATCTTTCGTGTATGTGTACCCTTCCATCGGGCCGATGAACCTCTACTAACTCTGTTTTCGCTAGGTCTATCTGGCTTCAGTTGTATGAGCATCGTGTGGCTGCAGGAATATTCAGCATAATAACATTTGTTATAGGAAAAATTATCGAAAGCCCCTGTTACAGAGATATGTGGTTCGAATACTCCTCATGTATGTGCATCGCCGATGGTCTATGTGCCCATGATGACTCTAATTTTCTCAGGGTTCCGATTTATTCTGTCTCATCTTGGACGAGCATCGTTTCGTTGAAGGCATCCTCTTGGATTGCCCCAATACGAGATATCTATGAGGTAAATTGGCTGCTCCGTACTTAGTTTACTCCTAACCCGGGCTTCCAGGCATTCACAATTTACACATTCTTTCAACTCCTTATCAACTTCCTGGGTGGTGAAAGGGCCCTTATTATCATGACCCATGGCCGCCCACCAGTGCAACACACATGGCCACTAAACCAGTGTCTCTCGAAAGTTGACATTTCTGATCCCCACACCTTCCTTGCAATCAAGCGCGGTATTCTCCAGTACGTATGGCTCAAGCCCATCCTTACACTAGTCACTATTATTATGAAAGCAACGAGTACATACCAAGAGGGCTACCTTGGCTTATCTTCAGGCTACCTTTGGACGGGAATTGTATACAATATGAGTGTCACTGTCAGCCTTTATTCTCTTGCGCTATTCTGGGTTTGCATGCACAACGATCTGAAACCCTTTAGACCCGTTCCCAAATTTCTTTGCGTAAAGCTGGTTATTTTTGCATCTTACTGGCAGGGATTTTTTCTGTCAATACTTCAGTGGTTGGGGGCGTTATCAAATGGTCCCCCGGGTTACACTCCTGACAATTTGGCTGCAGCGATTCAAGACAGCTTGATTTGCTTCGAAATGCCTATATTTGCTGCTTTTCACTGGTATGCATTTTCATGGCATGACTATGCGGATCCAAGGATATCAGCTGCCCGAATGCCAATTAAATATGCTACACGGGATGCATTCGGCATAAAGGATCTTATCCAAGACTCAAAGGAAACATTCCGGGGAGAGAATTACCAATATAGGAAATTCGACTCCGGGGACAATGTCATTGCTCATGAAGAATCGAACTCCCGCGTAGCGCGAGTAATGGCCGGGATGAGGTACGAGCGGGGCGGAAAGGCAAAATACTGGATCCCCAAACCTGGTCAGATCAATAGCAGGACACCTCTACTTCATTCGCCGGCATCAAGCCGGCGAGGATCGCAGCCATGGTCAAGAAGCAGTAGCGGGGACAATATCCATGGACCTTATACAGATATGGCACAAATTAATCTTGACGATGAGGATGAAAAACTCTTCATAAAAGCCCGTGAGCTGGAATTTGGTGATTGGAATGTAAGTGGAACATTAGTTAAACGTCTGCGCAGTACACTAAGATCACTACTAGTATCCCGTCATTACAGCGAATGAAGTTCCTAGGGACCAAATCCCCTCATTTCCGCCCACTTTGGGCATTGAATCTTCATACCAGAGCCGAACAGAGGCCAGTCAGGTGAGAAGGGCGGCGCGACGCCAAAATAAGGAGACCAAAAAGTCAAGTTCATCGGCTGGTAGTAATAAACAGGGCTCCAAAAACCGCCGGGCCGAAAACGAACCCAGCCTCGTACACAACCCTCATTCGTCTAGCAACGCTGAAATTCGGAACGAAGTTGCAGGGGCGCGGAAAGAAAGTGAAAATGGGCAATGGGACGGAGAGGCAAGACATTCGGTAGAAGCTCACCTAATGTAAGTTGGTACAGAGTACAGGCTCTCAATCTCGTATTCAATGCTAATATGGGCGCCTAGTAGGCCCCAATCTTCTAGCAACAACTCAATGATTCCTGAGAGTCATATACGTCACAGTAACAGCTGTCAAGTAGGGCACCTAGTTAGTGATGATGACAAGGACTCGGACGATGAAAGACAGCGGCTTCTTAGACATATTGGGGATGGTGTCTTTGACGAAGAGCGGAATGCTTGGAGTTAGTCACATGGGAATCTTCCCGAGGAGTTATGCCTGCAAGCTGGCCTTTTTTTTTTTTTTTCTTTTGCAGATCTGACTATATATCTTACTCTCTTAGCTAGTCAGCGTTTTGGACATTATCAAACTACATAGGTGTTTTTGAGCATTCAGTATTAGTTGCTTGAGTGGCAATCTGCGAGTTCTCAGGTTGACCCTCACCTCTGTTGAATTTTGATCTTCTGGTCTTTTTTTTTTCAGTCTGAAGGGGATCTCTTGGCCCAGAAACCCATGGCTCCAGCTGGAACTGGCCGTTCCACATGTACATGAAACCAGGGGTTAACGGCGATTTTGGCTTGACGGGTTTGACAGGGTCCGCCAAATGGCCCCTGACGATGATACACCGAACTCAAGAGCTTAAATCTCCCCGGGCACTGGTGCAGACAAACCCCCATCCTTTCATTAAACAGCGAACACTGCCTTCACGGGGTTCCAGCGACGACTTGAGCTTGTGATCCGTTGAAGTGGCCCATCCGCTCTAGTTAGCTACAGGGTTCAGAGCGATTTGCGTCTTCGTCACATCAACGCACTTCCATGACAGCCAATCAATGTGCCGCGGAACGCACGCTAAAGAAAGCCTGTTAGTCGCCCTCCACTCGGTCGGCCACATTAGTCGCCGTTGCAGGCCTTCGCGGTGGCTAGAAGCTTTGTTTGGCGCATGATGCTCTTGGAATGGGCCATAGTGAGCGCTGCAATTGGCGGGTGGCCTAACTTAGTTACCCTGCAAACCATGCCAGCCAGCTTGGGCCCAGTGAGACTCTCCGCCATCCAAGCAAATTCCTGGTAAGCCTGGGACGCCCCCGTCTCTCCCCAGAGGTTTATATGCAATGCTGTGCCCGCCGGCCCCCCACCACTCGCTCTCGCTTGTTTTGGGCCTCTTGCGCTGCCATAGCGACGCTTTTAGACGCCGTTTCGTTGACGGGGCTGCAATGGAACTGGCCTGCCGGATATAACTAGTTGGTGTCGATGGAGTGGGTTGGCTCTACATTAAAGGCATGCTTTGGGTGCGTTTGGCCGGACGAGAGTAAGCCACGCACCCGGCTTCATCGGGCGCGACGGCCAGGCAAGTCCTTTGTACACCATTCTCAACAATGGAATTGATTTCGCTAACCTGCCACCTTCAGTTGTTGAGAGAGTCGTCCCAATCTACCATAATCAGCAGCCGAGGGCCATTGCGCCGATGAAGCTGACAATTTACGACGAACTGCCCAGTCCGAGAGCGCCTAAACCATCCTCATTGCGCATGTCCAGTTGGTTAGGAGAGGGCAGGGACCGCTCGTCCAAGTTACAAAAGCGAAAAAGCCTGTTGAACGGGCCATCTTCACGGCTGAGCCGTCGACAAAAGCGCACTATAAGCGCACCCACTAATTTCAGACGAGTACAACCTGCCAGACGGCGTGTATCTTTTCGACCATTGGAGTTGAGCATATATATGCCTGGAAACCAGCTTCCAGATTTGCCAGAATTCAGCAAATTTGACGTCGAGTACCCAAGTATTCCATCCAGGGCGCATGATAATCCGTATTATCGACGGTATTCTGACACCCCATCAACATTCACTATTCCTCGCAAGCCGGTTGGCTCCTTGAGACGAAAATCGTCCCCGGTTGATAATCAAGACGCTTTCCTTGGGCACCGGAGTGCACGCTCCGAATCGAGGTTGTCGCGGCCTGCTACCATCTATCGAGAAAACAGCCGGCGTCATAATCGGGCCAGAAGTACCCCGATAATGTCCCCTACGCCGCGGACCTTTCCTGCTGATTCAACTACTGACGGCAGATCGCATGTGCCATCCATGCGGTATTCGTCCAGAACGGAATCGTCCTCCGCCTTTCCGGAGTTTGTCCTCGCTGACACCTACCGTGCCCCGATGCCTCGCTCTGATTCACTTGGGAACTGGGCTCTGGGCTCACCAAGCGGACTACAAACTCCTCCTACGTCTTTCAGTTCGCGTGGAACAAGGTCTCGAAAGCCTAGCGACTCTACGATCATATCAACTAATACCCTTACTGCTGCTTCCCGAAGAACACCCTCGCTAGCCAGTTCCTTGACATCTGCTGGCACACTTTACCAACCAACACCATTCCCAGAAGCCAGTGAAAAAACGTATGAGATAGCCCTGGACAACGCTATGAGACCCAAGACTGGCAATCCGCGATACGAGGAGACCTATCCGACCATCTACGAAAGTGAACAGTACCATTTCACACCGCCGATGTCAAACTCTCCGCGAATGGTTAACGTTAATGATATTGGGCTGGCGTTTTAACACCTAGTGCATAAATGGGGTTGATGGTGGGAAAGATCGATTGCATTGGGACGGACATTGAGGTATATTTGTGTTTGTTTTTACTATATTCCTGTCGGCTTTTTATGGGGCCTGTTTTTTTGGGAGCGTGATACCAACAAATGTTATAACCGGTGTTGAGGCTACATGGATAACGAAAAATGAGTTCAAATGGCTACTACTCTGGGATCTGTACTCTGTACTCCGTACTCCACAAAGTTCGTTTAAACCAATACTGCTAATTTTCCGCAGTGCTGGCGGTTAGTTACTTATCCCTGCAAGATTTAGGCGCTAATAGTTAACTACATACATACTTTGAGGGCGAGGACAGATCAAGCTTCAAGCCAGCCCTGAGTCGGAATACGGTGTAAAACTGCACACCACTCGAAATCCTACTAGATCTTAATTGGAAAAGAAAGTGGCCATCACGATCTTGCGAGACACAAGGTGCTTTGGGCACCTACTCCCAAAGCACAAAACGTTTCAGGTCGCCAACTTGACTAGGTGAAGAAGGGGAAAAGAAGCACGTCACAGGTATCTCTTGCGTGAAACCACCAAACAAGAGAAGAGAATTGCCACCCCAGTCTTTTCTAGATTAAAATTAAATGGGTCGCGATGTGTCTCAGGCGGAAGGTGTCAAAGTCAAGTAATGATAGTCGGTGCCATATTGATGGGCCAATGGGCTCCCTGAATTCTCCAAGATTTCTATGGCAACAGGAAAAATAGGTAAAACTTTACTATGGGATCATGGATTGTGTTCACTTGACTACACGAAATACTGTACTGAAGCCAGCCTTCGAAAAAGTAACAAATATTTCCCAAACGATGTGTCGGCCTCTAGGATCCTGTAGCACGTAGACAACAAGCCAAGAAGTTGGAACAGATAGACCTTCTGGTAGGGCATTGTTGAAGTAGCAGACTGCGTGAAGCAGGCTGGGATAAAGCCACTAGGTGGCCCGCGTGTATAATTTTCTGGTACTCTAGGAAACATAGTATAGGCTTCCGGATCTCAAGCCTCCGAGATACTGGCGCCCCGGCCTGAACCTATAATATAATGCTCCGCATGTTACCATCTTTAAGAGGATAGCACAGGACAGCAACTATGTCGTGTGAGATCTGATACAGAAAACTAAAGACGCCATAAATGTTCCCACCATGGAAATTAACTCGCTAGATCAAAATGGGTGGCTGTAAGTTGGATATATTGATCGAAACAAATATGAAAGCACAAATCTGAAAGCCATCCGAGTATAAGTCATATAAGTCAGATTACAAAGGCCTCGACAAAATGATTCTCATGATTCAGCAATTTCAACACTTCCAGATAGACCATATGCTGGCGGATTTTTCAAACTTTCGGCTTGTTCTGTTTCTGATACCGCTTGAAAAGCCAAGGAAACCTTGGAGCCGTGACTAGATAAAGATTGTTGCATTCGAATTTGGTCTAAGGACGGAACGCGTCTCGCTCGTCGCTCTAAACTGGGATTGGGCTTCTTACTCTGTCCTCGGCTTTGTATCGCGGCATCAAAGATAACATCATCCTTCCATTGATTCCATTGCTCGTAATGCTCCCGTTGCTTGATGGCAGCGTAACGGGAAGTAGTCTTGAGGGGTCTCCAAGCAAACCGACTGAAGCCGTCTGGCGGCAGCGTATATTCCAAATCAACAAATTTAGATTCTTTGCTCAGCTTGATGAGGTATGTAAACACATCTTGACTCTCCGAAGTTGCCAAGCGATGTGCGTGTGATTCCTGAGATGAAGCTTTCAAGCGAAGCAAAGGTACATCAAGCCAGGATTTTAAGTGGTTCGCCCTTTGCACCGAGTATGGGTCAAGAAGATGAGCTCGTCTATTGTCATCACGGAGAAACCTCACTGCAGCCTGAAGATTTGCGACTTCTTCGCGAAGTGCATCATTTTCTCGCATGACTGCTAGGGAGGCTATGGCATTTCCAGGAACAATGCCACCTGCACCTGCTGTGCTTCCATCTGAACCAGAAGCCCGTTTTAACTTTTCTAATTTGTTTCGATACTCATCGCGCTCTTTTTCAACTGTTTGTATATCTTTGGACTGCCTATCCATGATATCCAGTAACTCTGATTCCTTGGAGTGGGATAATTCAAGCTTTGACTCCATCTCTTTAACCAATGTAGCTTTCTTCCCAGCTTCGCGCATTCGAGATTCTAGGAGTTCAATTTTGATAGACTGCTCCTCGAAAGTCCTATCCTTGAGGCCAAGGGAAGTTGATGCTTTGCTAAGTTCAGTCTTTAGTCGACGAACCTCCTCCTCAGTATCGGCTGATACTGTTTGGTTGGACTTCAGCTCTTTGGAACGGAATGTCCATGGCGCTGGCTGACGTTCAAACTCGATAGTCTGGGAAAGGTCGGAAGAAACAGAGCTAGCATCTTCTATGCAGGCCCCAAAGGTTCGAACCTCGTTTTCAAGGACGGCAAGTGCGTTAGTGGCATCAGCCTGAGTCGCAGATAACTTGTAAATAGATGAAACTGTTTTCGACATGGAAATAACGACTTCACGGTACGAAACGGGCTCCAAACGGCCTTCTTCGGTGATTAGTAACAGCGTGCTTTCGCCTGTTCGTCTTGCGATTTCCGATATTCTTTTGCCTACCTGTTCAATCTTTTCGAAGATCTCTGCAGATGTATCCGACAAAGACAGAGAACTTGATCTCAAATCATCCAGAGATCGGGTAATTTTCCCCGTCGCAACCTTCAGGCTTCTTGTCTGAGTCGTCAGTGAATCTATTTTTTGAAATAATACCGGCCATTCATCATTTTCCTCTTTGATAAAAGAGTTTACCTGCAATATGGAACTCATGTGGGACAAACAGGAAGCAGTATGGTCCATATATGTTTGTGCTAAGGCACATCGCATATAAACATCATCTGCATGAGATGCCGTGTTTGCTGGGATAAGAGTCTCTGCAAGATGGGAAAGAAGTGAAATTGATCGTTGCAGCTCATCTGTACATTTTTTTTCATTTAACTCAGCCTTTTTTAAACTATCAATAGAAGAATTCAGGATTCGTTCGACGGGGTCCAACTCATGAAGGGCACCCTCGAATGTGGTGAATTCTTCACTGGAACAGCCATGCATAAAACGCACAAACCTATCACAGAGAAAAGATATCCAAGTGAGTTTCTCTATTAGGTCATAGGATAAGAAGCTATCTGGATCCAAGGATGTCGAAGCTGATGGTTCGGCTAACTTTTCTCGTACAGCGTTACCCATTATTAAAGCCTTGTAGGATATCCGTTTAAAATTGAGTAGAGCAAGAACTGGATTTCGCTCTGTGTCAAAATAGGCCGGGAGATACTCCTTGATAATTGCTAAGTGCTGAGCAGATTCCTCAGCTTCCATCCGTCCCAATTCAATGTCAATGGCCTTGACTTGGGCTTTCGCGGCAGAGGCTTGAAGTTTCAAGTTCAGATCAATCATTGCTCTTGAGCGAACAGATAAGTCGCTTGCTTCTGTCTCTGAAATTTGCTGAGAGGCTCGCATGTCCTCAAGATCACTTTGAAGATTCGTCACCAACTCTCTGAATTTCGATAAGGTATACTCCAAATCCTCAATGACCTCATCTTGGTGGGCGAGCTTGCGACTTTGTTCAAGATAAACGCCATCCCTGTAATCAATCTCTTCTTGAAGTTGCTTTTCAGTCTCCAGGTGAGTAGCTTCAAGCTCATCGCTTAGCTCTTTTAGGCTCTCTAAATCTTCTATGGTAGCTTTTAGTTCACCAATCTGTTCCTGGTAATGCATGTTTTTCTCCGAAAGCTCTTCTATCATCTCTTCGGCACCTAATGCTTCTATTTGTTGCTTTAGCTCTTCCATATTCGCTTCAGTAGTCACAAGCTGTTCCATTGTTCGTTCAAACTTGGCTTTCAGCGTATTATAGCCTTCCAAGTCTTCTTCGAGCTCTTTTATTTGGCTTTTCAAGTCTGCTTCTTGCTGTTGTGTCATATCACGAAGGCGGATCAAGGCTTCTTTGAGTCTCTCGTTGGTTCTTTCCATCTGTAACCATCCTTGGCTTGACCGTTCTTCCGGGCCAGTAACTTGACCTAGCTCCTGGTTTTCTTCCCTGAGAATATCTATTTCTAGCTCTAATTCCTCTGCTTTAATTTTTAATGCCTCATATTCGGCTTTGACAGCTTCTGAAACTTCTTCCGCCATTTCTCGATCCAAAGTCGCCATCTCCAGAATAGAATCATTTTCAGCTTGAAGTCTTTCGATTTCTCCTACTCTTGCCTCCGCCTCTTTGAGCTGTTTGCGAAGGTGCACGATTTCTTGTTGTTGGGGCTGGTATTTCGCTTGAAGTTTCTGTATTATCCCCTCGTACTTCTCCTTTTCAGCTTGTATTGTTTCCAGTCCTTTCATTTTCTCCCTATCCTCTGCTCGTTTCTTTTCCAAGAGATGGTACTTTGCTTTTAGATCCTCTAACTCTTTGACGGTCGAACCATTATTGGGTGTTACTTGCCGAGGAGCGGTGGGTGACAGAGACGCTCGCGAGACGCCAGTGGAATGGGGAGACCCATCTTGTGGTTGAAGATATGAAGAATTGATTCTTACAGAAGCATCGTTTAGTTCACTTGCAGGGCTTCCCGAGCTATCTGAAGCAACACCCGCTAGTTTCGGGGATGCCCTTCTGGTCGTGGCTTGTCCTGGCCGTGGCTGAAGTCCGAGCCTGGATATCCTGTTGGGCGTGGTTATTGCTGGCTGTCGCTGACTCTTTACGGTTGTAGTAGCAGGAGTCAGAGGCGGTATTGAGGCACGATTTGATACGGAGGATCTAGTTTTGGCGGAGGGTAAAGGGGGTTTGGATGCCGAGGTCGTTCGGGGAGCGGTGATAGATCTTTCTGATAACTGTTTTACGGGCGACTTCGTAGGAGACTATACATGAATACTGCGTTAGATGGTGCGAGATACAAAACCCAAAAAAAAAAAAAAGGAAATTACCCTCAGAGTCCGGCTAGGCACTGTTGATTTAGGGATGGGTGATGGACTAGAGGTATTCGAGCTTTGCCTTTTCATGGATACCACGCTTGCTCTCCTTGCTTTAATGCCGGCCGCTGCTGTAGTGCTGGATGCTCTTCCTCTGATGTCGACGGGCCGCTGGGCAGGCGTGGGACCCGGCTTCGAATCGTCCTTCTTTGGCTGCTCGAGTATCGCTGTCACTGCTTTGGGACGGATAAACATTCCATAGTTTTGCTCGCAGTCGAAGTAGCGCTCTCCCTGGATAGCGCCATCGTTTTTTCCTGTCGGCTCTTCAAGTTCAATTCCAATCCACTCCTCAGGAGCAAAATGTGTCTTTCCGATAAAGCGAATAATGGCACGTCGATTGTCGGGCAATGAAACAATTTGGCCTACAGTGTAGCCTGCCATAGCTGCGGAACTCTACTGAGAGGCAACGCACGGTATCGCGTTGAATCCACGGATGAGCCCTACATAACAAAGTGCCTCTTTAGGCCGCCAGGCTGAAGTGGGTCGAACGCCAGGAACTGGCCTAGCGTCAGCTCTCGAAGCTTATGACTAATCGAGTCTAGTTCAACCTTGCCCGTGACCTTGCCAAGGCCCTTCTAGCCGGGCTGTTTATGAGGTTTACGAAGTACCTCTCCCATGGTGCAAGGTCACGGGCACCACTCTCAAAACCAGGACTAGTTATGTTCTCCTATGAATGTACGGAGTACACTTTGTGCTCAGTACAGACTGTACATAGGACATTCAGGAAGAGTTGCTGATGATATTTATGCCCTCCATGGAGGTCCATACTGCGGAGAATGTAGAAATGAGATTGTTTCGATTTTAACTGGTGGTTATTTATGAGTAGTAACTTACTCCAGTCCGTGCGGGCTGAGTACTATAGACATCGGCTCCAGAGCCTGTCATATTATGTCTCTAGCACTCAGTACTGCGTACTGGAATCAGCATGTTGAATACTAGGCACGCCTCGCCATACTGGGTCTTTATCCGTAAAATTGGGTGTTAGATTCCGTCAAGTTTGAGACTCTACCTTGAGACTAAAGCGCGTTATATGTTTTTTTACCATTACGGCTCTAACGAAATACTCTAATGAAATGCACTCAGTTAAATGCACTTTGCTCATAAAAACATCACAATGAACTAGCATGTTTCTAAGGGACAAGCTCTTTATATATGCATGGTATAGACACGGTGTCCTTCTATCCATTGCATATCGTATATACGTCTACTAATACACTTTTGATTTAAAAAATTGCGGGAACAGCTCTCGTAACTCCTCAAGGTTATGGATCATGAAATTCGATGCAGGAGTTTGTGGAGTCGTAAGGTGAGGTTCAACAAAGTGAACTGTATTCCAGCCGCGGTTTTGCGCATGGTAACAATTTAAATGCGAATCATCTACCATTTTGTCAACTAACCAATGAAGCCAGTGATATAAAAAGCAGTGGAATCTCACCAACAAAGTAGCATTTGTCAATGCCTGGCACGTTTGCCTCCCTCTCTGCCTTCTCGAACATTTTTATGTTTGGTTTACATATAAGCGGTTGGCTACCATAGTCACAATAGGTGATGCCCTCAAAAAGATCTTCTACCCCAAGTAGTTTAACTACTCTTTTACCATGGCTGATATAGGCATTGGTAAACAGCCATAGCTTCACTTTTGAGGTGTCAAAATCCTCCAAAAACTGGCGTAGGGCCGGGTTGAAACTCAGGATAGAATCTAGCGGCAGAGCATCGTCTACTCCACTATTAAACTCCAAGGGGTCAATCTTATGGTGCCGTGTTAGGCCTTCTATGGCAAGACCATATTCCTTGTAGTATTTATGATGGAGCATAACTGCATCCTCGAAGCTGAGAGATAGGTGCTGGGCAAAAAATTTGTCTGGGTATCAGCATATTAGGAAACCATACTTTGTAAACACAAAACTAGTGTTCACAGACCGATAAGCTCCTGCATTAGATCATGGATCTTACTATCTAGTAGTGTGCCCGGTTTGTTAGCTGTAGCTTTGGCCTTCGACACAGAAACATATGCAATACCGCGAGAATATAGCTGTTTCATGGAGCAAGAGATACGTATGTCAGCTCAACAATAGAAAGGTTACCAAAACCTCCTGTGACATAACCTAGCTAGTAATGGCTTGGTACTTGCGTGGACATACACAATTATCAATATCAAAGAAAAAGACCGGGCGCGAGTCAGTATCAGCTGGCGGCTCCATTGCAGTAGTAGTGATAGGGAGAGAATTAGTCTGCTTGTATGATGTACTTTTTCCTTATAGACGATTGATATACAGGGTGGACGCCAAAGGAGGGGCAAAGGGAGAAACCATGCTGGGCTACGTTGAAGCGTGGCATCTCAGATGACTTCTTTCATGCCAGGGTTAGAGCCACGAAAACTCTATTCTACAGTACTAGCTAGTTAACTGACTAAGATTGAGCGGCTAGACCGTTCAATAAAGACGCTGCGGATCTTAGCCAGCCGTACGAAGTAATAGCAGCAACGCGTTTTGCTGTGTCAAGACTGGCGGACGTGGCCTTAATCTGCGTGATCGGTGGTTGTTCCCCCCATGTCCAACAAGCACAACGCTACTGCGAATCCGGCTTAGCGCTGAGGTTGGGGACACACGAAATCCTCGCCGAAAACTCAGGGTTGTTGATTTGCAACACGCTTCCTCATGGTCTTCGCCTGGGACGAAAATCTGCTGTCTTTTTTAAAGCAGTACAGATTGGAGTAATGCAGAATCTTTCTTCTCTGTAAGACCTGTGTACTCTATCGGCTAATCGGCCAGCAATGATCGCGTCGGACCTTCTGCGGAAGCCGGAGACTGGCCATGTTGCGCCACTCTCTGGTTCCAAAGAGCTCCTTGAGTACGAGAAGATCTTAAATATCCGGGACCAGATTTTCTCTGGAAATCATCCTAGGTTGAAGGTCCCTCAACATGTTATCCGCAATTTCACTCCTCGATCAGTTCAAAGCCCCTCAATCCCTTCTACTCCCTCCGGTCCACACGAGACGACTGTGTCCATACATCCAAAGGAAACCCATTTTTCTTCCAGCTCTCACAAATCTTCTGCAGCTAATGACTCCCCAGTGGAGGTGACCACGATGCCTGGAAGCAGTGCTCCGTACCCTAGTAATATTGTACCTGCAACTGCTACAGTGAAACCGGCATCAGAAATTGATCCTATCTTTTTGACCAAATCTGATGACCTGATCAGGGCTGAGATACAGCTACAGCGACAGAGGATTGAGCGAGCTTTACGTGATCAGGTGGAACAAAAAAGGATCAATTCTAAAAGAAAACCACTTCCTCAAGAACTCAATCCTGATTTCGATGTTGCAGAGATTTTTGCAAAAATTATGGAAAATGTTAAGCCTATTTCACAGATTAACACACAGAAGGCTAATGGGAATGTCGCAGCCAGTGATTCCTTTGATGAGAATTCTTTCTATTCGAGTAAAGCTCCGGATTCACCCCCCGCCGAGCCAGCGGCAGTATCGCCTCATACCGGACGACAGCCCCAGCCGATGCTCATTGACGATGCTGATGCTGATAATGATGTAGCTCGCCAGGCAGAAGGAAATCGATACTTGGATGATAGGGGCCGGAACTTTGTATATTCAGAATCGCACCCATCATCGTTTGAAGAAATTATTGAGAAAACCACCACTGCAAGGACAACGGATATTCCACTGGTGCTGCCTGATCTATTGGAGCCTCGTGAGGAACGGCAGTCATTTGATGAACCAGAATACTCACCACCCGGCCCCAACATTGTGAGTAGCCGGCGGGAAAGCGGAAGTAATATACCAGTTTCAGATCGCACCAATACCGCACCCAACCATCATAGAGCGTCCCGACCTGAACAGGAACCCCAGCGTCAACAGTATCCGACCCCGGATGTAAGAGTGGTCAGAAACCATATCACATCTCCCGCTGCGCCCCAACCATCGAGGGTATCCCCTCTTGCAGTTTCAAAGGCCCCCGGTTTAACTCGGCAGAATCGTCGCCAAAGGAGAGCAGAAAGACGATTAGCTGCCCAGCCTGCAGACCGTACAAGCCCTGAGGGTCCAACCCAGCCTTTGGTTTCTCGGAAACGTCGACGTGAGCATGAAAAGGAAGAACGAAGGCCAGCGGTATCGCCAGAGCCTTATATAAAACCAGAGCCCGTATCCCCACCCCCCTTCATCGAGGTGGCCGCACCGGCTTATGTCAGGCCTCGAATTCCACAACCTGGTAGTAATTATGTTGAGATTGACTCGCCTCAATATTCAGCCCTTGGTGATCGACGTGAGAGTGGCGCTGGTCGTGCCGGATATTATGATGTTCCCACGTATGATACGGAAGTTTCTGCAAATATCAATACCCCTCGTTCAGCCTCAAGACTGGCTTACAAGAGGCCAGTCATGGACGAACGGGATCTTCGCCGAGTCGCAACTATGCAACATGCACGGCAATCCGAAATTGTTCGCGACTATCATGAACCGGCCGTTTCACCACGTTATCTGCGAGCTGCGTCTTATGCCGTTACAGATAGGCCTATTCAAACAGAAAAACCAAGATATTATGATGAAATTGCGCCATATCCCAAATCATTCGCCACGGGAGTTAGACCGGCGTCTCCTCGTATCCATGATGAATATATTGAGGCGCTTTCAGACTCTCGTTCTATGGGGCCACCCCCTCCGCAGCGTAGAATTGTGATTGACGCTGATGGAAACCGGTATTATGAAGCCGTTGCGCCTTCGTCAAGAATTGTTCCTGCTTCTGCACGTGTGACACATGCTGAGCCATATGATGAAGGACCTGCTGTCCGCACAGCGCCCTCTCGAGCAGTTTCTGTGCTGGAGAATCCCTACCCAGGAAGAAGGTACGTCCAGGAAATGCCTCCTCCACCCATCACCTATCGACGCATTCCAGAGTATCCTCGGATTGCACCCGGAGATCACGCCATGTATGATAGAGAACTAGATGAACGAACCCGTGTTCCTAGAGGGTCCAGCGTCCAGCTCATCGACTATCCCCATCGACAGCCGACATATGTTGAGGAGCCTGTTTACCCAAGAGAAGAGCTGGTAAGGATGTCAAGCGTACGACCTTCCGGCACCCGCTTTGAAGATCCTGTGGAACCACCCATGCGTATGCAGAGTGTCAGACCGGTACGACGTGAAGTAAGTGTGTATATTGAGGATGAACCTCATACTTCCCGTGAATATCCTCCTGTGGACCGAGTAAGCTATCCTGTTGCGAGGGAAAGATATTTTGATAGCGACGACACTTCCAGATTAGGTGTCGAAAATACCCAGGGAATGGTTCGCCGGGTTTCTCGGAGATATTAATACTATGCTGTTGCTATTGCAAGAGCTGTTGTGTCTTTGTTGACTAATACCTTGTATAAGTATAAGATGATGTTTATAAGATGCCCATAAGCACATTTTGGCACCTACTACATATTTCTTCTCATGATTGCCAGATTCTTAATGTTGTCACTACATGTGCAATTCACTTTGTTGGTTGGATTTTGTGATGTGAAAACAGGACATGTTCTGGGGCTAGTTAACCGGTTATTTATCAAGTATTAATGCTGCCTGGACCTGAATGCTGAGAATATTGTTTATTGTTCTGAAAGTTTGCAGCAAAGCAAATATGACAGCATTGCCCAGCTGTTTTTAACGCATTTCAATTAACATGGCAAAAAAGACTCCAAAGCATGGACAGCTCGATCCTGGTTGAATCACTCTGAAAGGTCGTATGTCCAACTTAAATAGAGATATCCAAGAATCCTGGCTCACTGAAAATGGAGGCCTAGAATGGCGTTCAATAACTGTAAATTCAACCACAACATAGAAACTATGGGGTGTTTACCTTTTATCCCGATGATATTTCGAATTAACCATGGATGGAGTGATAGTTGTATGCCGAGTAAATCCATGGGTGAGGTGTGATTTGAAAAGGCGGGACTTTGCAGGAGACATAATAGGACAGAGTTGGCTTGAAAAACTGGGGAGTTGCTCAGAAAGCCACTTTCTATTAAGATCGTTACCTGGTTAGCAGCCATCCATAAAACTAAAACCAGGCGTTTACAGGCATTTCCCTGGTCGTATCCGAAGCTGCCGCTGCCACCTGCTGGCATGCCATGTGCGAGGAGAGCCCGTAAAACAGCGATAAGTCTCCAATTCACACGAGTGGGAGTTGGTTTATGAGCAAACCATGGCATTCCTCAAGCCCAGTCGTCGAGGTCCGTGAATAACGTCATATCAAGGCGAGAAAGTGAATGCCAGCTTTTCCCCGGCCGGACATAAAATGTCCTGCAGCACCCTCTGCAGCACCAGGAGCGTCAGCACCACTGCTGAGGACTGAAGTTTCATCATCACCGCCGAAGGCGCAGCCGCTCCACCGCCCGATTAGGCTACGGCCACCACGACCAGCCCCAATCCAGCCTAGCGCCACCCGCGGCTCGTACTGCAAACGAGCCACTCAAAGCCTCCGCCCAGCCCAGACCTGCCTTTGCTTGACCGTGCCTTGCGCTCCTCCACACAACACCACAACACCCTCCCCTGTCGACTGTGAGCTGCTGTTTGATTTGCGTTGCGTGCTTGTTCTGCGTTGTCGTCCGTTCCTTGGTTCTTTGCTTGCTGTACCATTTCGCCTTCTTTTCCCTCCGCCGTCCTCGACCGGCCTCTTCTCGCGACCGGCCACACCAGTGATCCTCCGCCCTTTCGTCTCCTAACTCCCCGCCCCAGAGCGGACTTCGGCGCTTCAAGCTGGCATCATGCATAAGATTTCAAATTTCACAGGCCAGGCCCGTCATGGCTGGGAGAGAATGACCCCGGCTTTCGGCATGTCCCGCCCCCAACAAGATATGACAGGCTCCCAGGTGTATCGCAGACCTCCTCCCCAGACTATGCCTAACCCTCCCGCCGTCGATCCGATAATATGCTTATCCTTCAACGTTCCGCTATCTTCGAATATCCCAGGTCCCGATCCCGATGATGTGTTACACTCAACACCTGGCGCGCTTGTCCGGTGGACGTATCCTGACGGTATCCCGTCCGGAACTCCGGTCCATAAATTGCCAATTCACTCTCATCATGTGGATTCATTGAGAAAATTGTGCCGCCAGATCACAGAGAGTTATAGCGGACGGCTCGAAGCAACCGTAACGTCCACAGAGCCGAAAGCTGTGTCTTCGCTACAGCGACGTCCTCAAGGTCTGGTCACTAATGTCTGTATATCCGGGGAACATGACCTGGTACATAAAATAAGAGCAAGGATTCTGAGAGAGACTCCATTTTCTTTTGTATGTTGAAACTAATACCTTGTTATCATCTTGTCGAACTTTGCTGACAGACTACCAAAGCAATGTGCTATAGTAGATATTGATGTCAACATGGTCATGGACCCAATTACCAACTTGGTTCGGCAGACTGTTTTAACTCATCTCAATACCCTTGCCAGCTATACTGGCGTGGATATTTTTCTGTTGAGCCCAAAAATCGTTGATGCTGATAACGTTTCTTCTTATGGATACTCGACCGAGAATGGGCTTGACCGTCGTTTTAGAATTGCGATATATGGCGATGAAGAGAGTGCGGAGCATGCAAAAACAAGAGTTTTGATTATGATTGATCAGATTGTGAGTTGTGAAGCTGTTTGATTGCGTCGGCAAGAACTAATTCTCCGTAGCTGAAACGACAAGTGGATGTGATAAAGCTTGAATTGACTCTCCATACCCTAATCTGCGGCCGCGGCAAAAGAAATATTAAGCACATCGAAGCAGTCACGAATACTGCAATCTATTTCCCGCCTTCATTCCCTCGTCTTTATGGCTATACCCCGCCTGGTTCTTATAGGCGCTGCGAAGATGAAGTCTACATAACTGGCGCCACCCAAGAAGACATTGCTAGGGCAAAGCAAAAGCTTCTCGATTTGGTTCGAGGCGTCAAAGTCTATATCAAAGATGCTACCGTCACCCCGGAAAAAATTGACAGCATCTTGCTTGATCGACTAGATAAGATTCGTAAAGTAATGGAGGCAAATGGTTGCTATATTTTATTTCCTCCACTTGCGGGCCGGCGTAATAAGCTGCGTGTCCAGGGAACCGAGATCCTGCATGTGGAGAGGACTATTCGAGAATTGATGACTTTGGTAGGGTCCTTTAATCCTGGGTTGCTATCCCTACAAGTGCTAATATTGTGTAGGCTAGTCAATTCTACGAAGCTAGTTGGTGGATCATTGTTCCTGAAGACGGACCACAGACCCGTCTTCCGTCATTATCAGAGACTAGAGTGATGCTATCAGATATTTGTGCTAATTCTGGTGCAGAAGTCAGTTTTGAAAAATTGACTTTCACGATCAGTGGGTCTGATGATTCTGTCAAATCCGCAATGACAGTCATCCATCAAATTCCGTTTGTCAAGCGCTCACCATTTCAGATGCGAGTGAAGATTGAGCTGGCCAACGAGCATAAAGAATTCGTTAGTGGCAAAAAGAATGGGAAAATAAACAAAATAATGAGTCAAAGTGAGAGTTCTTTTTTTAAACCTTTTTCGAAATTCAGCTGGCTTACATTGATTCAAGGTAACGTTCAAATAATTTTTGACGGTTTCAATGAATACAACTTCCACATCGATGTCTGTGGTACGCAGTACGGTTCAACGCGGCATGGTTTAGAGCTTGTCGAGCAAGAAATGCCGGCATCTATCTCATTTCATGTTCCTGATCAGTACCACAAGCGCATTATCGGCATTGGTGGTCAACACATTCAACGAATCATGAAGAAATATTCTGTATTCGTGAAATTTTCGAATGCCATGGATCGCGGCGGTGTTAGCAAGGACGACGATGATATTCGAGTCGAGAATGTCATATGCCGTACACCAGCCAGGAACGCACAGAGTTTAGAATATGTGAAGCAAGAAATCATGGATATGGTAGAGAAAGTTGTAAGCTCTATTGGTATCCTATATATTTTCCGCGCTAACAAGGTTTTTAGGATGCCGAGTTTGTCTCCGAGAATGTACTTGTGAACCGCCTCTACCATCGGGAACTTATCTCCCGAATGAACGAGCTTGACGAGCTGGAAAAAAAGTGGAACTGCAAAATCGATTTCCCCAGTACTGAAACCGCCAGCGATTTTGTCACTATTTCGGGGCCTGAATATCAGGTTGCACAAGCTGTGGATGCTTTCTTGGTAGGGTGATGGAAACGAAAAAATCTGTACAATACATCTAACATCTTCACAGGGCATGGTTCCTGAAACCCACGAGATTTCATTTCATAGCTCTGAACAACTTCAAGAGTACTTCAAAACTCCCGAATTTGCAAACGAGGTTCGACAAATGCTAAAGGATCGGTATGAGGTGGACATTTTTGTTGAAGATATGGATGAGCCACCACTGGAGGATCAATCCCCACCCCTTGAAAATACTCTTATTTTAGGCTATACCCAGAACAATGCCGGAGGACTAAAGGACGCTATCGACTTTCTCGTGTCTCGACTTGTATCCCACGGACTCGACGCCACAACTGTTAAAGGCTCCATTCCCCGGCCAAAATCAGATTCGTTTGAAGACTCGTTACCGTTTTTCAACGCGAGAGTATTGCAAAATGCTCCCACACTACTTCCAACGGACTCCCCCACACGTATCAACTTCACCGACGACGCCGGCGACCGCGGTTCGATTTTTGAGCGACTCCGTAAACCTGGTAGTATATCTTCATTCTCCTCCTTTATTGGTCGGAAGAATCATTCCGGCTCCCCTGGGTCTTTCTTCAAACATGCATCCAGTAATGCATCGAAAGCTTCACTTGTTTCAATGGAATCGCGGGACAGTGGCTACCGCAACCCTTGGAACGACTCCGGCGTAAATCTTCCCGGAGAAGATGTCTTCAGCTCCAATAATGGGTGGCCATCTCGATTTGATAGTGCATTTCCTATTGGTGTTGCGCCGGGCGACATGACTCCACGACACGATTCCCGCGCCTCACTTGACAGTGCCCGCCCTAGTACTTCCAATTCTGCTTCTGGATACCCGGCCCCTATCGGGCCACCTCGTTAAATCAAAGAATTTTATTCTCAGAACTATCCATTGCCAGCAATATACCCATTTTTGACCCGGTTTGCCATCGTTTATATGATTCCTCTTTCAGTCAGTCCGAAAAGCAAGTCTACAGCTAACATAAAGGTCGCCTGGATGGGAGGGACGAGGCAAAGAGTCATTTTGTATTTCGTTAAAGGAGTCACTGGTGTTGGTTCCGGTGCCTTTTATTCTCTTTTCCCCTTCACATCATTACTGCTAAAGGCGATAAAAAAACACCCTAGTTTTCCTACATATTTGACGGCCCACTTTTACCCTACGGCCGACTTTTTTAAAGGTTCATCAGACTTGAACTCTTCCCCACTATATCTATATTGAACACCACAAATGATACCATTATTTTTCTTTCTCAGTCAATGCTTATTTTGTATCCTGTTGTCTTCACACCTCTTCTTCCTCCCTTGATTCAGCTGGCTTAGTGATTGAAGGATAGATGCGAGCAAAGGCTACTTTTTGTCAAATTGTGTTACCAAGGTTGCTTTCTTTCTTTTTTTGCTTTCGGTTGAAAATAGTTATTGTCCCATTATTACAATACATTTTTCTTTCTACCCACATGTGCTATTCCTGCCAAGATTTGGGTCATCGAGGCTTGAAAGTAGTACCGAGCTGATGTCATACAGGCATATGCTATTATGCTTCAGAGTGTTTGCTTTAATGTATGTATATACATGGGCAGAACTCGCTCACTTCGTCTGCTGTTCCACTCTTAGTTGCCAAGTGCTCCGACCTCAACTCTATAAGCAAAGCTATTGATATGAAGCATACAAGCTCACATCTCGCATTCAGCTCAGTGTTCACCTGCTACTACAGTAGTAGTTAGTTGTAACTATATGGCAGCCCAACTTTTTATGGTATTCAAGCCAGGCCAAGAGGGTTTAAGAGTAAGCCAATAGGAACCATTTCATGTGACTGCACGAATTCCCGCCAATTAAGAGACGCGCTCAGCGAGGGAACGTGACTGCGTAGGGCAAAGCCCTAAAACGAAGCTGATTAAGCAGGATCTGACTTATGTAATCAGGCGCCCCGGGCTTGGCAGGATCATGGGTAAATGGCTTTTGGAATCAGGACGGACGGGTGGCAGGGTGCTGCCATTTTTGAACTTCCTTTCTCATAGTAATAGAACTATACTCAGTGGTGAGTAAGAAGAAGACTAGTCCCATGAAAGAATGTGCAGACGGATGAAGAAATAGGAAGATTCCATCCGTTATGGAATCAATAGTAAGGAGGCATACCAAAAAGTAGGATGACGACTTCAATAACAACATGACTGCTCACCGCTACGTTGTTTAATCTCATGTGAAATCATAACAAGCACTTGGAATAACTTGAATATAGCCACTAGGTATTTAACAACCAAAAAAAACCAGGCCTAAGAGAGCTCTTCAGTGTACAAAAATGATACCCAGATACACCCCAAAGATCGAGCAGAATAATGAAAACAATGCACATGAGAATTATTAACGTATGCCAAAATTGTCTGAAAAGTGCTTAAACAGAATGGCGGCACCCCGTTGAACACCGTTTGCTTTCCAATGATAAGCTACACAAGGGGGGAAGGGAATTATAAATTATATGTACTGAAGTCGATGAGGTGTGATGGGGAAGACGTCTTTGTAAATCAATTACTTTTAGAGTTGGCCTGCAAGGACGGCCTCCGTAGCTGCAAAGAAAAGTCGGGTCAGTAACTAACAAGCTCGGATTGTCAAGAGAACATACCAGAGTTAATGTACGCTCGTTTGGCATCCAGGTTGGTATTGAATCTTCGTTCGAGCTCCTGCTTCACACTCTTCTTCGTGACGGTCATCAAATCGGCTGTTTTTAAGATGTCTCGGATCTCCGCCAACAGGGCATCGTCAGTTGGGAGACCAGAGAAATCAGTCATCTCGAGCTCCGAACCGCGGCCAAGGAGTTCAGAGGCAGTAAGAGACATTCGGGATTGGCGATTATAATCGAGCTGAGAGGCTGGTCGTACGGGCGGATATCCATATTCAGACATCGCTGGGTGGTACGACTTGGTTCGATAAGAGTATCCGGATGCTTCGGACTGATCATCACGGTACGTTTGGGCTTCCCAAAGTTCAACCTGATATTCCTCCCACTTCTTTTTTGGAATTGAAGATGGATCAAATTTGCCTTCGTCTGTGATGACGATCTTACGGCCCTTTTCCCCAGTGACAATACGTGTATTACCCCATGTGAAGTCATCCATATGCCAAAAAGCGTAGAGAGGAAGACCTAGGGAAAATATAGGCATAGCAAGGAGATAGATAATCATCCAACCAATCATCTCCCATTTTCGACGGAGAATGAAAATAAGCGCCTGCAGACCGTAGATAGCACCAAGCAAAATGAAGGCTGTGATTGGAATCAGAGTTGGATTCATTGCCACAAGGACGATAAGGTAGACAATATAGGCGACAGTAACCGGCTGGACAATTGTGCTAAGAAGATCGACGAAAACAACAAATCTCATGCTGAAGCAGCAGAATCCACAAAGTTGTTGGAGTGGGATAAGTTCGATCAAGTTATGGATAGTGGAGTTAATCCATCTGCGTCGTTGTGATAAGAAAACAGTCCAACTATCAGGTGCGACGGTCCATGCATGCGCATTGAAAATATATTTAGTCTTGTATTTTGGATGATGCTTCAGCAGTAGTGTTGTGAGATATCGATCCTCACCCAAATGAAGAAGGTTCTTCATATGAAGGGTATCAACACGAATTTCCCCATAAGCATCTACGACTTCTTTGCTCACAAACAGAGGCTTTCCCGTGTCCGCAGCGCGGATTCGGTACATACTAAAACAACCGGGTAAACAGGTCACGGAGCCGAACAAGCTTTCAAAAGCTTTAGTTAAATTGTGAGAAATCCAGTACTCGTAAACCTGAATCATGGTGATCATAGATGATTTGGCGTTATTGAGAGCTGTTTCCCCACAAAGCCCAATAATTTTGGTATCGTGTAAGAAGGAAGCCACCATTCGAGTACCAGAGTCTGCTGCAACAATGGTATCTGCATCAACTTGTAGGATGAACTCATAAAAGGTTGGGTTCACTCCAATGATATTTCGGATCTGATGATGCATCTCCAATTCAAGGGGGCTCATTGGCGCATTGTAGTGAACACGGTTGAGGAACCGCATCAAAAGCATCTGAGAGTCACGTTTTCCACGATTACCAGGGCGGGAGACTTCAGACGGTTTACCAACTTTCACAACAACCAAAAATGGGACAATATGGCCCTGGACTTCGTACAGGCCAGAATAGACCTTGCCCATGTTGTGCTGTCTCATTCCTTCTCCTAAACTTTCAAAACTCAATGGCTCCGGATCAACAGTATCTGGGACGCCTAGAATATCAAGAACAATGCGAGGTGTGGGCCGATCATTGCCTTGTCCAATAATCATACCATCGCAAATAACAACCAGGAGCTTTCGCTTGTCATCATATTTCATTCTAGCCATAGAGTCCATTGCACGGCGAAGAGAATCCTCATCTTCGGTATACGCCGGTACCTGGCATATAATAAATTTATCGAGATTTTCTGGAGTATTCTTCCTCCCAAATTGTAGTGCGGCTAAGAACTTGAAACCAATTATACTTGCCAACAATATTGAGATGGCGAGCACGAAATATTGAGAAAAGAGGCATTGTGTAGAGTTTCTGGTGTCCACCTTTCCAACCTTGAATAAATTGTTTAGGCATACCTCCATATCATAACGTTGGGTTCCGCTGATTGGGAGCCTGTTCCAGTATTCAGTAATATCAAATCCAGACTTTTGCTGGAACAATTCAACCACACGGGGCTCCATGAAATCCACATCCACGCCTGGATTATTATTTCCGTCCTGGAGTCTTGTATACCGACCACCTGCGATGTAATTCGTTAAATCATATACTCCTTGATGTAGGACAGCAATGTACTGTGATCTCTTTTCTGCAAGTGTTTTAAGATGCTTCATAGTGTAACCCAGCTCTCCTTTCTTATAATTCGAGCGAAGATACCGCATTTTTTGATAGTACCAAGCTGGACGAGAATCATTTTTGAAAGATCGGAAGTCGTGGTATTGGAAGTTTTTATCGTTGCCGCTCACGACATTAGCGGAACCAGATACATTAACAGGTGTAAAATCGAATATGACTGAAGGGTCAAGTGGCTGAGCGTCACCACCCTTGCCCTTACAAAGCGCTGAAACTTGAACAGGAAACAAGCGTGTGGCGTCGACGCCGGCATATTTAAGTAAGGCTTGTCGAGGAATGATGCCGGGGTAATGGGCGGGAAGAAATGCCCCGAGGTCAAAGACTTCTCCTCGAATGGCAGTATAGGCCCCATTCTTTCCCTTGCCATCATGGGATGAAAGTTCTGCGGCAGAAAAAACATGTTGCGTCGGACAAATCAAGCGCGGGAACAGGACAATGAAAAAAACAGCAAGCCCACAGCAGAGCCAAATGAGGATGTTGATAGCAAGCTTCTCCCGCCAAGCAATGCGAACATCCTTTCTTTTCATTTTGCCGACCCATTTAATCAAGATATCGGGAATATAGAAAGTAAGAAGGTAAACGAGAGCAAGCCAGCGCTTACGGCTGCCTGAGACGATAACATCCTCAACCTCAACCATTTGCTTTTCGTTACTTCGCTCCGCCATTTGCTCTCGGGTCTCTAGATTCTTGAACATATCACCGGAATTGAAAGCGGAAGCGCCGGCATCTGACCGGCCATCCAATTCCCGGCTTCCGAAATACCCTTGCTTATCATCCCCATAGATAAATGCTCCAGGAGTTGATTCTCCAGAGGGCAGTAAACGAACCTTGGAGTCACCATACGGATTGGCTCCGGTAGGCAAAGCGGCGTCTCTGCCATCATCTGTCCCTTCCCCACTATAACTTGGAACAACTCTTTCGCCGACCTTAGCAAGGTCTGCCCAGCACCTTTCACTTAGGAAAACGCCTGTGCTGCCAACGCGGGCCTCGTTCTGCGGCCATCTTTTTTCTTCTACAATTAGAGCAGATTTTTCCCGGTCACTGCCAACAATAACTGATTCAGCCTCTGCAAGTCCAAGGAATTCTGCGAATGGCAAAAAGATGGAAAAGTCCGCATTTCGAAGACGTTGACTAATTTCAGCAATTCCCAAAGTCTGAACCTGGGTTCTCACGCACTTGCTATCGAACTGATTCGCAATTCGTCGATCGTTCGGTTTGAGACAAAAGACAAAATATGGATTGACATTTGTAGCGGAGAGAGATTTGGTGATATTGTCAAGACCAGCGAGGAATTGACCCGCTGCGCCCTGTTTGGGGGCACCGGCTACCTGCCCCTTCTTCCCACCGGAACCAATTTTTTTGGCAATTGTAGACGTGCTGGCATCATCGGTTTCATCTGGCTCTGACTGTGACCCGAAAGATGCAAATCTTGAGGGTTTACTCATTTTCCGTCGTGCCATGCTGGGCATTCTTAGTGGCTTAGAGCTGACTTGAGCTTGCATGATGGTATTCTTTTCTTTAGGGTGGCAAATTGTCTGCAAGGCTTCTTGACCGAACAGCTCCCGAACGAATCCACTCTTGGTAGAATTAATTATATTAAGTAGATCCCCTGACACCAAATCACCATTTTCCTCAATGAGGCCTTTGACAGGGTAATCAACTTCTCCCGCAAAATGCTTCACAGTGAAAATCGGGTCCGCATTTTCACTGGCGAAATTACTCCCCGGTAGAACTGCCGTGGAGCTACCCACGGCGATAGCCGTATTTTTATTGTCGAATCTCTTTCTGATGCTTTCCAAAAATTGCATATCGCTTCGAGCACGTTTGGTTTGGTCATCTAAGATAGAAAGAAGACCATTACCATGCTTGAGAAGTCCTTTTACGGCATCGGAGTTATCAAAATAGCTAGTAGCTGGAACATTAACCTCCTCAGTTTCTAGCATATCTGCTTGGCGCTCGAAGAAATTTTGCAGGCAGTAATGATAAAGAGACTCTGCTGCGGCATTATTTAACAGTTGATCAAGGGTGGAATTCGTGGTGGATGCCTGTGCGAAGCCAGGGAAGTCGATGATAGAGATTGTGTTTGCAACGGTATCTTCAGGAGCACAGACCCGCTGGTTGATATGTTCAATCACATAGGCGACAAGAAGAGCGTAAAGTGTCCGGGCAAACCCATCCGCGTTTGTTCGAGCGCCCTTTGGGTCCAGCATGACAGTAACTCGTTCTTTATGAATCGTCTTCGTCTTGTATCCAAGACTCATTTCTAGCTCGTCAACGCTCAAACCAAGGAATGCAGACACAATATTCAGAACGTCCTTATTTTTAACCACTGTCACAGTCTCACCCCCCTCATGGGAATATCCGCCGCTCTCGTCAGCGCCAGTCCGTGTTGCCTGGCCGGTGGTAAATTCCAGCTGCCCAATGTGCAAAATACAGGCAAGGATTTGGCAAATTTCTGCTATCTCACTTCGAGGGAACTCTAGTTTCCGCAATGCGGTCTTAAAATGTTGAAACCCTTCCGTGTCATTAATGCCAACTTTCAACTGAGTTGGGTGTCCGAGATATCGCCAACGCTTATGCGCAACATGTCCTGAGGCTAGTTTTGTCGGTGCAGTCGCAAGGGCGTTGTCTGATGTGTCCAACCCGAGATGTGTCTTTTCGGCGGCACTGGTTCCGGCTAATAGATAATATAGAACATGAAAACTACGCTCGCCGGTGGGTACGGACGCAATCCTACTCCGTTCCAACCGGTGGTCTAGAAGTTTGCCGCCAATTAAGGTCGGGTTAACAGTGGAAGAACCATCGTATTGTAGTTCGAAGAATAGACCTGCTTTCGATGCAGTTGGGGTCGTCACGGTTTTGGTGGTTGTAAGCGTGTCGAAAACGAAGGCTGCCAAAGACAATTTGGTGGAAAGTGGAGTGGATGAGAATGAAAGTAAAGAGGACACAAGGTGAGAACGAATCGTTGTTTTGCCCGAGCCAGACTCGCCCCTAAGGAGGTTAGTACGCAGACTCAAGACTCAGAGGACCTACAAAGAGTCACATACAAGAAAACAACGGCCTGATTTTCTCCTCTAGCCCCGAGTCTTGTCCAGGCACGTTTTGCCAAATCATCCGCCTCCCCCATCGCACTGCCAGCCTTGAGGCCATCGGGGCCTCTTGTTGACGACGTATATGTATTCAAACATATTAAAGCATGTGAAGACAGTCTAGCTGTAGGAAGGGAGACATGAAATCTGCCAGAAACCGAAAATAGTTGTTAGTTCGAGATGGCCTTGGTAGAAGTACTGTTTGAGACACAGCGTGGGCGTCTTACCGGCTCGCTAGATGAGCAGCCAAATGGGCATCTGTTTGAAGATGTTGGGGTAGAGAAGGTAGTGATGACTGGTTGTGAGATGGGGCAGACGGCCCCTGCGAGCTTGTCGCCATGCTTGATCAACAGACCACGCTTGCAGACTTGGTCGCGGAAGCCGGGAGCAAATGGGCGGAAGCGATTCGAGACCAAGCAGGTAACGTTTCAAGACATGAATAGAGGTTGGTGGAAGAGGGGGTCTGCGAAGCTGCTAGCCAAAGAATGGAATAGCAAGGAGGAGTCTCGTATGATCAGAACGACAGCTTGTCAAGCACAAGGTAAATGTTGATGTTGTGCAAAAACAAGGGGCCCAAAAGCACGCAACGGTAACGAGAGAAGGGAACCAGGAGAAAAAGAACGTTCCCCTGGAGGTGGAAGTCGAGGAGAAAGGACAAACGAAGGCTGTTCTGTCGACCTGGCGTGAGAGGTGATGTCGATGGAGGAGAAATTCGAATGTCGTCGGTGATAATGCGGAGCGAAGCCGAACGAAGCCAAGTGGTCTTGAAACGCGTATTGGTACGTGAATATACGGTGTCAGGAAACTAACGGCGCATTTCATTTTGGCTGCAGCCATTGGCTGGCAAGCGGTAAGGAGTGGATCTCATTTAGGTTCGCAAGGGCGTCCCATTGGCGCGCTGCCGCGGTAATAAATGGATCCTGGTACGGAGGACGGAGCAAGCCAGACAAGCTGTACGGCAAGCTTGACGCCCCCGAAGGAACAATCAGGAGGCTGTTGGACGCCCAGTGATGCGCATATCCTGCGTTATGAAGAAGACAGCGGATGATATCTCTTGCCCTTCCGCCATCGGTCCCGCGCCCCTTTTTGCGTCCGTCTGAAAAACCTTCGCTCGCTCCCCTGCTGGCATCAACCAGGACACGGCCAGTCCGTCGACGGTGGCGCTGCTCAGCCAGCCAATTGACGCCAGGTTGGCGGGCGCTGGTCTGTGCGCGGCTGCTGGTCCATCGCATTCCTTTCGGGGCTAGCGTGGGTCAATTGCCATGCCAACCAATCAGGGCCTCGCTTCCGCCTCGCGCCGCACCTGCGCACGTGACAGAACCCTCGCTCGCGAGGTGTGCAGGCGGGCTTGGCACGGGCGGGACATGGGCAGGGAGGCGTTTCATCGCCCTCCGATCATAGAGAAAATCAGGGCTGCTCTCTTCCCGGTCGCATCGGGACAAAAAAGGGGGCGTCCGGAGAGTGCACTGTCGATGCCAGGCCAGTTGGCGGCGAGAATGCGGCTGAGGCAGCTTCTTTGAGGCATCCGTTGAAGATGGTGGGATGGATTCTCCTTAGAGCCTCCACTCGCCGATGGCAGGATCCAGCGCAACTGAAACATACAGCTTTCCTCCGGTGCCCTTCCCGCGCCGCGGTGCAGACACACCAGAATCTTGACTTTTTCCGCTGAAACCTTGCTGCCATATTTAGATCACCCACCCTGTGCATGAGGATCGGGTGACTTTCGCATACCTACCCTATCTCAACGCGTAATGCATGTACACACAGCATACCATATCGAACGCTTGCCCCCTCGGATCGTTCTCCTTTCCCCCATGATCAGCGGCCGCGAGCGGTGGTTTGCGGCGTGGGCGACGATCTGCCTAAAAGCCGCTTATGTAAGCGATTGTATTGTAACGCCATGTTCTGTCCAATACCGTACGTCGACGGAACACCGTCAACAAAGCAGTGAGAAGTGAGACAAGCAATTCCTGACAGCAGATCATCCACAACCTCGCTGTCACTTGCGATCACGCTTTGTCTTCCAGTCTCTCGTTCGTTGCTTGCTACTTTTCTACCTTCGTTCGTTGATTTAGCGGAGGGGGAATTTTGCCTACATTTTCGTTCTGGCCATCCATCTCCCTCACTTCCTGCATTTTGGCCCATTGCTGTAGTGTTTCAGGGCTGTCAAGGAATGTCCAGTTTGCCATCGGGCATCAGAATTGGGAGAGCATTCTGATCGCCCCTGCTCTTCGTTATCTTTTCACCAACGATAGTCAAGCCATATTTGGTCTCTATACTTGAACGAGCGGTCTAGATACATCTCGACCGTTTCTACCCAGATCTTTCGACCCTGGTTCTCCCAGGAAGACTGCTTGGTCTTTAACCATGACGAACCGGATGTCGATATATTCTACGACCTCATCTCCTGCTGGCCCTCGCTCTGCCTTGCAGCAAGCCACACAGGTCTCGACTACAACGCTACTAAACTCCCTCCACAACGCTTTCCTTTCCGGACAACCTTACCAGCATGATGCCACAACCAGTATCGTCGTGAACACAGTGTCAACGAGCCTGAACCCAGGACCCAATGGAGAGCTAGGCGGTACCATCGATGCCTCTATTGCAAGGAGAGCCTGGGAGCATGCTCGACGGAGAGCAGAAGACGGATGCATTGTGCTATGGTCTGTTGTTGCTCTAGCATCCATTTATCATTCTTGTTTACTGACGCCTCTTCTAATCTAGTTCTTCTCATCACAATACGCCATCTGTTTTATCCCCCTTCCTCCTGTCTCTACCTTTATCTACTCCAGAGATCCTCCACATAGCCTTAGCCGCAATTCGGCCATTCGTTTCTCATGTCACGCCTTTTAACCCCTCCTGTTTACAGTACTCATCATTCGCTGTCACCTACACATTCACTCTTACCGGAACAGTCACCGATGTAACTCTAGCTTTGTCTACATCCGGTGTTAATATTGCCGGTGGGCTGACGAGTATTCCTTCTGAGCGCGGATATCGTGTTTTTGATGTTTTCTATTATCTCTTGTCGTCAGCTTCTACTCCTGCAGAACGGGAATTCTTAAGCCTTAAACACCCAGAGACATACTCGTTACTTAACAGATCACAGTCATACGACCCTCCCTCTTACCTTCCCACCACAGACGATGGTGCCGCAGCTGAGGACTTTCGAGCCAATCTTAGGGCCCTTGGTATTAAAGGCGCTGAGCTCCGTGGCCTCCTCTCTGTTCTTGCTGGCTTGCTTAAACTTGGCAACACTGCAGGTTTTCTGGTTGAAGAAGAGGAACTGGAAGACTTATGTGAAGACATTGGTGGCCTTCTAGATATTGACCCCATTATTCTCCTGAAAAATTGCTCGACAGAAGAGCGGGAGTCGTTAATTCTGGGACTATACGAAACTCTTTTGGACTGGGTCATTTCTAAAGCTAATAACACCATTCGCGCCGAACTTCAGGGCTCTCATAACAATGGCTCTATTGATAGTCTACCCGAGACTCCAAGCCCACTTTCAGAAGAAGACACGGTGAGTATCACTGTTGTTGAGATTCCAGGTGAACCGTTAGGCAAAGCGGTCTCTCTTAGAGGCGTTTTCGACGACTCTATTGGTATTAATGCGGAAATGAAAGATGACGGTATCAACATGGTAAACCCAGGACATTCGGTCATCAAGGAAATGGAAAATGCCGTTGCAGAGGTGGAAGTCGATTTTGGTATCTTGAATGGCTCTGCTGGCCGATTGCGTGAGCGAGAGCGAGACAGGATACAAGGGGCTCTTGAAAAGGTTGGAGTTGAATTAGATTCTACAGCATTTTTGAAAAGGGTTCTGTATCCCGTCAATGGAGGTGATCTGAACTTCGGTCAACGAGGCCGCTTCGATCTTAATGCCACCCTTGGTAGCAGCAGGGTTTGGTATCATATTTCAGTTCACCCAACAGATGATTTGCCGGCCGAGATTTTTTCCTTATCCTCGCCTACATCGGCGTGGTCTGCAGGTGCCGTGTCTCGACAACTTCGTTCTTGGAGACTCGCTGAATGGGCCAACCGTCGGAATAAACACCTGGACTTCACAGCAGACTTCGACATAGAAGAATTCGTTGGCCGATATGCCCCTCTTGGATGTTTAGAAGGAAAAGACGGCGTTGAGAACTGGATTATTGAACGGGGATGGAGTAACGGTGACGTCGTTGTTGCGAAGGAACGGATTTGGATGCGGGAATCCGCGTGGTGGGGTGCAGAATCGATGCTTGATCTGAAGCCTGCGGTGCCTGTTAACCCTTTCAGTACTCCTGACGCTACACCATTTGATGGTGGCTATGGTGCTCCATCGCCTGCCAATGGCAGTGGATTCTTTCCCCCGGATAACATGAGCACCTTGGGCAGCCGGGAGAATTTGATGAGCTTGAATCGGCAATCAATGGGACCCAGGGCTCCTAGTGCTTTAGGTGGTCCGGCTCGCTCAATTGCGCCTACTATGATGTCTCAGCCAGTACAAGTAGCAACTGGTGATTATGGCCTGGGACCGAAAGGCGACGATCGACAGCATGAAAACGTGTACTATGATCAAGATCTTGGCAGATGGACTGCCCTCGACCCTGAACTTGCAGATCCGAAAAAGATTGAGCAAAAGAAGATACCTCTCAATCGTCGTATCTGGACTGGTTTTGTTTGGGGAATCACATTCTGGATTCCATCGTTCGTACTTCGTTACGTTGGTCGAATGAAGCGCCCAGATGTCCGTATGGCATGGCGAGAAAAGGTTGTTCTTATGCTTCTGATTTTCTTACTGAATGCTATTGTTATTTTCTACATTATTTTCTTTGGTGACTTACTTTGCCCTAACAAAGACAAAGTCTGGACGAACAGAGAAGTTGGTTTTCATCAGGGCGACAATGATTTTTTCGTCAGCGTTCATGGAAAAGTCTACGATATCAGCAAATTTTGGAAATCCACTCATGCTAATAACAAATATCCTACTGGCAGGGATCAAATGAGGCCATTTGCCGGTATGAATATGGACGCCTACTTTCCGTTACCCCTCACTTATGCTTGCCCCGGGTTCGATATTGGTACCAGTATTCAATTGCAATATAATAATTCGGAGGCTATTGAGCGCAGAGAAGCTATCCACAACTCCGGGCCGATATTCCAACCCGACCGCACCCTTACTATGAATAAGATTGATTGGTATGGCAACACATTTCTTCCTAGGATGAAGGAATACTATAAGGGAGACTTGGTACACTCAAGAAAAGCACTACCAAAAGAAGCTGCGGACCGTTCTAGACAGTGGGTAGTCATCAGGAACAACATCTACGATTTGACAGACTACTTCTATACTGTTAAGGTTCAGAACGAATTGAAACAATATGACTTTCTTCCTGCCGCAGTGACCGATCTATTCAAGAAAAATGCCGGCACGGACATAACAAGCCAATGGAAAGACACCCGTGAGTTCGTTAATAGTCTGAATTGTCTCAACAACCAATTTTACGTTGGTAAATTGGATTTTCGAGAGACGGCTAGATGCCAGGCGAACAACTACATTCTTCTGGCGTTTACGATTATTCTCTGTTCCGTCATCTTGATTAAATTCTTGGCTGCTCTCCAACTTGGAACCAAACGAAAGCCTTCCCCACAAGACAAATTTGTTATCTGCCATGTGCCAGCTTACACAGAAGGAGAAGATCAGCTGCGAAAAGGACTTGATTCCCTCACAGCTCTTCAATATGATAACAAAAGGAAGCTCATTTTTGTCATTTGTGACGGCATGATCGTTGGTGGAGGTAATGATAGACCCACCCCAAAGATCGTCCTGGACATTTTGGGCGTTGATCCAAAAATCGATCCACCAGCTCTTCCATTCAAATCCGTTGGCGTGGGGAGTGAACAGCTAAATTATGGAAAGGTCTACTCTGGTCTTTATGAATATGAAGGAAACGTTGTCCCTTACATTGTTGTTGTCAAAGTTGGAAAAGAATCAGAGCAAATCAAATCAAAACCAGGAAATCGTGGAAAACGTGATTCACAAGTTATGCTTCTCAACTTTCTGAATCGCGTCCACCATCGCTCGATGATGTCTCCATTGGAGTTAGAAATGTTCCATCAGATCAATAATGTAATTGGTGTTGACCCTGAGTTATACGAATATGTGCTCATGGTTGATGCTGATACCAGTGTTAAGGAGGATTCACTTAATCGTCTTGTTGCAAGCTGTGCGAATGACGCCAAAATTGCTGGAATCTGTGGTGAAACCAGTTTGCAGAATGAGGAGCGTTCTTGGTGGACTATGATACAGGTCTACGAATACTACATCTCCCACCATTTGGCAAAGGCCTTTGAATCCCTTTTTGGCAGCGTTACCTGCCTTCCCGGATGGTAAGAATGACTCTTAAGAGTTCTCTTATGTCTATCTGTGAACACGACACTGACTTCTAAATAGCTTTTGCATGTACCGCCTGAGAAGTGCCGACAAAGGGCGACCATTAATTATCTCTGACAAGGTCATTAACGAATACTCTGACGGTGATGTCGATACGCTGCACAAAAAGAATCTCTTGTCTCTTGGTGAAGATCGATATCTCACGACATTGATGACCAAGCATTTCCCAAATATGTCCTATAAATTTATACCCGACGCATATGCGAGCACAGCAGCCCCTGAAACCTGGAGCGTCCTTCTTTCTCAGAGACGTCGCTGGATTAACTCTACGATTCACAATCTAGCAGAGCTGATGTTCCTCAAGGACTTGTGCGGCTTCTGTTGTTTCAGTATGCGTTTCGTCGTCTTTATTGACTTGTTCGGAACTATTATTCTTCCAGCAACAACTGTGTACTTGGGCTACTTGATTTATCGCGTAGCAAGCAGAACCGGTCCTTTCCCAACAATCTCAATTGCAATCCTCGCAGCCGTTTATGGTCTACAAGCAATTATTTTTATTATCAAACGTCAGTGGCAGCATATTGGATGGATGATCATTTATATATTGGCCTATCCAATCTACAGCTTTGTTCTTCCGGTTTATTCCTTCTGGAATCAGGATAACTTCTCTTGGGGAAACACTCGTATCGTTATTGGCGAAAAGGGCGATAAACGTGTAGTTGCTGTGGAAGATGAAGGATTTGATCCCCGAAGCATCCCTCTTCAACGCTGGGACGACTATGCTCTTATAAATAACCTACCTGGCCGACGGGGTGGACAAGAGAAACAATATCAGCAATATTCCGATGACGTCGGTATGGAGATGGATGACATGCATTCGACATATTCTTCAGTCAAGCCAGCGTCCACTATTCTCACCGGATTCCCGAACCAAGGACCACACCACACTCCTTACGTTCTTCCACAATCAACATCTACTTTGGCTATTCCTGGAAACCGGAACTCCCACATGACTCAATTCACTCCGTACACTGATAATCCTCAGGCTCGAAACTCGCAACATCTTTCCGTCGCAAACTTGAGCCATTATCAGGAAAGTTCTGCAAACGCCAGCCGCTTGAGTGGAATTGGGATGTTGTCACCAGATAGTCAAGCAGGTCAACGACAGAGTTTACGTAGCCCATTGTCCCGACCTACCAGCACAATGATAGATTTTAGAAACCCGCCGAATCAGGGACCAGATGAAACCGCTATTACCGCTGCTATCCGCACTTGTCTTGCTGAAGTTGATTTGGACAGCGTGACCAAGAAACAAGGTATGTATTTTCGAAGATAGAGTATCATGTTTTAATCATTGATGCTAAGAGATATTTAGTTCGTGCACTTGTTGAACAACGCCTTCAGACTACATTGACTGGCGATAAGAAATCGTTCCTTGACCGCCAAATCGACCACGAACTGGCAAATATGTAATCTTGTCAGAAATGCTTACTACGGCCTGATCCCTGCTCGGCTACACTTTCTTCCCTAAAAGTGAACCAGATCTTTGTCATTTATTGTTCTTGTTTTGGATAAGCATGAGAATTACCTATGCATGGTGTGTTGATATTTTGTATTTTTTCCATCTTTCGTTTCTTGGGGGTCATCTTTTTAACATTAAAAATAATAATTTTTGGCCGATATTCTGGAGACATCTGTTTTTGAGGGCCAGGGAATGAAACGGCACACCATACGCCTGGATAATTTATTTGTTTTAATAATTCTGCTAAGGAGTGTCCCTACCCTGCGTCTGTTTTCTAACTCTCCTGTCTCTCATACCCTTTTTAGCTGGGGGCTCTGTGGCGTGAATATTTTCGAGTGTAGCCTTGGTGAAGAGGTGAAAACAATTCCTCATTTGATATTTCACTGCTTTCAAGTTTTTGTCCGCCTTTTTCTCAGTGTACATATAATAAAACATACGCCAGAATTCGTGATATTACACTGTTGGTTCTCACTCATACAGAACACTTTTGGGCTTATCATATACTTTGTGCAAGAAGGGGCAACAGAGCCATACTGTACGGAGTATATCCACCAATATTGACATCCTCTATACTCCGTGTAGCTTCTCAAAATCCTCCAACCCCCCTAACCCTTTTTACTGCACCAATCACACCCCTTAACCAGCTAAATTTCCCAGGATTTGTCCCAATTGAGCCAACGGCCAACTCTCCTGTTTTTGGGTCATGCCAACATCCATCTCTGGTGCTGACAGCGCCATATATTGAAGTGTTTTGGTTTTTTCGAAGGGCTTCCAGCCAATTTTGGCAGATTAGCGCAGAGTCAAGGAGCACATTTGTTTCCTGGCTATGAAAGAACGATTGGGTATCCAAATTTCCACTGCCTGTTTACAGATATTTTGCTCGCGTGAGATCGAAGTTATATGTTTGGGGAATGGTAGGGATAGTATTAAACGTACCTTGAATGGCAACCTTCTCGTCAATAATCATTAATTTGATATGGCAACTTCGCTTTTTGAATGAATTATGTATCGGTTTTGTCTGATCTTTTGCAACGTAATTATATATACGTAACCTAACTTTCTCTTCATCACAGGATAATGAGTTATAGAGACGATTACAGATCATTTCATTGGTCCCGTTCTGAAAAGGTAGCAGCTGACCTGCGTCGTTGTAGCCGAGACAAAGATAGCAGGTTACTACTACTCCGCGACGAACCGCATCAATAAGTGGCTTGAGTAAAGGTTCGGCGTTTAGATCTGGCGTCTGGATAAAAATACTGTACTCAGCACTTTCGATTGCGGCAAGAAATGCTGTATTTTGAGGGGTATATATGCTTGAGTGATTTAACGCTACAAGCAGTCAGTATGACAGTTTAAAAAAGGCCATGGGCCAATCGGCTCACCTCCCCAAGGCTCACGGTTTACCATTGCCATTGGAAATGGCTGGTGGTGCGGATGTAAGAAGTAGGGCAGCATGTGATCATCTGCCTCCCATTCTGGTGCATCCCCAATAGCGCTAGGGATTGCCGGGACATCTAATAATAGCCAATGTTAACGGAGACAATGCTTTATTGTTGAAGGAGTGATTACAGACTTAAATGCCGCGATACACAGTCCCTTCGAGTTTCTCCTAAGACTGGTGTAAGTCTTATTTTTACTCTTTCTGTTTCAGAAGCAATGTCTATATCATATGCTATATTTCCAGGGAAGTGCCCCGAGTCACTTGCATTATCGCCTTTTTGAGGGAGTTCGACGCTGCGGAAATCTATTAGTACCAATCTGACTAAAACTTTGAGGCCATTCTATACGTATTATACGCTTCATTGCTCTCATTTACTTGAATATTGTTTGCAAAGCTTGGAGGTTCTTCAAGTGAAGCCGGGGATTCGATCATGGGCAGTGGCGGTTGAAGCGATATATCCCAGGAAATCAAGGCCATATCGTAAAACGAATCAACAATAGAGCCCTCAAATCTAACCATCATCTCGAGGTTATCGTTATCCTAAAGGTAGTTAGCCGAAGCATCAACTCACACAACGGGCTCAGAACCTGTATATTATTGCTCATGAGAAGAGCCATTTTTCTATCTACAATCATAACTTTAGAGTGAAGAGTTCCGACCACAGGACGATGGTAATTGAGCACTTGTAGATCAATGTTAGGAATCTCTTCCGGTGAAGGAAGTCGAACCCTCTCGCTCAGAGCCTCGTTTCGGCTAACCGGCTGGCGATTATTTAAGACCTTGTTGTGTTACTGTTAGAACATAAGTCGAGTGCAGATTAGTTAGCCACTAAGCATTCTGCAACTTACTTGTTTCACGTTCCCCCGGTCATACATCATCTTCATTACCACTCTTGTTCCTCGCAGAGCAGTGCGCTTCGATAATTCTCTCATTGCATTAGTCAGAAGTTGAGAGTTATTTGAATATATCCAGTAGCTTGTAAGAAAAATTATTTCTTTCTCCGCTCTTACAATACAGTTGGCTAAATGGTGACAAATATCTGGCAGGGTACCAATTATTGTCAAGGGCACCACACCGGAGCTACCCATCAGAGGAGGTGACACCAGGCCAGACATAGGGTCTTGCATAAGTGGACAAAGCGCATCATGATATATCTGCCCTGACTTCAGTATTCTAGTCCACCAGGGGTACTCAATACTGTACTTTGAGGAAGAGATCACTGGGTCGCTGTGAACCCCATTTTCCGCACTGTAGAGCAGTGTTCAAATCCTTTGCAAAATGGTGTTGGATCCTGGAGTTAGGATATTCGTCAAGGTTCCTCGATTTCTCCGAGAGAACCCGCACAATTGTATCATGAGGAATTGTGTTCTGGTCTTTTGCCATTTCGGAGCTGACTGTGGTGCCTTCTTGGCAGAGTTGGACAACACGCTCAGAAATCATTTTAAAGCAGGTTCGGTGTCGACTGATCGGCTGAAGTGAAGAAATAGCCAGCACGACGCAGTAAAAAGTAACTGATACGCCGAACAATGCTTTTGCAAATGTCCAGATATATGGTTTCAAGGAGGGATATTGAGAGAGACGCCAAATATCGACACAAAGGTATGCCATATTTGCATTAGGGAAAAATGATAAGATTTTAGAACAAAAAAATCACCAGTAGTGTGTTCATTTTATACAACAGTAATGGCAAGGCCAGTCCCAAGTCAGTAGAAAATGATAGGAGTCAAGACAACTCTGCTAAAACCTTGTTGATAGTGCACAATCGATGCCTGGCCAGTATCGAACAGACTTCTGGGCCAATTTGTATGCTTCAGCGGTGTAGAACTCCTCAAGCTTCCGTTCTTGTTCGTGGAGTTTTGGAGGGGAAAAGCTGTGCAGCTCCTGCTGTTCTGGAAGGGGCAAACTGCGTCATTGTTATGTCATAACGCCAAGCCGGAGCCTCGACCGGTAGTTATGTATGTGGGCTCTAGTCCTAGAACGGACTAGCTTGGCTGTTCCTTGAGCTTATTCTGATTGGCCGCGGGGTTCTCAAGCGGGCCGAATTCGGTTCTCATGGGGTCTTTATTAACTGATTATCAGCTTCAAGTCTTGTTGTTACTATCCTTCATACCTGCATGGCACAAAAATCACATATTTGAAACAATTGACATTTCGTAGCTGTTTTCCCAGGGTTATTATTCACATTCAACCGGCTTCCATAAACAACTCTCTAGATCTCGGCATTTTTCTCGGCTTTCTCTGGTCTGGAACTTGAAAATCGAGAAAGATGTGCGTATATAACACCATATTTGCTATACCAGTACTAATGCGGGTACGTTTTTCACAGGGGGTACACTGCTTCATTCGCATTCCTTGAAGCGATTTGGGATGTATGAGACCCTTAACTTACCACATACGATTAGAATTGACATGCGCAAAACCAGGCTGGAATTCGCTATGTCTTCGCGAATTTGGGATCTGATCATCCGTCAATTCTGGAGGCTTTCATCAAGGGCCAGGCCGAAAGAAATGGCGCGTTTCCGAAGGTGATCACATGCCCAAACGAGGTATGTCCTGGTCTTCGTCTTACACCTCGATCTCATTGCAAAGTTCCCCTGCAGCAACCCTTGTCGCGTTGTTGATGTCGCTGTGGTGACATCTTGGCTTTTTCCCACACCACGTGAACAGTGATGAGCGGCTTACCCTGGTTTACCCTAACAGATGGTTGCACTTTCGATGGCTGACGGATACGCACGTCTCACAAACAAACCGCAATGTGTGATCGTTCATGTGGACGTGGGTACTCAAGCACTGAGCTCTGCTATTCACAATGCCTCGTGTGGTCGTTGCCCCGTGCTCATTTTCGCTGGTCTGTCTCCTTTCACCGCGGAGGGAGAAATGCGAGGATCTCGCACGGAATATATTCACTGGATACAGGATGTACCAGATCAAAGGCAGATTGTTTCTCAATACTGCCGATATACTGCTGAGATTAAAACCGGGAAAAACATCAAGCAGATGGTCAATCGAGCTCTTCAATTTGCCACAAGCGCCCCCACTGGCCCTGTCTATTTAGTGGGCGCAAGAGAGGTAATGGAGGAAGAAATCGAACCATATTCCATTGAGCAGAAGCATTGGGGGGCTGTCTATCCAGCAGCACTCCCAATAAGCGGTGTGGAGCAAATTTCAGAAGCCATCGTCTCGGCTCAACTACCCCTCGTCATTGTAGGGTATTTAGGCCGCCACGAGAGAGCGGTCAAGCAGCTTGTCCATCTTGCCGACATTATTCCTGGCCTTCGTGTCCTTGATGCAGGTGGTAGCGACATGTCTTTTCCTGCAAACCATCCTGGCTGGCTTGGCTTGCGTGTCAGCGGCCATGAGGCAATCAAAACTGCAGACGTTATTCTGGTAATAGACTGTGATGTTCCATGGATACCTACACAAGGAAAACCACTTTCGTACGCCAAGATATTTCATATCGATGTGGACCCATTAAAGCAACAGATGCCTTTGTTTTATATTCCCTCACTGGCAACGTTCCGGGCCGATGCTGGAACAGCCCTGGAACAGCTAAACACATACATCTCATCGCAGAATACGCTCACCGATATGATGTCCACAGAGGCTTATGTGAAACGGTCTATTGCCGTGAGAGAATCTTATTCGGAACGTCTGCGATTGCTGGCAGAAAAGGCTGCTAGACCACAGGGGGTCGACGCTCCTTTTAATCCAGAATACCTTTTCTCGCAGGTTCGAAGCGCGTGCCCAGAAGATACTATTTGGGCAGTGGAAGCCGTCACTCTCGCTGAGCGTGTTTCTGCCCACATCCAAGCCACGTTCCCCAAATCCTGGATTAACTGCGGAGGAGGAGGTCTCGGCTGGTCTGGTGGTGGTGCGCTTGGTATTAAACTCGCAACGGATGACCAACACGGTGGGCGTGGAAAGGGAAAATTTGTTTGTCAAGTTGTTGGAGACGGAACGTTCCTTTTTAGCGTTCCTGGGTCGGTGTACTGGATCGCCCGCCGATACGAGATCCCTGTTTTGACAATCGTTCTCAATAACAAAGGTTGGAATGCACCTAGAAACAGTTTATTGCTTGTGCATCCAGATGAGGCTGGCTCTCGTGCCACTAATGAGGAGTTGAATATTTCGTTTGCACCAACACCAGACTATGCTGGAATTGCAAAAGCGGCTGCTGGTGGTAAACTTTGGGCCGGCCGTGCGGGAACTGTGGAGGAATTAGCCAAACTATTGCCAGAGGCGGTTCGAAGTGTTCTGGATGGGAAGGGTGCTGTTTTAGAGGCGCAGCTAAATGGAAAAGACGGAAAATACGCCGGGAATTAGATGTCCGGTTATGTATTCAACCGATTTTGTATTTCAAAACAAACTCGGGCAGACAATGAAACCAACATAAAGATACGAAAACTGATTGGTGTTATATTTTGCCCGAAACCCTTGCCTGCTTACTTGCCATTCCGAAGGCGAGGCACTATCAGCCATGGATGAACCTCTTCCAATTGTTGCCTAGCCTTTTAATTCCATCTTCTAGTTTCCAAGACCGAACATCGCAAATGGTCCGTACGATCACTTCCAACATGTAGTCCATTTTTTCTCCAGCTATGTGCAAATCGCTCTCCACCAAGATCCTATCATCAGGAACAGCTTTCATAACCTCTACAGCTTTACTTACCGATCCATTGGGAAAATTGATTGTGCTGGAAAAGGAAAAATACACGTCTGCCGGATTGGAAGGGTGCAAAAAAAGCTTTAATGGATCTGCCGGGCCGGAATATGAATGCATGCATACTCTTGGCGGGAACGGATAGGGCTCGGAAGAGGTAGGGTGTTGATTCCTATCGATTTCTTCCTCACTTTCGTCTCCATGCGCATTCACAGCACTGCCGCGTCGGTGTCGTTGTCGTTTAGACAGGACAGGTATCTCGTAGCCTTTCCAGAGGTCACGCAAAATTTCTAGTACTGCACCATGTGCCTGAACGCTATGCACAGATACAGGCCGCTGTAGCTCACCAGCTAACCGTAGCTGGGCCTTTAAAATCGCCTTTTGGTGACTCAACGGCACACGATGAGGGGATAGTGTCCTGCCCTCCCGAAAGCCAGGGGTGCGAGACAAATCACGACTCTCTAGTTCATGCGAAAACCATGCATTCGGTATACGAAATGAGCGATCGAGACCAACCTCACCGACGAGTGCGTGAGGGAATTGGGTGAGATATTGTCTAGTTTCTTGAAGGATAGTAGAGAGTGGGCGGGGGGAGGGAAGTTCAGCGAGAAGAAGTTCATCCTGGATAGGAGGGGTTAAAACTGCTTTGTAATGTTCGATTTTGTCTATTGGCGTTTTCCCGGGGACATGTGTATCGTCAAATACTAAGTGAGAGACCCAAGGGTGCCAACCAAAACAGGGTATGATCTTTTTTTCCGGACGGGACTGCTTGGGATCAGAGTGATCAAGTAAATCTATGTCATCAAGTCTAGTGGCAACTTCGGCGACCAAATGTTGATCTTGTTCTCGAGTGGCCATAATGGCGAGCGTTCTGGCTTTCATCGTGGGAATGTCGTCAATGGACGACATGGTGTCTGTTGGGTGGCAGTGGGCATCGAAGACGCCCAGGTCCCAGGGGAAAGCTTGAGACTGTGATTCCATACTGGGGTTTATCTTAGGGATACTGTCAACTTTACTTCGTCTGTTCAACTGGTTGCCTGTACTTGGAACAAGTTAAACGAGTCAATTGGGTGATGACTAAGCAGATCAATGACCATCGTCCCAACCTCCAGAATTGCTCCCCATCGGTCATTGATTCTCGCAAATGAAAGCTATTCTCGATGCCAATCTCTAGGTCATTTTTTCTTACTCCATTAACATTCGTTGTGTCTATCCCAGTTCTTCTCTACAACTGTGTCATACTCACATATTTTAGTCTCTATCTCCTGACTCGCCACGCCCTCAGGTGCATTTCGGACGGATTGTATCTCAGCGAGTCGGTGTCTCCTGACAGATTTTTCTCCAGCATATTTCCTGCGGAGCTGCTTCCAGAAGAAGTCCCTCCCGTAAACAGCAAATTTCAGAGACTTACCAACGCTCAACACCCCCTAGAATCAGCCAATTCGGCAAGAAAACAACACTCCACACACCATTCTCGTCGATCTTCCGCTTCTTCTGAAAAAGCAGGAGTAAGGCGGGGGCTGCCAAAGCTTTCCCAATCCGCAAAAGTGTCCCCCAGCGCGTACAAGACTTTCCCCCCTAGCGAAGGCATTCTCGGGTCTGGGGATTGGGGGGAGTGGGAGGATGTGAAGGACGACCACGAGCTTCTAGAGGATCGCCAAACCCACTCCACAAGCGGGCTTGGCGGTGGCCGTCTTGGGGGGTCCAAGCAGACGTCCTCTCCCTCGTTGAGCTCCACTTTTTTTGTGGGACAATATGAAGGAGATGTTGATGGTGTGCTCCCTACAGGTCCGCGGCTACATTTTGATATACCACCACATCCACGAAAGAGGAGTCACAGTACCGGGAAACATGGACCTGCATATACCGCCGACTATCAATGAATCGTATTTGGTACGACGCTTTGACTCGTCGCCCATCGAGGACTGAGTTTGTGAGCTATAACCGTAAGATTCATACTGACTTTCTACTTTTATTATCATAGGTTATGATTTTCTTTGGCCTTACATCCGATCAAAGTTGCAATTTTGCGCTGGCAAGCAACGGCTCGCCTCCCAAAATTTTAACTGCACGCTTTCAAAGTAATTGATATTAAAAATGTTAGATACGCATCTGGGATGCTAATGCGAATAACTAGCCATCAGAATGATTAAAAGAACTTTCCATGGCCGTATTGTATTTCTATCATCAAATTCTATGTGCAGATAAAAGACCCAAGCATCTGATATGACAAAAGGTGTACAAAGAACATGACATAAAGTTATTTGTAAAGCAATGTTCCCCGATATTAAGACGACGAAGGAATCGAATGATTGTCGGCAACATCTTTCATCTCATCCAGGATCACATCATTGAACTCCTGCCACCCATCCAAATATAAATGGTGCCCAGCTTTCTTGATAATAACAACTTTTGCTGACCCCTTATCTGATTGTCGCTCCTCGGGAGATGCTTCTTTAAGAACACGCTCTTTCTCTTGGTCAATTTTTTCCTTCGCAGTATAACCACCTTTGGCATCCATCCAGTCATTTTCACCATACATGAAAACAATGGGAATTCCAGGTTCACGACGAGGCGGTGATGGTACAGAAACAAAAGAGCTAGAATCAGAGGCGGATACGGATTGGGCCTGTGGCGTTTCGCTGGTAGAACAGCCAGTTTCACTCTGCAAATATGAGCTGGGCGGCGCTGGATTATGCAGTAACATCTGCCGCCCAACTCCATGGATGCGCCTAATCATGGGACTGCGGGCGTATGCTCCGGGGGCAAGAATGTATGCGAGGGCATACTCCCCGCTGCCCCGTAGTCTAAATAGAGAATACGCATAATCATGTAGGGCGCCAGCTTCCTCTTGGGGCAGATGAGAGAATCGCCGAGACGTCCAGCCAGATACAAGGCGTGGGCCGAGGGGGCCAGACCATCGAACTAAACTGAAAGGGGAGACATTTGAATCCCAGAGATAGACGAGCCATTTCGGTAGGGTTCTGGTGGGAGGTTTCGTGGAATCGCCATTTTTAGCGTTTGCAGCGGCTGCTTTACCCCGGGCGTTCAGGAAGTTGTTGTTATCGACAACAGTGGCCTCCCCGGCCTGATCTTGCGTGAACTCATTTGCCATTGTTGACGATGCTGGCTCTGCAACGTCAGCATTGACGGCATAAGGGTCCTCCGGGATGCCAACAGGGGAAGCAAGAATAAGCTTGTTAAGACGGCCGGGGTACTTCAGTGCATATGCGACGGCGAGATATCCGCCTAGACTGTGGCCCAGGAGAGTGAATCGCTCAATCCTTCGCTTCACGCGCCATTCTTCCAGAGCATCGACAAACCAATCCTCTGCTTCCGCGATTGCATCCTCCCGCTTTTTGGCAGCAATCTTAAACGGTGGCCGGGTACTGCGGCCCATGCCTAGCAAGTCCAGAGCATATAATTGCCATCCTTTGGCGCGACTCAGAGCTTCATAGTTCTTATAAAAGAACCCCAGTCCTGCGCCATAGCCATGTAAAACCACAAGGTTATTTTCGACTTTCTCGCCGAGGCGCTCGACTGAGAATTCATTCAGCTCGCGGTCTTTGCCGCTGAGTTCTACCATGGAGGACTGCCATCTCCGGGGGCCAAATGGGTCATTTGTTGAGTTCTCAGAAACAAGGCCTGGCTCGGTATGATCTGCAGAGGCTAAAGGGTCGGGTTGTTCATTGGGGGTCGCAGGTCTTTTACCGGTCTGAGTGTGTGTAGGTGGTTTTTGGAGGTATGGGATAAATGAAAGTACCTTATGCTCTGCAGCAGCAGCAGGAATACTTGCCCACTGTATACATTATTATGAAATAGCTGTCAGCTTTAAAGTACCGGCATAAGAATGCACTTTATTCAAAAACGGCGTCCATACCCATTGGCTAAACCCCTCCTTATAGCCCAGAGGGAAGAGTCGGGAGAGCGGTGCGGGAGGTCTGGCCTCCGGCCTTGTCGAAGCTAGCGGGGCCTGTTGCGGACGATTCTGCGCATCTTCCGACGGCTGCGATGCGGTGGTTGAGCTCATGATCGGGGAGAATCGAGAAGCAGGAGAGGCGGAGGGGTTCGATTGTGCGAGAGAAGACTCCAGCTGGACGCGACTGCGCAGACTGCGAGGATTATTGAGCCACGCAGGCAGGTCTAGCGAGAGTCCTGTGGTGGCGTCGAGGAACGGCCTGGATCGAGCGGCCTGTAGCAGTGGTATGGCCGACACTGGTCCTGGATGCACCTTGAGGATGGTGGGCAGAGTGACAGTCGACACCTGTCACTCAAGGCGGGGGGCAGGGTAGGTGTCATAGGCGTCACCGAAGCCGTTATATAGCTAGGGCTGTTCTCTCAGCTTCGCGGGTCGGGGTTAGGAGATGTTTTGGCCGATACGGGGCGTGTTGCAGGCAGCCTTTTTCTGGGGCGCCAACCGCGTCAGCGTGGCGAGGACAGAATGAATTTCCGGTTCAACGGAACCAAACAAGAGTTGAGAGAAAGCTAGAAACGGGTCAGACACAGGCCAGTAGGTAGAGAAACGGTGCTTGTCCGCCTGGCTCTGCGCAGCAACCGAACGAAGCGTGTTTGTTCTGACGACGAGGATGCACGGGCGGCACGGGATCGGGGATTGGCTGGCTGGTGGCTTGAGCTGTTGAACCACCATCGTTCCCGCCAGGCAAAGCTTCGCTCGCTCCCATAACTTCTCCGAAACTACGTACATATTATTCGCTCCTCCAGGCCGACACAAGAGTCCTTCCAGCATTCTAATTTTTGTTCTGTCAAGCTTGACAGCCAACCCATCGCCGGAGCTTAACTTGAACTGCTCTTCACGCGTCTTGAGGATGCGCCGACGGCTTCTCCCAAGCTGCGATGTCTCGCCTTGACCAGATCGTTAAAGGCACTCCTGCGCCCAGCGTGCATATACCAGAGACCCTCTCGAGAACCCCTTCACCACACCTCCCCAGTGACTCCTCCGAACCATCGCTTGCGTCTACTCCAGCAGTTGCTTCTGTGAACCCGGATCCGCTCTCGACCCTCCCCTCCTCGCCGCCGCAGATCTACTTGAACCTCCTCATACTCGAGAGCTCTTTGCGCTCACAGTACCTAGCGCTGCGTGCACGAAGGCGACAGAATACCTTTTTCCTTTTCCTGCTTGCGTTGTGGATCACATACTTTTTCTACGCCCTTTTTCTACGGCCGAGGGAGGATGGGGGTGTAGGCGGCTCTCCCTACTGGATTGTTGAAATGGGGGAGAAAATTGCTCTAATGGGCGGTGCTGTAACTGGGATTCTAGTCTGGGGAACAGGACAATGGGAGAGAGGAGTTCGATGGCCTCGCCGGTGGCTGGCGGTCGCCAATAGGGGCCTGAGAGGCTTCAATGCAAAGGTTGTGGTGATTCGAGGCCCATGGTGGAAGGAATTGATTCTCTGGTTTTCATTCTTGTTCCCCTTTTCGGATCTCTTTCCAACCGTGCCCTCATTCCACTATGTTGAGCGACGGCACAGTGGCCTTCACGACCGGCCTAGACGCCATGCAGCGACTAACCGTTCGCCCTACGAGGATGATAGTGATACGGGGATTGAAGAGGACCTCTCTCCGGGGGGAGACTACATACGGCTTCTCTTGTTACCAAAATCCTTTTCTCCCGCCTTCCGCGAAAATTGGGACGAATATCGCACGGAATACTGGGAACGTGAGAACGAGCGGCGTGCGCGTCTCCGCGAGAAGACCCAGAGCCGTGAACGCCATCTGGCGAAGCAAGAGGGTGGCTGGCTGTGGTGGACTAGATGGCAGGGCTGGAAGCGGAGGCACAGTGGTGCAAAGATTGGCCGTGACTTGGAGAAGCCGCATCGCCATCAACAGCATGGGCCCCATAGCCACCGACATCGGCAGTCGCGTCAGTCTATTGATAGGGATTTAAAACCCCGTCGACCTGTCGAATCGCATTCAAGAACCTCGTCTCGTAGCACAACACCAAACCCCTTATCGGACGCGGACGACAAAACTACGAATTCGGATCGCGAGAGGACTCGTCGGCGCCGCAGTAGTGCTACAGCTCCACCCGGCTTTGAGCGGAGTCGGAAAAGTAAATCGTCCGTATCAGGCGGGAGTTCTGTTCGAGCCTCATCCCCTTTAATGCAGATTGAGACGCAAGATGGAAACGCAACTAAACAAGATAATGTAAATGAACTATAAGGCTGTATGGTTTAAGTTCGGAGGCGTGATGTTATGCTCATTTGGTACGGATGGACCTAGCATCTCATTGTGTACATATGAATAGAATTTCTCAACAAGGGCTCAAAGGCAATTCTGTGGGCACCTCTACTCATAAATCAACGAGTCATTTCAAGTTCTAGAAAAGCCACTCATGTCTGGCATTAAATATCTTGCGTTGCAAACTGACTACCTTTTGACACCGGCATTTAATCATAAGAAAAGGGGAATCATGGAAATAAATGTAGGACGCGAAATTCTGCTTAAATTCGCCTGATCAATTTGTGTCAGGGTTCGGAAAGTAAGACCAGCAAGCAACCTTCTATATGCGATAAACCGTCTCCTCTCCAAGGTACCTATTGCAAATGTCAGCATTCTATTTATATGTTCAAAGTGCAAAGAAAAGACTTACATAATTTCATTCTTGTCATTCATCACCTTCAAGGCCTGTAGTGCTTCGGTCAACTCAAACGTGCTTGTTTGCGTGCTCAAGGCTCGTATTGACGCATTTACAGCATCTATCACATTCATCACATTCGCGGAATCGCCCTGGAACAGTTCGGATCTCATCAGAGGCCCAAGGGCGACTCGGAATGCATTTACTCTGTTTATGTGTAGCTGAGGTAATGAAGCTGCTGTGGCTGCCGCTGCCGCAATAATGTCTTCCTGAGAGTCCAGCTCTTCTGTTTGTGTTTGAAGCAGTTGAGATGCCGGCTGAGATGACGCAATTGACATCTGAGACTCCTCCTGAACGGTTCCCTGACTGCGAGTCAGGCGGGAGGAGCTACCGAGATTCAGACTGCTAATATTCCCTGAATATTCGTCATCATTGTCAAGCTCAGGTGTATTCCTCGACCTTCCTTGTGGTCCGCGACGCATGGGAGCATGCGAGCCAGCAGTCGTTGAACCCCGTGCCGTCCTCTGGGTAGGATCAACATCGTCATCAGAATCACTGGAATCAGAATCAGATTCGGGTATATTTGCCGTCTTCCGTCGCTTGCGTCTCTCATCCTCCACAACTTCCTTGAAGAGGGCAAAACGAAGAATGGATTCTGCGACCTTGGCATCCTTTTCATCTACTCTATTGGAAAGACGGGCTTTTGCATGGGCCGTCGATAAACGAATCAATGTCTCAAGAGTACGTGCAGTCATTGGTGATGTTCTCCGTTGGTTCCCTGTTAATTCATCGTTTCGAAGAGCAGAATATGTAGCGACGATGTGATCCGCAGCGCCTTTGGTCAGGACTGGCTTTATTCTAGTCTTTGCGTATTGAATATATTTCTTAACAAACGGAAGACTGACTACTTCCACTTTTCTTCCCGCTCCTTTGCCTGATGTGGCCGTCATACCTGCATGGAGCATGACGTTGTACTTTTCATACACATCTGTAGGCGCGTTCGAATTTCTAGTAGTTTCAAGCCCAACACCTAGACTGTTGTTGACTTGCTCTTGAACAGGAGCACCTTCTTCAGTCCCAGGCTGACGGTACTGATGCATTCGTAGAACATGCTCGGAAACCAATCTGTCTCTGGTGTCCTCAATGTCATCTGTCACCACGAAGAGTAAATCAAAACGTGATAATAACGAATCTGGGAGGGCAATGTTTTTATGAGGATCCTTGTGTGTGTCATATTGTCCATAGATAGGGTTAGCGGCTGCGATAACGCTGCATCTTGCGTTGAGTGTTGTATGAATACCAGCTTTGGCGATAGTGACTGTTTGCTGTTCCATAACTTCGTGGATAGCGACTCGATCAATGTCGCTCATCTTGTCGAACTCATCAATACATACTACACCTCTGTCTCCAAGGACCATAGCACCAGCTTCAAGCCTTCTCTCGCCAGTCTCTTTGTCGGTGGTAACTGCTGCTGTAAGACCGACACCTGACGACCCTCTTCCAGTAGTTGCGATAGCCAAAGGAGCAGTATTGAGAACAAAACGAAGAAGCTGGGATTTAGCAGTCGACGGATCGCCGACCATTAGAATATTAATATCTCCACGCAAATGCGTTCCGTTATCTAAGTTCTTTTCCATACCACCAAGCAGCATTAATAAAATGGCCTTTTTAATGTGATCATGCCCATATATACTTGGGGCCAGAGATTGAGAGAGCAATTCAAAAACCTTCTTCTTTTTCGAAAGCTTGTTTATGTTGCGAATATCAGTATCGGTAATTATAGCTTGCGCGATGCCACCACCGGATTTCGAGGCAAGATGTATTATGTTGTTAGCGAGAATCACGGTACGAAAAGTTGAACTGCCGGAGTTTACGTTTCTATTTCCAAGTGATCGGTATATCCCGACAAGCTGAATTCTGTCGCCTGGCTTTACCTTATCCACCATATCATCATCAAGGATGACATCGACGCCTCTCGGAAGCTGTCCGGCGGGAGCTCTTTCTGGCATTTCCTGAATGGAAACCATTTGGTGGTCGCGGTACTTGCAATAGCCATACTCTGTGATCAACTTCGAGTTGTAAGCCACGACGATCAAACAACACAATTCGCACCGAAGCTTACCGGATTTCCTTGGTCGTCTTCTTGTGGATACACATTCAAATTCGTAGCTCCGGTGGCGGTCATGGTTTGGTCTCTGTATTCTCGAACGAGGAAATTTTCCTTTTTCTCATTGTAGTGGACGCTCCGAATCACCTTTGGCCTGACTAAAGAACATTTTGTAACAATGCCGTCTAAAGCTACCATTCGATTCAAATGCGACGAGCTCAAGGTACGCGGGTTACAGGCATATTCGCCAAAAGCTCCAACATAGGCACAATACCATGCCTAGCTAATGGTCAGTTTCAAATATCACTTAACAACGGAAGACAGACGAACTGTATCCTCGACTTCTTCTTTGCTTAGCCTTGTCGACTCTGTGTCTAAAGTTTGGATCACCTCTTTCAAAGCTTGATCGAAAGCCTGGGAGTAATCGAATGGATGGGTTAATAGGCTATCGAGTGTCAGTACTGTAGTAGTGAAGAGTATTGGTTTTCGGCTAACCCATTCGCAAGGTCTCCATTATGGGCTCTGATTTCGTCCAAGCTGACCTGCCGAAGATTCTGATCAGGTTTCTACATCTTGTTTGTTGGGAAGCATCAATAGCTTACTGTAAGACGCCGCAGGCCACGATTTAGCATCAAGACTATATCTGCACGGTAACTGAAAACAACGTCAGCATGAGCAAAATCAGGAGGCAAGCTTAGCAACCTTCGTAATCGCTGGTCGCCTACATAAGCAAATAATTAGTCAAAAATACCAGGCAGTTCATCAATGGCATACTTACTGGGGTCAAGAAATTCCGCTGCAGCGCGAACACGATCTCGAACCGCTTCATCTCGTAAGGTGAAATCCATCTTCAGGAAGTAAAAGCGAAGTTTCAAGAAACGGACAAAACCAGTGTTCTCATTGATAAAAAATAGCAGGCCTCTTGCAGAGAACTACTGAGCAAATCGATTGTTGGAGATGGAGACGATTGCATTGAAATGGTGGCGCGCAGGAACGCGAAACAACGCGTTTAACGCGTAAAGTGGTTGCATTAGCGTAGAGTTAGTTAACTAACTGCTGGCCAATCGGAATCAACCATTATTGTACGGCTTATATAACTAATACATTAGAAACCATTCTTAATACGCGACGAAAAGTATGTATATGAAGTAGTTGTGCGACACCTTTTATATTCCTAGGTCGGTCTCAGAACATCGCAGAAGTGCTCATAGGGCCTGAAAATATTATGTAGATTTTATATTTGTACAGTACATAGTATAGCTATATATGAGTATTTGGGGGAGTCTCTAGGCCATAAGATAATGCATATAAATCACTCTTTATCGCCCTGCTTTTCATCATGGGCTTCGAGCTCTAGATCGAGCTCGTCCTGGGCTTCAAAGACTTGCCGGGGTGGTGGGGCATCAGAATCAGACTCTTGACTTCTATCATTAGAAAGCAAAGCTCTCCATTCCAAGTCCTGAGCCAGCATATTCTCCAGAACGCCCACTTCCGGTTCTGAATTATCTTCCCCAGGAGGGAATAGTGGTGGAGATTCACGATAAGCTTTCAAGTCATCCATATCCATATCGCTAAGATCTTGAATTTCCGGACTGGTGTCAATGCGGGATTCTCCATCGATGCCAAGAACACCACCGGTCCAGACAACATGATCTTTGGTATCAATGGGCGATGGTGGGTCGTCTATGAGCTGACGACCGCGAAGTATAACTCCTTGGAATTTTTCACGAAGAAATGGAAGTTCTGCAACCGCACTTACAGTATTTGGGGCTTTCGAAAGAAGTACGCCCATTTCATCTGATCCACTTGCAATTGAGCGGGATCTGAAATCAATCAGGGCTGAACCCAAGTAAAGCATTGTAAGATATGTTGGCTGTAGGGAATCCGGTTGAATTCTCGCCCAGGCACGGCGTCCAGCTTTTCCCAGCACTCCGTTCCTTTGTAAGGGAGTGTATCGACGTTCAAGGAAGTCAAGCCCGTCATGCGCATTGTCTGGCCGTTTTGTGCGGCCCCGTTTAAGGTTCCCCCATCCAAGGAAATTTGATATAAACTTGTCCTCAAAGACGGTGAAGGCACGTAGTTGATCATCGGGTCGCCGAGACAGACACAAAAGCTTTACATAAAGAGACCAGTTGAAGGTAGTCAAGACAAAGCCTAAGTTTTCAACCCTTGAGATAACATCCGCGATTTTATAGTGAAGGTTTCGGTATGACAGTGACTGCATCAGAACAGAAATGCAGCGAGAGAGGGCATATCGGTAGGATGGTAGGATACCAGGGGGCGTTTCCGATACACCTGTTGATTTTGGGCTATTTGAATCGTCGTTAGACGGAGGTATCAAAGTTTTGAAATCCATAGGGCGAGCCGTGTTTATGGTACTACCAAGAACCGTATTCCAGCACGATTCAACCTTGTCATGCTTCCCTTCTCGAAGGAAGGTAAGCATTTCAAGGTGCATGAGTTTCAGGGATGGTTGCTGCTCGTTGCGAGAGAGCTCCTTTAGTGTTGACTTGCGTTTGTCAAGCAAATTTTTGACTTTTTCAAATTCACCTTGCGAACCGTATGCTACTAAAAGGGGTTCATAGTATGCGGAAGGGAACGCATCAGTAGCCGACCTCCTTTCCGTGCCAGGTTGGGGCTGTTTAGTCGCAAGTGAAGAGGTCTCAAAGGAATTCAGAATGGCATCGAGAAATTGCTCTGCGCGGGTCAATTCTAAAGAAAGCTTATCATCGATGTCACCTTTTTCGTAGAATCTTTGTAGGTCACGCTTGACAAATACTCTCAGCATGGACAGGTTCCCGCTAAGGCCGAGGGAACCGAATCTTTGAACCATCTCTCCATATAGGACTGATATCATATCACGGTTTCCCTCTGTAAGATACCCACGTAGTAAGATCGCATAATGAAGTTCCGCTATATTCACGTGGCGACTTCGATGGAGCTTTCTAAGAATTTGACGAGCAGGATCAATCTTTCCAATACGAACAAGACTAAGCATTAGAGCAGCATATGTCATCCCATCGAATTCTATGCCTTTCTCTTGCATTGACGCCTGAATCCTTGAAACAGAAGTAATATCCGCTGTGAAAGCATGGTTCCAGAGCAAAATGTTCCACATTCTTGTCAGAGAACCAGACAAACACAAGTTAAAGGCTTCATCCGCTACTTTCTCGGCATCACTATACCTCCGGTTTCGGCACAGCGCACTGACAACCGTATCCACCATAGCAGTACGGATTCGAACACTGTTTTGTTTGGCAATGTTAAATAAATCAATGACGGCGTTTATATCACCTTTGCTAGAAAGCAATCCCATTAAAATACCAAAGCTGTAGGCGTCGGGGCCGGCGTTCGCGCTAACCATGTTTTTGAAAGTGGCCAGCGCACCGTCCAGGTCATTAGCTCTGGAATGAGCAGTCAGAAGTATATTCCAGCATAGTAAATTCGGAGATACTTTGAATTCTTGCAGCAGCCTATCGAACTGTTGTCGAGTCTTTTCGACTTGGCCAAGTCTAGCATAGACGTAAAGAAGTGGTGAGATGATGTTTAAGTCTGATGGCACACCATAGTCATCAACGTAGGATTTGAAAAGATGGTGAACTTTTGACTGCTCGCCTTGCCTCGAATAGGTGACTAGGGCACGACGATATGCTTCTGGCGACAGTTTAGTATAGATAGATCGGTACTCGTCTAACAAAAAGCTCACTCCCTCGACCATCTCTAATGTAGAGAGGCTTCGAATGAGGCGGAGAAGTAGGTTTTCAGGAATAGGCTCATTTGGTAAGCGCCATCGAAGATTACGATAAAGCAATAGAGACCGAGTGCCTGCCGACCGCAGCTTCAATGGCTGTAGAGTGGAGAGCCCTTTAAAATAAAATCTAGCCTCAAGCATTTGTAATGAGTCAAGCTTTTCGAGAAGAGATATTATCGACCGGGCGGATAAATCCATCATTAACTTTTGGCTGGAAAATATCTGAAGTGTTATAAATTTTGTAAATTCATACAACCGCGTTTCTTGGGTGAATTGGCCAGACTGTATCGCTTTTAGAAGAGGAAAAACTCTCTGTGGTAAAAACACCAATTCGACCGGCTTTGTTTGGGATTCTGATGCGCAGGCTGAATTTCTCCGAAGGTCCCAGATTTCGAGAGCCTGAGGCCAATTCTTTCGATTTATCCAAAAGGAAAGGGCAAATTTCCATGACGATTCTTCCTGTCCCCTTGACGCCGCTTCGTTGTAAATTTCCCGTACAGCAAAATCTTGAAAATTCCAAACCAGAGCCACCTTTACCGCGCACAGATAGTCATTTGCAGTCCTCTTTGAGATAGGGAGCTTTTCAAAAATGAGTCTTGCTCGTTCAGCATCAACGCGCCGATCGGACGTAGAAAGGTATGTAAGCATTTTGGAGGCTAGTTCATCAGAAGCCCCCACAGCCTGGAAAAGGCTCCAGGCTTCGTTGTACTTCGGCGCATTCTCGCTTTCTAGTAGCTGTAATAGCATATCAATTACAGTGTTGTCGCTTTGAGGCTTATCTGTTCCCTGAAGCATTTCTGGTGTTTCATGCTGGACTTGAGTTTTGGTTCTCGTTGACTCATCTGCCGAGGATGCAAAAGCTCGGTATGAGATTCGTTTTCCTCGACGAAAGCCAGCGCACTTATTAAATACCCGGGACCGTAGAAAGGATCGCGCCCAGGATCGGGTTTGGGGAGTATAAAGAAAATCAAGGCGTATGGGTGAAGAAAAACGGTGTGCAGCATTCCTTTGCCCTTGACGTTCAGTCTCTGTGGGCAGGCAAAGCAGACTGAAACACCAAAAAGGAAAATCAATATCAGCCATACCATGGTGCCAGAAGCCAGGATGTAAAATGTTCCGTGATCGCAAAGGAGGTTTGGAGTAGAGAAGGACTTGTTGGCTGGCGGTCTCGATGCATCGTGCCGCCCGCTCTAGCATTGCTCCGAACAAAATGGGGAGGAAAGGAAGTCGAAGTCAAGAGGTTTCCGACATATCTAATCCGTACCCATCAGCTGTTAGCAGGGGCTCGTGCCTTCTCATACGATGTCAGAAGTTGGTCGTAGTGCTAGAAGATAAACTTACCAATCAACTCTTCAAAATTGACCCACTCCAAAACCACTGTGAATAAGACATGAACAAAAGGCGTAATTTTTGGCACTGCTCCTAAACAATTAAGCGCAAGTGAAGGCAAACCAGCACCTTCAAAGCATGGCGTGTTGGTACTGAATTTGAAGTGACAAAACTTCGGCATTTCTCCAAGCGCTTATGTAAGCACGACCACACGATTCTGACAATTTGTGACTTGCGGCAGGGAATAGAGCCTTTCTCTTAGGCTTTAAGAGAACGACTGCAGCGAGCGGTGATGCAAGAATGGACATAACGAACTTTGTTGTTTCCCATAGGACCGATGCCCTCTTGATTGGAGACTACAATGCCTATCGAGCTCAACTCTCCCGCAGAATACACACTATTCGTAAGCGACTTGGTAGGACGACACCAAAGGGTAAGAAATATACGACAAAGGTGTCAGTGACTGCGGAAGATGTTGCGGCGAATTTGGAGTAATACTTTGCCTTCTCTGATTTTGAAATCGTCAATGTCCTGACCCCGACTTAGATTCGTTCACCTCTTACTCCTAAGCGCAGAACGAGGATGGGCATCTGCCATGCACATGAAGTCTGTGCACTCTGCAGACCCGTCTACTAAAGGTATCGTGGGTTCCACAAGACGACATATAATTTCTCGTCTCAACAAAGCCACTATCTATTCAAGACAGCTCGTTCAGCTTCTGGAGGATCGATCCACATCCGGAGCGTCGAACATTGACTTATTAGAGGCTCGCGCGTACCTCGCTTCCCTATGTGCATCTTTTTGGATGGAGAAGCAAAGATGGGAGCAATGCCTGCGCGAGAATTCAACGGCCCGCATTATATACGCAGCCGCCCAAAAAAATACCGATCGAGAGGTCTTTCGGGACCTCTTGTCTGGCACCATTGACCCTGGCATTCGATACGCAGCATATCAGCTTAAAATCCCTCGTTCTACACCTCTGCATACTATCAGTGTTGAACGTTTCCCGGCCAGCCCAGAGCTGCGAGCAGAGGTGAAAGCTGTTGACTCGGAGGCCCTCTCAGACAAAGGTGGTGAGAATATGGTTACTGCGGATGGGAGTGCTCAGGAGCACCCTACAACCATAAAATGGAGGTCTAGAACCGTAAATATTGAGGATGCCTCTATATCACAGGCTTTGGGGGCTGCCTTCGCCGCCGAATCTCAGCTTTCTGCTTGGATGTCAAGCCCTGAGGGACAAAACGCATCCGCTAAGGCTAAGGCGGCTAAATATGACAACGTTATCATTGCTAGTCAAGATGCCGTTGACGCAACAAAAACAGCTATCGATGAACTCTCCAATGAAGGAGTGGACCAGGGAGACCAGAGAATGCAATCTCTCCAGGTCACCCGTACCGCCGTGAATTATGCGTTAGTTGGGTGGCGCGTTGGCCGTAATAGAGTACTGTGTGGTCTAGAAGATGGGTTACAATTCGAACCGGAGAAGCCAAGAAGTTCGAAAAGATCTAAAACACAGCAGGGCTCTAAAACCCCCCAAGCTGAGAGCACCGGGAAGAAACTTGCGAGATTACGTGAGCGAGTTGTTCTCTATGATGCGACTTTGCAAAGCTTGGACTCCATCAAGGAACTTCCAGGCGTGGCCGGAGATTCGGAGTTTATGAAAGAACTCCAGGCAATTCATCAGTATTTCACGGCACTGAGGTTTGTTCTACCCATTCTGTTGGTATCAAACTTCGCTGATATCTAGTAAAGATGCCTCTCTATTGGTCGATCACATGCACTTCTTGCCAACACCAAAAATGCATTAGCCCTTTTCGTTCGAGCGTCAGACCTCTGCTCCCAGAGCGAGTCTGCTTATGCTTTTCCAGATACCACAAAAACAGAAGAAAAGCCCTTGAGACTCGAGCTTTCAAGCTTGCAAGTCAACGCCGTTTCAGTCCAACTCCAGCACCTTGTCTGGCAGTATCGTGGGATTGTTGAAATCGAGAGACTCTGCGCTGAAGCCGAGAATTCGGATACTGTTCTCCCACCCTTGCTAGAGCGATTGAGCGAGTACCCACCCAGTGGTGCAGATGTGTCCAACTTGGTGGCCTATCCCCCCAAACTTGAACCGGTTCCGGTGAAACCTCTTTTTCTAGACCTGGCCTGGAATTACATCGACTATCCGAGAGAGGCGAAGAAGGCTGTGAATACGCAGCAGCCGAGTACTCCAGCTGCTGAGGTGAAGCCAGAGACGAAAAGGAAAGGATGGTTTGGCTTTGGTAGATAAATAGAATTGCACTCTTCTGTAGTTAGCAACATTTGTGGACCTCATAGCATAAAAAAGAAGGAACGTACCCGCACTCCGTCCCCCGTATGCCCGCTCCCATTCTTCAACCACAGCCCAGCTCACTCATTTTTCCAGCTCTTCCTACACAAAACCAACCGATACCCGTCCGGATCTTCTACTGTAACCCCCCACTCATCCCAATACGGATTCTTCGCCTTCACCCTCTTTCCCCCGGCATCTTCTAGCTTATCAATTACCCCTGGATCAATGGCTTCTCCTACGTATATCACCAGTAAATCCTCCTCCGTTGGTGCTGGCGGGAATTCCCCGTGTGGATCATCAACTAGTTCGAGATGCCATGCTGCGTCCGGCCAGCCAACCATCAGCAAGGCGTGCCCCCCAGTAACGTTGGTGTCTGATTTCCAGAGGAGTTTGAGGCCCAAGCCGGTTACATAGAAGTGTTCAGCGCGGTCAATGCTGCGCGATGGGCGAGCAATGCGAATGTGGCTAAGTGCCGAGGGGGATACGCCTGTGCCAGCAGGGGCGAGGACTGGCGGAGAGTTGGAGCTGCACATGATTTCTTGGTCATAAAGTAGGGGGGCTATTGTTTCGTTTTCGCGTTGATGGGCCAGGCGATGCGCCGCGTATGGAGTACTCAGTGGATAAGGCGATGCTTAGTTAGTTATATGCCATCTTCATCGTCAGAGTCTAGAATTCCGATGACAAATATGAATTGCTGAATGGTACGACGGCTGAGCTGGTCCATAGATGGCAACTCCGGCCGGCTCACAAGATCCTTTCTCCCGGTAACATTGCCATGAAATGCATCCTGTGCGCTGTAACGAGTCTCAGCCTCTGCCTCACCGAATCCCAGCGCCAGCGAAATTCATAGGGTGCCATGGGGATGCAGGGTTCTGAGCAGGGCTGGTGATGCAGGTACCCTATACGGAGTACTGTACCTTCCAGCAAGGGTTAACTACCCATGGCATGAGCTGGGTCCTTTTCCCGGGGCAACTAGCACAGAGACAGTCGAGCGGACACTTTGACCCCCGTACTCCGTACTCTGTGCAGAATACGGAGCACGGAGCACAAGCTTGATGGCCTTATAAGCAAATCGACAAGGTTGCGCCCGTTGACGAGATCATGTGGCTGCCTGTCAGCTTCCGGCTCCCTGTGATCCGCGTCACGGCTTATTCTGCCGATCATACGGTGTACCGTATGATTGTACGCTGTACGGAGTATGAACAAACCTTTTTTCGAGTCCGTGTTTCGCACTGATGTCGTTGTCGATGGGGTCGGGGCATGCGGACACACTTGCACACTCCCATCAACCCAAAGGCTAGGCTTTGCATAGGCGGAAGGTAGCCAAAAAAAAACAGGCCTAGGAACCACGAGAGAGCAGCCCAGGCAACGTATAAAGTTCCCGCTCCGTATTTCCGCTGCGAAAAAAAAAAATTATTCCGATCTGGACTGTTCAGGGACGCTCCTATCACACAACACCGTATGGCCGGACCACGCACGAAAGCAGCTAGCGGTAAGATTGGCCAGGGGCTGAACGAGTAGGTCACAGATCAGCTCTCAGGGCCGTCGGGGGACAGCTGCCACAGTCTGGCGGTCCCATCGTCGCTCCAAGACCAGCCCCAGTGCGCCCTGCGCCTGCGGTCAAAGCTGCTCAGCGGGGAACGGCTGGTCGAGCGGTCGCAGGCGGGTATCGTATCGTACCGCGCTATCATGTGACCACTTGTTTCTGTCGGCGTCGCGGCTGTTGATTGGCTGATTTTAGGCACTTCCGCATGGTCATTGGCTGTTACCGCGGCTCGGCGAGTGGGCCGTTTCAGGGCCCGCCGTACGCGCGGTACGCATCGTACGAGGATGTTGGGGATCGCAAGCATCGCGAAATTATTAATGTGCCTGCAGAATTCAGCAGTCGGGTCGAATCCCCTTCGACCTCGTTCCTCTGCCCGCCGCTGGGGTTTGCATGCCTGTGGGACTTTGCCCGTGCTTTCTCTGCCGCTGCTCCACGATCTTCATGCCGACTGTGGGATCCATCTGAAGCCTGGGAATCCGACGTTGCGACGCCCCCCCTTTTTTATCTGCTCATCTGTTCTCTCCATGGCGACCGTACGGGGAAATATGGCATCGCCTTCTGCCGATGCATCGATTTCTTCGGTGGCGGCTGATTCGTCGGGCTTGGTGATGGCTGTTTACAACAATTTCACCGGCTTCACAGCTATCTTGGCTCTCTTGATGCTACTTATCGCCTACGATCAAAGTGAGTGCGATCCGAGCCCCCAGTTTTAAATCTCTTCAAGGGGACTCGCCATGCTAACAAACATATATCAATAGTCAAATACATCTGGCTCAAAGGGTCGATAGTTGGCCCGAAGTTCAAAATTCCATTTATGGGACCATTTCTAGAATCCGTTAACCCACAATTCACCAAATATAAGGCCAAATGGGATAGCGGCGAATTGAGCTGCGTTTCCGTTTTTCACAAGTATGTTCCTTCTGCCTGATGAATGCTCTTGATATGGAGTCCAGCCTAACATCAGATATTGTGTCACTGCACAGATTCGTCGTTATTGCGTCAACCCGTGACATGGCCCGAAAAGTCTTCAACTCGCCCGCATATGTCAAGCCGTGTGTCGTAGACTCTGCGCATAAGCTCTTGGGCAAGACAAACTGGGTCTTTTTGGACGGCAAAGAACATGTCGAGTATCGTAAAGGTTTGAACGGCCTTTTTACTCGGTCCGCATTGTCCATGTATATGCCCCAATTGGACGAAGTATACGAACGATATTTCCACCTTTTTCTCGAAGAATCCAAAAAGAACGATTTTCAGCCACGCCCCTGGATGCCATACCTGCGCGAGCTGATGTGTGCTCTTTCGTGCCGAACCTTCATTGGACACTATATGACCGATGCGGCCGTAAAGAAGATTGCAGACGACTATTATCTGATAACTGCGGCATTGGAATTGGTCAACTTCCCAATTATTTTACCTTTCACAAAGTCCTGGTATGGAAAAAAAGCTGCGGATATGGTACTAGGAGAGTTCAGCAAATGCGCTGCGAAAAGCAAAGTTCGCATGGCCGCAGGTGGTGACGTTACGTGTATCATGGATGCTTGGGTTAAACAGATGATCGACTCAGCCAGGTATCGGGAAAAGCTCGCCCAAGGTGTTCAAGTTACCGACTCCGATAAGCCGTCTCATCTATTGCGCGACTTCACCGATTATGAAATTGCCCAGACTGTTTTCACTTTCTTATTTGCTTCTCAGGACGCTACGTCCAGCGCCAGTACCTGGTTATTCCAAATCATGGCAGACCGCCCGGACATCCTTAATAAGGTCAGGGAGGAAAATTTGGCTGTAAGGAATGGCGACCCTAATGGCAAAATCACACTTGAAATGCTTGACCAAATGACATACACCCGCGCTGTTATCAAAGAAACTCTTCGCTACCGTCCTCCAGTTATTATGGTCCCATATATGACGAAAAAGGACTTCCCCATCACACCAAATTATACCCTTCCCAAAGGCTGCATGATTGTTCCATCTGTCTGGCCAGCAACGCATGACCCAGAAGCTTACACCGACCCTGAGACGTTCGACCCCGATCGATGGATCACTGGAGACGCTGAGAAGGCGTCCAAGAACTGGCTAGTATTCGGTACTGGTGCCCATTATTGCCTAGGCCAAACTTACGCCCAATTAAACCTGATGGCGATGGTTGGTAAGGCCAGCATCCTGATGGACTGGGAGCATCATGCTACTCCTATTTCAGAGGATATCAAAGTCTTTGCCACTATTTTCCCGCAGGTCAGTCCATTTTCTACCCCATATTCTTGCATAATTTACTGACTCTTTTGTGATAGGATGATTGTCCTCTTGTTTTCCGTTCTCGTTCCTGACCTATTAACTTAAAAGCATTGAAATTCTGACTATTATTCTAGTTGAATGGTTCTATGAAACATTTGCATTTCACTTCGACCCTTGGAGCTCATTTCGCATTATAGTTCATTACCTGGAGCACCTAATTTCATCTTTTTTGCCTTGGCCTTGCGCTCTTGAAATTTCTGTTCAATTATTTTGACTATTTTTTGTTTTCCTCAACCTCCATCAACCTGAAGAGTAAATTAGACGAGGTCCCGGATGGCAGCGTTTTTATCTCTCTTCTCATCTTCTTTCATTTTCTTTTCATTCATTCTTGCCATTTTTTTAAAGTTTCTGGTTATGGGGGTTTATGATCGGTGGTGAACATATGAAATATCTTAATATAGTTTTTAATCGTTAATGAAGAACAAATTCAAGCATTTATTCCCAGTAAAGTCTTGTTGTAGCGGCCTATAAATAGGTGTTATGCACCTGACATCATTTCCGGGCACTCATGTCTTGTCTCAAAACTCGACTTCCAGTGACGAGACGTCCTCTTTCATCTTTAGTTGAGTACGCGAAAGATTTACAATGGCATCTAAACGCTTGATTACGCCTTTCTTATCCTCAAGGAGCATCATATTCGCTCCGCGAGCAACATCTCGCGTTGCTGTTCGCACCGTCTGCTCACTCTCTCCAAATCAAAACCAGCCATGGAGGGTCGCATGCAAAGCAGATCTTGTCGCTAGAGCTCTACATGTCCACCAATTCTCTTCTGCTAGTGTACGATGCGATTCTAGCTCCAACGAGCCGAAATCCAGCCCTCCCTTCAAGCAGTGGACATTCGACGATGTATGTACATGCTTAAACACCATAAACACCATACACCCCACCCTCCTACGTTCAAGCTTCCATATAACGAAGAAAACTGACCGTTTCAGATAAGCAACACTCTCACGACACCTACTGCTATTCCAACTATCCTTATCGATGTCCGCGAACCCAAAGAACTTGTCTCCACCGGCATTATCCCCACCTCCCTATCCATACCTCTCAGCTTGCAGCCTGATGCTTTCTTCCTTACACCCGACGAATTTCTCACTCGCTTCGGCTTCGCAAAGCCAATGACCGCCTCCAATAACTCAGAGAAGTCGGTCAATGCAAATATAGTATTCTACTGTAGAGCTGGAGTTCGGGCACAAACCGCGGCCGACTTTGCGGTTCAGGCGGGCTACCAGAGGGAAAGGGTTGGTGTGTATAGCGGGTCGTGGTTGGACTGGGAGAAAAAGGGTGGTAAGGTAGAGAAATGGGATAAGAAAAACTAGTGAGAGGGTTTGGGATGAGTTGTCGAGCCTTGATATACAAGTCAAATGAAACACTTGAGTAGTACTATGATTCGTATGTCAAAACGCTGCCATAAGGGCATTTCGCTCTATCTATATTCAATGGCACCGTGGGATTTTTCCATTTTTTTAATTTTGGTATTCCAACCAGTGTCAAATTCAGCAAACGCAGGGCAGAATACATTGGAAGGAGGGGAAGAAGAAAGAAGAAAAGGAACCCAACACTAGAAAGTAAATCGTTACGAAGCACATGCCAATAATCAATATGAATGATGAGTGGTAGTCAAAGGGTTTACGTGTATCAACGTAATCACGGGATATCAAACATGGGCTTCATCTTCTTGATCAACGCCCATTCCTCCATAGAGACCTCTGACCGATAGAATTCTTTTAGGGTATCAATACTTTGTCGAGAAATAAGGGAATACAGCGTGTCGCCTTCTTCCAATTGACGTCCATATAGTGGTTGGTTGGGTCCTTCGATTTTGATAGCAACAGAAGGCTGGCCCTTTTTGCACATTGGGATTTGTTTATGCTCACGCTCAATAGATTGTCTACGGGAATCCATCAGCAAAACGAAAAACAAAACGTAGGCCAATGCTGTTCCACTTACACTCTTCCCAAATTGAATATTTCCTTTGCGCCGGATGCATTGGTCTTGACCGCAGCAATCGGGGTGAGCAATCGCAAATTACCTTCAATCACATCCACACCAATGACAATAGGGTCTTTCTTATTGAAAACAGCGACGGGTTGTAAAACGCACGGGAAGACAGCAAGGAGTTTGCTCTCTTCCTTTTTCTGGGCCGACAATTCCTCCATGTGCTTCGTGAAATCATCAAATAAATGATAAATAATATCCGCTTTGAAGATCTTAATTCCAACCTCATCTGCGTAGGCCTGCGCTTCCTTGTCAACTTTAACATCGAAACATAGCATGACGGCAAATTGTTTTGCCTTTTCCAACATTGTTCCTGCGCGCATCACATCTCGTTTATACACAGGGCCGATAGAAATGTTTGCCACTGGAATTTTAGAGACTCGCAGGAACTCGAGAAGAGCTTCGAGTGAGCCGAGGGTAGAAGCCTGGACGCTGACACCACGGTTATCTTTGGATACTTTGCTGAGAAGATTCTCTAGATCAGACATGACCTCGTCTTCTAAGTCTTCTTCGTCATCATCAGGACCGACAACCATCAATCTAGATCCAGCAATGGCATGCTCAAGATCGTTTGCTGCAATCTTAACACCCAAAGCAGCTTTGACTTCCTTGTTATGGACGTACTGTGATTTAATACGTAGTTCCTTAAGAGGAGCCGGTGTCAGAAGTGCTCGAATGTTCGTCGTGATCGCACCGTTAAGGCCACACAAAACTATACGATCGCCTTCACGAAGAATGCCATTCGACAGAACAACATCAATAGTGGTACCTAAGCCTTCAATAACCTTCACTTCAAGAACAGTACACTCGACCTCTGACAAATACATCAACTTATTCGTCATGCGTTCCTGTGTAAGCGAAACAAGCAGTTTTAGAAGGTCCGGCACACCTTCGCCGGTATGAGCTGATGTTGGCACCAAGGAGACATTACGGGCAAGGGATTTGTTTTCCCAGAATAGTTCAGAGTTGAACCCTTGTTCTGCGAATGCAAGCTTTGTTTTATCAAGGCGATCCCGGAATTCGTTCTGGACACCTTTGTTTTGGAGTTCTAGACTGTCCCGGAAGCCATTGTTATCGATTTTCTTCCAGCCATAAAGACGATCAATCTTATTTAGCGCGACTATAAATGGGGTTTTTCTATCCCTAAGCAACCTCATAGACTCCAGAGTTTGTGGCTCCAAACCGTGCATGATATCGACCACGAGAATGGCAATATTGCAAAGAGATGAGCCTCGGGAGCGTAGGTTAGAGAACGACTCGTGACCTGGGGTATCAATAACCAATAAACCGGGCACTTTGAATTCGAATGACCCATCTTTGTTTACAACTGCAGTCTTTTGGCGAATCGCTTCAGTCGGAAAGTACGTAGCACCGATTTGTTGAGTGATACCGCCGGCTTCTCCTTCTTGGACATTCGTTTGTCTAATCTTATCGAGAAGCTTTGTCTTGCCGGTATCGACATGTCCAAGAATACAACAAATAGGCGATCGCAAGTCGTCTTTAGACCTAGCTGCAAGAGCCTCCTCGTGCTGTTTCCTCCTTCGCTCAGCAGCTTCGGCTTTTCTCTGCGCAATCGCTCGTTGGGCAGCTGTTGTCTCCTCCTCGTCGTCGGATTCGTCGGATTCAGATTCGTCTGCCGATTCGGTAGATTTATGTAACTCAGTAGACGTTTCTGCATTTTCTTCTGATCCCCGTGAAGTCTTTTCTTCGCCCTCTTCATCAGACGAGGGAGCATCCCAGCTGTCCTTAATACCATCATCTATTTCTTCCTCTTCAGCTTTCGCTGCTGCTTCAGCAGCCGCCCGAGCTTTCTCTTCTTTCTCTTGCCTCTTCTTTTCCTCTTCATCAGCCTGGCGTTGTGCTTCGGCCCTAGCAGCAGCGGCTTCCAGGTCGTCTTCTTGTTTTTTAGGGCCCCGTTTCTTTCTGTTATCATAAACTGGCTTTCTCTTCTCTACCGTCTCACCTTCGTTCTCCAGGCCAGCAACTTTTCCACCTGCAGCCAACAATTGCTTCATACGGATTTCATTACGTTCCTTTGTCTCCCTCTGGGACTTTGTAAGCAATTTTCCCTCTTTTCGGAGTTGTTCTTTTTTTTCTCGTTCCTTTTCTTTCTTTCGTTGACGAGCTTCTTCCTTTTTACGCTCCTCCTCTTCTATTTTACGCAATCTCTCCTCTTCACGAGCCTTATTTTCTGATTCAGCCCTCTCACGCTCTTCCTGTTGCTTCCGGAGCAGTTCCTGTTGCTTCTGAATGGCTGCAAGGTGTGCGGGCAGCTTTTTCTTCTTTCCAGATGTCTCGGGAGCGGGGATGGGCTCGGCCGTGGGTTCCGGTGCAGCGGGTTTAACGGGTTCTGCCTTCACGGTGGGCGCTTGAGACTTCTTTTTCGCTGCCTAAAAACCGAGATACATAAGCATTATAGCCCATTGATAAACCACTTCTTGAGAATAAACAATCAAAATCTACCTGTTCCTTTTTCCGCTGCTTCTCTTTCTCCTTTTTTTCCCGCTCTTTCTCTTTCTTTGACTTCATTCTGCTGCCCTCTTCTTCTTCTTCAACCTCAGCCTTCGTCGGCAGCGTCTCTTTCTTAGCCGCTCCCTTACCCTTCTTAGCATACCCGGCAAAGACATCATCCTCGTCAAATGTAGCCTCCTCCGGTTGTTTGGAAGCAAGGTCTGTAGCCGTATTAGAGGTCGGGCCTTCGCCTTCGACAAAATCGTTATCGGCTGCCTTCCCCTTCTTTGCTTTCCTGTTTTTATTCTTCCTCAGAGCAGCTAAGAGTCCGCCTCCCATTTCATCCTCTTGGGTATCAGGTGCAGCATTTGGCTCGGCGGTAACCTCAGTCGGGCCGTTTGTAGGTGTAATAGACTCGCCGAGATCCGCTTCCCAGTCGTCAGCTTGCTTCTTAGCTGACTTCTTTTTCGGGGCCATTTTCACGAAGCACTTTAATCCAGGCAGACAAACTGTCTATCCGGAGCTAGTTCTGAAACGAGGATGTATCGATATGGGGGAGTCGTGGTGGCGCGGGAGGAAAGTCGAGATGATGGAGCCCTTGAGTGACATCAGCAAAACTCGCCAGTCCGACTTAAGGCCCAGAGAGGCGATATCGGGAAATGTATTGTTTCAATGATAACTGATTCAGGGAAATTTCCACCTTGTTGATGTGATACCCCTCGCGTGAAAGTAGGTTTTGCTGAAGTTTGCAGCGACCAACCCGCATTGAAACTTTTTTGACAGTGGGAAGCCTAGGGCCAAGCGAGCCACTGCAAACACTACATGTATGTACTGTAACTACTCCACAACCACTCCATATCTAAACACAAGGTGGTAGCTTTGTCTTATGTAAAATGACCGACCTCTATTTTGAAAGTGAATCTATGTATCTACATCCATCCATACGCTGATCAGATGTATACGATGTACGGAGTACTCCGTACACAACAATCTTTCCGATGATTGCAAGACGAACCCCATGTCGATCCTCTCAAAGCTCAATACGGAGCAGCTCTTCCATCCACGAGATAACAGCTACAAAAGGATTTTTCACGTTTCCCACCACAGGGGTTGCAAAATCTAAGAAATAGTCCATCCTCCCACTATTCTCTCGAGGGCTGCTTGTATAAAAATTTGCAGAGTTCTGCTTCATTATGTCTTCCAGAATCCAAGCGCCATGTTCTACAACCCGACTCAGAACATCACCATCAACGTGCATTGACTCTGGTTTGAGCACCACGGGCGCTAGGTCCTCTGAAACCAGCTTCCATCGGGCTCGGTACTGACATACGATGGGATGGCTGAGGCACAGATTTTGGATGAATCGAAGAAGTCGCCATTCATGTTCTTTGAGAGTCGTGAATCTGTAGATTGTGCCATCAAGTGCTGTGCCATATATGATTTCGGAACGCCCAGACTTGTAAGGCCTGTGGCTCAGGCTGAGTCGAATGACCGACTGAGGAGTATGGGCAGCAAACAGTGGTTTTATGAGCTTCTCATCCTGTAAAAGCTGTAGCTCTGAGAGTCCAACCAGGGCACCACCTCTGTTAGACGTCAGTGTGATTTTCGATTCGCCTTCTAGGTTCACATGCGCCAACCCTTCTCTATCAGTCCCGTCTTGGGCATGAAGCACAAGGCGGTCGTTCGCCAGTGTAAGAATGCAGAGTGAATGTCGTGCTGTCAAGACATATATAAATGGCGTTTTCACCGTAATCGAAAGTGGTGTGGACTCCATTTTGTAGGCTGGTAGTGTTCTCCATTTTTTTGTTGAAGGGTTCAAAGTCTGAAAAAATATTTCGTCGCCAACTCCAAGAACCAGGGACGTGGCAGCATAGGAAGCAACCGCTCTGATGGGCTGCATATATGTATGAATATACTTGATGGTCGCCAGCACCTGGCGTGGGCTGTGGGGGTTTGTGCGCGCGGAGATATAAATCAGTCGCCCTGTGTAAGTACTTCGTGACTGTGACGTTCCAACAACTATCATATTGTAGGCATGCTCACCGCTAGAAAAATTCCAATCAAATAGTGCTGTCACCTTTTCACCAGATGCTCCTGTTGGCATAGCTGCATGTCGGGAATTGTCAAATTGCTGGATAGTACCTTCATCCATATTTAAAGCTGGGGGTGTAGCTGACTGGTCATCTGGGTCAATAAAACAGATTTTGGGGCGGGTATAACGTCGTGTATATTCGCCATCCTTTTCGTAGCTCACAAAATTGTATGCTACAACAAGTTTCTGCAAATATTTAGAGTAGATAATTCGCTTTGGATCCCCAGGGACATGGATTTGCCGAGGAATCGGCTTTGGTGACTTTTCCAACGTGCATGCAAATAGTTGATTGTCAGCGAAGCAAATCAACGAGCCTCCAAGTCCTCCTGGAGGGGCGTTGGGCTGTAAATCGGCACAGCAGAACACATCAATTGTATCTTGCATACGGGCTGGCTATTGAGTGTAAGTCAAGCAGTAGAAACATAGCAGCAACGGGATAACGCACGTTATTTTGGTCCGTAATGAGGATTTTGTCTAGTGTATGACTCAAGCAGTCATCGTTTCCGATAAATGACAATCGCCACAGCCCAGTTCCACAGGCGATGATGGCTGTCGACATATCAGACTCGTAGCCACGAACGCGGGCAGAGGTGTCCCCAAGTTTATATGGGGCATTCTGTTTTAGCTCTAAATTCAAGGTGCTTAACAGTTGCTTTCCTATATTCCCAGGGATCTAATAGATAAGACATACCTAGTGCAGACCCTTGACTTTTCTCAATGTCAAGTGGGACTAACATCCCGTTGCGTAACCCACAAAATAAAGTAGATTTCCGAATCCCATTTTTGAGTGCAGATATTATTCTGAGAGACTCACATGCTGTTGAATCACCGTGTTCTACAGCAGGTAGTATCTCTTGTTCAAGGGCCAGAATTAACCCTCGGGTATAGTTGATCTCGATAACCAGGATTTTGCCTTCGCGTGTGCCAATGAAGAGAAAAAAGTAGGACTCTATCTCCTCAATGAGAAGGCAAAGGGGTACGTAAGCAGTGAGGTATGGCTCAGCAAACATGTCACAGCGTAGGCCAGTAGTACTTAATTCTGATGTTCGTACAACTATATGAACTTTGTCATCGTAGCAGATTGCTGTGGCTAACAACGAGAGGCGGCTGTAGACTGTAGCAGCAATTATTTTCTCTAAAGACCCGAGCCTTACTGAGAATCGAAGGGATTTATTTCCAAGCACGGTCAATTGAATGGAAATATCTGTGATTTGGACCATGACTTGGTCAGCTGTACAAGATGCCGCCAAAGTTTGCGCGCTGAGGTTAAGGCCACAGGTTTCTTCATCCAAAGTGTACAGTTCCTCCGTAGCAGCAAGTGGTATGAAGATTAACGAGGATGACAACGGGCTCGATATCAAGCAATATGTACCTGCAGTCATTAGGTTTGGTAAAGTCCAGAGATTTGTAATACCCGCCGAATCTTCCTGATCAACCACCAACCCAATTCGCGCTTCAAGCCCGTATCTAAATTCCGTAATAGCACCATGACGATTACCCGCACCAGAACAGGCGAAAATCCGGTCGTATGGCGGCCTGATAACTCGAACATTTGTTTTGGAAGGGGAATCATCTTGGTTTTGTCCGGCGATAATTACGGAGTCCAAAGTTGGAGCCCAGTTAGGGATTTTTTGAACACATTTTGGTGGCTTTCTTGGTTCAGTGATGAATAAACCGCCACTACTCAAGCTACCAGTTGCAACAAACAAATCTCCAGCTTCAAACCCTCCATCTAAGATGGCAAATCCACTGTCAAGGCTGCAGCCAAGATAGCCAAGAACCGAGTTTCGTTGCACAGCACCCTCTTTTATTTCAAGATATAAAACTTCACCATCCTCACGGCATAGGTAAATATCATCAAATTCTTTGTTATGAACTTCATGCCGCATGGGTCTTGTCCATTGTGTCCAAATCAGATCTGTCAACTGAAGATCATCTCTTGGTGGAAGCACATATTTTCTGATGGTGCAGTCTGGCTCCAAAATGTCTTTAAAAATGTGCACAGCACCAGGGGTTACAAAGAGCACAGACATAGATTGAATCAAGGGTATTAAAATTGGTGGAGCTCCCCACTCTGATGGAAGTCTTCTCATCATTGTGATTTTCAGCATATTAAAGCAGAGAACATCTTGTTTCACTGCCCAATCGTAGATCTCAACATGAATGCCTGTACGCCGTGATGTAACAAGCATAAGAACGATGCTGTTAGGATTGTTTGCTTTTGGATATAAAAACTCCATTTTCAGAATATCACCTTCAGTTCTGAAAAATTCTTCCTAAATGAAGTTTGGATTAGTCTTGAGATAGGAAAGATGAGGAATGTAATACCTCTAAAATTGGATTCACTGGCCCGTTTTTCATTTCACATTGCATGACCCGAGGGGGCTTTAGTGCGAACACACCAAAAAACTGATGAGTTGTGGAGATAGTCATTGCTCTAGATCTGCCGATTGTTAGTTATGTTGCCCATATTGTCTTGCAGTGCTTGCTCACCGAGGATCGATTGCAAGGATTCTGCCGTATTCTTCTAGGGAGCTGACTTCTGCTGGCAACGGCCGCCGCGCATGTATGAATTCATATCGCCCTCGAGGTAACTCTCTAGCGTACATAAATATGATCTCCTTGGATGACAAAATCAGCACAAGAATTTGAGGTGGTACATTTTCCATGTCTTGCACCAAATCGCGAATATTGCCTTGATCTTCTAAACCAAGCTCGGGGCGCGTATTGATAACTTTTGCGGCCACAATTTTAGCATCAAAATCTGCCTTGGTAATAATTTCTTCCAAGTGCCCACTAGGAACAAGCTCTTTGACTTGAATGAAACTATCTCCAACAAAAACAACATCATTCTTTTTAGGATGTCGAATTCGTGCTGGCAATACCCACTGGATTGCAGGGCCACACACAAGTGTCCTTGAAAGAAGACCTATGGATGGAGGTTTGAAAACAGGTGTATTGGCCGGCATGTTGAGTTCCCGATTTCTAGCCAAGATTTCTCCAATATTAACGCTTCTGGTGGCCCATTCACCATTTTCAAGATATGTGGTTTGCACTGACATGGTGCCACTGGGTACTTGAAAAAAAAGAAGAATAGGGCGCTACAAAATTAGAAACAAACAAACAAAATAAAAACAAACGTTATGGGGTGACTAACGCTGGATTGACGTGCTCAGCAAAGCACCCTGTGTGTTCCCAATACTTTAGGAAAGTGGCGCCTTTCCGGGGCGGGAGCTTGCAGGGGGCGAGTCTGTAGGTCTCCGAAGGTTACCAGAGAAGAAATAATACGCTTTGAAAAACAAAAACATCGAGTAGCTCGGTCTCGAAGGTGGGATGTTCCAAAATTCGGATCAGAGGCTACTAATAAAACAAGCTAGCAATAGAAGCTTTGCAACTGCTCGACAATTGCACATATCAACGTTCGGACATTGTGGATGCTGGGGAAAAATTCAGCGAATGGAGAATCCTGGCAGTCATGTGTATGCAAAACTCACAACTATTGGAAATGAAGCAGTTTGTGACTCGTGTTTATTCCAACAATTTATCGGAATAGTTGAAGGACATTGTAATATCAGCTAAGAACCATGCAACCACAGTATCATGCCATGTCTTAAATGCCCAATGTTTGTTTGGCAATGGGATTCCTGAAAAAGTGCTCACATCAGTGACCCATTGATCAGCAAGAATAAAGATGAGAAGAGAAGTGTAGAAAATGACAGTTATTATGCGCCCTCAAAATACAGTTATTACCACTGAGTTTCTAGAACTAGAGGTCATCTTTCACCGTGCTCAAAAGGAAAGTTATACAGTACTAGGTGACATGGCACTGTATGGAGCAGTTAGGTCTGACGTAGTTAGACAGTCTAAACCTTTTCAGGAACACTTTGAGCCCAGTTAACAGGTACACAGTTAACACAACCACACAGGCAGCCATATTAAGATGTTAGATAATAGACAGACTTATTCTACGGAGTAGACTGTTCAAAAGAAATTGTTTGCTACTGTTTATGATTCTTTCAAATTCCAAAGAACAATTTGCGCCATTTCAAACTGCCACACAGAGTAAATACACTACTTCGTGGGACCCAAACAACCTGTGTCAGTATTACCTGTTGAAATTAATTTCGCCAGGAAGATAGTTGGAGCTGTATTCAGTTCATTATTGCATGCATGGATGTATGTATGCATGTACAGCCACTCTGAGGGTTAGAAAGAGACAACTGTCGCCGGAATCGGACGGAGCAATGTCTAGCAATGAAGGCACTTCGGCCTCTGAGTCCTATCGAATGAAAGAATGTGATATACTGCGCTGCTGCAACCAGAAAGATATCGATACTCTGGTAGCTTTAGCATGCTCAGATGGTGGCTTATTACGCGACGACCTTCGCAAATTAGCCTGTAAGAATATCTTCCAACACATGTTGTGCAAAAGTTTTGGGCTTATAATATAACTATGTATACGTCCTAAGGGCCACTATTACTTGGGTGTGAACGGGAACCTACCGGCAAGAATTCAAGAGTCGATGACCTTCCTAGGCATCGTGATGAAGAACAAGTAAAGTTAGACGTTAACCGAGCCTTTGTACATTATCCAAATTGTGAGTTACATAGCGTACCTCTAGTCCTTGCCGCACCAAGAAGAATTTACTAATATAATACCTATGTGCAACCCAGACCGGACTGCTGAACAATTGGAATTTAAAAAAAAAGAACTGTTTGATCTAATCATATCTATCCTCAGAAAACACCCTATGTTGTGTTACTTCCAAGGATATCACGATATTGCACAAGTTCTACTTCTTGTGCTCGGCCCAAAAGACTCCGCATCTGCAGTGGAGCGAATTTCCCTTTTCCGGATCAGGGACTATATGCTACCTTCCCTCTCTCCTTCCATTAAACATCTTCAGCTACTTCCCGCCCTTATTAGCCTTGCAGACCCGGTTCTTTATAGTCACTTGTCTGGAACACAGCCATTTTTTGCCCTGGCCGCAACCCTTACGCTCTACGCCCATGATATTCAAGAATACAGTGATATAGCACGACTGTATGACTTCATCCTTTCCCACGAGCCAGTTGTATCGATCTACCTATTCGCGTCAATTATACTTTCGAGAAGGAAAGAGCTGCTTGAAATTCCTACTGATGAACCAGAAATGATCCATTTCACGCTTTCGAAACTTCCACAGCCCCTTGATCTTGAGATGCTGATTGGTAACGCAATGAAGCTATATCTTCACCATTCTCCCGAATCCCTTCCGTTTCGTGCCTGGAAGAAGATTTCTCAACATAGTGTTTTGAAAACATCTAGAGATTTATCCTTACACACGACAACTCTTGTTGCACGAGACTTGTTTGAAAAGCAGGCCGACGAACTTCGCCGGGAAGAGATGAAGCAGAAGGCTGTTGCTCTCTTGAAAAGTCATTCACGAACATTCCGGTCGGTTGCGCTTAGTATTTTTGTTGGGATTCTGTCATACTGGATTATGAAGAACAATTATCACACCTTAATAAGATGGCCATCCTGTAATCACCATGTTCCCGCGCCTTTAGTGGGCACGGTGGCGCAGATAAGGTCGATATTCTTCTAGGTATATAATATAGGTATACAAATAGGCCGCCATTACCCTTGTTTCTTTTTCTTAATATATTATAAAGTAATCTTGCGTAAGCAATCTAAACATTGTGAATACTATTTCCATTCTATACAGCGAAAGTAAACTGTAGTGTAATTTGTGTATGTCCGGACCACCCCGTGCTCCGTAGATAAAATGATGTTACGGCCACGGAAAGTGCGTGGCGATAACAGACTCAAACTAATCTGTCTTCATCTGGTGACTACGGAGCACTCACTCAGGCACAACTTTGGCAAATTCACTACAGCTTTCCATGCTTCAGTGTCCACCATGGCTAATCGCGGCTACGATGTTGTTGTGGATGTAGATGCTGAGGTAAGATAACTATCTGCTTTCCTCTCCCCTATCTGCTGAGTTTTGGGGATTTCAATTGACAGATGCCTGCCGTTCTAGGGCGACCTCGGACATACTGATCTCCAAGAAGACCTGGAATTTCACAATTCAAGTAGGCAGAGGGCTGTATCTATTGACATAAAAGTGTATAAGGCTAACTGGAACACGTTTTGTCTTGGTAGACTTCGACGAAAACCCTAGAAGCGCCAACAAACCTCATTCAGCCTCAGCTCCATTCATAGGGGGTGCTTCTTCCTCTCGCCGTGGCACATCCCCTGGAGGAACTCCCTCGAAACATCGCTTATGGACTCTTACATATTACGCGCAATATTTCGATGTTGATACTAGCGAAGTCTTCCGTCGGTGTACAGCAACCTTATACCCACGCTCGAACTTCCTAGATGTTCTGGACGGAAATGCAGATCTCTATGGTCCATTTTGGATTGCTACAACAGTCGTCGTTATTCTTTTTCTTACAGGAACGATATCTCAGTACCTTGCTCATGAGAAGAAACGCCACTTTGAATATGATTTCCGTTTGTTGTCTGGTGCAGCTGGACTGATATATGGATATACGGGGGTGATTCCCATTGCGTTGTGGGCTGCTTTGCGTTGGTTTGGGAGTACCAGCGCAGATTTGGTCGAATGTTGGGCTCTCTATGGCTATGCGAATTTAATCTGGATTGCCGTAGCCCTGGTGAGTTGGAGCCCGCTTACTATTCTCAACTGGGTTCTTGTAGGCGTTGGTTTCGGATGGACGGTATTCTTCCTCCTACGAAACCTGTACCCAGTACTCAGCACGGCAGATACAAGGACAAGTAAGATTTTATTGATTCTAGTCATCGCACTACACGCAGGGCTGGCGATTGCGATTAAAATTCTCTTTTTTGCGTGAGTGCTCTTTCCTTTCCCTTGTCACATATGCTAATATTCCACCAACAGCCATGCTAGCCCTGTCAAGACAAATAAAGACAAAGGCAAGGATGACCATGATGATAAAGATAAACTGGCCCGCATGCTCTTTTAGTTTGAAACCGCATCCTATATCCTTGTCGTGTTGCTTCCCATCTCCATTTCATGACCCTGTATTTTAAGTGTAGACTGTAGCTGCAGATGGCATATGAAATTCATAGATACTTCATAGCACTGCGGTACAAGAAGAAAATTGAACTTGTTGGTTTTCGAGGCTATGAGGGACGTGAAAAGACATTATAAAAACATGATCAAGGTCCCCTTCTAAACGCCCGACATCGAGATCATCGTCACAACAAGCCAGTACTCTGGATTTCCACACGTATTTATCACCAACAAAACCGTAACATATATCTACTTCAACTTCTTCTTTGGTCGGAGCTGGTTCGTGTGTCCGCATTTCTTCTTTCTGCAGTTGGTGGCACGTGGAGGAAGGCGAGCCTAAATGAAAAAAAGTTCAGTCCCAAGTCCGTTTGTCGATAGCTCCTACATAATTGTAATAACACATACATAGCATTTTCGGCAGATCATTTTATCGCAGTTGTATTTGCTGGCCAAGGCCTTGAGGGAAGGCTCGATGATTCCTCCACGAAGGCGAAGGACAAGGTGAAGTGTCGATTCCTATAGTGAATCCAGGTTCACAGTCAGCGATGTTTCAACTTCAACCATTCTTCCCTTTCTGGTTATGTCGCCAATATTCGTATCAAGCAGACTTCGTACACCAGTATTCGGAGATGGCAGGTTTATGTACCTTTTGGATATTATAATCGCTCAAAGTGCGACCATCCTCAAGCTGCTTTCCGGCGAAAATCAATCGCTGTTGGTCTGGCGGAATACCCTCCTTGTCCTGAATCTTGCTCTTGACATTATCAATTGTATCGCTCGACTCGACCTCAAGAGTGATGGTCTTGCCGGTGAGGGTCTTAACGAAGCTACTCGCAACGAGAACAACTGTCAGTATTGCTTATTTGCTGGCTATGGATTAATGCGACAATGGTTGAGTGGCAAGGCTTCGCGTCGAGGTTGACCTACATCTGCACTAAAAAAAGGGGGGTAGAATGTCAGATCATTGGTTCAGGTATTAAAAATAAGAGGGCTGTTAGTAGAAGAACTTACTGATTACGGAGTTATCTGCTGTTATCTCACAGTCCTTTGCTTCGTCGTCAAGAAGGTCCGGGATTTGGAGAGTCGTTCGCTTAGCGGGACAAGGGGAGGCGCGCTAGCCCTAAACCCTAATTTCCAGATATGGCTCTCGAAATTCAATGTTGATCTTAATTTACGCCGCGTTTATTACTCCATAACTAGTGGATTCTTACGATTGGCGAACATCCATGTTCAATGATTGTACTCCGTACTCCGTAAACGCTTGCTATACAGAGTACTTTCATTGACCTATATCTTGACTATATTTGGGTTTAGAATCACCCTGACTCCGCGATCTTGACTTGTCTCTCCTTTTGCTTTTGGTTCTATCCTGGCCGTTAATCCTGCATTCAGCCTGGTAAACTGCAAAAACTATGGTCCCTAAGGACACGCCGATGACTGTGGCTGCGGCATTATAAAAGTCTCTAGCGATTTTTGAAAGCTGTTCTTCGTATCGATAGCGATTATATGTGCTTCCGGGCCGAGCAATAGTTTCGCTTACCTTACTTGTATCGTCATCACTCAGCACCCTTCTCATTTTCATTTTTGACATAATTTTATGCAAATTTGTCGAAATAAGGCTATCATCGTCGGAGTCTGGGGAAGGCAATGTTGTATTGTCTACTCGTTCCGTTGGAAACATGTCTGCAAAGGGGTTCGCCCCTGTGGCTTTTACTTAGTTCTAAAATTGTGCAATCACAGAGTCAAGAGCCGCCTCAGAAGCATACCTTTTTTGGTATCTATCCACATTTTACTATACCAATCCATATAGTCATCAAGCTGCACATGCGTCATGTGCAGTGCATCCTTCTCATTCACGTCAATTTCAAACCCTTTTCCAATTCTCTGTCCAAATTTCCCTCTAGTATTGAAGTCCTCACGAACCTCGGACCATAAATCCCAATCAACCAATTGTGCGGCTGGATCTTTCAGGGAATTTGGGTATCTTTTTTTGTCATCAAACGGGTAGAGCAACTTAGTAGCAACAACGACGAGGCTCATCAATTGAACCTCTGGCAAGAGAAGTTTATTAAACCTTCCAGGTTTGGTTGTGAACGAGAAAGAAAAATCTACTATTTCTCTCAGACGATTGGTGGCAACATATACCTCTACTAGACTAATTGTTAGTTGATCTATCTCAGCCTCATAGATTTGGGGGTCGCACGCGGTAAAGCGAGCTGCTTGATGTAGGATAATAGCAATATTGGCGAATTTATGGGGGGGACGGTAACTCCAAACTCTCGGAAATATAAGACCGTTAAATCGGCAACTGCTCGATGAAGTTGGTCACCAGTTGGAATATTCTATAGCCGGCATCAGGTAGATTTTCAAGGAACGAGTAGGCGTATACATACCCTAGGGTCTAAAACATTATAGTACAACGCAGGGAGCCTTTCTTTCATGTCTGGTGGGATATACCGGGTCAGCTTTAAAAGGGGAACATCATCCCTAGCAATCCATCTTCACAGTAGCCAGTTAGTCCAGTATAGTCATGAGCAGCCATTTGAAAGTACCTTTGAACGTATCCCAAGCTAATGGGTATTCTAAGAAATAGGGCTGCTATGTAGCACAGTGCCACAGAATCAATTGCTTTCGGTGAATCGCTCAGCTTTCGCCTATGATATATGTACTCCTCATCATCTAGCTCAGTTTGCTCGGTCTGGGAGCTGAAAATCTCAGAGGTATTGTCACCAGACGGGTAGCTATCATCCCCTCTTTTGTAAAGTCTTTGCAGACGCAGGGTCCATAAATCCTTTACGATTATCTATCAATAATTTTAGAGCTTGGACCAGATGTAGTGAATGGATTGTCCTTCGCACCTCAAGCTCCGTAGGTAAACCCTTTTCATGAATAAAAGCATAACATTGCTTCCAAAGAACCAGCTGATATGCCTCTAAAAAGAGCTGATACGCCTGACTACCATAGTATTCTAATATAAGAATCAGCGTATGTATCTGATTCTTGGAGCGAAAGACTCAACTCTTTGATACCCTCTGAGTTGCTTCTTTTTTCTGCCGAATAGTCCGCCCTTGAGTGCCGAAATCTTCATCATCTGCGATCACTTGTCGGCCCTATAAGAGCGAGGTGATTGTGTCGTTAGCGATCAAACGTGGTGACATTTCACGGGCATTGGAATATTGACTTCTTGCTGGTGCCCCTGTCTGCAGAACCATAGGCCATTCTCCAAATAATAGCGCGTCTCACGGCAACCGTCTTGCCCGCAGGCTCCGCGGTTTATCTCATCCATCTAAATACCTATTGGTTGAAAGCAATCCTTGCATCATGTGAATAATACATACATAACTACTTGGAAGGGTGATGTCCTAGGTCGCTCATTGCCACTACAAAACTCTAATAATAACCACGAATAATCTTTTTGTGCCAATAGAGGTTCACACAACATGGACGACCAAAAGATCACATCAGGTCTTTTTAATATTTTATCATTAACCTGTCATGCAGAAGCTAACATCGAAATGTCTGCTTAAGTACATACAATGAAGACACATCATCACTACTGGCAAGCAGTCTTCGAAAACCTAGCACCGTTCCCAAGAGGGACAAGAACTAGCAAAAGCCCATATTTTCCCAACGACACCCCAAGTAAAATTCGAGGGCGCTATAGAGCGGTTTCTAACAGGCAAAATGGAAAACTGTATACAAGATGCTTATTTGGGAGCTTCCTTAGCATCCATGGCGACTTCTTCGCCCATCGCAGTCAAAACAACAACGTCTGGAAGTTATTAGTCTTATTATAAAGTAGATGTCGAAACTTGAGACTAAACATACTGATATCTTTCTCCTCGACACGGAAGAGCTTGTCAATCTTTTCACCAACTTCGCCATCTGGAAGCTTGACATCATCTTTGGTGGAGCCATCATCGGCCATAAGAGAAAGAAACCCATCCTCAGAAATGTCGATCTAAAATCGTATTAGAGGTGCTTAGAAGAAAAGAATTTTAAAGGAAACATACGAGCTGGTATTCCTTGCGAGTGACGTTTGGCACCTCCATGTTATGGGTTGAGGGAGACAAATCTTCGAGTTTTTTGCCAGTGAAGATGTCGATCGCCACGAGATGAACTTTCGCGTGACCGTGCTTGCCAGTCTTTGAAGTAGACATTTCAACGATCTTGCAGGGGCGGCCTTTGATGACGACGAAGCCATTCTTCCTCAACGCAGAGCACTGCATTGGGTAGGTGGCCGAGGCGCCGGCGTCGGCGCTCTCGAAGGTGTGCTCGTGCTACATAGAAGGCGATATCAGCAAGACTAAACGTCAATACCGTAAAAATCGTAACGAGTGAAAGGACAGGTATCTCCCAGTAGCAGAGGGGTCACATGCCCCTCAAAAAGTGGGATGGACGGTAAGGTGCCTACCTGAGCGTCGTCGGCCATGCTTATAGATATAGGTAAAACCGGTGAAAGATAAAAAGATTGAGGTCGAAGAGCGGCCGACAAAAAATGCAGAAGAATGGGAGGGGGGTGTGAAGGATGGATCGAGCAGAGCAATTCTGATGAGGACTGGATTGAAAATAAAAATGAGTGGAGATTCATTCGCTGTGGCCTTAGGAGGGGTAGCCGACGCTTAACCTACTTTGGAAGTATGTTTGTGCAGTTTACACCCCATACTTCGCGCTAGCGGAAATGATGGCTATGGTCAGCCGAACCAGCGATCTGATAACGGATAGCCCGCCGTAGCCATCCACCCCAGAGCTAGCTGTACCCCAGAGCCATATTTCCCATACGATGTAGCCTTCAATCTGGCAACAGTCTTCAACAGAACCCTTGGACTGAATGGTCGCTGAACATGTGGCTCGACCGCTTCTCAGGGCATTCTGGTGCTGGCAATCCTGCTCCCTTCCAGCGACAAGCTTCGCCCATCCCGCGACAGTCCCAGCACAATGCGGGTAACCCGCCCTCTCGCCCCCCATTTAACAAGCGCTCGTCATCACTATCTCTTGCTTCAGTCGCAAATGCTTCCACAAGCTCTTTAGCAGGCTCACTACGCCCGGGAAATGCCCCTCTAGGGAAATCAACACCGGCCGCCACGCCTGGTACTGACCCCGTCGAAGTTCTACAGGGCATAATTGGAAACAAAGGCCAGCTAGATGAAGAGCCGTGCAGCTTTAGCTCAGATACCTTTACTGTTGCAAAACCAGAGCAATTAGTAAAGGCTATTGACTTCAGAGATCGGAGCCTAGAACAATTTGCATACCAGAATAATGAGCTGATGGAGTTTCCTAATGACTCTGTGGTATCCCAGTCTGCTGATCAATGTGAGTTTCATGCCATATGAGTACTCTACTCTTAGGAAATATATTGACCTAAATACACAGATGAGAAGGAAAAACAACGCTTCCAAGAACTCCACGGTTCAATTGCAGTGAGCTAGACTACCAGCTTTAACTACCGCAGATTCTTACGTCGGTTTACTATACAGGGCTGCGACGATGTTTTGAAATCCGTAGAGGCGTACCTCTTAAAATTTCAGGCTGAACTGAGTGCCGTTTCCGCAGAAATCGAAACACTTCAATCGCGTTCAACGCACTTAGGTTCTCAACTTGAAAACCGGAAAAATGTCGAACAGCTTCTGGGTCCAGCTGTTGAAGGCATCGCCATATCTCCTCGAACAGTCCGGATGATATCGGAGGGGCCTATAAATTCGGATTGGATTCAGGCACTAAACGAACTCGAATGCCATTCCGCCAGCGTTGAAGCTGATTCTGTTAAAAATGTTAAAGCCGTGGAAGATGTGAAACCCCTACTTTTGGACTTGAAAAATAAGGTGAGAATATCAGTATTCCGAAAACGTGGCTATCACCCCTAATCTTAAAGCAAAGGCTGTGGAAAGAATTCGCGATTATCTAGTCGCCCAAATTAGGGCCATACGATCCCCCAATATAAATGCGCAAATACTTCAACAGCAGTCTCTAGCCAGGTACAAGGAAATCTATAGTTTCCTCTCTCGGCACCAACCACAGTTAGCAGAGGAAATTCTGCTGGCGTATGTCAATACCATGAAATGGTATAACCTTTCGAACTTTACTCGTTATAATCAGGCTCTTGATAAGCTGAAAATCCATTTCATGGATCGCAACGATCTCTTAGGTGGCGAAACTGCCTCTCAAAAAAGCTGTGCGTATAACTATTCTCATCTTTCGCCACTGTTTTGACATCGTCTAGCACACCCTTTCCCTAGCGTTCGTAATCTCCATTCATCACACGACCCTTTTACTCTTGGGCGTCGAATAGATATCCTGAAATCGAGCAGCCCGATGGCCTTATCTTCATATCTTGCAGAAGAAGATAAGTCCTATCATGGAGTTGAAGTTCCTTTTAGAAATTTTAATCTCGCTTTGATCGACAATATATCTGCGGAGTTTTCCTTCATGACAGAAACGTTCGCGGCTAAGTCGGTACAGCAGGCATCACGAAGAGTAGTGGCAATATTCGAACCTATTTTCAATTTAGGCCACAATCTAACAAAGCAGTTAATCGAAAATACAGCAGACTGCCTTGGGATTCTTCTGTGTGTACGGCTGAATCAACAGTTTGCTTTCGAGCTACAACGACGTAAAGTTCCTGTTGCCGATTCATATATTAATGGCATCAACATGCTCCTCTGGCCTAGATTCCAGATTGTTATGGACATGCATCATGAATCTCTTAAAAGAGTGGCATCGTCTAGTCGAGGGAACATCTCAGCGTTATCACTCACCGGTGGCGACAAGCAGTCACTAGCTCCACATTTTCTAACGCAGCGGTTTGGGCAATTTCTCCATAGTATACTTCAGCTAAGCAGCGAGGCTGGAGATAACGAGCCGATTTCTAACAGCCTGGGCCGGTTGACCACGGAATTTGAAGCACTTTTGACCAAGCTTAGCAAAGCCTGTGGCGAAGCGAAGAGAAAGGAGCGCTTCCTATTCAATAATTATTCATTACTCCTTACCATAATCAGTGTAAGCCACCCTTTAAATATCGATATATTCTGCGACACTGAGAAATGCCTCTAGGACACTGAAGGGAAACTTGCTGAAGAGCAACAGACTGTAAGTGCTCCCCTATGCTGCCACCTTGTTAAGTTGTTGCTAAGAGCTACAGCACTTCAACTTGATGATCAGAAAAGTCGGTGGCAAGTAATTGCTCCTACATAAAAAGCTATGATAGAAAACGCCGCGGTATTCATATAGTCGTGCGATTTACTACAAATATCGAGTAATTACCCATTGGGCTGGTGTTTGAGAATTCTAGTTGTCAGATCGTTAAAGCAACCGGGCCGGTACTGGGAACAGGGTCTTGGTTGACATACATATATTCGTTGGACACGGCTTTTCGTCCTTGGAACCTATGCACATCGCTTAGACCATTCTATTTAGTTCTAGATTATAGAGGCGCAGTATTCTTACTGTTGGCTGCCGTGCCACAGCTTCGTTCTGTGAATATAGATCACCTAGATATACCATAAAGTTATTGCATATTCCGTGAAACTATTCCGTACAGGGCACCCTTTTTTCGTAGTCAGCTTCGGTGGTGCATGCGAGGCAGGAAACCTTTAGAGTGCTGGTAGCTAACTACGAAACTGCGTGATCAGCAGAAGGCCATGCTTAATGCGTCTAGATGCTTTACACTTCAATAGTTACCCGCGCCAAAACACGAAGTATTGGTTAGGATTCCTGCCTATACGTATGTACACTTGACATGCGATAAGTCAACTTGTCCATTGATCAAGAAAGGCGCAAAGCTAAAAACAAAATGCGGCCCCGGGTAGGTTCGACGGTCTTGCATGGCATATCTTGGGCGGGCAGACGCCTCTCAACGTCAAGGCCAGCAGGTGCAGATTTCACGCATGTGGTAAGCGCCTCTTGCATCTCACATCATCGATACGCTATATCTGACTATAGTTCAGATCGTGGGTGCCGGTGTTGTAGGACTGGCGGTGGCCCGGCAGCTGGCGCGCAGAGAACGCACCTCAACACTTCTAATTGAGCGCCATGGTGTAGTCGGAACAGAAACGAGTAGTCGAAATTCAGAAGTATAGTCCAATTTCCCCATCAGCTACATGATGATAAAGTATCTGATATTGGACTGCGTTCGCAGGTTATCCATGCAGGTCTTTACTACGGCCATGATACTCTGAAGACTACCCTGTGTATTAAGGGTCGAGAACTTCTTTATTCACTCTGCCGGAAGCATGATATTCCACATCGCAACACTGGAAAGTGGATTGTTGCCCAGGATGATGGGCAATGGGCGGAATGCCAAAAGGTCCATTCGCATGCGCAAAGCATTGGCGTGCCAACGCACTTCGTTGGGCGTCAGGAGGCGCAGAGACGAGAACCTGATGTGCGGGCGCAAGCAGGGATCCTAGAATCACCAACAACAGGCATAGTGGATAGCCACGCGCTGATGACGTTTTTACATGGTGATTTTGAAGATAGGGGTGGTGACTGTGTCTTAAAAACTGAGGTGATTGATATCGAGCCATTGGACAGTGGAAAGGAGGGTTATAAGATATTTACCAAGTCCCATAGCGGGGAGGAAGATTCAGTCACAACAGAGGTGCTGGTCAACTGTGCTGGTCTCTACGCGTGCGATATAAGCAATATGGTACTGCCCAAAACCCGGCATAGGGTGCCCTATTTTACGAAGGGGTCATATTTCTCCTATTCGGCATCACAGCCGAGACCAAATATATTATTATACCCCGCTCCAAAGCCAGGACTCGGTGGACTCGGGACGCATTTAACACTTGACATGACCGGGCGTGTACGATTTGGTCCTGATGTGGAATGGATAGATAACCCGAATGATTTCAAACCAAATCCGGCGAGGCTGCAAGAGGCGATACCGGAAATTCAAGCCTTCCTACCTGGAGTAGATGTCAATGCGATAGGAACAGACTACTGTGGGATTCGGCCTAAACTGTCCAACATGGCGTCGGTAGTCAAGGCGAAAGGGTTCCAAGACTTTGTGATCCAAAGAGAGGAGGGGTTCCCTGGCTTTATCAATTTACTTGGTATTGAAAGCCCAGGGCTAACAAGTAGCTTGGCTATTGGAGAGATGGTTGAAGGTTTGGTGTATAGATGACGTTAACCTAGCTCATCTGCTATATACACATACTGGTTTCGTCTGATTTCACAATAACTTGGATTGGATTAGTTACCATTGATCGAAAGTTTTTATACTTGCAAAAAACTTAATGAACTGGACTCGGAAAGAAAGAAAACACCACCGGCAGCTCTATGCTGAAGCCTAGACACACCAGAGAACCTGAGGGCATATAAGATTTTCCAGAGCATAGCGTCTTATTTCTTAGTGCATTTTCAAGCAAGTAACTACTCGGCACATTCCAAAAAAGTCCGCCGGAGAGTAGGAGCTCCATGACAAACAAAAAGAACTCATCCTGGTTTAACCAAAAACGTAATCTAACAATCAAAGTTATTTCCCATGTTATGACTATGTACGCTGAGGGTGAGTACTAGGCATAATAGAAAACATATGAATAATAGCAAAAGTGCTCTATAGCAGTTAATATACATACAATCTTGTGAGTGGCTAGCCCGCACTTAGAAAATAAAAAGAGCCTTCGAAAGTTGCAGGAAAAGGACGAGATTAAAATGTAACAATCTGTTAACTACTTTCAACACTGACTGATATGTATCAAGCAAACAGAAAAAGAACAGGGAAAGCAAGCAGAGGGTGAAGAAATAGAAAAGAAACCGTCCAGCCCAAGAACTTTTGCCGTCCCTTCCGTCCGAACGTTGGAAAAGATAGAAAATCATGCACCCGAATCCGAAGGTTGCGTACCAACCCAGAAAGAGAAAAGAAGAACACGAGAAGCGGGAGACGCACGAGTTAGGAAATGGGCATGCAAAAAAGGAAAAGTGAGGTGAAGAAAATGTCGAGCGGAGGATGGATAGGCATCTCTGCATCGAGCGACAAAAGACCTCGTGGATATCCATTAACAACGCCTTCCTTAACATGAAGCTCCGAAACAGCACAATATCAGAGCAAGACAAGAACATATGAGGCTTGAAAGAGGAAAAAGAAGTAAATCACATATGGGACGTAATCATAAAGCACATCATATCAAGAAAGCCCCCAAGTCCAAAGCCATCGGTTAAGCCTGTTTGTATTTAGGACTTTATTTCCTCTGCTGTTTCATGTGTAGTGTCTTTTGGCTTGGAAGGATCTTCAATGGGTTCGCCAGCTTCGCCACCTTTGCTCTTGACATATTCATCATAAACAGTAAGCGCTTCGTCAACCTTGATTTTTAAAGCCGCCTCATCATCGACCCTGATAGATATTAGCCACAATATTAAAGCCGTGATAGCATATAAGAAACTTACAAAGCGAGTAGCTCGGCGTTGTCCATTTCCAAAAGCATACCCGTAATCTTACCAGCAAGTTCTGGTTGTTGGGCTGCAATCTTGGGATAAATTGCTTCACCAAGCATCTGTTTCTGCTGCGCAGGCGGTGCAGCATTCAAAACTTGAAGAGTGAGGCCATTAGGCCCGGCAGCTTCATCGCGCCCTGGCTGACCTGCCGCTCCTTGTCCACGACCTCCTTGTCCGGGGCGACCCATACCCTGTGGAATTTGCATACCACGTCCAAACTGAGCAGGAGCCATTCCAGGAACATTTGGAGGTATACCTTGAACATTGGGAGCTTGACCACGTCCCCGACCGAACGGAGCTTGGACCTGGGCCATTTGTGGAAAGTTAAGACCGTTGGGAATTCCAGCGCCCTGCATACCCATGGGCATGCCTTGTGCGCCCATACCATACGCATTGGGAGGCATTGGTTGATTTGGGTTCATGCCACGACCGCCCTGTTGTCCCGGGAAACCGCCGAACTGACCATGACGGCCGCCGGGCATACCTGGGATAACCATGCCAGGCTGCTGTTGGAATGGCATGCCGCCACGTTGGTTTGGAAGGAAATTTTGCTGGCCGGGACCATAAAATACCGCTGCCTGCATGAACTGGGGTATATTAGAAGATATTCCAAGGCTATCAAAAGTTAAAAGCTTACGGGTTGTGGCATTCCAGCTGCCGCTGCTGCTTGTTGTTGTCGAATAGTATTTCGAGCTTGTATACTTGCTTCAAGCTTCAGGGAACTGTTAGTAGCTTCACACAAAATCAATGAGCAAACGCGGACTTACTTGACTTCTACGGACATCTTTGCGTTGAGCCAAAGCAACATACAAAGGTTTACCTCCAATCATACGCTGATTCATTTCCGCGACGGCCTTCGAAGCCTCCTCGGGGCTGCTGAAACACACAAATCCAAAACCTTTACTCTTGCCAAACTTCTTTTCAGGTTTCTTGGTGTCAGATTTATTTTCTTTACCATCCTTAATATCTGGCTTTTCGGTCGACTCATCCTTAGATTCATCCTTCTCTAATTCTTTGGTTTCTTTCTTTGTATCTTTTTCTGAATCAGAGGATTCGGGGGCGAAGCTATCACGCATAACCTTAGCAGAGGTAATGGTGCCATAGTTTATGAAGAGTTCTCGGAGTTTTTCATCGTCAACGTCGTCAGTTAAATTCTTGATGTAAAGATTAACTCCTTGGTATTTCGAGGCCTTCTCGATACGTGCAGCCTCATATTGCTTGCGAAGTTCCTCTTCACGCTCATGTTTCTTTTGAGCGCGACCAACATACAGCTTCTGACCTTTGAAATCTTTGTCATTTAAGTCATCAACAGCAGCGGCGGCACTCTCATGGTTTGTAAAATTAACGAATCCAAACCCGCGGGTCTTCCCAGTTTCTGAGTTGTGGGCAAGGGTTGCGGAAGTTATATCTCCGAACTTCTCAAAGAGTTGACGGAATTCTTCATCTGTAGTACCTTCAGAGATATTTTTGACGTAGACGTTGGTGAAGTTTGCCTTCATCTCTTCAAATTTGCTCTGGCGATCTTTCTTGGCGATATGATGACCAACGAAGACTTTCTTATCATTCAATAGCATGCCATTGACATGCTTAATTGCATTTTGTGCAGCTTCGGCGGTTTCGTAATGAACAAAGCCATAGCCCTTGGAGTTGCCAAATTCATCCTGGGCAACCTTGCAGCTCAGAATATTGCCGAAAGCAGCGAATGTGTCGTGAAGAGCTTTGTTATCAATAGCTGTATCCAAATTTTTAATGAACACGTTGCCCTGGCCAGTCTTGCGAAGAGCTGGGTCACGCTGAGACCACATGATACGGCAGGGGCGGCCTTTGATCAGGGTGTAGTTGAGGTCTTCCAACGCACGCTCACCGTCGGCAGTGTTGTTGTAGTTGACGTAGGCATATCCAAGCGATCGTCTAGTAACAGCATCACGGCAAACACGAATAGATGCAACTTGGCCAATGGAAGAGAAAAGTTCGAAAAGCATGGCCTCGGTAACCGAGGGGTCTAGCTCGCCAACATAGAGTGATGCAGAGTGAGGTTGAGCATTCGCACTACCGGGAGCCTGGCCAGCCTCGCCAGCGGTATCTTCAGCGGTTGTGTTGGCATTGCTACCGTTTGCTGCAGGCTCAGGAGCGGCACCAGGGAGCGTGTCGACTGGAGGGTTGGTAGCGGTTTCTGCGGACATTTTGATTTTTTATTTTTTATTTATGGTGGAGAGTCTGGTGGAATAGAAGCATCAGCAACACTGAGTCGTTTGCGAGGGGAATAGAATAAAAAAAGATATATTTATCATGATGTGTGCGGCTTCAAAAAAGTCATGTGAGACAGAAGAGACCAACAAACCTGGTCAAAAAGATGCCAAATCCCAGGGAGGTGACGGGAGCCGTCGGTACGATTGATTTGCGACGCGAGGACTGTGTAGATGGCGGGCGACGGAGGCGAGGCGACAGTGCGAGAAGCCACAAAGAGAGCTAGCGACGACTTACCACGAAAACCTCAGAGAGGCAATCTTTTTTTGAAGAAGTTACGAGTAATTTTCGAGAAGGGGAAGGGGGCAGGCGAACAACGATGAAAGAACAGTCAACGCAGCCTGTAGGAATCGTCAAGCACGCAGCAGAGGGTGTGAGAAATCGCAGAGACGACGGTGGATGGAAAGGAAGAAGAGAGGAAGAGCTGCACGCCGTTTTTTGGGCCAAAAAAGCCGAAATTTCGAATTGGGGAGAGTTGGCGCTAGTCCGCTTCGGGTGTTGTTTGTCTTCAGAGTTTTCACGGCGGAATGTTTGCTGGGGGGCCTGATCTGGATCGCTGGTACGGAGTATGAAGGACGAGGTAGTAGTGGAAGAACGTTACGTGAAGGCTATGAACTACGTAACTACACAACAATACATAGTTACATACGGGGCTGCGGACCGTCCTAGCTCAGGTCGAACCCTGCCCCGGAGTTGATCGCATACATCAGTTTCTCGCGCAGAGTCTTTGCGCTGGTATAGCGTGGCAGCTTTAAAAGATTTGCACAGGTGCTGGCACTGGGCAGCCGCTCTTCATCAGAGGTAGAATCTCGAATGCTGAACCGCGGATTCAGGTGGCTAAACCCTAGAAGCGGGGCACGAGGCGTGGATGTGACGAACTTAAGGACCTTCTGTTTGTCTGAATTCGCCATTGCTGCGAGAACCTGCCAGAAAAGCTGTATTGTAATGTGCTCTTGTCTATCATCGCCAAGGACATACACCCCGCTGTACACGGTGTTTTGTCGGAGATCAGCAATGTCGATTTCGGTGGCATCCCCGCCCACCAGGCGCTGAAGTTCGACTTGGTTAAACATCGAGAGCCATGAAGGTTGAATGATTTGACCCATGCCCTGGAGGAAGGCATTTGTCTGTAGGTATGGCTGGACTTGGAGCCTGTGACGTGCGATATATGAGATATACACCAACCGATTCTGGTTTGTCACGGCAAGTTTGGAACCGTCCGGCTTGAGGTCCTTTGTGATGGATTGTGTTTTTATCTGGCTGTCAGGGGGGTTGGCAGGTAGGGTAATGGTGTCTGTGACGGTAAAATTGAGAGAGAAGTCTTCCACATCGCCAGTGTAGTTCTTGAGTTGCAACTAGAGGAGGGTCAATAGCTGATTAGCAATCGGGTACGGGCGAATAGGCTTACCAAACCTTGATACAAGCTCTCATCTAAATCTCGGAGATCGTTGAGGTTTGCACGGTACGCTGACTCCCGAGAAGCGGAACTCGAGCCGCCTGTGAGAGCCCATTTCAATAAGAAAAACCCTGCAAAATTGACATCCACCAAAATGCCTTCGTAAAGACATTTACCAATAATCCGACCGAGGAACTCGTACCGTTTTAATAAGCCTCTAATTTCTTCATTCCAAGTTGCACTCCTCTCAGAAACGCCAGCCTGTCGCAATAAAGCTCTCCGCTGTTCCACAGCACTTGGCTTCGGGTACAGCAAATGTTGATCATTTTCCGAAAAAAAGCTCAAAACACGGGAAGGATCAAATGCGTCACTGATAATGCTCGTCAGAAATTCCTTCATTACCCCTCCGCCGTCTATTCCGGCTTCGACGGTGTCAAATTGGTCAATAAAAGTGATCTGTATGGGTTCTTTTAGGCCTTCTCCAAGTGGGTAGAATTGTTGAAATGCATCTTCAAACAAATGCCCACGCCTTATGTTTGCATGATGTCGAGCTAGTATTTCGCTGCGTTGGCCAACTTCAGTACCTTGAGATATCGAAAATCGCCAAAAATCAGGGTCGACGTTTCCGCCCCGCCTTCGTACCTGGTCTCTGTAAATAAACTCCCTGAATATCTGTACTCGTGTATAAAATGGAATGAAAAATGGCATATTTCGTAGAATTTCTAGTCGAGGAGCCACAGCTTCGAGTTCTTTCCTGCGTGCCGCCTGGTGCTGTCGTTTTCTTAACAATTCTATCCGACGAAGCTGCTGTGCCCGACCAGTACCTACTAATCCAGGAGAACGGTTGATATATTCATCTTCCATACTTTCATCTTCGATGTCAGATTCGTCTTCGTTAAGTAATCGATGTCTATTTTCTTCCTCAGCAACAACAGAAGGAATAAACCCTTCCATATCAAATCGATCAGTCATCAACCAGTGGCCTTCGGGTAAGAATCTTCTACGCGAGCTGACCCAGGGTGTTAGCGATTCAAATGCGGACAATAGTGAATTTAAAGACGTACTCTCGCTCATGAACCATTCTCAGTAACCCAGTAACTAACCCCCTGAAATATTCCAGTGGGACCCCAGCCACGGCGACTAACTCCTTTCTCGTTGATCTCACAACTGGTTCTGTTGTTGGTAGGTGTTGTAAAGTGTTGAGGTTGAAATAATCTCGGATTCCAAGATTCCCATCTTTGGACCCTTCGGACGTCAACTCTGCTAAATTCCAATATAAAGGGAAAGCCAGATTCTTCAAAAATACAGTCAAGTCTCTGACTTCTTCCAGGGGTAAGGTGCTTTCCTTCGTCCATGAAGCAGGAGAGCCTCCAATGTCACATGAGGGAACGAAGAAGAATTCGTCGTCGTCTAGAACTTTCAATAAAAAGGTATACAGTTCAAGGAAAAGAAAAATTACAGTCCACTCCTGTTCGCGTCCAGGCCGAACAAAATTTGATGACCCAGGCGTGGCATTTGTTGATGACGACTTTAACATCGCTAAAATATCCTCAGTACGCTCAGTTACAGTGCGGTAAACTCTTGTTAACCTCGTGGCCTTCCAGAAATATTTTATGGCTGGTATTCGAGTAGAAGAAAATCCTCGATCAGCAGTGGAGGCTGACCCAAGATACAACCACATACGAATCTCGTCGCCCCGACGAGGAAAAATTCGAAGGAGAGTTAATGCATAAGTGGCAAGATATTTAGCTTCAGATTCAGCGTCAGTATCTGTCCCTGATACATTACCGACGTCAACATGAGATAAAAGCCGGGTTATGCTGCCTTGGTTCACGAGGCTTAAGAGCTCATTTCGAATGAAGGGGGGAAGTGGTTTAGGATCAGTAGTTTCTTCGTCGACGTCAATTCTCTGGAAGATTTCTGTCGCAACAGGGCTCAATAAAAGCGATAAGGCTCTTACGAACAAGATATCCGGGGCATGGTCGGAGAACATAGACCCTAGAGCATGCTTGTAGATATAGATAAAGTATGCAAGGAGCCAGATTCGGCCAATCATATCAGTTGAATTGAGAGGCGTCTGGGAGGATATTTTTGAATTGAGAGCCGATGCCAGTAGCTTATAATTAACTCCAGACGCAAGATCGGGCAAGGAAGGCAGATGGCTGTTTAGAAAGGGAATAGTGAGATAGGCACGGGCAAACCATTCATACACTTCCAAAGTATTAGAAGTAATAGGTTGTAAAAGTGCAAGAACAGTTTGAACGACTGATCTTATAACAGACATATCCGTAAATTTCTGCGAGTATGTGGTTAACCGAGCCATAGTTAGATAGAACTCGTGGGCATGTTGTGACATCTGGCGAGGAATGAGCGTTGTAAGAAATATCAGAAGCTGTAGCATGTCGTTCAAGGCATACTCAAACCGGCGATCGCGTCTTGCTGATAACGCATGGAGAGTAGAAAGCATTAATCGGGTGAGCAAAACTGGGTATTCCTTGAGCTGCAAGGTGATCTCTTCAGAGGCCTCCTGAAATGCCCGAGCAAGTCGACAAAGCCGCAGAAGATCTCCTTCATTGTCAATTTCCATGAAAGCCAAGAGAGTTTTAAGTTGTCCGATACATTCGATGGAGTCCCGGTATCCTACCACGGGTGGGAGTGAACATATTTCTGCGACACTATTGACTGGCCGATAATGCGGGTCTCGTTTACTTTCAGCTTGGTCCCATTTTTGTCTCCAGGTAAAACGTGTAGCTTTTCTGCTTCTGTATCCTCTCCACGTACGCTGAATCACCTGTGTAGCCCGTAGCTTATCCCTATCTAACTGTCGCTGAAGTCTTTCTTGCTGGGCGATTGCCAGAGTCGCCTGAGGTCCCGATGCGGGATGACGTTTCGAGGGTGGGTGGGCGGTGAAGGGGTTCGCCAGTGATCGGTTAGAAAGGTTCACCTGCCGGGGCCTGCGCGAGCTACCGGTAAATGATGTGAACATGGCGAGTCTGCAGCTCCGAATGTGGGGGAGGGTCGTGCCTGTGAACAGGTGAGATCGTGGCGTTCAGCTGCCTTTGGTCATCTCAGTCGTCGAGTTGAGTGGGAAAACTTCAGTAGCCTGAGGAGCGGAGTTTGCTCTTTTCATAATATCCATAAACGATGGAAGAGAGAATCGTGGTGCCTGGGCTTTTATTGGTAGGTGGATTTGATGATGCTAGGGTGAAAATGAAGCTTGCCACAAAGTTCTGCAGATAGCTTAACTACTGTGTTTGAAACGACCAAGCAAAATCCGCATAAAAGGGATGGGTGTCTCCAATAGCATTCTTGCCTATGGCGGAGTAAATCTTCAAGATATGTGAGACAGCAAACCCTGCCCTGAAGATGGATGTATCTATATATGTACACGAAGACCATTACTTCATCACTCTAGAAGCTCGATCTGATGCCTGCGCCATTGCAAAACTTAAATCAAAAGCCGGAAAAACAACACTGCAAACGCTAACATCGCCGTATGCCCCCAATAATCAACGCTATCGTACAAATGGACTGTAGGGAGGCCGAGCTCTAGCGTAGTCCAGGGACCGGTCACCGGTGTTGTCCAAGTCAGCCAACAGCAGAACATATGCTGAGGCGTCGATTCACAGAAGAGTCGCCCCGGTCCACGTAGATTTTCATCGCTCGATTCTGATCGTTTCTTCGGTCGACGGTTCAGATTGTTCGCCCAATTCTTCCTCGCGTCGTCGAAGCTCCACCACCTCCTCGTCGTTCTCTTCCACCCATTCTTGCAGGAAGTCTTTACCGGTATATGCTCTCGGTACGACTACTTCTCTACCGCTCTTCGCTTGGAGTATTTTTGTAAAGGCGTTACGGGTTGGCTCCATCCGCCGGGTTACGAAGGGGGTAAGCTATAACAAAGCTCGGGTTAGCTTCCGTACGGTGTAGAAATTGCAATAACCACACCGACCTTGAATTCCGAGAGGGTCTCGGGTACAACATATGTTCGTACTTTGGTCCAATTGATCACATATTTGCCCTTCTGGGGCGCGAAAAAACCCATAGAACCGGTGCGATTACCTTTGTAGTAACCCCCGTTCACTTGTTTTGTGGTCAAGCGCAAACGCGCTTGTAAACATTGCGAAGGCTTGAACATATCTGCAAATCGCTGGTGCGATACGAATAGTCGATGGAGAGGAATAGATCATTCTCCAGACTCAGGCTTTCGACATGGATTTGTTTTGTGACATGGAAGATTTCCCAGGTGAAACTTTCGCGGATTAACTTTTGGCCAGCCAGCGAAAGTTTAACTAAACGGCCAACAGGGATGCAGTATTAGTTCCACAAGTAAAAAAAGATGCGGGAGGTTTTAAGCAGGACTCTCGCACACCGCAGATTCCTCTTCAACTGAGAAACAGTATTTCACGATGCCTGGAAGACAATCTCATGTTCTTAATAACCAGAAAACTGATGGCTTAAAGAACAAAACCACGAGAGGGAAACGAAAGCTTGGGAGAGGCCTTGACGCTCTAACGGTCGCAGAACGGGAATACCCACAAAAGTCAGGCATCAAAAAACATAGACTTGGCGAGGATGAGGAACAAGAATCAGGCCGTAAGAGAGAATTTGGGCAGGATACCAATGACGAAGATGCCCCTTCAAAACGGAGAAGGACAGCCCACTCAGCACTGGACGAAGATGGAGGCAGCGACAGTGATGGAAACGAGTGGAAATTAGGTGAAGTGGATAGCGATGAAGATAGTGATATCGATAGCGACAACGCTTTTGGCTCCAGCGATGAAGAGAGATTTGAGGGATTCACTTTCAGAGCCAGTTCCTCAAAGACAAATGCAGATACACGCCGCAAGAAGCGGGATGAAGGCTTATCCGAGGATGGGAACGATTACGGATCGAATGATGAGATAGATGACGATCTTGGAGATGATGCAGTAGATTTGGCCGCAGCATGGGACATGAACGCAGAAGAGTCAGAGGAAGAGAAGTCAAAGGCGGCTTCGAAGGCGGGAAGACAAGCAGCAGAACAAGAGGAAAGTGATGAAGATAAATCCGCCTCGGAGACAGGCAGTGAAGATGAATCTGATGGGGAGTCGCAACTATCTTTTTCTGACAACGATGACGCTACAGAATCCCGTGGCCTCTCAAAACTACAGAGATTTGTGACTGCCTTAAAACCAGAATCTATGGATGAGAACAAATCCGGTCATGGACCTTCTATGACGCTCCAGGGTAATGAGCCAACCGAATTCGGTGTGGTGTCCCGCCAAAAACTCACGGTTGCGGATCTGTTGCCTACATTATCGGATTCTCGTATGAAAGGTTCTTTAAAGCATCTTCACACCGAAAGTGTTCCGAAGAATACTCAGAGCAGCGGTATTCCGGGGAAATTGGATGTACCACTATCCAAGCGCGAGCAGGATCGTCTAGACCGTGCAGCCGCTTATCAGAAGAGCAAGGAAACATTAGACCGGTGGATAGACACCGTCAAAGATAATAGACGTGCAGAACATCTAACATTTCCGCTCCCTGAGATCGCTCCTGTGCAAGATCGCAAAATCGCAGAATCGAAGCCCAGGACTGACCTTGAAACTACAATTCAAAATATTCTAGTTGAGAGTGGTCTAGCGAGCTCCAATGGCAAAGATGGGGAGAATCGGATCCAAGAAGTAGAAGAATTACAGGCGAATAAGCTCTCCATCGAGGAAATACAAGCCCGTCGCATCGAGCTCCGCAAGGCGCGAGAGTTACTCTTCCGGGAAGAGGTTCGAGCAAAGCGAATTAAAAAGATCAAGAGTAAAGCCTACCGCCGTGTTCATCGCAAGGAGAGAGAGCGAATGGAACTACGAGAAAGAGAGGCATTGGCTGCTGCTGGGGTTGAAATGGATGAGGATGATCGCGAGAAAGCCGATAGATTGCGAGCAGAGATGAGAATGGGTGCCAAGCATCGGGAGAGTAAGTGGGCGAAGAGTGTTAAAGAATCCGGTCGTGCGGCGTGGGATGACGATGCACGTGCTGGTATGGCCGAACAGGCTCGACGAAAAGATGAGCTTCAAAGGAGGATAGAAGGGAAACGAGTTGAGAATGAAGAGTACCTGGATTCGTCGAGTTCGGAATCTGAGGAGGATGATATAGATCCCTTTGACGAACTTGGGTCAGAAAATGAGTCCCAGAGACTAAAAGAGAAACTTAAGAAACTGGGTGCAACGGCAGACGAGGAAGATTCGAACGGTCCGCATGCAAAATTGTTTTCCATGAGATTCATGCAAAATGCTGAAGCTTCCCGAAAAGCGGCCAACGATGCCGAAATAAGGAAGCTTAGCAGGCAGCTTGATGGTAACACTTCAGCACCGGAAGAAGGCGACGAAGAAACTGGCGGCCGTCAGCATTACGGAAAGAAAGAGATGAAACCCTCTAAGCCGGCACCGGCTGTCTTGAAACATGATTTTGAAGAGCCCGATTCCGAGATTGAACAGTTGGAACGTCTTAACGTTGGTCAGTCGATCGAGAATCTTATAAACAGTAAAACAGATAAAACACAAAAGAGGCGATTGCGAAATTCAGTTCCGCACGAAGGCAGCCCGCATGGCAGCAACGCTAATTACAAGGAGCCAATAGATAACCCGTGGTTATCAGAAGGAACAAAACTACCACGGAAAATGAAACGTGTAGGAGACGGTAATGCAGATGTTACACTCATCGACAACAGCGGGCGATGTACGGGAGCACCCAATCCAAGGCACGCTTTTCGAGATGGAGGCTCCCATGTACCAAACATTCAGAACGGCGATGACACGTCTGACGAAGATGTTTCAGGTGGTACAGTGCTCCTTCGAAACGAAGAGCTTGTCCAGCGAGCGTTCGCGGGGGACGAGGTCCTCGAAGCGTTCAAGCAGGAAAAACGGGATGTTGTGGAGGATGAAGGCGATCAAGTCATTGAAGACACGCTGCCGGGATGGGGTGCCTGGACGGGATCCGGGCTCAGTAAGAGGGAGCAGCGAGACGCTAGAGCTAAGAGAAGCTTCACAACGAAGGAGGGCATCAGTCCTGAGAGGAGGAAGGACTCGAAACTAGAACGTGTTATCATCAACGAGAAGCGCATCCGAAAGGTATGATGATCTCCCTGCTGGCATGATGACCAGGCATGTCCATTATTCTGCTCGATGATGCTAATGATCGCGAGACAGAATACCAAGTATCTAGCGTCGCAGCTCCCCCACCCGTTTGAGTCACGGCAGCAGTACGAACGATCACTCCGGCTGCCTATTGGGCCTGAATGGACAACGAAAGAGGTGTTCCAGAGCCGCACAAAGCCGCGCGTGATGGTGAAGCAAGGTGTCATCAAGCCCATTCAGCGGCCGCACATGTAAATTAGAGGCTGGGAGGACAAGAAAAGTAACAGTTCCACATTGTCTGGGCGGGACAGTTTTGGTGCGACGCATGGCCGACGCCACGAGGACCGTAGAATCGGCATGACCGCCGGAGACGGCGCTGGCTGGCGCTGCAGCCGTCGTCTCCGGCGCAACCGCACTGTTCACGTTTGCCGCGCGTGTAGTTGGGCCTATGACGCGCTCGTCACGTGGCGGGCGCCGGCCCGTGACCTGACTGGCTGGCGGTGTTGATCGAGACCACGGCTGGCATCAGAGGCTGTCATCAGCGTCGCCGGGCCGTGTGCTGAGCCCAATATGATTGCGCCGTGATCAGCGGCTTGCTTATCCACCAGTTTTCCTTTGTTTTTGGGATTGGCTTTTCGATTTTGTGCTCCTCATGATCCTTCGTCCTGCATCGTCGGGTCAGTCAAGGCTCCGGCCCCGCAGGCGTCACCCGCCGCCTGCTGGTGCATCACCAAGACGCTCGAGGCGGCGCGAAGGTGAGCCGTGCCGCTGGCTGACAGACATCGTGTACTACTGTTTGGGTGTTGGCTGCGCGTGGCTTCAGATCGTGCCTGCGACAGCTCGCATGCCGGCAATTATACCTATATAAGGGAACAGGATCAGCACCATCCGGGATCTTCGCGACAGCAGACGGCTCATCTCCTGAACCAATATACCGCCAATATTCCTCCTGTTACCTGTACGGAGTATTCGGAGAATTACTATCTGCCGCGAAGGTAAGCTTTCCGCTTCGCTGGATTTTCCTTCATTTTGCCTTTTTTCTGTTTTTTGTGCGATCCAGCCATCATCGCCTAGTGGTTGCTATGGAGGCTCTCCTCTGCTATCGGACGCCCGCCACCATGGCCATGCTTGGCCTGCTGTGCCAGCCGTGTGCTTCACTGGTCGTGGGGTACTACTGCACGCCCATGCGTTCCCCGCCGTGCCTGGCACACGCCGTCATCCGAGGACGGCGGGCCCGCTTCCTGCCTGTATAAAATCCACCCCCCTGTCGCTCCTTTGGCGGCAGCCACTAGGGCATATTGGTTGTATGTCAAAACTGGCGTCGCGCCCGCCGTTTTTCTCTCTTCTCCTGCTTGTCGTCCTGGGCCGCCGTTCTTTACCTTGTGTTTGTTTTGTTCTTTCTTTTTTTTCTTTTTTCTTTTTCTTTCTTTCTTTCTTCGTCTTCCCGCTCGTTGGCTTGCATGCACCATGGCCTTGCCTCTGGCAAGATGGCTTACCCAGGCCATGCTAATATCTTCCGGCCTTTTTGCCGGTGTACAGTCCCTTCCGTATTCCCCGAATCCCGATCCTGCAGACGCCCAGCACTCCCCGTCACCACGCAGCCCGTATCCCAGTTTTCCAGTCCAAAGTCTAGAGGCGACACCCTCTGCCCCTTTGCGGTACCCGCCAAAGCCCACCAGACTAGGCACCAAGCAAGTGCCCTCAGAACGCGGTTATTTCAACACATCCAGCGAGATCTCTACTTATACGCCCCCTGGATTCAACCCCGAAGCCCTACCGTACGTCCCCTATAGACCAGCACCTCCTTTTCGTCCGCTCGGCATGGGTCAAAATGTCTTCCTACCCGTCTCCGACGGGCGGGTTCCGTTAAGCATTCCAAAAAGGGGAGACCATCCTATCAAGCCCAACCACATTGTAAGTATATATCTCTAGTTTTGTCTCATGTGTACGGGGGCTGATACACGACCTAGATAAACCCCACAGCACCAATATCTACCAACAAATTTTTTGCCAATTTCTTTCTTGGTAACCAGCAGGAGTATACGTTCACCCTACCCTATTCAGTCGGTTGGTCTAAAGGAACAGGTCCGGCAAACAGCTATGGAATGGCAATCTCTCATGTTGATGCAAACCAAAGAGTATTGGGAGAACGAGTCCCAAGCATTCCCGGAAATCCTGCTAGGTTCTTTTATAGCCCCGCTCGCCTCCAGTCAATCATTTTGTCTGCCACAGAACTTGGAAACTCTACCACGCTCAGCGTTGCAGAACCCCAGGCTGGATCTGCCAATGTTTTACTGAAGCCTCAGCCAAGCGGTAGTAATGGAACCGTATCTTTTCCATTAGTCCAGGGCATGGGATTCGTCACTGCTATTTACGACAATTTGCAACCGTTGGTGCAGACCGGTATCTTTTTCCGGACGGTCAGTGCTGTTACGTGTGCTAGAAGGGGAATATATAAATATATTACGATTCTTGAAAATGGAGCGAGGTGGGTTATTTACGTTACTCCTGCGAATGGAGTTGATCCAAAGTTCAAACTTCTGTCGAACCATACTATTGAAGGCCCGAGAGCATTCAAAGGAACTATACAAGTTGCCAAGGACCCAGGTAATGCAGACGCGCTCTACGACCGAACTTCGGGTGTTTACCCAACCTCCGTATCTGTCTCTGGACTTGTCACTGGCGCCACAGGTACATATCAATTCTCTTGGGCCAAGGCAGGAAACAGTAAAGACACCCCTTTGTTAATGTTTGCTTTGCCACATCATGTTGAAGCTTTTGATGACTCTTCCAAGAAGTCCCAGACTGACCTTCGATTACAAACACCGACAAAAGGCATTGCCACAGCTTGCCTTGGGGATTCATGGACTATGGTTGAGCAGAATCTACCTATCAACATGGGATTTGAGCCTTGGCAATCGTCTACATCTGTCAGGTGTTGCCTACCGCCTGCTTCACAGAAGATAATCCGAGAAGCCGCAGCCTCTGAGATGTCCCAAAACATGAGATCTCAAACAGACTTGGACAGCATGTATTTCAGTGGAAAGGCTCTCGCAAAATTTGCAATTATCGTGTATACAGTCCATGAGATGCTACAAGACCCTAAGTTTGCAGCCAGTGCATTGCAAAATCTAAAGGACAGCTTTGCATCCTTTGTTCAAAACAAGCAGAAACATCCCCTGGTCTACGATGCGGTTTGGAAAGGCGTGGTGTCTTCTGCAGCATATACTACCGGCGACCTAAATGCGGATTTTGGAAACAGCCTTTATAACGATCATCATTTCCATTACGGCTATTTCGTTTTAGCCGCTGCGATAATTGGAAAGCTGGATCCGTCCTGGCTTCCAGCAAATAAGGCCTGGGTCAATACGTTAGTTCGCGATTATGCCAACCCAGTTTCCGATGAACAATTCCCATTCTCTCGAGGCTTTGATTGGTACAATGGACATTCTTGGGCAAAGGGCATATTCCCTTCCGGCGATGGGAAAGATCAAGAATCTACTTCTGAAGACAGTATGTGCACATACGCTATTAAGATGTGGGGTGCAACTACCGGCGACGCTAGCATGGAGGCACGAGGAAACTTGATGCTGGGCATTCTAAAGCGGTCGCTGAATGATTACTTTTTGATGCACAGCAGCAATATCCACCAGCCGAAAGAATTTATTGCAAACAAAGTGACAGGCATTGTTAGTACCCTGGTCTCCGAAGCACTGCTCCCATACTAATATTATATGTTCGACAGCTTTTTGAAAATAAATGTGACCACACCACATATTTTGGCGCGAAGCTTGAGTACATCCAAGGGTAAGTGCGGTCCTTCTTCCCGCCTGGGCATCCGAGTTTAATCACTAAATACTTTCTTAGAATCCACATGCTTCCTATTCTCCCTGTATCAGCCTACATTCGAGACAAAGGCTTTGTTAGAGAAGAATGGGATGCGATGTTTGCCCCAAATGCCACTTTACCCGCTCAAACTGCAGAGGGCGGCTGGAGAGGCATTCTCTATTCAAACCTCGCGTTGATTGACCCAACGGCCTCGTGGGACTTCTTTGCCCAGCAAAATTTTAGTGGGGCTTGGCTCGATGGAGGTGCCAGTCGAACTTGGTCCCTTGCATATGCAGCCGGTAAGTAAATTTGGCTTCAACTACCCCGTATGAGCAGATATAGACAAGCCTTGCGCATACGTCGATACATCCACAAAGTAGCATTTCAACTAACGTCAGTTTAGGTCTTGGTGGAGGCCCCAGATCAAACCTGACAACTGCGCCTTGGAAATATACCCCTCGATGATAGCATCTAAGACTTACCCTTCACATTCGTTTATCACATATCAGCAACCCTTGTCCGACATTCCTTAATCGTTCTGCAATATTTTTGATGTACTATTATTGAATAGATTACATGTGTATGTACCTTTTCGGGCAATATTCTTCTCTTTGCACTTACTTTGTATATCTGTACATATATTTATGATGACTTTCTCAGTGTATATAATAGTTAGATATAATCACATACAGTCCGACAGAGTTAGATTCCATGTGCAGATTTTGAAGCAGCTGGAAATATACGTAATCTGACGAGCGGGCGGATAGGTACGGACCGCCGGCGTGGCCGAATTGCCCTTGACAATTTAGAAAGACAGGACGACAGGATCCGTGCAGCAGGTTAATCCCCTGGGCTTGTTGATGATGGAGTACGGAGAATTTAAAAGCTGAGTTATTGGCAAGTCAATAATGGAGTTGACCACTCCGCCTAGCGAACCCTTGGGTGCTAGTCAATTGCTTGCCAGTATACAGAAACAGAGCTGATCCCCAGAGAAACGTGTGCCAATGGAAGGGCGACGACGCGAATGCACCAACGAATATGAAGTGCAGAGTACCCCTTACCAAATATTGCTCCGGAATTCAAGGGATTGAGTTTGCCGCATTCACCCCGGAATATAGCCAGCGGTTGGCCTATGGAAATAGATACAACTACACCGCGTATCCGCCATAGTGGATGAGGATTATATACAGATACCACTTGGTATAGTATGTGCAGTATAGATAAGCTGTACAGTGTGCGACACTACAGACGTCATCATGTACTAGACTGATCTGCAGAGGAATAAGATGAGGGGTTTCAGGAACCCTTTTTACACGTATATGTAACCCTCACCGGAGCCCAGGCTGTCAACTCGGGAGTGTATCACAAAGCGATATTTCTAGCAGGACTTAATTTTACTTTTTTGAATAGTCTGATTGTTATATAAGAATTGAAATGGCAGGGTGAGAAATGCTGTGCAGGTGCTAAGAATGGGCGCGAAATAATCCAAGGCCCTTTTCAGACGGCATGCCAACCAAATGGATAAGGTGCGCGTACTCCGCACAGATCTGTACTCAGATCCCATAGTGGCGCATATTAAATTATGGTACTAAGGCTATTTACAGATTGTTCTGATGTCATAATCCATATCTTTCATATCTAGATACGGAAGAAGGTGAAGGGCATGAGATACGGACTTAGGGTTGACAAGCAGAAACAGTTGTATTATTAATAGAATCTACAAGTTGTATCCTACGTTCAATGTTCATATTATCCTGTTATGAATGCGTAGCATTAGAGTGTGGTTTAGAGACCCACGTCTCGGTCTGCTGCAGGGCCGGTAAGACTTATGACGTGGATGTAAACGGCCTGAAGTAGGATACGGACTCTGAAAAAGTTGAGTTGCTTTCGAGCATTACTAGTGCTAGTTCTGTTCGCAGCATTGAAAGAATATCCGAGATTAAAAGAAGAGAAATTAAGAAGGAAGAATACAATCGCCAAAAACGAGCCAGGATGTACCGCTGATGGGGTAAGAGAGGGAAGTTGCAGTTCAATTCCCCTTCATATTGTTCCTGTATACAGCCCTATCACTCGGACGGTGACTCCGGGAGGCCTCGCCCCTTGTTCAGGTTGATGTTGATGGTAATCGGCATATTAAAGTCAATATCACCGATACACATTTGAAACTAAACGAATGTCAGAAATCCGAATTGTTTAACGCGTGGGCTGATCACCTTACCCCGAAGTTATTGTTACAACAGATGACCTTTTGTTGGCAATTGACCGTAGATTTGACGCAGTTATGTGCTAGAAGGGCAAGTTAGGGATGATAGTATAGAAATAAAGTGAAAAGGGAGCTTACATCCAGAATCGGTACTGCAGCAAAATGGAGTACCGCTGGAACACTGGTTGGTTTGAGTAGGGCAATTGCTTGGGGCATTAAGAGCAGGAACAAGGCTCGAGAGGATGTTCGCTGGATCTCGAGACATCAAATTGTTCCCAGGTTCGGACGCCGGGACAGGCCCTGGACCTGGATTTGGAACAGGCTGAGGTTCCGCATCTGCGACGGGCACAGCAAGCCCATAGGAGAAAAAGAACACGAACGAAAGGACAGTGGAGCTGGTGAAGAACTTCATTTTTGTTTTCCGGTGCTCTTGAAAACAGCTTCCAAAGGAACAAAAGAGGGAACAGCCAGCTCAACGAAATACTAGCGGGAAAGGCGCTCAAATAGTATCAACAAACGACAAAAGGAAACAAGGGAGGGGGTAAGCTGGGGGTCTTCATTGGGGCCACGGCCTCTGCTCCTCTTCATGAGAGCAACGCCCTTTTCCCAAAAGGCTCGAAAGGCTGAAATCCGGGTCGCTGGTTGAACCCAGCGTCATAAGTCTAGCCTGCATTTGCATAGGACGACCGTGCGGCTGGGAAGAACAGGCCGTTTCCAGCCGTTCACCGCCTGCGACCGCCCAAGCGACGGCAGCGCAGCCCGTCCCAACCCCCGTGGGGCGTTTCTCCCACTGCGATTGACTCTTCCGACGACATTGCCCTCTTTGAGCTTTAAGCTCTGCATTGACGCCAAGGCCAGGGCGAGGGCATCAAAAAGCATTTGGGTGTGGCCTGGGCCTTTGCTGCCGACTCGTGACTGGGTAGCCTTATGCTCTGGGGCTTGCATCAGCCCTCAAGCCAGGCACGGCACAGGTGATTCGACCAGCATGTCGCAACCGAGATGTTTCAGCACCTTGGCACTGCCCCTCGCCTAAATCTCCTTTTCTGAGCCGCCTTCACTGGAAGCCACATTTCACCCATATATGCGCATGGCTTGCGACAAGAGACTCCAAGCTAATCAGAGCTTGTTTCGCTTGGCTCCGTTTTGGTCTGGACCCGGCCTGCAGCAGGTGGCGTTCAGCGGTGTTCTTGCTGTTGCTATTGGCTGCGCTATACATAGAGCCGCTCCCAATATGCGTTGATGAGCAGCGTGGGGAGCTGGGGAAAGCTTGGTTACGTACCTTAACCCGCGAGCCGGGCGGATCTGATAGCAACGTGTTTGTATTATATTATTCTCTCAGCACATGGCTTTTGCATGAATTCCTGCCCGTAATAAATATGTATACCTTCTATTGAACGCCTTGTATCTTGCATGTTGACGCGGCCCAGGAGTCCAAGGTCCAGGTTTAGTTTAATAATAGTCAAACCTACTCCGCAGGTATCATCCGATTTCACACATTTTCTGAGAGTCCTGTAGCTAGGCCTATTCAGTAAGTTCAAGGATGCAGCAGTCCGTGATGCCAAACGCCCGATGTCAGTGTGAAAGGACAGGTACCCAGTTCTCACGCCTGGTGCAAACGCCTCATGCACGCTCAGCCATTTTGCAATGGTGTTTTCCAGCTGAGCATATTTGTTTCCCGTTCGGAAATCTTACTCGATACTATGGAAATTTTTGCACGCCTAGGCAATGAAACCATTCACTATCGGGAAAGGGCAATTCTTTAATTGCGAAGTTTATGCGAATATTGGAGCCACGCCATAGGGCTGGTCGATGACGCCCGAGTGAACCCAAACGTGCTCCAATGTAAAACCTTAAAGAAAAACAGACAAGGCTGATATACCTCATGACATGGGAAGTTATCTGCTCGAGGCTATGAGCTGTTAGTGACCTTTGATCTAGCCAGGGGTTTAGGTTCTGTTCCTGTTTTTGACAAACCTGTACACAGATATGTGATGAAGTCTTGTGGCAAACGAATGAAGGGCGTCAGGACGTCGCTGGCGTTGTTTCATTGAACCGATGAATTTTGTTTCCACTCATGATTTGTCACTTCGCATTTTCGGAAAGTTAGTCAAACGACAGCATGTCGAATACTCCGGGCTTTCAGCTGAAGCAAGCCTCTGAAGCCATGTCTCAATGCAGAGTATTGAGCAGTCCATTGAGGTTGAAAATGGCGTACAGACAATAATTGAACCATAACGCCTGCAGATTCGCTAAAGGTCCTTGACAATAGGAAGCATATGGCCGCCACAAGGCTGGGCTGCAATGGGCCAGCGAGATACGTGGACAGCTAGTTACCTTTTACGCATGGCAAACCATGCTCAAGGTTCACAGCTCAGCATCAGAGCCACTGGTACTCCGTAAAGCATTTTTCTCTGTGCCTCCAGCTTCATTCATGCGTGAATGAGACCCTCCCAGAAAAGACATAAATAGACCCATCTCACCCGCCCAAATCTGTTCTTTCTTTCTCCATCATCGATCAAGCAAGCAATTCAATCCACGGCAACAAATACCTTCTTCAACTTTTTAATCAGTCTTTTTTTGACTCCAAATTCCCAAATCAATCAACATGCAGTTCATCAAGGTCGCCACCCTCCTTGCCGTCACCGTTGTCGGTGTCTCTGCTCGCTACGAGCGCCCAGCTCCCCGCATCCAGCAGGTTACCTGCTCCTCTGGTGATGCTTACTGCTGTGCTCCCTCCGAGTCCAAGGGAACCACCTGCACCAAGCTCAGCGGTAGCTCCGTCAGCTGCAACAGCCTCATCGTCTGCTGCAACAACATGAACGGCGTAAGTATCTTGAATCCTGATCGGATAGATCCGGTAGAAGGTATTAACCCGGAATCAAAAGGTCCAATCTTGCTCTGCCACCATGTCCCAGCCCGTCCAGTACATCAACGTCTAAGCGATATTTGCGAGGGCATCTTCCCCACGAGCATAAAAATTTCTTTCGCCTCGATCACTTCAAATTTTTTAAGGGCGGAAAGGTTGGAGCATCTCTGGTTTCACTTCGCTCCACTCAAAGGCTTTGGGTGAAAAAAAAACGCAAAGAGTCGACATCTGGACACTAGATAGAGTGGATAATTGAAGGACCCGCTTTCCTAGTATCACTCCTTACTTTTTTATTTCTTTTGGAGGATTTTGAATTGTGATGGTCGATGGTGGAAGTTGTGGGGTGAGCGGGATTTTGGGATTGCGAAAATCGCTGGTATCTTGAAACATTTGGTTGTTATCTAATAGTCAAGCTTAGCAATTGAGATGTTTCGCCAGTCTTCTTGCTCTTCATCGATAACTCTCTCCTACTATCAACGCAGTTTCCCGTTGGCAGAGTAAAAAATGACTTTAACAATGTCTTGCACCGTAGGGTTTAGCTGGGGCTTAGCTTTGGTTCGTGCTAAATGGGGAACAGATACTTTGAAGATATTCAATGTGAATCAGGGCTAAAGTCTAATGGCCCCTTGAAGGAGTTCTTGCTTACCACGTTGGGAGTTAACTAGCTACCGAATCTAAAACTTTATTGGGGATTATCATTAATCCTGTTGTCTCTTACCTAAGCGTTTGCTCACTGGTGAACCTGGCCAGACCTTGCTGGGCCTTGCTGGAAAATTGTATGGAGTACTCCTTAAGGAGTACGGATTTTGAAACGTAGCCATCGGTTAGGCATATGAAGTTCATGTATCAATGCTCAGTAAAATCCTGCTATCGCCCCCATGAATCACCGGAACAGCCTAACGTTACTAATTCTCCAAAGGATCACACAAAGCCAATATTGAAAAGAATCAACTAGATTCTTGCTAGAAAGAAAAATATCTTTTGTTGGCTTCATGAGTACAGTGCCTGGCGACTGCGACTCCATATATCATCCTCGTAACACTTTCTGGTTGAAATATGCATTCCTTTCTTTTTCACGAGCTACTATCATTATTGCGGGTAACGATCTTCGCCTCAAGACTACGGAGTACAATAATAATGACGGAGCACGGTATTTCACGGCTGATCTCCTTAAGGTGAGTGAGAGAATAGTCCATACCACTTATGTGCATCACCTGGGCTCTCCTGGGTTAACGATGCGGATGTGGAAGGATAGACGTGGGCTCCTTGATTTCGGATCGATTGCGATCCACTTTGCTTCGTAGATGGAGAGGAGGAAGGCCTCCACAGAGCCTTGGAGTAATCGTCTTGAGCTAAAGATGGGCTACTCACTCAGCATAAGATCATATCTATCTGTACAGAGTAATGTATCAGTGATGCCGTAGTTAATTCCTCTAAAAACAGCAAAAGGTGCGTTGATCTGATTGATCCGAGACACTATTGGACAGCACAGCAACGGCTGAGCTTACGCGTTCACCAGCAGGGTACGCTCCACCTAAGCGCACTTCCAGAATGATTGAAAAACATCGACTGCTGGCACCCATTTTTTCCCACTTTGTAGGATGACAATTTCCTTGAGGTCTCTGGGCGGAATTTTCAAGCGTTGAAAATACCACATTTTCTGTTGAATGCACCCAAGTGCCCATCGGCCCACGAAACCCGGCTCGGACTCTAGGATGAATATTCACAGCTCCGGCCACCATCGGCGTTTGTTGAAGCAAGACATGCGGGACACGAGGAAGAAACAAACCAGGAAAGTACAGGCTGGGAAGACGCCCGAGCCCTTCCGTCGACTTCGCGGGATGTTGGTACGTGTGCCAGGTACGTCCGGAGCGCAGACTGTGTATCTCGACCCATGATCCGTACATGGATATTCTCCATGGCTATGCGCATAGAGCACTGGATGCTACTAACAATCTCCGCAGACAGAGCATCGTCGACTGTGATTACTGCAAGCGCCAAGTGGATGGCATCTCTATGTAACGGTGAATTCCAAGTGTGTGCGAGAGGTCGATTCGCCCAAGCAAATGAGCATCAGACTGCCTGCCAGACCGCCCCCTGGTAGCGGGGTAAGAGATCCAATGTCCATCGCGCTCCTGATCGCCGAGCTCCTGCTGGCAAGCTTGATTACAAGCGACGCATCCGGCCGCCCAGAACATTGAGGCTGTGCAAGCCACAGAAAGTGGTTGCCTCCCAGCCACGATCCCGAGGTATCCACCCAGCCAAATTCCGCCCTGGAGTGACTTCTTCCGGCCCCCGGCTGCCGCCACCTCCCTGCAGACTCGTGTGTTTGGGGCCAACAATAATATCCTGATTTTGCTTCCACGCGCCCGCATGGCTGCCCAGAGTGGGTGCACAATCTCCCATATCAATGACCGGCGACTCAGTGTCACAAGCACCGCCTCAATTTAACCCCCGTCACCGGCAGCAGCTCTGTGCTCAATCCCAAGCTTCAAGCCAAGCGAAGTCCGCCACGGTTGCTCGAAAGCCTGCGTGGTTTTTAGCTTCGCTGAAACTGCCCAGGCGATCGCCTCCGAAGTTCTGAGCTTAGTATCAGGGTTTGATTGAGCGGAGAAACAGCCTTGGTTCAGTTTTGCACCTGATTTGGTTCATCCACCCGCCAGGGAGACGTCGCACCCACACACAAGTCCTTTCGAGCCCTCCACGCTCCTCTCTTTCCAATTTTCGGTGTCGACCCGAAAAGCATGGGTACGTTGCGATCGAGTCTTCCATCTGTATCTGTCGTTGCATTGTAAACGGCTGTTGTCCCTGCCTGTTTGTTCCCCCTACCCTGAGCTACGTCATATTCAGGGCGCCTGGCAGCGTCCGGGAGTCGCGCTTGCTGACCACCCTTCCGTTCCCTTTGTTTTGCTTGTTTGTTTGCCCCAGACTGTTGTTGAACGCGAAGCGCATGATTTATCAGTCCATTATTTTCAGTGTCAGCATGCCCTAGAAAAAGACCTCTAGGCCCGAGATTCCAAGCTAACTTACCGCGACTAGCTGGGTCGAATTTTCAATCAGAATTCCGCCGACACGGTTCTTTTAATACCCTTCGTCGATCGAATTCTCCAATGCCACTTCAGAGTGACCATGGCGCGGCCGCCAGTAATGGCTCTGCTATGCCTAACGAGAACACCGGCCTCCTGAGCGGTTCCAACTCCGGTGCTCCTGCTGGTGTGATGAATAAACTGATGTGGTACCGGTCCGACAGGCGCGTCTGGGTTCGCCTTCCATCAGAGGCCTTCTATCTAAGTTATGCTACTCTTGTTAGCAACTATGTCAACATCCTGCTGGTTTTTGTGCCACTAGGCATTATTTCGGGAATGCTTGGATGGAACCCTACAACTACCTTCATCCTCAACTTTTTGGCTATTATGCCTTTAGCCTCGATTTTGAGCTTTGCAACCGAAGAGCTCTCTGCTACTCTTGGTGAAACTTTGGGTGGCTTACTGAATGCAACATTTGGCAACGCTGTAGAACTCATTGTACGTACAACCCTTGTTTCAAACCTCCCATGCCATGCGACGCATGTTACTCATAAAGGAAGTAGGTCAGCATCATTGCCCTTCAGAAAAACGAAATTCGGATTGTCCAAGCAAGTATGCTCGGTAGCATTCTGTCCAATATCCTGCTAGTCCTGGGTTGTTGTTTCTTCATTGGTGGCCTCAAACACCATGAACAGACATTCAACTGTACTGTCGCTTCAACAATGTCTTCCCTCATGGCAGTTGCATCCGCATCTTTAATTATCCCTGCAACGCTCTATGCCGCCTTATCAGGTTCAAAGTCAGACAAGTTAGGCAACATTTTGATTCTATCGCATGGCACCGCGATTATCTTGCTTATCGTCTACGTTATGTATCTGTATTTCCAGCTGAAATCGCACTCCGATCTTTTTGAGAGTCACTCTGGCGCTACTTTAGAAGCTCAGAATAATCAAGATGAGAGTGAGGAGGAAGAACAGATTCTCAACCCCTGGGCTGCTAGTATTGCCTTACTGGTGGTCACAATTGCTGTCGCTATTTGTGCAGAATACCTGGTTGGCACCATTGACAGTATCGTGGAATCTGCGCATATTAGCAGGACTTTTATCGGTCTGATTCTCATCCCAATTGTGGGGAACGCTGCAGAGCATGTCACCGCTATAGTGGTAGCTTACAAGAACAAGATGGACCTCGCCATTGGAGTTGCGATAGGAAGCAGTCTTCAAATTGCACTTTTCGTTACTCCTTTCTTGGTTATCCTCGGATGGATATTAGATCGTGATATGACGCTTCATTTTCAGATATTCGAAACGGTTGCTTTCTTTGTGTCAGGACTGGTCGTCACGCTTCTTATTCAGGATGGAAAATCCAATTACCTTGAAGGAGGATTGTGTCTTGGAATGTATGTCCCCTGAGTGTTACTCCACTTACCTCGTTCTATTTACAGCTTTTAACTAACCGCATTTTAATAGGTATGTAATAATTGCGTTGGCCTTTTTTGTGTATCCCGATGATGCCTCCGGCCTCCCATCTCCTGTAAACTCTCTCATCTCGTCTTAGGATCCAACAGGATCTGCCTACCCGATACTTTCTTTTTTCTAGCTTCATTTCTTTTTCAGAACACATCAGCTACTTAACTCCATGTCCCACAGATTCCCATGTTTTTAATTCACAGCAACCTGCTTTGGCGAATAGTTTACTATGTATCTCTTATTTCCGGGAAGGGGAGGATTTTTCTTCTTTTCTTGCTTGTTTTGTAGTGTAACTGCATACTTATGCAAGACTTAACCCTCTTTTATTCTATAATTCTTTCATACTAGTTGTTACTTTAAAGAACTCCGTACGAAACAGGTTGACTGAGATTTCATGATGACGACGGACTCTATTGGTCAGAAGGATTGTGCTGTCTTTCATTCTCATTGGTTAAATAATGTTCTTAATAACATGTCACGTGAAGAGAACTCTTGGTGTCGGAAAGCTTGACTTGTAATTTTGCGACGACAGACCTACCAACCTTGGGGCAGTGGTGTTTTGGATTGAATTCTAGGATTTCGTGGCAGAATTAGAGTGTTCTAGGGAACGAGGATATTCAGCATCCTCGGAGCCATCCCTCTATTTTTCGAGCTCTAGAACCGTCTGGCTCTCACGATTTTTCTCTAGAGCGTTCGCTTCAAAGGGCAGCTGATCTGCCCTTTTTTTTTTCAACTATCTCTTAAGCTCCAGCATCACTTACAAAATTTCATAATAAAAAGCGAAGCAGCCATGCCACCGCGCATAAATCTCCTCACGGCCATTCGGCGGACTCGCCCTCCCACAACAGTACATAGCGGCTCTCCACTTCGAGTTCGAGATAGCATTTCGGGCGGTCCCGACTCCACATTTAATACGATTGCCATAGTGCGGATATGGCCATGTCAAAGACGGCTGAACTCTACATCGTCGAAGGGGCCATTAACAGATGTGGTTGAAGATGAGGCGAAGGGGCCGAATCAGGACCAATTACCTCATGTAAGTGAAGAGGCGGCTCAAACTGCTAGGATACTTGAAGGAAAGAAATGTGGTGAAGTCGGGGGACCAGAGTTGGAACAGGGGACACCCGTTGAGGAAGTAAGTGATACCTAACCCTTTTTATATTCCTTGTTAAGGATGAGCTATTTTCTTACTGTTTTATTTTCGCCGGATAGATTTTCAAACGTGATAAAGAAGCTTTGAAGACAATGCCAAAAGTTCTTCGTGATCAAATTTCGTCTGCAAATAACGGTGGCGGATCATCACGGTCGTTTTCTACCCACGCCCGGCTCGGTCAGCAGGATCGCCAGATAGCTCCTGCAGGGCACGGCGATTCATCTGTTGTTTTCAATATGTTCAAGGCTGCTAATGAAGGCCAGGAAAGTGTCGTTCAAAAGGAGGATGGAGAGGAAGAGGAGGAGCTCATCAAGTTCAGATTGGGAAAAAGTTATAAACTGAGGTACCGATATGATGGTGTCATGAACCTATTTACAAAGTTAATTATGAAGCATGGGAAGCTGAGTCTTGCGCAAAAGGTATTATATCCTTCCTTGGTATCTTCTCAATTGCCTGCAGCATCTAACATGAATTCAAATAAATAGCACATGGGACTTGTTCTTGATCATCTGCGTACTGCACCTCCACCAGCGATTAATCCGACCCGCGGTCTTATCGAAAGCCCACCAAGCCCTCAACTGCCACTGTACCCCCTTGTCTACCTTCGCAAAACCGTTGACTCAGTTGCTCCATTATTCAAAGTTGTTCAGTTAAAGGGTATTATGGGTGGTGGAATGTCCCTGCCTATCCCTCGGGCACTCAATAAACGCCAACGGCGGCGCATTGCGATCAATTGGATCATTGAAGCATCAATGAAGAGAAAGGATTCTAAGTTCTCGACTAGGCTTTCCAACGAGCTTGTTGCCGTTGCGGAAGGTAGAAGTGCTGTGTGGGAGAAGAGAAATCAAATCCACAAGCAGGCGGTAGCGGCCAGGGCGAATATCCGATCGGGTGCGAGAAGGCGCTAGAAATCAAGTTGTGCTGTTGATTGGCGAGGAGGGAGGTGACTTGTACATTATTTTCAGCTCTCTGCGAATTACACAATATGCCCCGTGTTCTTTGGCAATCCATCGTTTGAAGTAGTATTTCTGTTACGTTCCGATGCACCACTGTGCGACTTGAAAATGCCGCCTCGAGACGATCTTTCAGCTCTCATGCATATTTGCTAAATACCTTTTGCTGGATAGTTAACTGAGTTCAGCTGGTATGTATGTTAACTAGTCTTACGATACAATACCTCATTGGCGCAATACGAGCCGCGGCTCCACACTCCGCCTCCTTCACCATACATAAAACGGACCATTTCTCCCCCAATCTGACCCGTCCTTTTCTTTTCTTCACCAACAGTTCAAAGGCGATTTGTCCTTCCCACGCCCAGCACGGGCTAATTTTCTTTCCCCCCAACTATTCAATCTGGTCAGCCGCCATGGGATCTTCTGCCGCTCCATGCCAACGGGAATCTATTTCCTACCAGCCGGCCAAACAGCTGGGCATCCGTAAGCCGCCATGGTAGCCGGCTGGTGCCCTACGAGGATTTGGATGAGGGGGGGTTATGTTCGCTTTTGAGAGAAGAAGAAGGGGGAGGGGGATTCTTGCAGGATGGACGACTTATATCGGACCACACATCGTGCATGGCAGAAATGGCTGTGGCCGATGGGGTGGGGATAATGCAGGGGTCGTCGGGGAGCTCGGTTACGTCGACACCGTCGTGGAGTGATTTGCTGCACTTTGACAACGTTGACGCTTTGGGGGGTGGTATTGTTTCCGGCTTGGTTGTCCCTACCTCGGACGTCAGTGTGATGGGCGCAAATCAAGGCCAGACGGATGATTTGGGTATCGCCGAGCTAATGGACGCTGGAGGATGTGCTTATCAGTTTGATCCGAAGTTTGCAATGGATTTTGAGAATGGTAAGGTCTTGTGTCTATATGAGGTGTGAGTTGACTTGCTAACTATATGTTAGATCTTCTACACCTTTCAACTACCACCCAAGCTGCCGTGCCAGCTGTTTCTAGTCATACCTACTCGCCTTCTTCTCTCAGTCTTCCGAGACATCTTCAAGAAGTTGGCAGTCAATATATATCTCCTCCACAGCTCGCAACTCAGCCCGTTACCTCCCATCCTGCTCTCGATACCAACACTCTGCACTCTGTATCTTCATCGTCTTCATCTTCTTCAGTCACACAGAGTCCACCAGGATCTTCCGCACACTCAGTCGCTCCACGTCGCAAAAGAGAACAAACCACTTCGTCCGATCCGTCTGACGCTGCCGCTGAGAAGCGTCGCCGTAACACGCTCGCCGCGAGGCGGTTCCGACAACGACAACAAGATCGAATTGCACAGTTGGAGCGGGCGTTAGAACAGGTTGCTCAAGAACGAGACGAATTGAAAATGCAGGTTGCAAAGTGGGAAGGCGAAGCGACGGCCCTCAGAGGCATACTTGGAAAGAGGTCAAGCCGCGAGTAGTTTCTTGATTGAGTGGGAATTCTGCGTTGTATTGAAAAATAATTTTTGTCAGCATCTATAGTATATCAATAACAGTATTTCGGCCTCCACATGTCTTGAATTCGGCGTGCCAGAGGGCTTCAGATGATGTCGGCTCCGGGTTTCGAAAGTTCGCAGATTGGTGCTCTTCCTGTATTTTTCCACCTTTGCGGCGAACTCGTTTCATGGTATCAAATATCGGCAATCTGGAGAATGTCTTCATATCCGCCTCGGGTGCTTTACGCCGCCAGCCTTCCTTGAGAGGAACAATAACAACTTGCCTTGTCTGGCGGCTACTAAACGCCTAACCTCGCATCCATCTCTGTGCCCCACCCATCCCTATCCCTAACATCTTCAAGTTGTCTACTTCTACACCATATTCATAAACTGCAGCTCGAAGCATCTATATATCTGTCTACTCTACACTTATGCACGTAGGTTGGACTGTTCAACCAATTTTACAGCAATTGATGATGCTGAATGAGAAACAATTAGCAATGCGGCTGAATAGATCATCAACCATGAGTAATTCCCAAGGCTGGAATGAATACTCCTGCTATGACCTTTGAGCATTGAAATGTTGCCCCCGGAATGTCGTGTGCCTTCGCCAAAGCGCCGCCAAAGCGGCAGTCGGCCCCGCAGACAACAGCATACCGTACGTAACTCGTAATGAAAGGAAATATTACGCAGTTTCCTTGGCGAGAGGGTGATGGCCAATCACAAACGGTGCCTGCCGGGCTTATGCACAATGAGTCATTCTTGCTCATACTTGGCAATCAGATAAGATAACCTATAAGGGCCTCTCGTCCGTGTTGTCGCAAGAAAAGCGTAGAAGTTCGCTGCGCTACGGAGTACAAATCAACGATATCTCATCTCAGTCGCTGTCTGAGGGGGTGTTAACGATCCTTTATTCCATGGCAGTATTCATTGGCCTGGGCAACGACTTGGCGACTTGCTCATGTCTGCATGTCGTATAGGTTCTTAGCCGCCAAATATCAAGCAATAATGAAAAGAACCGATAGATGCGCTTTCTTGCATATTTCCAGGCTTCTCATCGGACGTGAGCTCGCCCATATTTGAGAAAACGTGTGACGGCGGAGCAGGCGATTCCCCAATCCCAGTTTTCCTGGCTAATCACGACTTATGTTGAGGGAGGCAGGGATGGTTCGTTTGCTTGATCTTCCCCGGTATTTCGCTTAAGTCCTTCGATGTCCTGGGAGGCACCACTACTACTTGTTGGAAAATCAGCACTATTCTTTACGAGCATAATCCGGGATGCGGGTGAGGAGGCGGGATCTTCCCCGCTTTGTTCAACACCTAACGGATTTACCTGTCATTTGTTTTTTACTTGCAAGGGCCAGACTCACACAGCAATTCAGAAAGCATAGGAGAGGCGCCGTCTTTGTTGATTTTTTTTTTGTTAGCAGCCTAACTACGGAGTAGTGCCCACAGCTCGCATATGCTGAGACGCTTGGTCTCCCAGCCGATCGAACTGGCGTTGGAGATCAGATGGGGGCTCTCGGAAGAATTGAGAGCCGTCGAGCATACAACCAGGCCCTTTACTCGGCCAAAAACGGGTCTCGGTGAGGAGGACGACGTGGCGTTAGCTTGTCTGAACCTGCATTTGTTATTGTTCGCTGCTTTATTTTTCCTTTTTGATCTGCAGCCACGAACGGCGAGCCATGAGGATGCTCGTAATTCTCCGTGGTCGGTGTGGTCCGCTCTCGCTGCGTGGTGCGCTATGAGCACGCCAGGCTGATACGAGAAAGACATAACCAGACCAGATTCTCCCGACATTATTATTTATTATTTATTCCAAAGCTGGCTGGAAACCGAGTTCTGGAATGAAATCCGCAGCCGGGGGGCGCAGGGGTTCCCCAACCTTCAAGACCGCCACTCTTGCACATGATCCCCGTGAAGAACCTTCTTTTGCCGTTCTTCTTGTTGGAATGTCAGGCATGGTCAGAAACCCAGCTGGCTCTTGATCCGCCATGTGTCCTTTTTTTGGAGACACGCGAAGTTTGTGTCGCAAACGCTATGCCACGAATTGCAGGTCTAGTGTCTCAGTTGGTTTACCAAAACCGGCGCAGGGCGCGTGTCTGTCTGCGCCGCGGGACCGGAATGCTAGTTATCTAGTAAACTAGTGACTGACAGATCGACATGCCAAATTTTGCGATCGCAGAGGGGGGCGCTTGAGATCGATCTGATTCGGCTACGCGGTGTGCGAATTCCCGGAAGGAAACGGTTGTGCGAGGCCATCACACAGGGCCGGGAGGGCCCCCGTGCCTGAAGGGATCCAGGAACATTACTCCTCCAAACATAGCCGGCGGTTCTCGCAAGGATCGTCGCGGTGCGACCTTGGTGGATACGACCTAAATAATAAACAAACCCGTAAGCATAGTGCAGGATGCGCCGTGCAGCTGGGCTCGAGATCCCCGCGCAGATAATGGGTAATGTTATAGGGTTACTTTGGACGGCGGAATCATGGGCAGCTTGCCGGCGGTGATATTTAAAGAACCGGGAGCCCTGTTTCCTGAGCGTCAGCGGGGTGCTGTGAAAGTCTCCTGCCAGGGCCCTTTTTGCTGTTCACGATGGTGTTCAAAGTTGGCGCCTGTCTCCTTTTTCTGGCGACGGCCATCCAGGCCCGTCTGCCCGCCGTCCCTCTCGGTGAATTCGGACTTCAGGTAAGTGGCCTGTCTGGCATTCTCGTTGACCAGACACTGATTATATCCTCTATCAGTCCGAGATACCGTCCGATGTTGAGAAGGATGATTTGTCGAAGTTATACCCGGAGCATACGATTTCGGTTCCTATCGACCACTTCCAGAAGGATAAGCGCTATGAGCCGCATTCCAATGACACGTTCAAGCTCCGCTACTGGTTTGATGCCAGCAACTACAAGGACGGCGGCCCAGTGATTGTTTTGCACGGTGGAGAAACAGATGGCAAAGGTTAGAAGAAACAAGGCAACTAGGAAGCTAAAGTGAACCCATTACTGAAGATATACCCCATAGGCCGACTGCCCTTCCTTCAAAAGGGAATGTTAGCTCAGCTTGCTCGTGCCACCAACGGCGTTGGTGTTGTATTGGAGCACCGCTACTACGGAACCAGCATCCCAACCCCAGACTTTTCCACCAAGAACTTGCGATTCCTGTCTACGGAGCAAGCAATGGCTGATTCTGCGTTTTTCTCTAAGAATGTTGTTTTCAAGGGACTTGAGAAGAAGGATTTGAGGGCACCGAAGACTCCACACATTCTTTACGGAGGGTCATATGCTGGTGCGCAGGTGGTAAGTCGGCCGTGTTAAGCTTGTATGGCGCACAGATGTGGGCTGCTAAACTTACATTTTTTAGGCTTTCCTCCGCGTTGAATACCCCGACGTCTTCTGGGGAGCTATTTCGTCGTCAGGTGTGCCTAAGGCGATCTACCACTACTGGGAATACTACGAAGCCACGCGCAAGCATGCTCCTCAACACTGCGTTAAGCAAACGCAGATCTTTGTTGACCTGGTTGACAACATTATCCTGCGTGGAAAGGACCCCAAAATGAACGACAAGGTAAAGGAGTTCTTCAGTCTCAGCGACTTGGCCCACATGGACGATGTCGTCAACGTTTTGGCCAACGGTATTTCGGGCTGGCAAGGCACCAACTGGGATCCCGCCGTCAACCGGCCCGGATTTAGCCAGTACTGCGACAAGATCACGTCTGATAAACTGTTGTACCCGGTTTCCGACGCCCAGAAGGAGCTCGCAACTACTCTTATCAAGGCCGGCAAATATGGCCACGAGGGACGAAAACTCCTCACCAGATTCCTTAACTACGCTGGTTGGGCCAACGCTACTTATGTTGCTCCTTGCCTCCGCCGAGGAAGCACGCTGGAGAAGTGCTATGGCACCCATGACCCAGCTTTCTATAAGCAGGATGACCTAGAACAGGACTGGCGACTGTGGCCCTACCAGTTCTGCACGGAGTAAGCAATGGTTCCTCCTCTACGGAAAGGGATTCAGGGTATACTAATGATTGTTTTAGATGGGGTTTCCTCCAGACCGGCAGCGGTGTCCCCAAGCACATCCAGCCCCTTATTTCTCGGGTGATTGATCTAGAATACACCAGTCTTATCTGCCGCGAAGCCTTTGGCATCCACAAGGAGGCCGAAACCGATCGCGTCAACAAATGGGGCGGGTACGACATTGAATATCTCCGTCTTGCATTTGTCGATGGAGAAGCCGACCCGTGGGTGGAAGCCTCGCCGCATGCGACAGCTGCCAAACCACGAAAGCATACTCTCGACAAGCCATTTATCCTGATCAAAGACGCCGTGCACCACTGTACGTATCACCCTATCTGGAAGCTGGTCTGCTTTTCGGGAGAAGTAGTGGCTAACGAGCAAGCAGGGGACGAGAATGGCGTATTCCCCAACGAGACGACGCCCACCTTCCCACCGCCACGCATCCAGAAGGTGCAGGCGCAGGAGATCGAGTTTGTGAAGAAGTGGTTGAAAGGTGAGTCTTAGAATCGCCGGGCCTTCTTGCGTTGAAGGGAACGCTAACCGGGAGGATCGATGCACGCCTAGACTGGGAGCGCGAGCATCACTAGACACGGTCACGCAGCACACACATCGGTGAAGAAACCAGGATCTGGTCACGCAGCCTAGGCTGGGCGAGAACACTCCCGGCCCCACGGGGGGCAGGAGTGCAGCTGATGCGTAGACAAGACCTGTATGCATGTATGTACATACATAGGTTGCTATAGAGAGAAATGAATGTAAGAAGTATCCTGTATGGCAGTGTAGCCATCTCTGCGCGTCACCCAGGCTGCGCGTTAGTTAGGCGATTGCCCAAGAGCCCAAGCCGGCCCCAGTACGGCGGTTGAGCCAGCCAGACCCTGCAGCAGTGAGTTATGTAGATGACCGGGGGGAGCGGCCGGGCCAGGCTGCCCCGGGTTGCAGTTCGAGAGCAAGACCAACGCGCGAGACGTCCACGACGACGACGTCCCGCACGCCCGACTGCGGGCTGACCATCTTGCGGTTTCCAATCAGTGAAGCCCATCGCCGCACGTCGCCAATCCGCCGCACCCGCTCGCCTCGCACGTTCACCTTCGAGAGCCCGTCTGGGCACGCCTTAGTTTAACTAACTACCTAGTGCGTTGAGTCTCGGCTGACCAGCTCCGCGCCCCCAGAGCGCCCTGCCTAACCTGTCTGCCTGCCAGCCTGCCCGGCCTACGTCTGGCGCGCCGCCCGTCAGAAAACAGCCAAGCGCTTCACGCCAGCGTTTCTGGCCCGGTTCGCGCCTGCCTGCGACGAGAGAACGTCCCGCGGGGTTCTCGTGGATTATTATTCCTATATACTCGGTGGAGCCGCGCCCACCCAAATCCTGCCGTGCGCCTGCAACCCTGGCTCCTCCTCCACTCCCGCGTAGCAGCATCGAGCTCGTCGAAGTATCCCACCACGCCACTACTGCTGGTGCTGGTGCTGTTGCTGCTCGTCCTCGGACCTCCTCCTCCTCCTCCTCCTCCTCCTCCTCCTCCTCCGCCGGCCACTCCGCTGAGCGTGCGGGGACAGTCTCCAGCTGGGCCCGGCTCGCGCAGCCGAACACACAGCGTGACGACGCGAGTGCCGCTGGTGGGTGCACGGAGAAGGACCGTGAGATCCATGCCGCTGGAGGTGGAGGCCGCGCCGAGCATAGCCTTTCGCCCCGTCTGCCGCGTCGCTGCTGGCCTTTTCTTGGACGCCCGTCGTCGTCGCCGCTGCTCCGGTTAGCGACTGAAGAGGAAACCATGAAGTTCTCGCACAGCATCCAGTTCAACGCGGTGCCTGAGTGGAGCGACAATTATATCGCCTACAGCAATTTGAAAAAACTGTGAGTTTTCGTAGCGGACGGACGGCCTGCCGCTCGTCGCGTTTCAGTGCTGTTGTGCTAACATGTTGGGCCTTTTTTTCGCTGGTAGAATATATTCCCTTGAAAAGCAGATCAACAACCCAGAGGCCCACGATGACGAAGTCGAGGACGCTCCCTTACTCGACCGGGTGCTGGATACCGATTCGATATTTGCGCGCATGCTAGATGGCGAGCTGGAGAAAATATGCTCGTTTTACCACGCCAAAGAGATCGACCTGTACAAGGAGGTGGACGACGTTGTCAACCAGGCCGAGTCATATGTGTCTGAGAGCACTGGTTTTAACATGGATCCCCTGGGAGACCCCATGGCCAAATCAAGAACGCTCAGCTTCGGAAACGGCGTCCGCCGAGCCAGCTCCTTTGGCATTGGCCCATCTGCTGGAAGCAGGGCAAATACTTCCCCCCCTGCAGACGAGGATAGCAATGCGGATGCCGACAGTGATGACGATGTAGATATCTCTGAGCTGCCTACGCGCGACATCCGGAGACGCTCGATGCTATTGCGGGACCACGAGGCTCTCGATGGACGAGCCGTAAGCGATATGAGTGATTCAAGGTATTTTGGGATGGGCTCGGAGCACGTCTGTGATGGGGACCCCCATTTATTAGCTCTGTATAATGCTGGTGTCAGTTTGAAAAAACATATTATTGGTGTCTACGTCTCCCTCTGCGGGCTAAAGTCGTTTATTCAACTCAACCGCACCGGCTTTTCAAAGGCCCTAAAAAAATATGATAAAACCTTGGATCGAAGCCTAAGGCGGGGATACATGAATACTACCGTCTCTACTGCCTATCCGTTCACGAACCCAACAATATCGCTGCTTGACGAGAAAATCGCCAGGATCGAGCGCCTGTACGCCGATACAGTCACCAAGGGAGACCTCCCGCTCTCAAAACGCGAACTGCGATTACATCTCCGAGAACACGTTGTATGGGAGAGAAATACGGTTTGGCGAGAGATGATTGGCATCGAAAGGAAAGCCCAGGCTGCAAATATGGGTATCCGCAGCACGCTGCTGGGCGGAGCCCAAGATGCTGAGGCTGCGCGGCGGCAAGGCGACGAGCAAGAGCCTGCGACGAAGGAGATCAGGACGCCTGTTGGGAGATGTCCTGTCCCGCGTTGGATGCTGACGTCAAATTTTACTACGTTGATTATAATACTGGTGGTGTTTGGGGCAATGCTGTCGGTGCCTATTATGAAGAAACCTGAACAGCAGAATTGTCTGGCGATGCTGGTGTTTGTCAGTCTGCTCTGGGCTACTGAAGTATGTGCAACGCAGCACCCTTCTTCTCACCCGGTATTTTTGACTAACTCAGGTATAGGTGATTCCTCTCTTCGTCACATCCATTCTAGTCCCTTTTCTCGTTGTTGTTCTTCGGGTGCTCAAATCTGATGATGGCGAGCTCCGGTTGCAAGCTAAAGATGCCGCGACGTACGTCTTTGCGTCGATGTGGACGTCAGTTATTATGTTGCTTCTGGGCGGTTTCACCATTGCTGCCGCACTCTCCAAGCATGACATTGCTCGTCGTATGGCAACTTTTGTGCTAAGTAAAGCCGGGACAAAACCGCGAACGGTGTTGGTAACGAACATGTTCGTCAGCATGGTTTTGAGCATGTGGATTAGTAACGTTGCGGCGCCGGTTCTGTGCTTTTCGATAATACAGGTATGTTGTGCTGGTGATATTGCCCGTGTTCTCCCGGTATCTTTCCATGCAAATATGCCTGCATAAGTAACTGACACGCATATAGCCTATGCTTCGAAATTTACCACCAGACTCGCGCTTTTCCAAGGCGTTGGTGCTAGGTATTGCCCTAGCTTCGAATGTCGGCGGTGCGGCTTCTCCCATTGCTTCTCCTCAGAATATCATTGCGCTACAGAACATGTCTCCTCCCATCAGCTGGGGTACATGGTTTTTCATTGCAATACCCGTTTGCGTCATCTGTATTATTCTTATCTGGATTCTCCTCGTTATTACATTCCGTCCCGGTAGAGGCACCGTTATTGTTCCTATTCGACAGGTCAAGGATAAATTCTCCGGGGTCCAGTGGTTTGTCACAATTGTGACACTTGCTACCATCATACTATGGTGTTTCAGCCATGAAATGGAGGGTACATTCGGAGACATGGGCGTCATCGCTATCATCCCGTTAGTTCTCTTTTTCGGCACTGGAGTATTGAACAAGGAAGACTTCAACAACTTTCTATGGACCATCATAATTCTTGCATCCGGTGGTCTGTGTCTTGGAAAAGCCGTTACTTCCTCTGGCTTATTACATACAATTGCTCGGAGTATCACAGAGAATGTTGGAAGTTTCAGTTTGTATGGCGTGATGTTTGTTTTCGCGTCCTTGATTCTAGTCATCGCCACCTTTATCTCGCATACGGTTGCGGCGCTGATTCTGCTGCCCCTTGTGCGAGAAGTTGGTGTCGCCATGGACCATCCTCATCCTAATTTGTTGGTCATGGGGTCCGCATTGATGTGCTCCGTTGCTATGGGCTTACCTACAAGTGGCTTCCCAAATATGAGTGAGTCTTCCTTTTTTTTTACTTCGTATTGACGAAATTGTACTCACAATACTCTTTGTAGCCGCTATTATGATGGAAGTTCCGGAGACCGGGCAACGGTATCTCCGTGTAAAACACTTTATTTCTCGTGGCATACCGGCCAGTTTGATATCCTTTGCAGTTGTCGTTACAGTTGGATATGGATTAATGATTGTTGCGGGATTGTAAATACTAGGTTCCTCGCTGGATCCCTCTCCCTGCTTTTTGCCCCTGCTTTCCAGAATCATTTGCATGCTTGGACTTTAAAATACGGGCCATTGCGTTGATTTTTCACTTTTCCTTGTCTGTCTGCGGCTATACATAAATGGCATGGCGTTTCCTGGGATATAACACTGTCTGTATGAAAGAATGGACTCGCGTGAGGTAGATGGTGACAAATCTTGCTAGTTGCTTGGAAATGCGAATACTCATTAGATAGAATGATCTCGCAGCCTGCACAGCGGTCAGAATGCTATCGTTAGTTACTAGTGCACATTCAAATATATTCAGCCGTACGGAGTACTCCGTGTGTGGTGAAGCACTCCAGGGCTGAGAGCGCTGCAGCCCCTGCGGTAAGGCTGCACAAGGCTAGTCGTGCACATAGCTCCCGCCCCCTCGCCAGGGATTGGCTGTGGTTGGCTGCGGCGTGCCTGGCGGGTGGCAAAACAAGCTCGGCCAGCAGCGACGACAAGCACTGCCAATGGACATCACCCGTGCTCTCCCCCTGGCCAACCTAAGCTTCGCCGCCTTCCATGCCTTCGCTCGTGATGGGCCTGCCGAACCTGGGGTGTGCAGATCACCGGCAGATGACCTCCCCCGTTGCCTCCGCAGCATCAACTAACTACATAGTTAACTAGTTTAAAAGGCTCGCGCGCGCCCCAGGGAACGGACGCCTGCCAGTCTTTCGTTTCAAAACGCTCTCCCGTTCGTCCTAACCCTTCTGCGCAACCCTCTACATATCCTCATTCTCGCCATGAAGACGACTGCGGCCGTCTTGCTGACCGCAGCGTGGTTCCACACCACTGCCGCGTTCGCCTCCAGTCAGCTGGTGCTGGAGGATACTAGCTCCAAGCAGTGTCCGATAGATAGTGAGCTCAGTTGCCACAATAAGGGGCCTGTGCAGGACCGCTGCTGCTTCAATCAGCCCGGCGGTCTTCTCCTCTTGACGCAGTTCTGGGATGCGAATCCGGCTACGGGGCCGGGTGATTCGTGGACTCTTCATGGGCTGTGGTGGGTTTACTCCATTCATATCATTGTTCTCTTCAAAGGTTCCAGTTTGTGGCAGATTGTGGGTATGGGCATGACTGAGAGATTGCTTTCTATTTTTCCCAACTAGGCCCGATAACTGTGACGGTTCCTACGAGCAGTATTGTGACAGCAAGCGGTACTACAAGGACATACCAGGCATTTTACAGTCGTTTGGGAAGTCAGATTTACTCCAGTATATGAGAACATATTGGAAAGACTGGCAGGGAAACGACCCCAATCTCTGGGAGCATGAATGGAACAAACACGGCACTTGTGTGAGCACGCTGGAGACGGCTTGTTATCCAGGTTACAAGCAATATGCAGAAATGGTCGATTACTTAGAAACAGCAACTCAACTGTTCAAGAAACTGGATACTTATAAGGTTAGTACCTCAAGCATTTGTGTCAACTATAGCTAATGTACTCCACTAGACGCTAGCCGCGGCCGGTATTACACCGCATGCGTCGAAAACCTACGAGCTCAAGCAGCTTCAGGCTGCGATATCAAAGGCCCATGGTATGGAGGTTACTCTGAACTGCAAGAATTCGGAGTTGAAAGAAGTCTGGTACTTTTTCAATGTTAAGGGCAGTGTGCAGACTGGCAAATATGTGCCAACGCTTCCTGGTGTGTATCTCTTACGCTGAGACAACTTAAAGCATGGTCGTCTAATCTTCATAAGCCGGTTCCCCGTCAAACTGCCCAGCCACGGGCATCAAGTATACCCCTAAAAACGGCAAAGCACGCCCAAACCCAACAAACAACCCAGGGCCTACCCCGACAAAAAGCTCTCCTGCACCCACAGGGACTAATGGTGCATTCTCTGGCAAAGGACATCTCGAAGTAACCACTGGAGGCAAAAAGACTGGCTGTTTGATCAGCTACGGGACCTGGTACAGCACGGGCACTTGTGCAATGTTCCATGCCACTCCTTCTGGCAATGGGTTCACCTTGAGCACCACCAAAGGCGACTGCGGTATCGCTGACTCTGTGTTCGCGTGTGATACGAATACCAAGTCTAGCGTGTTTACAGTAAGCTTTCTCCCATTATTTATTTTTTTCATTTAGTTTGATAAATGCAAAATTGCCCCGATGGAGTTGACGGCTAATTTATGATCTTCGAAACAGGCTGTTGATGGAAATCTTGCTGTTGACGGCAAGATGACCTTTTTCGCGGACAAAATCCCAACAGGAACAACCCAGGTTCCTATTTATACGGAAAACCACTCGAATGAATTGACCATTAGCTGGAAGCAATTTTGATGTGAAAGTTGTGACGCGTTAATAATTTATCATGTTATCAGAATGACCCCCTATGTATATCTAAATGCTTCTCAAGGTGCATCGTAGAACTGTTAGAATGTAGAAAGCAAGACTTCCATGGTAGAAATATGATGATGAACATTTAGCATATGAGTCTGTTTTTGCCGGAAAATTTCGTAAAGTTGTTGTACAGAGTTAGCATGAGACCAAAAAACTTGACGACCAAGACGTATCTTGAAAATGAACAAATTACGGAGTATGTTGCGATGAATCAATGAAGAGCCTTGTTGGGGATGAAGCCAAAGTCGTTTGGGTCGGGGTAGCCGCGCTAGGACCTATTTAGACTAGCGTGTTTTTAGGGTAGGGCAATTTCGAACAAGCGAGCCACTGTGCGAAATTCTCGCTTTGCCGTCGACGACAAGCTGCACTCAACCCGACAACCCATCGACACCACCCACCGCGTTGCTTTGGCGAGGACTGCAGAGATCCGAGGTGAGGAATATTCCCCGTCCCAGCTGCTGCTGCCGCATTTCGCCCGTTTTTTCTTTTCTGGTGGAGGACCAATTTAAGTCAGGAGGGGATGTGACTTTCGCTGTGTGCAAGCCGGTGGATATTCGATTTTGTGAAGAAGATGTGCTGGAGTGCAATTCGGGCGATGGCGCACGCTGTTGCTACTGGAAAAGATTGGCGCCTTTTTTTTTTCTTGACCGTTGCGGGATGCGCTGACGTTGTTTTGTTCGATGCTGCAGAGTAGTCCAGTCCAGAAACCGCAATCATGGGTATCTCCAGAGATTCACGCCACAAGCGTTCGGCCACCGGTGCAAAGCGCGCTCACTACCGAAAGAAGAGGTAAACGATTTACTTTCCCGCCGAATCTACGCATTCCGCTTTGAAAACACTACAATATCATTCTTACACTTTTTTTTCTTCAACACAGAGCTTTCGAGAAGGGTCGCCAGCCAGCCAACACCCGTATTGGCCCCAAGAGAATCCATCTCGTCCGCACCCGTGGTGGCAACCAGAAGTTCCGCGGTCTCCGTCTCGAATCCGGCAACTTTTCGTGGGGTTCTGAGGGCGTGGCCCGCAAAGTCCGTGTCATCGTTGTCGCCTACCACCCTTCCAACAACGAACTCGTCCGCACCAACACCCTCACCAAGTCCGCTGTCGTTCAGGTTGACGCCACCCCCTTCAGGCAATGGTACGAGGCACACTACGGCCAACCCCTCGGCCGAAGACGCCAGGCCAAGGCCGCCGAGGAGGAAGTGAAGAAGTCCAAGAGCGTTGAGAAGAAGCAGGCCGCCCGATTCGCCGCCCAAGGCAAGGTCGAGCAGGCTCTTGAGAAGCAGTTTGAGGCTGGTCGTTTGTACGCCGTTATCTCCTCGAGACCCGGACAAAGTGGCCGAGTAGACGGATACATTCTTGAGGGCGAGGAGTTGGCTTTCTACCAGCGTGCTATCAGAAAGTAAAGGGCTTTTTGATGAGAAGGATGAATGGGGGTTTTTCGGTCGGAGTTCCTGCATTTACTTGCAAAAATTATGTTGAATGAGCAGTACCAAATGCATGGTTTGTAGAACTCTGGGCTACTTTGAATTATCGATCGGAATGAAATTTTCCTTGTTCTTTCAATGACGAGGGCCCCTTTACGCTGTGTAGAGTAGACGGCCAATCTGGCTGTTCTGCTGAGACAATTGCATGTTTGTTTGCATCTCAGCCAACGCTGCAGCTCCTAGGCAGCACAGTTCTCCTTGTAGTCAAGCGTCTTTGGACATCCTCAGCTGCTGGCGAGGTCTCAGCCACCATGCTCCAGAGGCTCGCTCCATCACGAGCGGTTCTACATAGATTTTGCCCAGTATACAGCTGGAAGCTAGCACAGTTCCGCAACCCGTCTTCAGAGTCGAGCGTTTCCAGCCTCCCAAGCGTGACCCAGAACAGCCTTCAGACTCTCCGCTCCAGCAGCACAGCTATGGCGGGAGCAACGGCCCAGCAGTTGGTGAAAACCCGGCTCTGTATCATCTCAGATACAGTTGGTTGCAAAAGTATTGCGAAATGTGCCAAATTCGCGTTTTTTAGCGTGCCCTAGGAACTCCACACAAAACGTAGATATGTAGAAACCCGATTTTGCTCGAATTCGGCTTGTACGATCAACTGCGATCTATTTCTCATATATTTTGTTAGTAAAACTGTTTCAATGGCACCTAGATTATCAGACTCAACCTTACGGCTTATTCTTGAGCTCCTACGCGTTAAAACTAACATCCGAGAGATCTCTAGAGTAGCCAGATGCCACATCACAACAGTATATCACATAGCACAGCATATTTGTCATTTCCAGGTGCCATACAGACCAAAATCTGTAATTGGAAGACCTAGAAAGCTCACTAAGAATATAATTGATGGTTTGGAGGATTTCTTTGCTGAATATTCCACTTCCTATTTGAACAAGGCAGCAGCTTTTGTTAGTGAAGAATATGATGTCAAAGTTAGCACTTCCACAATCAGCAGAGCTCTGGAATCTCATCAAATAACACATAAAAGAGTGAATTTCCTATAGTAGTAGAATTGTAGAAGATTACTGATCTGTTATTGCATTTATAGATCCACCCTATTGCAAGCCAATGAAATGAGACTCTTCAGTTGAACTGAATGGTTACTATTGCTCAATATGCATCTGAATTCTTTATTTTTATTGATGAAAGTGCTGCCAATGAACATACAGTTGATAGACATTATGAATGATCTTCTAGAGAGTTTTCTTGCTGTGTTCAAAGACTCTGTACTCAATCCAGGTGTTGGAGCATTCTGCCAGCATTGAATATAGAAGATTACAGGGTGTACAATATCTTCCATGACTTCTACACAACAGAGAGGTTCAATGAATTTGTTCAGCACAGAGTTCTATCTCAGTGTCAGCATGATTTCTTGGTTCTAGTAATGGATAACTGTGCAATCCACTGTTCAAATGAGCTCCATATAATGTGCAGTGAAGCAGAGGTAAAGCTGTTATTCCTATCTCCATATTCACCAGATTACAATCCAATTGAACAGTCATTTCACTCATTAAAAGCATGGTTATGGAGAAATAAGAATATGGCAGTTACAGGCACATTTGATGAAGATTTTGAAGCCTTCCTACACCATGCTGTACAGAGTTTCATGGAGAGGAAGGATGCTTGAGAATTCTTCAAGAATAGCCACATTGATTAGTTGAATAATCTGATATATACAGACAGAATTTATAGTAATTTACACCATCATATTGTCCATTGAATTCTCTTTCTCCTGAGTAGTTATTTGTGCCTCCAATCATGCCTCCATTTCAACAAATCTAGCCCATGCAAGAGCCTTCCATGTTGGATCCTTCAAATCTGCACATAGAATGTTAAATGTGCCCATGCAAATGCCTAATCAGATAAGCTGCTCAGGTTTCAGGCCTCATACTTGATCTAATTCATAATTTTGTGCCTGTAGAGATGCCTGAGTCTTCAATATTGCCTGCTTTTGTGCAGATCTCTTTGCTATAAGTCACTGAGTGTAGGCATCAAATATACTGTCATTATACTCTTCATAGTGTGATACAGAACTGCTGGGTCAAAATGGAATATTCTGCCACAAAGCAGCAATTTTGCTTGTTGAATCCTCCAATACAGGTGCAGACTGTGCAGACAACTCTTCCACACTTGGAGAATTTGAAGATTCCATGCCAGAGAAATAAGAAATACTTGCCATGAGCAAATTGCTAATTAACTGTGACATATGTAGGAATTCTATGCTGGCAGGCTCTCATTTGGGGGTTATAGAATTGTCTGGAGAAGTCCAGTTCATTGTATATTGAGCTGAATCTGGCACTGGCATTGGAGCAGATACTGAAGAAGAAGAATAGTATGAGTAGATAGACACTGCATTTCACTGATTAGAGTTGCTAGTAAAATGCTTTAACAGCATGATTTGCATGAGATTTAAATTCATGTCATTAGTAGGAGCTGGAGGCCCAAAAACCACAGTAGAAGCAGTGTTTGAAGAAGGCACATTTAAAGTCTTAGAAGACTCACCATTATCTCTATCTTTGCCTTTATTTTTCTTCTTCATTTGCTCTCTGTGAGGATCAGATGGTTGCAGGTAATGTGGCAATAGCTTACAGTCTTCATAAATGAGATTAGATTGAGTGAGAAGTGATTACAAAGAGATCTAAGCATGAGAGAGAGAGAGATAACTTATATTGCTACAACAGTATCTAGAATCTCTAGATATATTGTCACTGATTTTTGTAAAGAAGCATCTGTGACAGATTTTGTGTGTTCAGCTTTGCTAGTGTGATTATATAATCAGTCATGAAGTTTATGAATTTCAGATGTCATGAAGTATGATCATCTAAGCATCAAGAAGATTTTATGAATCTCTTTTAGATGATGAGATGAATGTAAGAAGACTGCAGTGTGAAGTCTTACAAATTTTCTTCTCTTCACAAGTCTTGATTCTCAAGATGTTAATGTGATCAAGATCACAGTGAGAGTGACAGCTTCACTGTGATTGTAACAATTTTATACAAAATCTCTTTTTGGTGTGATGAATGTAAGAAGACCACAGCACAGAGTCTTAATTCAATCTCAGTTTCTAGATGTAGATGTGACAGTAAGATCACAGCAAGAGTGACAGCTTCTCTGTGATTGTAATGTAGTTGCTGTAGTGACTGTCATTTTTTATGATTCATCTAGTGATACTCAGCAATCTCTTGAATATAAATATCTCTTTCTTGATCTTCTCTCTCTCTCTCTTTCTTTTTCTTTTTCAACAACATTCTTCTTTATTTTGATAAAAGTTCTAGACAAGCATTCTCTTCTTGATGGTTATAAATCTTGAGAGGCTTTGTAGAGACTTTTCTCAGTGCTAATACATTATGCAGAGAGATAATTTGCCATGTCTCTCTTTCATTTAAATTAAGATGTCAAAATGTGAGCAACAATGACTCAATAAGTTTGAAGATAAAATCTCAATCAGTCATTGTCCAAGACTCTCTTCAGAGACAATGCAAGAGATGTCTTTAGAATCTTCTACTTCATCTGAAGCAGAGTTCTCAACTACTTCTATTTCTTAAGAAAATTAAAGTGGAGAGACATCATTGCTGTCAGTTTTTATTTATGCAACAGAGAGTTATGTCTCTGAAGACTTTGAGATTTCTTTTCAGACATTATGACTCAGTCAGTCTGATTCTGATTATGATGATGTAAGTAATATTCTTCCATTTCTTCTTCTTTTAATGCTTTGTAATTACTTTTATGAAGTCTGAAATATTCTTTATGAAGTGTTTTCTCACTCCATAATTCTCTTTTCTGTGTGCATGACTGATGGCATATTCAGGGCACTAATATTTGAGCTTGATGAGAACACTCAATGATGTCTACTATGTCTAGTAATAATTCTTTTTTGACTACTAGCTCTGTTGTCTCAGTTGGTCAGATCTTGTGAGAGAATGATTACTCATCTTCCAAATCTAAAATTCTTGTTAATAATGCACCACTCTGTTTTTCTCAGTCTGATTCATTTCTATCACATTCATGTTCTTGATCTGTGCTCTTTTCTATGCTGTGCTCATTCTCAAGCATTGGTTCTGTCTTCAATGCACCCAAGATATGTTAAGTTGCTTTGTTACATGACTTATAAGACAGTTTCTGCTTCATAAATTCATTTATGAAGTGATATTGAGAGTCTCAGCTAATGCTTTTTCTTTCTCTAGAAGTTGACCTCATCAACTTCTTCTCTGTCTACTGTGTCTGCTTCTGCTTCTGCTTCTGCTTCTGCTTCTGCTCCCCTGGCCCCTGCTCTGGCTGTTAACTTGCCAGCCAGGACACTGATTACTATGAGCCATCTTTCACTCTTAATTTCAGATCAGAATTCATCTGATTGTGAGAGATGACTTCTTGCTTTTCTTTCTCTTTGATCTGCAACTCTTACTGATCCAACAGACTCTGTTTGGCTGAGAAATAGAGTCCAGCTCTGAAAAGAAGTTCTGATCACCATGACAGACAATTATCTTTAGCAGTCATGTACAGCATGCTGAAGTAACTCAAATCTCTCATTGAGACAGTGTGTCACAAATTCTCTTAATAGAGACAGATGTAATAACTGTGTCTATCAGACACACAAAATTTATTCTTTCAATTCTTAGAGTTGCTCTCTTGTTTTCTTTCTTTTGTTACTGTGAGCTTTGATCACTAATAGTCTAGTTTTCTCTTTCTCTTGCAGACTTCAGTCATTAATAGTCTAGTTCTTTCTTTTATCTTAGAGTAAATTCACTACTTCTGCTTCATGAACTACTTCTTGACAGTTGTAAATGCTTTTACAGACTGAGTTTTCTTCTAAATTAATTCACTACTCAAGTCACTGCTCTTCTGCTTCATGAATCAATCTCTAACTGCTTCATAAATGTCTTTATGAATCTAACAAGATCTCTCTAAGTGCACATTCTCAG